ATCTGCCCTAAACCCTGATCTGCCCTAACCCTGATCTGTCCTAGCCCTGATCAGGGTTAAGGGTTAGGGCAGATCAGGGTTTAGGGCAGACTAGGCAATTCACACTAAGATTGAGGCGAGATAGACTGGAGACGTAATTAAGTTTTTGAAACTTTTCAAATTATAAACCTCTTAACTAATATTTTCCTAACTAGTCAAATTATAAGCTTTAAATTAGCATACAAGTAGCCTTGCAGGATATACTTTACACACAGTTGGAAAACAGAATGAATAGTTTGAAGTACACCATAAAAAGGCACACATTCATTCAGAATAATCATCCTCATTACGATCGCTATATTGATTGGTATCTTGTTTCGGCTCGTGTTTCCTTCTTCGTCCTCTAACCTTCTCATCTTGGAGCTCGAAGCACCAACCCTGGAATTTGTATAAACCTACATCCAAAGCCCAAAGAAATTGGCAAGAGAAGTAGAATGTTCCACACATACTTCTTGTGTTACTCTTCTAAAGGCCAAATGTATGAACTAAGTCTTACTATACCCCGGAATCTTTATGTTTAATCACTGATACAGCCGATCTGCGCCTTACAGTCACCCTTGAAGATACCGGAAAGTGTTCAACCTCATCAGAAGATCTTCCTTTCCCTGGCCCTTCTCTTCCTCAAGTTGAGCTTTGTGAGTAGGGGCTGGAGGGTCATTTCTTAGTATTACAGATAGAAACTGGAATATGTAACAAAAACAGATGCATTTATAGTTCAGGGAATACCAGATAGCTAGCAGTCCCATCGTCGAATGATACTAGGTATGTGCCACGATCGTTTGCATCATCGCCACCTACCTGTTATAACATGATGTAGTATATTTATTTCGATCTGCAACCCAAACAATCAAAACTGTACTCCAATCACATTGCCTACAGTACATACATCTCAGTTGTATTCGTGAACCCAAGTGTAAGAGATATCCTCGTTTACATCATGCATATCCTTGGACAACTGGCACAGCAACAGAAACAAAACTGATATCAATCAAATCGGACTATTTCTTGACTTGTCAAGACTTGTTTAGAGATATCAACTCGGAGCAAAGCATGTCTACCTCATCCAAGGAAGGAACAATGTACGCCATAAATTTTTCTAGATTGCCAGTGTCTGATCCACCCACCACATAGCGTTTCAAAATGGCCTATTAAAGATGAGGTCAGAGCTTGCAATCGATATGAGAAAAAGGTTAATTGATGTGATTATGATATAATAACTACGCCAAGGCAATCGATAAGTGTTTATGATTCATCCCCATAGTTAATGTCTCAACCCTTATGTTGGCAACGAATGTAATATGGTTTTCACATCCATCACGTCAAACAAATTATTCCTCTGATACAGAAAAGAGCTAACTGGACCATGCACACAGATATCGACAACACAAACTCACCTGTGACTCATATTCATCACGAATTGAAGGGTTCTACTTTTCGAGTTTTTTAATCTTCTTGCCAAGATGTGTGTATTAACACACACAATAAAATGTTAAATTTTTGATTTTTTTTTTAATTTTCTTGTGAATATATGTCTTCTATCACACACACAAAAAGTTAAATTTTCGATTTTTTTAATTTTCTTGCCAAGAAGTGTGTATTAACACACACAAAAAAATATTAAATTTTTGAGTTTTTCTTTTAATATTTTGTGAATATATGTGTACTATCACAAACCCAAAAAATGTTAAATTTTCGAGTTTTTTAATTTTCTTGCCAAGATGTGTGTACTAACACACATAAGAAAATGTTAAATTTTTGAATTTTTTTAATTTTGTTGTCAAGATATGTGTATTAACACACACATAAAAAATTCGAAATTTTGTAGTTTTTTTATTTTCTTGCCAATATGTGTGTACTAACACACATAAGAAAATGTTAAATTTTTGAGTTTTTTTTAATTTTCTTGCCAAGATGTGTATTAACACACACAAAAAATGTTAAATTTTTGAGTTTTTTTAAATTTTTTTGCCAAGATGTGTGTATTAACACACACGCAAGAAAATATTAAATTTTTGAGTTTTTTAATTTTCTTGTCAAGTGTATTAACATACACAAGAAAATGTTAAATTTTTGAGTTTTTTTTTTTTTAATATTCTTGTCAAGATATGTGTACTAACACACACACACACACACACACAAAATGTTAAATTTTCGAGTTTTTTAATTTTTTTGTCAAGATGTGTATATTAACATACATAAGAAAATGTTAAATTTTTGTGTTTTTTTTTTAATTTTATTGTCAAGATATGTGTACTAACACACACAAAAAATATTAAATTTTGAAGTTTTTTTTATTTTCTTGCCAAGGTATGTGTACTAACACACACATAGAAAATATAACATTTTCTTGTGTGTGTGTTTATACACACATCTTGGCAACAAAATAAAAAAACTTCAGAATTTAATATCTTGTATGTGTGTGTTAATACAAATATCTTGACAAGAAGATAAAAAAAACCTCAAAAATATAACATTTTCTTGTGTGTGTGTTAATACACACATTTTGGCAAGAAAATTTTAAAATTCACAAATTTATCGATTTTTGTGTGTGTGTGTGTGTGTGTGTGTTAATACACACATCTTGGCAAGAAAATAAAAAAAACTTCAAAATTTAACATTTTTTGTGTGTGTGTTAGTACACATATCTTGACAAGAAGATTAAAAGAAACTCAAAAATTTAACATTTTCTTGTGTATGTTAATATACACATCTTCGCAAGAAAATTAAAAACTCAAAAATTTAACTTTTTTTGTGTGTGTGTTAGTACACATATCTTGACAAGAAAACTAAAAAAAAATTCAAAACTTTAACATTTTCTTGTGTGTGTTAATACACATATCTTGGCAAGAAAATTAAAAAACTCAAAAATTTAACATTTTCTTGTGTTAATACACATATTTTGATAAAACAAATTTTAAAAAAATATAATATTGTTAAAAAAAACTCAAAAATTTAATATTGTTAAAAAAAACTATAATATAATATTGACAAAACAAATTTTAAAATTTTTTATTTTTTCTTTCCAAGATGTGTTAATACACATATTTTGACAAAACAAATTTTAAAACTCAGAAATTGAACATTTTCTTGTGTGTGTTAGTACACACATCTTGACAAGAAAAATTAAAAAATTCGTAATATTTTGTGTGTGTATGTGTTAATACACATATCTTGACAAGAAAATTATCAAAAAAACTCGAAAATTTAACATTTTCTTGTGTGTGTGTTAATACATACATCTTGACAAGAGGTCGATGTATGTGTTAAGATAGGCAGCTATTACTCCCCCAAAACCAGTTGCTGGGGGAGTAATAGCTGCCTATCGATTTCTAGTATTAGGATTTTGTCTAAGTTTTTATTTGTTTACTGACTTTCAGCTACTTTTCTTTGTTCCTGTTTCAGGTGTATGCCTAATCGCAGAACCAGAAGCAACAAAGAGAAGGAGCTTGTGACTTTGAGCATCGACGAGCTTGCTAGGTTGGAGAGAACTAACAGGAAAGCTAAGAAGCAATCTACAATGGTCGCTCCACTTATCTTGGTTGAAGATGCAGAAGATCACTTGGTTGACAGGGAAGGAAACATGAGGAACGAAGAGGGGCAGAGAATTGATCAAGAGGGGAATGTCATTGTTGAACAGCAGGTTCAGCAAGTGGCTGAGAACGTGGGGGTCCCTGCTGCTGTCAATAACGTTGCTGGGCGTTTTGTTCAGAGGACTCTAGGTGACTACAACAGACCTGATCAGTTCTATACCAACAGAGCTGCAATCCGACCTCCTGCCTTCCAGAGGAACGATTTTGAGGTTAAACAGAATTCTTAGTTTCACAAACCAAAAACGGAATCATAACTGTGACTTATATTAATTCATCATCATACCTTTAAAGCATAATGCTCACAGAAGTAATGCTTCATTTGGTGATAACTGGATCGACGAAAGTCTCTCTCCATATGTGTACTTACACATATATTCACAAGAAAATTTAACATTTTTTTATGTGTGATAGTACACATATATTCACAAGAAAATTTAACATTTTCTTATGTGTGTGATAATACACACATCCTAACAAGAAAATTAAAAAACACAAAAATTTAACATTCTGTATGTGTGTGTGTGTGTGTGTGTGTGTGTGTGTGTGTGTGTGTGTGTGTGTGTGTGTGTGTGTGTGTGTGTGTGTGTGTGTGTGTGTGTCTTAATACACATATCTTGATAAGAAGATTAAAAAAAAACCTCAAAAATATAATATTTTCTTGTGTGTGTGTGTGTGTGTGTGTGTTAATACACACATCTAGGCAAGAAAATAAAAAAAAACTTCAAAATTTAATTTTTTGTGTGTGTTAATACATATATCTTGATAAGAAGATGAAAAAAACCTCGAAAATATAATATTTTCTTGTGTGTATGTTAATATACACATTTCGGCAAGAAAATTTTAAAATTCGCAAATTTAACATTTGTTAATACACACATCTTGGCAAAAAAATAAAAAAACTTGAAATTTTAACATTTTTTGTGTGTGTATTAATACACGTATCTTGACTCGAAAAAGAAAATAAAAACTCAAAAAATTAACATTTTCTTGTGTGCGTTAATACACATATTTTGGCAAGAAAATTTTAAAAATTCTCAATTTAATATTTTTGTGTGTGTGTTAATACACACATCTTGGCAAGAAAATAAAAAATCTTGAAAATTTAACATTTTCTGTGTGTGTGTTAATACACGTATCTTGACTAGAAAAATAAAATAAAAACTCTAAAATTTAACATTTTCTTCTGTGTGTGTTAATACACACATCTTGGCAAAAAAAAATTAAAAAATTAAAAAAATTAATATTTTTTGTGTGTGTTAGTACACATATCTTGACAAAAAAATTTTAAAAAAATTCGAAAATTTAACATTTTCTTGCGTGTAAGTTAAGACACACATCTTGGTAAGAAAATTTTAAGAAAATATAAATTTATCATTTTTTTGTGTGTGTGTGTTAATGTAACACATGGACCAAGAGTCGGACACATTTCGATCTTATGATTGAGTGCATACAAATTATAATTTATTGAGTTCTCTTTTGTGGATAGGCAAACCGCATTCATTTCCAATTTCGCAAAGGTGCAACAGATCATACTTTCATGAGGATGGATGGGGAGCCCTGGAAACAGCCATTGCCAATGGATGATGAAACTGTGATGGCCAAGTGAACATGCTTGCAATTCATGACTGCCGGTCCAGAAGCATGTACGACCCTTCAACACCCCAGAATAGTGTTTGGTTTTGGCTTGTGAAGAAGCAACTTCACAATCCTTCCTCTTTCCTCCGTTCTTCAGCCATTCTCTTCTAGATCTCGTGTGCTCCGTTGAAAATCCCCATAGTTGGTTGGTTACACACAAAGCACTTCTTGTTCTTCGTGTGATGCTGTATCATTACATAAACAGAATTCTTAGTTTCACAAACCAAAAACGGAATCATAACTGTGACTTATATTAATTCATCATCATACCTTTAAAGCATAATGCTCACAGAAGTAATGCTTCATTTGGTGATAAGTGGATTGATGAAAATCTCTCTCCATATGTGTACATACACACATCTTGCAAAAACATTATAAAACTCGAAAACGTAACATTTTTTGTATGTATGTTAGTCCACTTATCTTGACAAGAAAATTAAAAAAAAACTCAAATATTTAACATTTTTTTGTGTGTGCTAGTACACACATCTTGGCAAGAAAATTAAAAACTCGAAATTTTAACATTTTTTGTGTGTGTGATAGTACACATATATTCACAAGAAAAAAAAAAACTCAATAATTTAACATTGTCTTGTGTGTGTTAGTACACACATATTGGCAAAAAAATTAAAAAACTCGAAAATTTAACATTATTTTTGTGTGTGATAGTACACATATATTCTCAAAAAAATTTTTAAAAAAACTCAAAAATTTTATATTTTCTTATGTGTGTGTTAATACACACATCTTAACAAGAAAACTAAAAAACATAAAAAATTACCATTTTCTGTGTGTGTGTGTGTGTATGTGTGTTAATACACATATCTTGACAAGAAATTAAAAAACAGACTCAAAAATATAAGATTTTCTTGTGTGTGTGTGTGTGTGTTAATACACACATCACAGCAAGAAAAATTAAAAACAAGCAAATTTTATATTTTTTTGTTTGTGAATACACATATATTGACAAAAAAATTAAATACTCGAAAATTTAACATTTTCTTATGTGTTTGTTAATACACACATCTTGACAAGAAAATAAAAAAAATTAGTCCTGCAAACTTATGAAGGAAAAATTCACAGTAAAAAACACGAAAATTTAACGTTTCCTTGTGTGTGTGTTAATACACACATCTCGGAAAGGAAATAAAAAACTACAAAATTTAGTATTTTTTTGTATGTGTGTTAATACACATATCTTGACAAGAAGATTAAAAAAAACTCGAAAATATAATTTTTTTGTGTGTGTTAATACACACATCTTGGCAAGAAAAAATAAAAAATTAGCAAATTTAACATTTTTTGTGTGTGTTAATACACATATCTTGACAAAAAAAAATTTAAAAACTCAGAAATTGAATATTTTCTTGTGTGTGTGTTAATACAAACATCTTGACAAGAAAATTTTAAAAGAAATTAAAAGTATAACATTTTCTTGTATGTGTTAATACACACATCTTGGCAAGAAAAATTAAAAAATTCGTAACATTTTTTTGTGTGTGTTAATACACATATCTTGACAAGAAAATTATCAATAAAACTCGAAAATTTAACATTTTTTTGTGTGTGTGTTAATACACACATCTTAACAAGAAAATAAAAAAAAAACTCAAAAATTTAACTTTTTCTTTTGTGTGTGTTAATATACATTTCTTAACAAGTAAATTAAAAAAAAAAACTTAAAAATTTAACATTTTCTAACACACATCTTGACAAAAAAATAAAAAAATTAGTCCTGCAAAATTAAGAAGGAAAAATTCACAGAAAGAAACTCGAAAATTTAACATTTTCTTGTGTGTATTAACATAAACACATCTTGGCAAGAAAATAAAAAAAACTTCAAATTTTAATATTTTTGTGTGTGTGTGTGTGTGTGTGTGTGTGTGTGTGTGTGTGTGTTAATACACATATCTTGAGAAGAAGATTAAAAAAAACCTCAAAAATATAACATTTTCTTGTGTGTGTGTGTGTGTGTGTGTTAATACACACATCTAGACAAGAAAATAAAAAACTTCAAAATTTAATATTTTTTTGGTGTGTGTTAATACACATATCTTGACAAGAAGATGAAAAAAACTTCGAAAATATAACATTTTCTTGTGTGTGTGTTAATACACACATTTTGGCAAGAAAATTTTAAAATTTGCAAATTTAACATTTCTTGTGTGTGTTAATACACACATCTTGGCAAGAAAATAAAAAAACTTGAAAACTTAACATTTTTGTTTGTGTATGTTAATACACGTATCTTGACTAGAAAAATAAAATAAAAACTCAAAAATTTAACATTTTCTTGTGTGTGTGTTATTACACACAACTTGGCAAACAAAAAATTAAAAAACTAAAAAATTAACATTTTTTTTGTGTGTTAGTACACATATTTTGACAAGAAAATTAAAAAAAAACTCGAAATTTATCATTTTCTTACGTGTGAGTTAATACACACATCTTGGCAAGAAAATTTTTAAAAAATATAAATTTAATATTTTTTATTGTGTGTGTTAATATACATATCATGACAAGAAAATTTAAAAAAATTGTGAATACACATTTCTTCACAAGAAAATAAAAGAATTTTCCTCCAAACTGGAGGGGGAAATTCCCTTAAAGAACCTCGAAAATTTAATCGTTTTGTGTGTGTGTATTAATACACATATCTTGATAAGAAAGTTTTTAAAAAAAAACTCAAAAATTTAACATTTCCTTGTGTGTGTGTTATTATACATATCTTGACAAGAAAATTATAAAAAAAAACTCGAAAAATTAATATTTTCTTGTGTGTGTTAATTCACACATCTTGGCAAGAAAATTAAAAAATTCAATAATTTAACATTTTCTTGTGTGTGTGTGTCTGTGTGTGTGTTAATACACACATCTTGATAAAAAAAAATTAAAAAACTCATAAATTTAACATTTTCTTCTGTTTGTGTTAATACACATATTTTGACAAGAAAATAAAAAAACTTCAAAATTTAATATTTTTGATGTGTGTGTTAATACATATATCTTGTCAAAGAGATTAAAAAAACCCTCAAAAATATAACATTTCCTTGTGTGTGTTAATACTCACATCTTGGCAAGAGAATTGAAAAATTCGTAAATTTAACTTATTCTGTGTTTGTGTTATAAAAAATGAAAGATGAGTCAATTAAATGTTAGTTGAACCATTAAAAGAACCTTCTGGACTACCCTCCACTCTGGTGACTGTTCTGAAGGCGCAGGTGGATCGATTGGTCTGAGACCGGTTACTCTCCTTTCCGCAGCGGGATGGCTCCACTTCTCTCCTAAAACTCTATTTTAGTTGTAACTCTCATCTGATTTAATAGTCTTGCTTTGTATTTGTTCCTTTTTTGGGTAAGTAGATTTCAGTAAGTTCTTTCCTTGTAAGTTCACTTTCTTTTTGTAACAATTACTTTGATATAAATCTAAACATTAAAACCATTACAAAACTAGTAAGCGTCTTCTCACAATTATTTGCAATGCTCAAACACAAATGAATGTCCACAGTCGCAGGTGGTCCCATATATTTAAGTAGTTTGTCTTCTTTGAAAAGATGACAGAAAGTGTTGGCCATATATAATTGAAAGTTACTGCTCCTTTCAATTATGAGATGGAGACGAGATTGATACACAGAGACACGTATGGTCCCAACGGAGTGTGTGGGGGTAGATTTTTAGTTGAAGTGGGCACAACACCAAAAAAACGTGTGCGCTTTCCTTTTCACTTCTCTACAAAACAACAAAATAGAGTTACGTAATAACCTCGGCTTCCTTTTGATTACAAGCTCATAATATAACAAGAAAATGAGATATCTATATTCGTTATACTGATTAGATTATGTGCGTATATATATGATCATGCTTTCAGATCAACCACACTCCACACAATAAGCGGTTACTTGGTATTGTATCTGTGAAACTCATGTGCGTATTCGTGGTTTTAGCTAGTCTGTAACCAATCATACTCTTTTTTGCTACAAATGCAAATATCATTGATAATAATGAACAATTAGACTTTACAATAAGCAAAACTAAAGTTTGTACTATCTTGGCAAAAAAGAAATAAAAAACAAAGAAACACTACTGTTGGGTAAGAGACATCAACGTGGTCATTTAAACCAACTTCATACTGCGCACCCATACATTCATTTATCTTGGATTCCCAATTTTTCTTGAACGTTATGGGAGATGGTTACTTCTGATCTCCATTTTGGAAGTAGCAAATTATGTTTTCTCACTAGATATATGCGTCAACGCCCAATTATTAGTAGATCTAGCTAGAAATATTTTATTACTATATATATAAATCATAAACTTAGATACAATACTATATATTTTAAATAGTTTTATGTAGATTATCCCTACTATTCTAATAATAAATCTAATAGATTTTGCTAGTATCGTCACCACACGATTTCAAATCCGATGAATATATATAACTTTTCACATAGATATGAATAGTTTTATTTCATCATTTTATACCCATCATTGTGTATGAAACATTTTTATTAACTTTTTCAAAATTATTATGTTTGAATCTAAATATAAATTTTACTGAGCATATTGATTAGTTGTTGTGCTTATTTTGAAAAGAAAAAAAACTTTAAACAAGTTTAGACAATAAATGCAGAACCTTAAAAAAAAAAAAATCAAAACAAAAGCTTAAACTAAAAGATGCGTCAAACATGAGGGAACAATAAAACTACTCCATGTGTATAGGAAGGGAAGAAAAACAAAAACTAACATGTAATAAAGTTAGAGATCAAATGGAAAATGGCCAAACGAGAACGGAAAGAAACGGAAGAGAACCATTTGATGGTGTTTCAATGGATGATTCGTCCTGTGCGTCACATGAGTGTATACTGTATAGTTTAAAGTCGGAGCGTTGAGTAGAAACGCTATTGTATTGTCCACCTAAAGACATGATCAGAAGTTGAGTACCCACCATTTTTATGAATGATATATTTTAACCATAACCCCAAAAAAAACTTCAAATGCCACTACTGATATTAATGTACTACATTACACTATTCTCTGGATATGATTACATGTTGTGTATAGCTCGATTCAAACCATATACTCTGGTGTCTATCTCATCCAACAGAGCAAAGAGTATAAAACAAAATAATTTGTTAGTGAATTTTTGTGGATTTTAATTGCATAACTTAGCGAGAAAACTAACGGTTTTAAAGTCTAAAGTAATTAGTGGAATAACAACTTAAAAGTTAAAACATTAACAATAAAGTGACAAACAAACCGGTGGATTAAGTAGACGAGTTTATAGAAAGGACAAAACAATAATAATGGTTCGATATTTTCTAATTTTTAGAAAGTACACAAAAATAGATCGTACTGTATTTAGACTTGTATAAATAGATGAAGCGGGGATGCAGAGGATGGTAAGCAAATAAGAGCAAAGAGATAAAAAAAAAAAAATGTTTTGTAGAGAGTCGTCGTCGAGCCTCCAGACCTTGAACATAGCAAAGAGTCTCAGCTCTCTGTTCCCTAAACCGTCAGCACTCATCAACCCCATTTCGACAGGACGTAGAGACAAGCTTTGTCGTCGTCAAAACCTTGGAGGACGTTGTAAGGTCACGGCCTCGCAAGGTAACATTGAGCAGAAAGGTAAAATAGTGAAACAAAAAGTTAAGAAACTCAAAGTAAAGGGATACATAACTGCTCAAGAAGGGTTGCTGGAGGGCCTAGGTTGGTCGAGACCTCTGGATGACATTACTGATATCCGCGGCAGATCACTGCTCGTCGAGCTTATTAGCACCGAGACTGAGACCGGTAAGTACATGATTTATTACAGTTGGAGTATATATACAGTATATATTTAATGATTTGTGATGAGAAGTAAAGAGTAGGTAATTTTTATCCAAAAAAAAAAGAAAAAAGAAGTAAAGACTAAACGGTTAATGCAATCATGGCTCAATTAAGAGTGATAATTAATAATTATAACCCCAAGTACACATATGTCAGGGACGCTGATGGGGATGGATCCGGTAGAAGACTACGCACAACGCGTATGGTCCGAAGCCCATGATGAGAAGTATGAGTGTGTGTTTGACATGCCCGAAGACTTTGGAACCGTGGGGGCCATCCGGGTTCAAAACCAGCACCATAGAGAGATGTTCCTCAAGGAGATGGAGCTTGAATTACCCAGCGGCTCCGTTACGTTTGTATGTAACTCATGGGTGGCCCCAAAGTCCATTGACCCAGCCAAGCGGATATTCTTCTCAAACAAGTCCTACTTGCCTTCTACAACCCCGGAGCCTCTTAAAAAGCTGCGGAAGGAGGAACTGGAGACCTTGCAAGGCAACAACCGCAAAAGAGTTGGTGAATTTGCCAAGTACGAGCGTGTTTATGACTACGACGTGTACAACGATGTGGGTGACCCTGACAAAGATGAGGAGCTTGCCCGTCCTGTTATTGGAGGCCTCTCTCATCCGTACCCACGGCGGTGCAAGACAGGTAGGAAACCCAGCGACAAAGACCCCTCCACAGAGAAACGGCACGGGGAGTTCTATGTCCCTAGAGACGAGGAGTTCTCTACAGTCAAAGGCACTTCATTCACGGGCAAGGCCATCCTAGCAGCTCTTCCCTCCGTGTTCCCACAGATCGAGTCAGCTCTGCTGGATCCCAACTTGCCATTCCCACACTTCAAGTCCATAGAAGATCTCTTTGAAGTAGGCATCGAGCTTCCCAAGGATGCTGGCCTTTTACCTCTGATCCCCAGACTTATCAAAGCTGCTTCTGAAGCACAAGATGACCTCCTCCAGTTTCACCCCCCTATTCTTCTTAATAGTAAAAACCTCCCTAGCTATTTTAATCCTCATATTATATATAGGGTATATTATTCCATTTCTATACTACCTACAATCATAATCTCACTTTTCTATGATATTCAGAGGATAGATTTTCATGGATCCGAGACGACGAGTTCGCTCGCCAGACACTTGCTGGCCTAAATCCCTATTGCATTCAGCTAATTGAGGTAATTAAGCTATATATATATAAATATATACCTCTTGTTCTAAAAAAGTAAGATCCATGTGTATGTGTATATATATATATAGTTGAGATTTTTTTTGTGGGGTTTTTAAAGTTTTCCGAACACCGAGTTAGGATGTCAATATAAAGTGCTCGCATTCGTATTCTAGGAGTGGCCATTGAAAAGCAAACTAGACCCAGCAGTTTACGGTGATCCCAACTCACTCATTACTTGGGAGATTGTGAGTAAAGAAATCAGAGGAGTCATGTCAGTTGATGAGGTAAGATTAATATGGACAGGTTTTAAAAAGAAAACATACTGTATATGCATATATTACGGATGGAGAATTTTCTTAATAATAAACGAATATCATATTGATGTATGCAGGCTCTAAAGAATAAGAGATTGTTCATGTTGGATTATCACGATTTGCTTCTACCGTATGTGAACAAAGTCAGAGAGTTGGATGGTACCACCTTATATGCTTCTCGAACAATATTCTTCCTCAGCGATGATAGCACATTGAGGCCCGTTGCCATTGAGTTGACTCGTCCCCAAGATGTCAACAAGCCCCAATGGAAGCAGGTCTTCTCGCCAGGCTATGATGCTACCTCCTGCTGGCTATGGAATCTTGCTAAGACTCACGTTGTTGCTCATGATGCCGGTTATCACCAGCTTATTTCCCACTGGTATTGTTGAACAAAATAGACCCTCTCACATTTGAGGACAATATTAAGCATAGACATGTGCTAACCAGTATAGAGATGTCGAAATTTTCAGGCTGAGGACGCACTGCTGTATGGAGCCATACATAATAGCGGCAAACAGGCAACTAAGTGCTATGCATCCCATCTATAGGCTTTTGCATCCCCACTTCCGCTACACCATGGAGATCAACGCTCGTGCACGCCAAAGTCTCATCAACGCAGGTGGAATCATTGAGACTTGTTTCTGGCCCGGAAGGTATTCAGTAGAGCTAAGTTCAGACGTCTATGGTAAACTTTGGAGGTTCGACAGGGAAGGCTTACCTGCAGACCTCATCAGCAGGTAATCCATATATAGTGTTTTGATTGTCGACTCTGTAGTATATTGTATAGTTACATAAATAATTAAGCAAACAAAAGTTATAAACGTTATCATCAGGGGGCTGGCCGTGGAAGATGAGACCGCGGAACATGGGGTACGGCTGACGATACCGGACTACCCATTTGCGAATGATGGTCTAATGCTGTGGGATGCACTTAAGGAATGGATAACAGACTATGTGAAGCACTATTATCCAGATGCAGGACTGATCATGTTGGATGAGGAACTCCAAGGATGGTGGGATGAAGTGAGGAACATAGGGCATGGAGACAAGAAAGACGAACCATGGTGGCCTGTGCTGAAAACACAAGATGACTTGATCGGCGTGGCGACAACGATAGCGTGGGTGGCCTCTGGTCACCATGCAGCTGTAAACTTTGGACAGTACGGGTATGGAGGATACTTTCCCAACAGACCAACCACAACAAGGATAAAAATGCCTGTGGAAGACCCGTCAGAGGAAGAGCTGAGAGAGTTCTATGAGACGCCAGAGAAGGTGTTGCTTAATACGTTCCCGTCGCAGAGGCAGGCGACGCAAGTGATGGTGACTCTGGATCTTCTATCGACCCATTCGCCAGACGAAGAGTACCTGGGAGAGATCCCAGAAGCATCTTGGGCCCACGAGCCTGTAATCAATGCAGCATATGAACGGTTCAAAGGCAGGCTCCAATATCTAGAAGGAGTGATAGATGAGAGGAACGTGAACGCTTCTCTAAAGAATAGAGCAGGAGCTGGTGTTGTCAAGTACGAGCTTTTGAAGCCCACCTCTGAGCCCGGTGTTACCGGAATGGGTGTTCCCTATAGTGTTTCTATCTAATGCATCTTGTCTCTCCTGAGTAACTCTTTCCTTCTTAATAAGACTAAAATGTTAGAATGATCCATTGCTTTTTTCCTGATGATCAGTCTCCCTCCTTCTCCTTCTGTAGCTCATATATGAAAGAATACCAAATCCAATCAAGGCTTGAGAAATTTGACAGTTGCATTTAGAGAACTGTTGTTTACTGGTTAAGAGGACTGAGAATAAGAAATACAGGCAAAGAGGGAAGAATTAACAACATCCATTGCGATAATAACCACAGCAAGACTGAAAACTGAAATTGGAGGAGAAAATATTTTTTAAAAAAACTTGGTGGGTCTGTTAGAGAGTTAATGGGCCTACAGGAAGACAGTTTGGCCCAAATGATGATGATGCTATCTTATTATCGAATGCAATCTGCGGAGGAGAAGGCAGGCGAGGGAATGGAGAGTTGCGGCCGGAGCAGTCTGAGCTTCATCATAGCTTCAAGGCCGTTTCATCTCCACCGGTCAAGCGACCGTCTTTTTCCCTCTCTTAGCTTAATTCATCACAGTCTCAAGCGCAGGCTCTCTCTCTCCATCACCTCATTTTCCTCCCATCCTCTCTCAGACAAGGGAAGCCCCCTGCCGCGTGGGGCGGGAGAAGGAGTCAAGGAAGATGCGAGGAGTAAGCTGCTTCAAGTAGTCTTGGTCTCTCCCCAGGTTTGCACTCCGAATCCTTCCCCAGGTTCCATCAAACATTACTGCGTTGGAATGGATCTATCGGTTTTGCCTTTTATATATGTGTCTTATAGACAAAGTTCAACCTCTTTTTTCTGATGAGGAACCCTCTAAACTTGCACTCTCCTTGACAGATTCCTGGGAACACAGGTTGCATTGCAAGAACATGTGCGGCTTCAGCTGTTGGGCTACATTTAGTCGGGGTACTATTCACTATCCCCTTTGGATCAACCACACTCTTGACTTATTCATTATCTCCAGTGTTCAAAAAATCCCCTAATGTTATTTAGTCTTCATCTGATCCTGCTTCAGCCATTGGGTTTTCAAGTGGATGACACCAGGGTAAAACGAGCTGGTTTGGATTATTGGCCGTATCCCCCACCTAATTCGTTTCGTCTATACATAGGAATTTATGTTGTTTGGTTCCTTTTTCAACTGTCCCTCTCCCTTGCATGCGCATCTCATCTACTATTTAAGGTTATAGGTTGTGAGGTTCATGCCCTTTCGTCAGCTCTCTTCTTCTTCTTAACTTAAAGCGTAGCTATGTGGTTGTCAAAGCGCATGGCTCATGGGCTGAGTTTCAAGAATATTTCAGGCAACAGGTTTACCACCTCTCCAATATCATTCTCAATAGCTCAATTCCCTGGATATGGTGTCCGACTTGACATGTACGTCTGCGTTTGTCTTAGGAGGGAGAAAAACGGATGATAGCTTTCACAAAAAGGGGAACAAAGATACATTCAGTAAGTCCAATGCTTGTCCCTGGACCTCTCTTTTTCATTCATCTGCCTTTGTTTACCTACCAGAGACAGCAGCAACCATCTGAAGAACATGGTTACAAAGCTGAGATGATATATTCCTAAAATGACAGCATTAAGAGAATGCTTTGTCCTTAACTGTCGCAACTTGATGCAGGAATTCTCTTACCGAAGAGGCGATTACCTCCTGTTCGGGTCAGAGACAAGCGGTCTACCTCCTGAAGCGCTGTCAGACTGCAAAAACGAATCATATGGAGGAGGGACCATACGTATTCCGATGGTGGAAACATATGTGAGATGCCTGAATCTGTCGGTGAGTGTAGGGATTGCTTTGTATGAAGCGTCCAGACAACTTAACTATGAGCAAATTGAGTGTGCACCTGAAGGCGGTGTGAATGGCGAAGAACCTTTGTTCGCAGAGGATATTTTTGCGTGATTCATTGGAACGGTTGCAGGATATGGGGACGCTGAGGCATAGCCCATAGTCGTAGCCATAGGTGGTTGGAAAAGCATTGATATGCAGGCACTGTCACCAATCTTTTAGCTGCTTCATCTTTTTATTTGGACAAATTTCAAAATGTGGGAAATGACAGTTTTCAGTCTCGAGTTATAGGATTAGAACATATCAATTTGAGAATCTGGATATTAAGACTTATTCTTTGGTTGCATAAATATTGATCATGGGCCCTGATTTAAAGTGAGTTTGTAATGGAGTACTTGTTAGAAATATATAAAATGAGCAAGTCAGAAAAAGCATTGGGTCAAAAATAAAAACTTCCGAACTCGAATCAATCACTGAGAACCCACAAAAAGAAAGAGTTGTTCATCATAACATCTTTGATTTCTCTCTTATTGTGTGGGTCTTTCTTCATATGTGCATATCCTCAAGGAAGTCAGACAGCCTATAAAGACAGAATAGCCCTCTCGAGATAAGTTGAAAAGTGATTGGAAGAAGAAACTTGAGCGGTGGTACAAGTTGAAAGCACCAATACCTTATATCTTTTGCAATCACAGTCTGCCCATCTTCTGCATCCAAATGCCGCAAAACCACTTCCTCCAAACGACCATCATGATACGCATGCTGCAATCACACCCACAATCTTCTTTGAGTGCATCCATATGACCACATATCAACACCATCAAACATACATTCCAAGGGAAAACACCTAAACAACAAAGACTACTACGATTTTTCAATACCATATTAATGATGTATGACCTAACACTGTCTCTCACTTTAACAATAACTTTAATATGGGTAGCTAATATCCTCATTGGACGAGTCCTCGGATTCTATATCCAAGTGCATCAATAACATTGACATATCCGTTGTAGTCAGTTCGTCATCGTCCGTATCTTCAAATCCAATAGGGCCATATTCGCCTTCTGTGATTATGTTCCCGATCATATTAACAAGTGTATCCATGTCTGAGAAGTTAGATCGAGAGGGACGTGGACGCCTTGGAGGTGGTGGCCTGTGGTATTTCCATGCATATGACCCTGGCTTCACAGTGTGCTGGAACACAACAACATCCAATAAGGACTTCGTGGAAAATTCTGTAAACCTAGCCTTCTGAAATCCCTATGTAAACTAATTGCGGACTCTTGGATTAGTATAAAGCTTCAAGGCTACGGTTATTAGCAAAGGCTCCTAGATTTTTAAGATTGGAACATCTGGCAATAAGAAATATAGATAAGCAAAGCTCCGATATATAGAATACAAAAGGATTTGTAACAACAATGTTGTATCTTCCTGAGTTTTCAAGAGTGGTGATTCAAAATTGCTTTCATACAGATACCAGGAGATGACCGTGAATGAAGTCAAGGCAGTAAATACAAATTATGAAACCTCTATCAGTAAGAAAACTGCATAAGCATATAAAATTATGTCATCTTGAGCAAATTATAGTTTCAACCCTGAATGCATAGATTTACCTTGTAGAAGCAACTTGTCCCGAACGGACAACTCCCATCTCCGAAATTGAAGTGCTTACAATCGATTGACCTGGTAGACAGAGAGCAGTTATTGTATTCATATAAACGAAGAAACATTCATAAGCATACATATATTTTTTTTAGTTTGCAGCCAATCAAGCATGATGATGAACAGTAATAAAACCACCAGAAAGGAAAACCCTGTCCTCTGTGGGTTAACATAGGCAATGTTCAAAGAGCATGTAATATTACCTGAGCTTCTCCCTGTAGTTGTCCATAATTTCCTTTTTCTCTTCCGGGGCTGAAAACCAGATGACACTAGGAACAACAAAATAGGATAACTTGCGGCATATGGGGCAAGCCCTCAGTGTGCTATTGACATCCATTCCAGTGGATGGAGAACTGCTACGCCAATTCCTGATACACGCTATGCAGAAAGCATGATCGCATTCAGTGAGTAGCCCAAACTTGCGTTCAGACGGAGTTGGCTTAGACAAGACACGTTCCAAACAGACACAACACTCGATCTCCTGGCTAAGCTTTAATGCTTCAAGCTGCTTCTGCTTTTTTTCACAAGCTTTCTTGTGCTCCTCTCTCTCCTCTGGTCTGAAAGGATGCAAGCAACGTTTCCCACAAGTTGGGCAGATATTGCCATGGATGTGAGGGCAGTCATCACCACGTGGGCAATCACCAGCCGCAGCATAGGAGCAAATGGGTTGTTCTTCCGGTTTGGCTGAACCAGGGTTAAAGGCGCTGACCTCGTCCAAGGGATCCTGGTGAAGGGAATCCGAAACCCACGCTGGTTTTAAACATGATGAGGGAACTGGGCTCAAACCGGGAACAAGGTTGGAGGCAGAAGCAGGAGATGGCCGAGGCACACCCGAGGAAGATGAAGCGGAAGGGTGAGGCCGAGAAGCTTTGACATGTTCATACCTGCATCGGCTTCCATAAGAGCAGATTCCTCGCTGGTAGTAGGTGCAAATCTGTGATAGGATAAGACAAGATTTAGAGTGGAAACGAACCTCCAAGCTTACATTGATTCCATAGGCAGGAAGGAGCTTACATTATTTGTAGGATCCTTCCAGTCATGCGAGAATTCACAGTTTTCCCCTTTTAAGCATGCACCGTGAGCAAAGAATTTACAAAGGATTCTAAGAACAGACGAAAAGAAAAACAGAGTGAGCATCAATAAACCATTTAGAGAGATGCAGACATTCACGGACACTTGGATTAACGAAAAACACGCACAAGGATCTCTCCCAGAAGAAAATATTCCAAAATCGTTGTTCGTAATGGCCGAAAACAACAGATGAAATAGGCAAAAGCACGTACCTATTCGACATCGGGCGATCGAGAGGCTCGGGAATCTCCTGGCAAGTAAAAGATGAATATGTCTTAGGGTTTCAGATTCCGTCGCACCAGCTTAATTAGGAATCCGGAGGGGAGTGGGGGTGTTACATGCAAGTATGATAAAGTTTAGGGGCTTATCCGGATATATGTGATGAGGTTCTGCTTCAAAGCAAAGCCGCTGGGAGAAGCAGAGGGTTCCCATTGAATAAGAGGGGAGAAATGGGTAACGTTATCCATCCAAAATCTAAAAATAATAAAAAGAGAATATTATGATGGCCACTAAAATCTTCTCTGCATCTCCCGTCATCTCCGCCTCCGCCACCAAAACGCCGCTCCTCCCCAAGGCTGTAGCATCGCGTCTAGGCACCTCCCTGACCGCTGCAGTCGCCGCGACTGCCGTTCTGACAATGGCTCCGGCGCTGCCGGCGGCGGGCGAGGGGAACCAAACGTACAAAATATACTATGGGACGGCAGCGAGCGCGGCGAACTACGGGGGATACGGAGGGAACTCGGACAGGAAGACATCGGCGGAGTACGTGTACGATGTGCCAGAAGGGTGGAAGGAGAGGCTGGTGTCGAAGGTGGAGAAGGGCACAAACGGAACAGACAGCGAATTCTACAACCCGAAGAAGAGGACGGAGAAGGAGTACCTGACATTCCTGTCGGGGTTCAGACAGCTGGCGCCGAGGGATGTGATTCTTAACAACCTTGCCCTGTCGGACGTGGAACTGCAGGATCTGATAGCAGGCGCCGACAAAGTGGTGTCGGATGAGAAGAAGGACCAAGAGACAGGGCAGGTGTACTATCTGTACGAGATCGATGGAGTCGGGAAGCACAGTCTGATCACAGTCACTTGCTCTAAGAACAAGCTCTACGCCCATTTCGTCAACGCCCCTGCTCCCGAGTGGAACCGCGACCACGATACATTAACCCACCTTCGCGACTCCTTCAAGACCGTCTCTTCTTCTTCTTCTTCTTAATTATTCCGTGGACATTGCGTATGTATCAATATATCATCATTCTTTGTTCGATTTGTGTCATGGGGTGAATGTGAAGACGTTGGAGTTTGTGATCCTTCTAATCGTCAGTTAATACATGATTAATAGCTAGATATAACAATTGAGGTAGATGATACGCATATCTGTTCTCTAACTCTAAACCAAGCACATGCCTTGAATACAGAGAAACAAAAATGTGGTATTATTTATTTATATATATATATTTTTGTTTGTCTGCAACTTTGCCGGCATCCACACGTTAAAAGTGTCTTCCTTTATGTTATTACTATTCATTGGAGTTTCAATTTCCCTAACCTACATAGGACAACAGACTAGACAAGACAGAGTCCAGCAAGGACATCGTTACTATTCCCACGCCCCAAGAGTTTCTCCATCCATGCTTTGTCTTCTTTTAAGTCACCTTTTGTCCAAGCACACACACTTTGTTTATAAATGTTACATCTATCTAACTCACATGAGATCAAAACGAAAAAGAAAAAAAAAAAGAATAAGAAAGGGAGAAGAATGGGAGGTTTCCTTTTGTGGGAAAACAGACAAGCAAGTAGTGGTTTGATAATCTCAAGGCCGAAAGCTGTACTTTGTTTTAATATTGATGATAAATGAATCCATTAAAAAAAATAAGAACAAATCCTCATATTCCTTTTTCCTTCATTTATTAAAGACAAAGAGAGAAGAAAAAAAAAGCAAATCTTTGTCTCTGGGTCTGAGGAGACAGGTGTAGGGTTGAGATCAAATCGGTGGGAGGTGCGTCTCCCCACACTGAACCACATATCTTTTTGCCGGCTTCTTCAACGGCTTTTTCTCTCCCCCCTTCCTTCGACGTCGTTTTGTCTCCACCTTCTTTTTCTTTTCCTCTCTCTCTCTGTCACCCTCTCTGCCCTTCCGTCTCTCGTCTACGGTGCCCTCCGCTTCACCTTTTTCGCTTTGGTCGAAATGCCCATCTCCTTCTTCGGCTTCCCCTAAATAAAACAAGTATCTTTCCCTTTCTTCTCTCACTCTTTCCAATTTCATCTTCTCTCTCTTTCTTTTGGTTGTAAATTTGTTTAGCGGTGCAGATACCTGTCTGAGATTCTCCCTTGCCGTCTCCAATTGCCACTCGCCGCTACAACCCTCTTCGAATGTATGCGTATTCCTTTACCCTTCCTCGTGTTTCAGTGCCTTTTGCGTGATGCTCTTTTTGTATGCTTAGCCTCTTTGTTTTCACACCTGTCCCCCACTGGTTTCTGGACTTGGTTTTGTTTCAAGGCTTTCTTCTATGCAAGGCCTTTTAAAAATCTAGAGATAAAAAGGTTTTTGTTCATTTTTTTCGCTGGTGTTGCGTTGCTGCTACTGCTAGGGTCATTCGTATTTTGTAAGGTATTTGAAGCTGCCCTTTCTCCCAATAACCTCAACAACACTATGTCCCACACACCCTAACCCTGTTACTCTTTTTTGTTGTTTCCTCTTGTGTTTTTCTTTTTTTTGTTTGTCTAACCTTAGCGCTTCTCTAAACACATCTCACAGTCTTACCCTCTCAATAGCAGCTGCTGAAATGAACGGAGATAGACCATTGGAAGATTCTCATTACACGGAGACAGGATTCCCTTATGCTGCAAGTGCTAGTTACCTCGATTTTTATGGTGGTGCGGCTCAGGAGCCCCTAAACTATGCTCATGCCGGAACAATGCATCCTCAGGTACTTCCATTTTCCTTGTTTACCTGATGTTTCTATGCTTTAATATGTTTTGCGTCTCATCTGTTGCTAGACGAGCTTATAGTTGTGTATACTCTCATTCTTAATTCATAGGGAGAGACACAATGCGTTGACTCTTCCTTTACATAACTTTCCTTCTTTGCCTATCCTCAGGACAATCTGTACTGGACCATGAATACAAATGCATACAAGTTTGGATTTTCAGGATCAGATAATGCTTCTTTCTATGGTTCTTATGACATGAATGATCATTTATCAAGGTTGTCAATCGGGAGAAGTAATTGGGAGTACCATCCAATGGTAAACGTTGATCAGCCCGAAATCACAGTTGCCCGGTCTGTCCAAATCGGGGACACTGATGAGCACTCCGAAGCTGAAGAATGTTGGTTATTTCTGCTGAATCTCCCTTGCCTCCCTTGCCTCATATTCATGTCGACTTCTTCTTTTCTAAGCTAAGAACATGTCTGTGTGTTTCAGGCATTGCAAATGAGCATGATCCCGAGAGTCCTCAGGTATGTACTCGTGAACTAAAAGGTTTTTGAATCTGTGTCAGCTACTTAACTCTTGCTCATCTTTGTGAAGCTAGTGGTGTATCCGTGCAGGATGTGATCTTAAACACTGATATGAATTCTATATGCTCGTTAATGCCATGTTGCCACAGGTATCCTGGCAAGATGACATTGATCCCGATACAATGACCTATGAGGTTTGTTCCAGTATCCTTGTAGGGTTTTATTTCTTATTTTCTTTTTCTTTTTTGTCAAGAGACGCAGCGGGTTCACATCTAAATGCGGGACAACATTAAAGCTGTTTGGTCTGTGGATCAGGAATTAGTAGAGCTCGGGGAAGCGGTAGGAACAGAAAGCCGGGGGCTGTCTCAGGAACTCATAGAAACGCTTCCCACTAGAAAATATAAGTTTGGGAGCATCTTCTCCAGGAAAAGAGCAGGGGAAAGGTAAAGAACTGACCTTGCAAACATTGCTGGTATCATTTCACATCACATACTGATGATGAAGATGAGCAGGTGTGTGATATGCCAGCTCAAGTACAAGATAGGGGAGAGGCAAATGAATCTGCCGTGCAAGCACGTTTATCATTCCGAATGCATTTCCAAATGGCTAAGCATCAACAAGGTAATCATTATTTGATGTTACCGCTTATGGTTTTACATCCTCAGTTCAACTGAAACTCTATGCATATGGAATGCAGGTTTGCCCAGTCTGCAACAGCGAGGTCTTTGGGGAGCTCAGCATCCATTGATTGGTACAAGGGGTTTCCTCCTCTTTATGGCTTTTATATTGAGGCTCATCAAGTAATTGTTTTAGTGTAGTGAAACTCGACAACAACAAAAAGTCTAAAAGAATGTCCACACTATACCCTCTCATGTTCAGTCCTTCTCTGTACATGTAATTTTTCTTCTTCTACTTCCACGTTCCTCTTGTCTGTGCTTTAACACTCACTCGTATTGTATACTAAATGCCAAGACAATTAAAGCTTAATTTCATATATAGTGCTGGTGCACATGTCCCAATCTTTAAGTTTATATACTCAATCCATAGAGAAAGTAAAGAAGAAAGGAGAAACGAGACATTGGTATGAATACATAATGCCACAGTCTGTGTGTATAATAGAATCATCCAGTTTCCCGGATACATCTCCGGAGTAGTGTATATGCACACGGCTTGGCTTATATAAGAGTTTGTTCCCGGAGTTGTTCCTGCCAAGAACCAAACCCACTGGAGGTTAGAGATGCATCCCTTGTAAAGAGGAGGCATATAGGTTTAGGGTTTAGTACCTCTGTAACAAACAAGGCATGGAAGCCATATGGGACTCTATGAGGCAGCTCCACCACTGCCACTGGTTCAGCCGACATTGTTTTCGCGTCTATCACATTCACACATGATTTCCTGCCCATTTTTCAATCAACATATTAGTGTACCATAAAAGTAACAAGTGATAACTGATACGGAACTTGCAGGAGAGCGATAACTACCCTGTGTTTTCATCATGAACAAAGAATATCAAGTAGCCCTCATCTTCTTCCGCTGCCTCACGCGGGACATATATAGCCTCTGAACCATATCTGCCTTCTCCCAGCTCATAGATTCCTTTGATATTGCCTCCTACTTCCAGCATAGTATTGCCTGTCTCAGCTTCCGCATGCAGATCAAACTTGATAATTCCTGTTACCTTTGCGATACTATCCAGAATTGTTCCATATACATATCTCTGTTTCCTAATCGCACCAAACAAAAAAACATTGGGCATGATGAGGTTTCCTTGGTAGGTAGGGACACAATGCAAATCAAGACCAAGGACAAGGGTGAACTCATACTTTCCAGTGAAGCACTCGTTGATTCTGGGGAAATCAACTGCAGATGCCGATAGTTTTTTCTGAGAAGCTGAGCCCGTTTTCATGTTGAATCTCATTTCGTACCTGCACAAGCAACAGCTGAGAAGGGTATCTGGTTTACGAGAGAGCAGAACAGATGTAACAGGTCAGGGATTCTCACAGTTCGTTGCTAAAATTTTCAAGTTTCTCTTTCACATTCCCGCTGACCATGTCGAGATCTGGATTCTCAAGGCGACAAGTGATGAGGACGACTTCATCCTCTTCTTCCCAAGCATTGGCTGGATATAGGGAGCCATTCTGATTGGTATATATATAGAATAATAAAATTTTGACGATCTGAACTGTTAAACAGACATAGCAAAGCACACACCGTTGTGGAATATAAAACAGTTGGGAAGCTCAAACCATCTGATCATGAGCTCATCCTTGGCATAGCGTGGAAGAACACCAAAACGAGCCTTTTTTGTGGGATCAAACGTGTATATCATTTTCTTCTCCTTCACCATTTCCTTGGAATCAATTTAGACACATGAGTGTATAGGGGAGGCAAATTCTATGATTCTCAAAGGAAATACAGAACAAGCATCCGTATCTGCTTTATAAATCATCTTCTCTTACGTCATTTCAACAAAAGTATATGGAAAGCAAGAATTTATTGTGTAACCTTTAAACTTGATAGGTAGCATACCTTTGGCCTGAAGTGCATTGGAAGATCCATGAAGATTGCATAAGTCTCAGTAATAGCAAAATCATGCATCATGATTGGCTCTGATATAGTAATTGGGACTGGGTCATGCATAATTCCATCTTCCGAGATAACTCTGTATGTGAGGTAAGGTGGCGTATGCGAATAGCCAAATGTAAACATTTCACCTACAGAGAGAGAGAGCACATGATGGGTCAACAGAAATAGTAGCATGTATATCAGGAAAAATAGAAGACTAACCCGTAGCCGGGTCAACTTTTGGGTGTGCAGTGAAGGAGTGTGTCAATCTCTTGTCATAATCTATCATGCCAAGCGTTTGCAGGTCTCCATCTTCCAAAACTTTGACGACATCTACAAACCAAAAGAGAGTGGCTTTGACTTTCCAACCTTGCTTTTCATTTATATCAAAATCTCAACATAACAGAAGAGAAGATAGACTCGGTTCAGCTTTGGAATGAGTTTGGACCAAAAGAAAACCGAAGAGGTAGTAGAGGCTTACACGGCTTATCGGCCTCCTGTAATGCTAGAAGTTTTCCATGGTGATAAACGAGCGCTGTATTAGCTGGAGAAAAACAGGGAGAGTGGGATGTTAGGATACTAAGGCTAGGAGAGAAAGTAGGAGGGATGAAGTAACCAACCAGTCCCATATCCATAAGAGTCGTCCAATACTTTCAGTTTAGTTCTCAGCTGTTGCATATTGACCATAAGCAATCCGAAAAAGCCCTTAAGGTCCCCAATCTGCAAAAAAAAAACACGACAACAAATGATTGCCCCCGCAAGCAATTGCAGAAGATGTATATACTAGCTCACCTTCATGAATTTGGCAGCTCCGAAATACTCTTCCTGCTTGAGACGTGATGTCTTCACATATCGAGAGACATAAGTTGCTTTCCCATCTTTGATGCGAACCCCATGAATCATTCTGCGAACGTTATATGAGAAATTAAGGCATGTGGGAGAGCAAAGAGAGTAGAAAAATGAAGGAGGGAGACAAATCACGTACCCATCTCCATCAAACCTGAAAAGAGCAGACATAATATACTGTAAGAAGGAAGCCACCAATACCATATGATGATCGTGCACACAAAAGAATGGAAGCAGAGAAGAGAACTTGCCAGTGATATCCAGCGACGGGATCAAACTTGGGATTTGGACCAACCCTCACAAATTCACCATTCAAGCATTCCTGGAATTTAACAAAATACGATCAGAACCCTGAACCCCCGGGAAAGAAAGGAAAGCGGAGCTCACTCACGGGGAGAAATCCATGGACGACGGGGAGATCCTTCACGGGAGGAGTCTCATCCCGGAGAGGAGCGAAGTTGCCGGAGAGGTAGTGGAGAGGGAGAGAAGCATCGTGCATAAGCTTGACAACAACTCTCTCGAGAAGATCGAGGAGCTTGGAGGAGAAACCCTTGGAGGGTTTAGGATTGACGGAGACGATCTCCGCCATGAAGAATTGATTGCAGGATTGAGAATTGAGAAGCTCCTGAGGATATCTTACTGATGATGATGATATTGGATACGAGCCTGCGTCCTTGGCGGAAAAGCTGCCACGTCGCAGCGTAACGGCCTCAGAGTGCTCGGTGATTACAATGAATTCATTTTAGTCGAGGGAGAATAGAATCGATTATTCTCAACCTTTGCAGTTACATTTGTTCTAGTAATGAATGATATGTAATGTACACACAAACTGGCATACCCTCCTCCTCCTAGAGATTAAAAAGTGTAGCATCAAAGAGTTGTTTGTGTCCGGAGCAACAACCTATACAGCTCTTGCCAACTTTAAGAGTAATAATCAAATAAATGACGAACGACAAGAAGCAAATGGGCATCATAACCGGTGAGGTACAAAAGATAAACTAAAAGACTAGACTTGGGTGTTTCTCCTCTCGCCTACACTCCCCAAAACACCATCCTCCTCAGTTACAAACGTGGTTGTTGGTTAGTTCCCAGCTGCAGGCTTGAAGTCTATCATCTCCCTTATGTTCAACTTGATGGACGGCCCCATTGAGGAGCAAACGTGGGCGCTTTTCCAGTACACTCCTTTGGCTCCCTTTGGCTTGTTTGTCTCCACCGATTTCTGCATCCATCATTTACTTTCATTTTTTTGTATTCTTAAAGAAACAGCAGAAAATACCAACTACATTCATATGGAGGAGAATCAGCCTACCACTGCTGCAAGGAAGTTTATGAGCAGGTCTTCCTCTGCAAAATTGACTTTCCCAAAGGGAATGTGAACGATCCCAGTTTTGTCTGCTCTGAATTCCACTTTCCCCTTCTTGAACTCTTCTATGGCCTGAAAGATGTATGCATCTTTAAACACATGATTACCCGAATCAGGAGGAGATGTTGCAGAGTGAGTAGGCTTACCTGAGGAATGTTAGCTGTGACGGTACCAGCCTTGGGGTTTGGCATGAGCCCCCGTGGGCCAAGAATCTTTCCCAGGCCAGCAACCTAACCGCAAAGTTTAAGAATGTTAGGAAAATAAAAGAACACGAGTTACAACTATCTCATGTCACATTCTTTGCCAGGAATTACGTTTTCATATGTTGTAACAGCTACAAGCTTAATGAGTGGAAAACACACACCTTGACCATCATATCCGGGGATGCAATTAACTTGTCAAACTCCATGAACCCTCCTTTGATCTGTTCGATCAAATCATCACTACCCACAATATCCGCCCCTGCATTTTTGGCTTCATCGACCTTCTCACCTGGATGTTCAACATGGAAGCCAGCGAATAAACAATATGATGCACGTTGCGAACTCAACGAAAAAAAGAGAAAAAGAAAGAAAGGAAAATATTGATCCCAGTACATTTATTCACAACAACTCCATACAATCTAAATACAAGCACTGAAGCAGTAGCATAATACTGAGCTGTCCTAGGAAAACCACTAACGAACTTAGCATTAGGGTGGGACAATTACCTTGTGCAAGAACAGCCACTTTAACAGTCTGCCCTGTTCCCTTAGGAAGGCTCACCTATACGAGAGAAAGAACAAAAGAGACAATGAGTCCAGATTCGATATCAGTGAAGCACACGCAATATATATATATATACATCTCCAGCAAAACCAAAACTGACCGTTGCCCGCAGCTGCTGATCATTGTACTTGGGATCGATGTTGAGACGGAAATGGGCTTCTACCGACTCCACAAACCTTGTGTTTGCGGTTTGCTTAAGCAAAGATATAGCAGTCTTGACGTCATACTCCTTTTTGGTTTCCCTTAGCTTTTGGATTTCCAAAAACCTCTTAGACCTTGTCTGTCAAAATTCCAAGCAAACAACTGAGACATGCCCAAGTGATTGGACCCAGTGACAAGCATATAAGAAACATCGATGTTCAGAGCTATTGAGTCCCAGCGAACTGAACATACAAATGTCAGTTTACTCGGTTCAACAATGTCAAAACTTAAGAGCAAAAGCGACCGTAAAGGAGTGATTCGGTATAGAAAGCAAAGCATACTCTATCCCTCTTCAGAAGCAAAGCGGCTTTTCCTTTCTTTGGCTTGGGCGGATCAAGCACGGCAGTGGCGGTGGCGGTGGCGGTGGCGGTGGCTTCCCCAATTTCATTCTCCTCCGTGTCGACGTCAGCATCTGCGGCGACGGCGGAGACAACTACCGGGAAAGATCGGTTGGAACCTCTGTCAATAGCAGCATAACTTCTCCCCCCAAGGAGAAGAAGCGGGGGATAGAGAGCGACGCCCAAGTTGTTGGGTCTGGGGTTGGCAAAGGGGAAAAGAGATGGAAGGGTAAGGTCCTGGGAACGAGTGGATGCGGCGTATGCTAGCATGAGAGAGGAGTGAGTGGCGCAGGCAGCCATTGTTGGAGTTCTGAGAGTTTGTGTACAAAGAGGAAGAAACGAAGAGCACTTCACTACCCTCCCTAATCCACAAAGAGGATAACAATCTCTCTCTTTCTAAGCTGTTGTTATATTCTGCGTGAGGGTGCACCACTGCTACAGTATCTAGCTTACTTACTGCTCGACACGTGTCTCATTCTGCACCATTCGATGGCGACTGCCCTTTTTTTTTATCTACCCAAATCTCTGACTTCTCCCGCCAGTCGAAGAAACCCTTTGTGCATTTCATTTTAGGTAAGCCGATCAAAATTCCTCTCCCCCAGTTCGAAAAAAAAAAAAAAAATTGCTCTCCCTTCTCTTCCAATTTGATTCATCATCTTTGTCTACTCTCATTGCGATTTCGTATGGTGGTTTTTGGGTGATTCACAGCATACTGAGCTCGTAAATCGTATCGATAAGGAGGGATGTCAAACGTTACAGTATGCGCGCGATTTAGGCCACTAAGCTCAAAAGAGATGCGAGATGACAGAGATGGTGGTGTCTGTGTTCGAGGCATCGACGCTGAAAGCTTCGTTTTCCAAGTTTGTACTCGATTCGATTCATCGTATCATTAATCTATCGAAACCCTAGCGCATTGATTCGTGCGTGTATGTCAAATTTCGTGCGTGTAGGATGACAAGGAAGATGAGTTTACATTCAGCCTGGATAGAGTTTTTTATGAGGACTCTGCCCAGGCTGCCGTTTATGAGTTTCTGGCTCTGCCAATCATGAGAGGTATGCCCAAACATGATGATTCTGCTGCTTGCTGAAATTATTAACTCTTGGGAACAATTCAATTTGAACATGTAAAGTTGGGGGATTATCATTGGTTTTGCTTCCTGTGGTTCCATGCCTCGTCTTTTACATCTCATCTCTCTAATTTATGCCTACTTTCAGACGCTGTGAATGCTATAAACGGAACAATCATCACTTATGGACAGGCTTGTTCGAATTCCTTCAACGTCTTGTTTATATATTTGCGCAGATTCAGATTTTCATTTGATCGTTTGATTTTATACTTTTGCAGACAGGGGCTGGGAAGACTTATTCCATGGAGGTCACCTATAACATCTTGATGATATATTTGTTGCTGTACCTGTAGCGCTAGGGACCTGCCTTCTACGTACATAAAAATTGTTTTCTCCTATTGATCAGGGACCAGGCATTCAGGACTGTGATGAGCACAAGAAAGGGTTACTTCCAAGAGTGGTTGATGGGATGTTTGAGCAAATCAGGTCTTCCAAAGATATTGCCAGATACACTGTTAAATTGTCTATGGTAGTGTTCTTGACACAAGTTTTCATCATATGTTAAAACTCTCTTTACCAGCTCTTCTGTATAAGTAACTCATGTGCATTTGTCTCCTGTAGGTCGAGATCTACATGGAGAAAGTCAGGTAATGTGTATGCCTATAACTCTTTATGTTATAGTCTGGGTATTACTTGGCGATAATTGAATTTATATGTCTCTAATTCTATCAGGGACCTGTTGGATTTATCAAAAGGAAACATACAAATCAAGGAGAACAAAACACAAGGAATACTGTTGTCAGGCGTTACAGAGGTAAGCATCGTAGTCTATTGTCTTCTGTCAGTGTTGACGAAATATGTTAAACGGTAGGTAAGTTTTCATCATTCGCTGCTTCAGGTGCCTGTATCAGATTCGACCGAGGCATTGCAACATCTATGTGTAAGATAGCAGCTTTCCTGACTTTCTTGATTGCCTAATACTGCCTTCTTATTTCTGATACTCATTGCCATTTCAGACTGGTTTAGCTAACCGTGCAGTTGGGGAAACCCGTATCCTCTTGACTTATTAGTACTTGTTCAGTGTTTCCGGATATAAGGAATAGTGAGATCAAGAATATGATACACGGTGTTGACCAAAATTTATAACTGATTGAGAGTCATCTTGAAGAATGTTTTCAGTCTAACAATGAACGTCAGAAATGAATATGTCCAGCAGTAGAAGCCACTGCGCTTACTTGTTCACTATCCATCAGGAATCAGTTAAAGATAAGAGGTAAAGCTTTTTCACATTTAGTCATAAAACTGTGATGCTGTAATGGTAAAGCTTATGTAAAGATTTCGGCATGTTAATAGGGCAAAAACAGGAAAACTGATTCTTGTCGACCTGGCTGGCTCAGAGAAAGCAGACAAAACTGGAGCAGAAGGTAGGGTTCTTGAAGAGGCGAAGACGATCAATAAATCGCTCTCGGCCTTGGGAAACGTGATAAACGCTCTTACAAGTGGCTCACCTAACAAAGCCAATCACATACCATATCGCGACTCCAAGCTTACTCGCATCCTACAGGATGCCCTGGTTAGTATCTGTTCTCAAGGCGATTAGATCGTATAGTTGCCCAGCTATTTCTCGATTCTACTGTGGTTTCTGATGCCATAGGGTGGGAATTCTCGAATGGCACTGGTGTGTTGTTGCTCACCAAGCACTTCGAATGCATCTGAGACGCTCTCAACCCTCAGGTTTGGAATGAGGTACGCATCTCCGTGTTACACTAGATGGTTCCATGTGTTAGGTTATTGGACGTCTTTAAGACTGTTGTTTGTTTCTAATTACAGGGCAAAGCACATAAAAGCATCACCACGTGCCAGTGAAGTAAAATCTACCAAGACACAGGAGGAACCCTCCTCCGAAACAAAAGATGAGAAGCGTGGGAGGATCCTAGAGAAGGTTAAAATTCTGTGACAGCCAATATTTGATTCTGTCTAATTATCAGAAAATGGGAATCTAGGAGAAACATATGGATTAGTGTTATTGTATACAGATGAAAGAGAGAATGAGCAAGGAAGACATCAAAATGCTAGAAGAAGTTTTCATACAGGAAGGGATCATTTTCAGCCCAGATTCCATGGAAGAAGTGGACGCAGCATACGAAGATACTGTATCAAAAACTATAATATCCTTACAGCAGACCGTTGAAGAACTCCAACTGAAAGTCAAAGAGGTAATCTAGAGTGGAGGGGACTGCAGGGATTCATTTACATAATAGTAAATCTAATAATGGGAAAGTGGGGGCGTGGTCAATGATGCAAGCTTCCCTGTTGTTTCTTGTTTGCAGTTAGAAGCAGAAAACAAGGGTATCAAGGAACAAGCGTTCGGAAATCTCGAATATGATCGGCTTGGAAAGATGTCAAGATTCATCAGCTCTTGGTATGCATCTCTCTTTACATCCGCCTAAAGATGATATACTGAATATACAATCGTAGTAATGTAGAAGATCTGGGCATGGTAAAAGACTAAAGACGTAAATAAGTTGCCCATTTGAGGTTGTGAGTGCAAAACAGATATTAACATTCAAAGTTATGCAATAGATAAAGAATGGATGGGAGGGTTATAAGAATTACAATCTCAGATAGAATAATTAGTAACGAGAGGTGTCAGGGAGAGGAGTGTCATTGAGGAAGTGAATGAAGAGCGAAAGAGAGCGTTTGGGCTGGAAACTGGGAACTTGATGGCCAGCACCTCTCACGGTGGCAAATGTCAACTTCCCTTTGTATTCCTCTGTGTATCCTCCCACCTCTCCCCCTAGGTACCACGGATGCCAAGCCGTTATGGCCGTTAGATTCATCTTCTTAAGCGAGTATTTGGTGGACGTGACCGGAATTCTCCCGTCCGTATCCCCGCTGAAGACCCAGACACGGACGCCCTGACCAATCAGCTCCTTGATGAGAGGAATCACTGTGGTGGGACTGTCGTTCCACTTCTTTATCACACTGCTGCACGGTTCCCACTCGTAAGGCAGCTTCGTAGCGTTTGCGTGCAAGGCCGCCTGGACCTCCGGCCTGTTCAGGTAGGCCTGCACGTAATGGTCACTGCACGGATCGAATTCCCTTATTGTGGTTCCTCTCTTGGGCCTGCGAGTGAGCGTGGAGTTGAGGCACAAGGGAGCGTATATGTTGTAGATGTCCAGGTAATACGTGTTCATGTCGATTTGGTCCGACACCACCGCGCACTCCTCTGTCATCACACTCGCAGACTCCGTCTTGAGATCACAGTTATTCTTGAGTTTAACCAAAGAATCCTCGGAGATGAGCGCGTGACTCTCGAAAAAGTCGTACATGCCCATCAAGTCTGTCTCGTCGTTGATCACCGCATTTCCCATCAGAATCCCCTTGAGATTGAGGAAGCTCGTCGGGTGGTGGCGAAGGATAGTATGTGCAAGCTGGGGAACATAGTGGCCGGCATAGCTCTCACCGGCGATGTACAGGTCCCTGCCTTTGAACTCTGGGAACCTCTCCAGCCACTGGACCAAAAAGATGTAGTTATCGGCCGCCGTGTTCCTGTCCCCGTGCTTATCGAGATCCGACGTTGTGTTGGTGTACGAGAACCCCACTCCCGCCGGCGATTCTAAGAAGAGCACGTTCGCAGCATTGTTCCATGCATATCGGTTTCTGAAAAGCGTTTTGCCGTCGCTGTGCACTCTAAACGGCCCAAGCTCTTGTAACGCTCCATACGCCAGTGACGAGCATCCCGGTCCTGTTTATTTCATTAGTAATTTCACCAATACAAATATACATTAAGCACACATATTTCTGTACTCGATTTTGTTCACAGAGCTAATTAACGGCTGTGCTATTAATTATCCGGTTGAACGGATAGAACTAATATTATTTTATTTTTTGTCTTAAAGTACTGTACTATATATATGGAACTAATTATTCAATTATATAGATATACGTAGTGGCTAAATAATTCAGCTGAGCAACAAAGCACGCCGAGAATTACTCAGCATGTGATATTTGAAACCCATCGAAAAAGGCAAATCATTTTTCCCAAGTTGTCTTTTTTATTTGGGGCAGGCTTGGGGCAATAGGCTCTTGTGTATGGTCCTCGCAATTATTATATTGTGAGAATCATATAACATGATTAATAAACACAGAGAAAAAGACAGTCTCGAAAGATGTTCGAGATCAAACTAACATTCTTGCTCATCTTTCTTCTCGTTTGCTATTTACCAATTACATACATAACATTTTATAAACCCAGTACTATAGTAAATGATTGTAAACCGAGATAAATTTGGGTGTGAAGATGATAGAATGGGAAGTTAGAAACGTACCACCGTTGAGCCAGAGAAGGAGGGGAGAAGAATCCTTAGAGTTAGAGGAAGCTTCGACGAAATAGTAGAAAAAGGAACGCCCCGCGGATTGGTCGACGGTGACATAGCCGCCGTACTGATCGAAATCAACGGGAGGCTGCCCGGGCAATCTCCGTATCAGATCACTCTTCCGTAACTCCTGCTGCTCGACGACACTCCCGAGCGAAGACGGTTTCAAATCCTTAACCGCCTTGAAATGGGTTGTGTCCATGGAAGACACCCCACGCTTCGACATGTAGAGGCGGCTCAGGGCGTGCACTTGGCTGCTGCATTCGATCTGGGGCGAAAGATACACTAGCAGCAACACAGATGCGACTACAGAACAAGCGTGTCCGTTCCCCATTCTCCTATCTCTGAATTCTAATGAGGAGGAAAATGTTTTGAAGAAGAAGAGTTACAGGAGACGGTTAGTTAAATGAAACGAGTGTGTGTGCGTTTTGGATCTTAAAACAAACTTTGTTATTTCGGTCAAACCTTCCAACTATACGAATGATTGTTCTTTTTCAAATACTGTTTTTTCCTTTTCTTTTGAGAAGCTCATTTCCTGTAACTAACTCTGCTTAATGTCATAAAAGGTTCCAGTTATTATTTTTTTTTCCCTGCGTACTCGGTGAACTATCCCTATATTTGAAGAAAAGAAAAAAACAAATGTTGATATCATTAAGTTATATAAATTGTATTTTATCCCCCCCAAAAAAAGTTATATAAATTGTCCAGTGGATCTCTCTTTTAAAGATTACGTAAAACAAAAAAAACAAAAAAGCATTACCATGATAGTAAATGTAGAGGTGGAATATAATAAATCTGTTTTTTTAAGAGATGAAAATGTCAACGTATCGGAGAGATCATGTTATGCCATGTGATTGTGACTCGATGCTACAATCCTAAATTCATAATGCTCACAAATCATTATTTCTTCTTTATATTTTTTTCGTAAGAAAGATACCTTTAACTGCAAACAAAAGCACCGCTTAATTAAATTACAACATTACGCATTCATCCACTTCAAGATTATGCTCTAGTAAAAAATTTTAGGTATATTTTAATCCCTTGTTATTTGCCAAGTAACAAAAACCTTTCATTTATTTGTTGTTTAATATAGTCTGAATTGGAAATTGTAAGACAATGATATGAGCAACATGGGGTTTTCTTGTACGAGTCCACTTGCCAGATCCGATGTTTCAGCCAATTCCTTTCCAATTATTTCGAATTTAGGCAATTGATCTCATAAATAAAAAATCATATTTTCGTTAAATTATTTGCAGCCATTACTATTATTGACTCAACTAAAACTTGTTTTAAACTTGTATACCCAAACTCTAAAATCGTAATCATTTTTATTTTTTTTATGAAGAGCATAACTGCATAATTGAAACGTAAACCAACTATCACATCAGCTAAAACGTCTATGAGGCTACTTTTACAAAACGATCAGAAGGCCCATTTTCAAACATGACAACAAATATCATTCCTACAAAATGATGGGCCCAAATTAGAGGGGTCTTAGGCCTGAAAGAGAAGGTGACGTGTCATGCTTACAATGGCTCTGAGAACCTTAGAGGAGTTTCCCAAAGTACCCTTACTCTTTGGATGGGAGAGTACAGATTCACCCCCTCTAAATGGTACAGATGTTTTTATTTTCATTCCAAATAATCAATCAATTTATGACGGTAACTCCTCCTTCCTCAGATCCCAATTTACATTACAACTTGACACCCTAATCCCATCCATCCTCTTCCTCCCCGATCGCCGATCCCATTGATTTCCCCTTCTCCTCTAACATGGCTTGCATCAAGGGGGTGGGCAGATCCGCCTCCGTCGCGCTGGCGCCCGACGCTCCTTACATGGCCGCCGGAACCATGGCCGGGGCCGTGGATCTCTCCTTTAGTTCTTCCGCCAATCTCGAGATCTTCAAGCTCGACTTTCAGTCTGACGATCGCGACTTGACGCTCGTTGGGGAAAGCCCCAGCTCCGAGCGCTTCAATAGACTAGCGTGGGGAAGAAATGGATCTGGATCCGAGGAATTCTCCCTCGGTCTTATTGCAGGCGGCCTCGTCGATGGAAATATAGATCTATGGAACCCGCTTTCTTTGATCGGGTGCGTTTTCTGCTATCTACTAATTTTATGAGCCTTTTTTTCTATTGTCATTTGAATTTCTTTGTTTCTGTGCGACGAAGCTAAGCTATGATGTTGAATCCAGTAAAGACGACCACTATTTTCTTTTTATTCGAATTTGGATTTTAACGCACTTTCTGAAGCCTAGTGATCGAGCGAGACGAACCATGGTCTAGTTTGCGTTTTGGTGTCGAATTTTCATCTGGACTAGTCTAACTCAAACAACTGCCACATTTTTCAGTTCACAGCCCAGTGAAAATGCACTCGTTGGACATCTCTCAGTTCACAAAGGGCCCGTGAGTTGTATTTTCTGCAAAATTCCCCTGCTAATCGCTGTTTTGTTCTAGCACTCCTCGTTTGATGTGCGCGTCCTACATTTCCTTGTCTTTCAGGTTCGTGGTCTTGAGTTTAATACTATCACCCCAAATCTACTTGCTTCCGGGGCTGATGACGGTGAAATTTGCATTTGGGATTTAGCAAAGCCCTCAGAGCCTTCTCATTTTCCACTTCTGAAGGTAACCCACCACTTCTTACAAGTCAAGGACCCTGGTTTATATATCCTTGGTACTTGCATTACTTTACTGTCGTAATTGTAATTGCCTGGTATAAACCGATTTTGTTGTATCCTGGAGCATCTCAAACTTTATGAGGGTCTTGTGCAGGGTAGTGGTTCTGCTACGCAAGGTGAAATCTCCTTTATATCGTGGAATAGAAAAGTTCAACAGATATTAGCATCTACCTCATACAATGGGACTACTGGTGAGATTTAGGGTTTTCTCTCCCTCTCTCTATCTGGTTGATTACTGATTCATTTCTGTCAGCTCTAATCCTGCTTCTGCTCATCGGAATTATCTTTTTTTTTTTTTGTTTTCCCTCAGTAATATGGGACTTGAGGAAGCAGAAGCCTATAATTAAGTAAGTATTCAGTTTTAAAGGTGATATTAGTGAGGCGCTCTATTCTTGTTATCGAAGCCCTGATCTGCCCATCATCAATCAACAGCTTTGCAGATTCTGTTCGACGCCGGTGCTCTGTTTTACAGTGGAACCCTGACATTGCTACTCAGATAATGGTTGCATCAGATGACGACACTTCACCTACTCTGAAGGTAAGGAATCATTTAATGCATTGCTTCATATAGTAAATATTTGGTTCCCTTAGTAATCTAATGTATCCACAATCAGCTCTGGGACATGAGGAATACGATGTCACCTGTGCGCGAGTTTACTGGACACCAAAGAGGTATTTTCAAATCATTGCTAAAAAAATGCTTTTTCCAGTGTTTCTATTTACCTCGGTATCATTCTTTACTATTGATAAGTGAAAATCCTTGTAGATCAGCCATCTTAGTGTTTAATCTAGTTGTTGTCCAAAAAAAAAGTGTTTAATCTAGTCATTTTGTGGTGCCATAATGTCATAGTCCTGTTGTCTTCATTCTTTCTAGTGTTAACATCTTGGTGAAATGTTGTGATGATACTTCTTATCTTACAGGTGTGATTGCAATGGAATGGTGTCCAAGTGATAGCACATATCTTCTTACCTGTGCTAAGGACAACCGAACTATTTGCTGGGACACTAATACGGCAGAGGTAGGGAGAAGGAGCTGATGAAAGATGCTGATTTACTAGTTTTCATCCGCTACTAAGTTAGCTAATCTTCATTGTGACTGAACTTGATCTATCTGTATCAGATTGTGGCCGAGTTGCCTGCTGGCAACAATTGGAATTTTGATGTTCATTGGTACCCAAAGATACCTGGAGTTATATCAGCATCTTCATTTGATGGGAAAATTGGCATCTATAACATCGAGGTATCTTGATAGTTTGCCCTTCAGTATTTGTTAATTGTTCTTTGCTAGATGAAAATCAATAAGGTATAGTTAATATAAAAAAACAATGTGAATCCAGCCTTATCGACTGTTTTTTCTTCCCGTAATTAATTTAGATTTCGGTTTCCCAGTTTGTTGCTCTACTGGAGATCAATTGTTTAAGGGTTTAATCTTATGCACTTTCCATTTGAGAATTACCTTACTGGCAAGACTTGTTGGAAGCGTTAAGTATCCCTTTTCCCCACCAAGAATATATTAAAAAATATGTATTCAACGCTTTTGGTGCAGGGTTGCAGTCGCTATAGTGCTGAAGAGAATACTTTTGCTACTGGTAATGTCATTTGCTCATTCTGAACAATTTGTGTACCGTTCATTGCTTGCTTTTTTCATTTCTATGTTGAAGGATGAAATAGCACAACATCATCAGTTCTTATAATCCTATTCATGCAGCTCCTTTAAAAGCACCAAAATGGTACAAGCGTCCGGTTGGTGCATCTTTTGGATTTGGGGGAAAGCTTGTATCTTTTCACGCAAAGGCCCCTCCAAAGGGAGCATCGATCATTCCCTCTGAGGTAGGTATTTAGGGATGATACTGTCTTCTGTTATGCCCCTTTCTTCGTCAATTCTTATCTGACTATTTGTTATGTTCAGGTTTTCTTGCACAGCCTGGTAACAGAACAGAGTTTGGTGAGTCGAACTTCTGAATTTGAAGCCGCTATAGAAAATGGAGATAAGACTTCTCTAAGGGGTTTGTGTGAGAAGAAATCTGAAGAGACTGAGTATGCCATCCTTGTGATTGAAAATGTTCATAGTCGCCCTTAGCAAACTCACCAGACAACTCAATTTTTCTATGTTTCAATTCACTGATTTTACAGATCCGAAGAGGAGAAGGAGACATGGGGCTTGCTGAAAATTATGTTTGAAGAGGAAGGAACTACAAGGACAAAGTTGATCAGCCATCTTGGCTTTAGTTTACCTTCTGAGGAGAAGGAGCAGGCAGTAAATGGGCTCTCATCAGATCTGAATGGCATTGGATTAGAGGATACTGCGGCGCTTGCACCAGAGCCTGAGGAAAGTAACGAGGCAGCTGCATTTGCTATGGACAATGGAGAAGACTTCTTTAACAACTTTCCTGCTAAACCGGATACACCCGTATCTGCATCTGCCAAAGATTTTATGCCTCCTGAAACAGATTTTGCTGCCAAAGTAGATGAAACTCAAGAAACGCCAGAAGAAGAGGAAGAAAGTTCTGACCCAGTGTTTGATGATGCCATCCAGCGTGCGTTAGTTGTTGGTAATTACAAGGAAGCGGTGGATCAGTGTATATCTGCAAATAAGATGGCCGATGCTTTAGTCATTGCTCATGTTGGTGGTACAGCATTGTGGGAGAGTACTCGTGAGAGATATTGGAAGACGAGCAGTGCACCTTACATGAAGGTATCTGTATATGATCCTTTCCAACTTGATATGTAGGTAAGTGGCATCTACATCCCTGTTGGTGGTCGCAGAGCCTCTAATATACTGTATGTTTATCTGTTTCAGGTTGTTTCTGCGATGGTGAACAATGATCTCACGAGCCTTATCTATACAAGGTCACATAAGTTCTGGAAAGAAACTCTTGCTCTCCTCTGTACTGTAAGTTTCTCAAACTGTGGAAAAAGTATTAAATAAATTGATACCCCCGTTTATAATACATACCAATAATCTTAAAGGAAATGGGATTTGGCTTTTCATGTCTTACTCGATCAAAGTAGTTTCTCCACTCTTGTAACATTGTAATGTGATATGTTACTTCCGTTGACTCATAAACCAAGATGAACAACTCGTCAGTGTGACATGAAGCATTCAATTGCTGCGTTATCCTGGTCACTATAAAACTGCTGTGTAACTAATGCTTCTCTTGTATTCATTGGCAAACAGTTTGCACAAGGAGAACAATGGGCCAGCCTGTGCGATGTCCTTGCCTCAAAACTGATGGCTGCTGGTAACACTTTGGCTGCAGTTCTGTGCTACATTTGCGCAGGCAATGTTGACAGAACAGTAGAAATTTGGTCAAGGAGCCTTGCAAATGAGCGTGATGGAAGATCTTACGCTGAGCTTCTTCAAGTGTGTATCACTTTCCATGTATCGTACACAGATTTAGTTGAGCTTAAGTTGAGCTTTTCTGCTCATATTATTCTGTCCTTTCTTTTAATAGGATCTCATGGAGAAGACTCTTGTCCTTGCTTTGGCAACTGGCAACAAAAGGTTCAGCGCATCTCTATGTAAACTCTTTGAGAGTTATGCTGAAATATTGGCCAGCCAAGGGCTTCTTACGACGGCAATGAAGTACTTGAGAGTTCTCGATTCTGGTGGCTTGTCACCTGAACTTTCTATTTTACGTGATCGTATTTCTCTCTCTGCAGAACCTGGTGCGTATGCAGTAGTGTTTTAATTAATTTTTTAAGAGAGTTTCGATGATAATATTAGCTTACATTTTATGTTGCATCTGCAGAGACTAACGTTGTAGCTGCAGGCAATACTCAGGTGCAAAGCACCATGCCATATAATCAGGTCCCTTTTTTTATTATTTTTGCAACTATCTTTGAATTTGAACGTAGATCTCTCTGGAATCTACTTAGCTTTTGCGGATAACATACTTAGCCTTAATTCTTCTGTTGTTTAGGAGCCAATTCAGGCGCAACCAAACGTTCTTAGTAACCCATACGACAATCAATATCAACAACAATACACTGAATCGTATGGTGGAGGATATGCCCCTTCAGCTTCACATCCAGCCATGCAGCCAGCATCGATGTTTATGCCTCACCAAGCCTCGCAGGTTTCTGAATTTTTGACTTTGTTAATTTTCTTTTTCTTCTTCTTCATTACACCATCATGCATTAATGGTCCGTATCTGGCGGTTTTCTTATCTACAGTCTAGTTCAGGAGATTTTCCGTTTCTATTGTGTTTTCTATAGGGTGTTAGTCAAATTTTTGGGGTAGGACGACATCTGGATTATGTTGTGGTGCTCAAATGCCTAGTCTCTTCTTCTGTGTGAATATCTGAGTCATAATATCAGATGGATCGTAGGTATCTGGTTCTTTGACAAAAATATACTCCTGAAAACCCATGTCCGCAAAAAGGGATAATGTAGTCCTTTGCTTCAGTTCAGTTCTGTAGAATCTATATCCTAGAAGGTCGTGAGAAGAAGTTTGTCGTGGGAAATATTTTGATTGTTCTTGGGCGAAATTTGCTGACTATGGTGTATATATGCAGCCATCTTATCCTCCAGCTCCTGCAAGCAATGCTCAGCCATCCATGAGAACTACTTTTGTTCCTTCAACTCCTCCTGCACTGAAGAACGCAGAACAATATCAGCAGCCAAACATTGGTTCCCATTCATTCGCCGTATGTGAACATTTTGACTCTATTGTGTTTGATCTTTCCCGCAATTTTAGTTTAATTAAGCTAACAGCTAAGTCATCAGGGGCCATCTAACAATGCATACCCTGTTCCACCCGGCCCTGGTTCATATGTATCTTCTGGCCCTTCATCACAAGTTGGGCAATATCCTAATCCCAAGATGCCCCAAGTCGTTGCGCCAGGAGCTGGACCCATAGGATTCACGCCCATGGCAACTCCAGGAGTTGTTCCAAGATCTGCAGTAGGTTCAGTGCAACCAGCAAGTCCTCCAACACAGCAGGCAGCTGCGCAGGCAGCACCTACTCCTGCAGCTCCGCCAGCAACTGTTCAGACTGCAGATACTTCCAACGTCCCAGGTATTATACAGGGTGGCATTAGCACCATTTGTGTGTTTTATTTCCAACTTAAAAGTCAAGTGATCACCTGTTGTAAATTTCCGATCCAGCCCACCAGAAGCCTGTGATAGCAACGTTGACGAGGCTTTTCAACGAGACATCGGAAGCCCTGGGAGGTGCACGTGCAAATCCTGCCAAGAAGCGTGAGATAGAAGACAACTCAAGAAAATTAGGTGCTCTGTTTGTGAAACTCAATAGCGGAGACATCTCCAAGAATGCTGCCGACAAACTCGCACAGCTCTGCCAAGCTCTGGACAGCCATGACTTCAGCGCAGCCCTGCAGATACAGGTAAGTTGGTGAATTGATCTCTGGTTCCTGCCTAATTTGTTGTTTACGGAATAATAATCAGTGTTTTTGACTCGGAACAGGTACTTCTGACGACTAGCGAATGGGACGAATGCAACTTCTGGCTGGCAACACTAAAGCGGATGATCAAGGCCAGGCAAAATGTGCGGTGATTTTTTCTTTTTCTGGGTTGAGCAAATTATATAAAATCCACAGGAGAGACGTGTATCAGACTCCTTTTGCTTTCTTAATTTTTGTTTTGTTGAAAACTTTTTTTTTTTTTTTTACTTACGAACGCAGCTGCATCAAATTACCCATTTGTTTAGATAAGATAGATCAGATTGCTTGACACTCTCATCATGTTTCTGATGTTACCTTGCCGGAGACGAGTTTGTTTGTCCCTCTTCTCTTTCTACGAGTTTTTGGTAGGCTTACTTGTGTGATTTGTTGTTGTTTTATTAATGATGACGATGAAATTTGATGACATGAATGAAAAAAGTAATGAAATGTCAAGGCTAACAACGACTGAGAAGAGTTGTAACAGGGGCGTTTAGCGCTGAGTACACTTGAAAATGATTTGCCCGAGAAGCGCGCCTACGGCTTCGTACTCTGCGAAGGCCTTGTTGTCGATCTTGCACCTCTGAAATTCAGGGAAGAACAACAGGACCCCAGTGGCGAAGACGAATAGGACGGTGAAAGTCCGAGCTAGGGGCGTAGGAAATCTCCACCTTCTGTTGACGGCCTTCTTGAGGGCGATCTCAGCCATGGTGCAGAGTCCGTGTAGGAGGAAGAACGACATCATCCCCCAGGAGGGCCTGAGCCTCCCCATGTAGAAGAATATGAGCTCGTGCATTATCCCGGATACCACGAACGTTGCGAACGCTGCTGGAGCCGATGCCCACTTCCTAGGGAGCACCGAGCACCGCAGCACCGGCTCGTACACGGTCGGGCGCAGGATCTCGCTGACCACCAGGTTCCATCGTTTGCCCCAGAAATCCTGAAGCGAGGTGGCCAGGTAAGGCTCGTTGAAATGAGGCTCCAGCTCAAGGCTGGACGTGGCTCGAACCAGGGAGGCGGTGACGGCTAGGAGAAGGTCGAGGGAGAAATACATGTTGAAGCCGTAGAGCAAAAGCACGGCTTTGTCCGGGAGGAGGTGGATGTAATGGAATGATTGGATGAGGAGAAGCAGAAGGAGTGCCTTGAGTGCATAGAACAGAGGACCCTCTCTGCTGCTCTGCTGCTGCTTCGGAACATCAAGCTGCTGAACCTTGATTGGGAAGCAGGAGACGAGCAGGAAGATAGGGAGAGAGAGAGTAGAGGAGAGAGGACCCTTTCCAAATGCGAATAGAGAGATCTTGAAATTGGCGAGCCAAGAGATGAAGAAACCAGTGGTCCCGATCATATGCACAGTGGTTAGGTGGAGGGGAACCAATAAGAAAAGGAGCATCACTGGAGCCATCAGAAACAGCCTCTTTACTCCCTTGTCCACCAATCTTCCAACACCGAAGCAGTAACACAAGGACACCATCACCAAACCCCACGCCTCTGTCAACTTCTTCGCTTCATGCCTCAACACCACCACCATCTCTGCTGTAGAAGGGAGTAACAATCAGAATCTCGTTTCTTGATTGATCTCTTCTCTGTTCAAGGGCGAGATCTAGATTTGGCCATCAAATTCAATATTTGATATTTCTATTCTCCACGATTTTATTGTTGTTTATTATAAACAAGTTGACATTTGAGAACCGGCAAGTGCAACGTAAGCACTAATAAATTTCCCTGGAGTCTCTCGGGTTTCTCTTCTCCATCTGGGTTTTATCTACAATATGCACTATGCAGCAGAGCATAATTCGTTCGGTTACTTGTCAGACAGAGCCACAAACAAACTTATGTATGTCAACAACAAATTTGTGGGTTTTATAAAGCAGGCCCATATAGTGGAACATGTTGGGTCATGTAACGGATAGTTTACGGCGGGGCCCTGATCGCGTTGTTTAATGTGCCTGACTACACCTTTACTACAGTAGGGAGTATATTTGAAAGAAACCGAAGGAATTGACTGGAAGGTCGTTGACTGTTTCAAAGAAATAGGCACAAACTTTCTGATATACTTATGATTTTAAAGGTTTTGAGAACCGGAAATAACAAAAGAGTGCTTAACTTTGGTTTCTGGAAACACAAATGAGGTTTAAAAGTGGCGCGTGGTGATCAAACCCATTGGCCGCACGTGTGGAGCAGCGAATGTAAATAAAATGGAGGTGTCAGAATGTTGAAAGCAAGAGAACGTGCAACCATCTTTACGTTTCGTTTAGATTTTGGTCCCTTAAAGTGAGCATAATTTCATAATAATAATGGCATTTCATACCCACAAAGATAAGACAATGCTGAGGCTCTTTTTTTTTTTTTTTACTTTGAAGCAACACGATCCATATCGACGTCACTACAATGATTGGTGACGCTAAATTGTCAAATACTCTCATTTTAAATACATTCATTCATCATTACCAACTTATATTTTGTTAAGTAATTGTCTGTCGTGGTATATTGATAACACTAGAGTATGGTTAAAAAAACTTTATTGCAATCAGACGGACTAATGGACCCACATGCATGTATATTTTATAACTTTGCATATCCTTATTTTTATAAAAAACAAAAAAAAAGTTTTCATAATTGGGTTCAAACGGTTACATTGGAATATCATGAAACAACATGTCAAATCAAATAACAAGTCAGTAAAAAACTGATTTCCAAGTGTAAATAAATAAAAGTTTAAAAATCGGAAACAAAGATTATGTTGACTGTTCACACAAAACAATACTCTTTACCTTAAAATAAGTGTATACAGAATATGGATTATTTATTAGACATGGTGAGAGATCTAAATAAATGTGCAAAATCCCAAAGTTTGACGCTTTGACCACCACTCACTTGGGAGTTGGAGCCCAGAAGAAAAGACAGAGTCACTAGTCTTGCTTTCTCGTAACTCTTAACTTCACCTTTCTCCTTTCTAGTTGCAACCACTCAAGGTGAGAAGGCAGGTTTTGATTTTACAGGAGTTTAGAGAGGAGGAAGAAGAAAGGAGCTTAGGTATGGAGTGGAGTGAGTGATGATGGTTAGGTAGTTGAGAAAGAGAGCTTTCTTCTTTGCTAAAGTCCAAGAAAAGAAACCAAACATCCTTTTGTACACAACGCAAGAGTCAAGACAACAAAAACCTGTGTTTTTCTTTTTTTTCCTGCCAAAGATAAGAGAGAAAGGGTCTCATCTTTCATCTTTCATCTTTCAGCAATCAGCAATCAGCAATCAGCAGAGAGAGAGTGTTTCGATCAGTATGGATGTGTACGAAGCAACCGGGATCGTGCTCTCTAGAATCCAGAGCTTAGACCCAGCAAATGCCTCTAAGATCATGGGTCTTCTCCTCCTTCAGGATCACGGGGAGAAAGAGATGATAAGGTTAGCTTTCGGACCTCAGAACCTCCTTCATTCTGTCATTGCCAAGGCCAAGGCAGAGCTTGGTCTCATGGGCCCCACTCTGAATCCGCATTCCTTGCCCTTCCGTTGCGTTTCCGACGATTTGGAGTCCGACTTAGGTTTCCGATGGGGACATTGTTCCTACTTCGTAAGAGGTTTCTGCAACGACGGATGCAACTGCAAATTCCCCCACGGCGGAGTTGATGAAACTTTCCATGGGGCCTGCTCTCCGGTGATGGAAAAGTGTAACGAGCTTCTTCGGCCCAACTCTGTTCCGCCGAGACTTGCCCCTCAGTTCACCGGTGGCTCTCGCTTCCCCTTCTCCCCGGAAGGTGCCAACTTGCAGCAGAGTGAAGCCCAAAGGTTGGAGCTTTTTCTTTTGTGCTCTTTTTTTCATCAGGTATGGCATATTTAGCCTTATTACTCTACTTTGACAGAGCTGTTGCGTCGATGATGGGCGATGACTTGCACAAGTTAGCAAGATGGAGGCCAGAGAGTATTGATCTTTCGGCGATGGCATCCAGACAGATCTATCTGACTTTCCCGGCAGACAGTATCTTCAGGGAAGAAGATGTTTCCAACTACTTCAGGTAAAATCTGGTTCGGAAACCATTTATTTATATGTTCTGTGTGTTTATATACTAAGAGAGAATTGGTGTTGAGGAGTAGTACCTATGGAGCAGTTGAGGACGTGAGGATACCCAACCAGCAGAAGAGAATGTTTGGGTTCGTGACCTTCGTGTACTCAGAGACGGTGAAGAGCATTCTCGCCAAAGGGAACCCTCACTTTGTGTGTGATTCCAGGGTTCTTGTTAAACCTTACAAGGAGAAAGGCAAGGTCCCTGACAAGTACAGGTTCTTTGGCTCTCCCCCTCAGCTCTTGCTGCGATCTTATTCCTCCTGCCTTTACAAACGCTTTGATTCCTCCTTTGCAGGTCTAAGATGTCGATCGCTTCGTGTGTAGATGGGAGGGCATTTCAGGACAACATCCAAGATCTGCTGTGGAAGAGAAGATTTGAAGAACGAGTTCTCGAGCTTCCGAGCAGAAGGCTGATGAACCTGCAACTTCTTGATGTCAAGAATCATCCTAACCACCCTTTCGACCAAATACTTGTTTCTCCACGGCTAGGTTCTCTTTTGCTCTCTCATTTATGTAAATCATTCTTGTCTGGAATGCCTAATAACCCGATCGCTCTCTGCAGCAGACAACTCTCTGAGCCCTCTGCCGGGAGAGAAGGGCAGTGGAAGAGAAGGGTCTGATGAGGATACAATCAAACTTCCAGAGAGGTAACACGTTGGAATCTGATAGTCTTTTTTTTTATTGCTGTTTTTTTGGAGCTTGAAGGAGATGCGAGTATATTTACGCTTCGGGCTGTGCAGCTTGGAGGATAGGCTGCCACAGAGCCCATTTGCATCACCGACACATCATTTTATTGAGAATGATGCTGCTGAAGACATTAACTGTTGGGGCACGGCCTCGCCTACTACGGATAGTACACTCTCAGTCTCTTTCAAGTCTTTCAGCTGCCAAATGCCGCTGACTGGAATGTTACCAGGCAGCGAGGGATCGACCTGTCGCGTTGGGATCTAATGCCATTCAAGATAACTGACAAGTGGTAGGTACTGGTGTAATGAACGCGGTTAAACTTATGATTATGCAGCAAGAGATGTGAAATGCCGCATATGTCTTTACAGGTAGAGCAGAGATAACAGAGGATTTGACTGAAACATATGGGGATGAAAGAAAAGACGACGGATGGTTGTTGTACCATTTTTAAAAAGAGTCCGTGAATATTATGGAATGGACCACATGGTGACTTTTACATTATATATACTAAAAAAAAAAACAGGACAAGAAGAGTGTTATGGAATCTCTCTCTAGAGATTCACCAGAAGAAGAGTTAGTTTTTGTTCATTTGCCATTCAATCATTTTATATACATGCTAAGTTGTAAGGGAACATCTCAATAGTATAGTAGTAGCACTCGTTAATTATCTGTCTGACCGCTCAAGAGAGTATGTTGGGCCTTAAGATCAGCTCAATACTATAAGGCTTGCCATTTATAAAAGGAGTTTAGTAGAAGTTAAAGTTATAGACCAAAGAAACCAACTTTGGGTCTATTGGGCCTTGAGATCAGCACAAAAGCCCACATAACTAGAGCCCAAAACAGAAGAAAGAGGAAGAAATATCAGTAGTGCGTCTTCTTCCTCTTGTTTCTTCTCTTTTGGTTTCTTGGCTGGGGATATACACATGTATACAGTGAATTGGGAATTGGTACTACGTATGTACATAGAAACTCTAATGGAATAGGGGTCATGAGATCCATTGCGCCTTTTCAAAGATCCTCTGGCCTGGCGCTAGCATTGCCGATGGATCATATCTCGACTTTCTCCGCACAAAATCAGCCCACTTGGGACCAAAATGGGTTCTCCACTCTTGTCTTGTTGTGTAATGCGGCAGATACTGCTTCACCCCTAAACCGGCTGCTTCACCGAATTCGAGTATCCTTTGGTTCCGCTTCAAGATTTGCTCCACGCCATCTTTCCCCGTCGACCCAGGAACTGCCGATGTAAGGATCGCCACCAAGTAGAATACCTCCTCCTCTGGTGTTACTGCCGAGCTTCTGTTGTCCCACCTGACCAACAAAATTAGGTTAATCTTTCTTAATTATGAAGCAAGTCACAATCTCTCTGTCTTACTTTGACTTGTTCACTGGGTACACGATGACTGGACCGTTGCTTGTGTCGGTTAGGATGTTTCCGAAAACTCCTTTTGCAAAGTCATCGACTCTGCTTCTTGGAACTAGCAGATTCAGCCATGGGTGTGGAACTTCCCACTGCCCTTTCGATCGAAGTTTCATCTCAGAGACATGTACCCTGTCCAAGAATTCTTCATACCCTACCTCCGTTGCAAACAGTGTCGACGAGACGTAGCTCAGGTCAGATAACGATTCTTTCACTTCCTGGATGTTCAAAACAAGAGAGACATTTACAAATTACGATCAGCAATGTTTATGCTTTGTAAGTGCATATAGACTGTCTGTTCTCTCACCTGGTTCATCACGTCTTTGTCATCGTCTAGCTTAAAGTACCTGGCCACTTCCAGGCAGTAGAGGGTCCTGCCGTCAGATTTGAATTGGCTGGCTTGTAAAGGGTCTTCCGGGGTGAAGGACAACCTCCAGTTGTCGAGGAGCCCTGTCCGGTTTATTATCACAAACCCTTCGATGTAATCAAACTTGGTTCCTCCCAAAACCAGGCGCTCTTGGTCCCTGGCAAAAGCATAAAAATCCAGGTACAACACCCTCATCCATTTAACCTGCCCATTATTACAGAGCCATGTCAGTTTTGACTTGACAGGCCTTTTTCGATACATGTAGAGCATTTAAAGAACCAAGTCTCTTAGTATTTATTTACCATGGTTGGTGCTGGTTCCAATGCTATTCTCGCCCTTGTTATGATGCCAAACTGACCCAACCCACCAAGAACACCATGAAATAAGTCGCTGTTGTGCCTCTCTGAACAGTTTAAGATCTCGCCTTTTCCTGCATCCACTAGGCATGACATTAGTGAGTATATACATTTGCATTCTCTTGTTTGGTTTTCAACAATCTTTCTAGGGTTTGGTATTACTAGTCACCGTGTAGTCTACGCTTTCTCGAAACGATGTCAGCGAACTAACCTGTGACAACCTCCAGTTGATGAACATTGCTGATTTGTGGTCCATGTCGGAATGCCTGGCCGCTGATTCCAGCATTGGACAGAGTTCCACCTACAGTTAAATGCAGGTAATCCGTCCATGACTTTGGTGCAAGCCCGTGCCTGAGGGTCTCATGCAAAATGTTTATCCACAGCTCGCCACCGGACACATCAACGTATGGAGCAGAAGCACCCACACTGTGGACCTGCAGCTTTCGGGGCTGGAGTGATTCCATGTGGATAACAATTCCATGTCTTGTTTGTGCTTGGCCTTGGAGTGAATGTCCACGACCTCTAGCCGCCACCGTCAGCTGTGAATGAGGTCCCATCATCCAGATGTGTCGTATTGCTGAGGCGATGTCGCTGGCAGATTTGGGATGTAAGACCGCCAAAGGAAGCAATTGGTACCGGTTTCCAAAATCTTTGGAGGCGTGATGGACATCTTCAAACTCCAAGTGGCCTACTAGGGGAAGCGCCTTCAACGAAGAAATGCTGCTAGAGAAGCAGCAAGCTAACTTGAAGGCTATGCAGCTTAATAGTAAGATGGTGAAACTTCTTACTGTAAGCATGTTCCTTTTCCTGAGGAGGCATGCATGTAGATAGCTCATATGGTCTCTTGATTTCTGATAAAAGGTAGTGTGATTCTGAATGGGGGAGGCAACCAATCTTTTTGGTTGTGAGAATCCGGATGGGGACTTGGCTGTGCACAAAAGGGTTATAAATAGCTTTAGGATTTTTCACTTTTTAGTTGAGGCCTTTCTCTTTCTTTGTTGGCAGAGAGAAGCCAGAAAGGAGGTGCCTAGTTGAAGGAAAAAGTCACAAGAAAGAAAGATCTCACGAATCTTTTATCTTTTGATAACAGTTACACCCACAATCTTGGCTTTTTCGAAGGAAAGGCAGACAAGATCATACCATAACACTTTTAACTTTGAAACTTACCATTTGAACGATTCCTTATTTATCCTCTTATCCCATAATATTGACCCCTTTCCAGCCGTAGGTATGGTATTGCTTTTTAGGCCGAGATCTAATATCGGTGATCGTATTCCACTCTTTTTCAGGCTTTTGACTCGGATGAAACGCAAAAGGATTGGTTTCTGATTCATCTGTGAGAAAAAGAATGGTGATCACTGAACTGAGGGGGTCAGCAGACGTGGAAGGAATAAAATTATGTGTGCACTCTGTGGGAAATTAGGAGGCAATTTCAGTCATGATGGGACCCAACAACACAATCTTTGTAACGCAAAAACTAAATGAGGCTGTGACAGCACAAAGCAATGCAACCAATGAGTGAGTCTTCCTGTTACTGATTTAAGGCCTTCCATTGCAGCTAGCTAGCTAGCTGACAAAAGTAAATGAATCATCTCTTCTTTTCCTAAATTCTTGTTGATCAGACATTATTATGAGATTAGCTTTGAATTGTGTTTTAGTTTGCTTTTGCTAAACATCCGGCAGGTGGATAACAGAGAGGGACTCGCTGCTTCTTCAGACAGAATCATCTCGGATGGTCCATTTTAATATCTCTTTTTCTTCTTCTTTTGTTGGGGTTAATTTGTCCATTTTTATATGAAAAAAAAAATATGATTATTATCTCTTTGGTGCAGAGTAACATTGAGTTTCCTCAAGAGTAGGATAATCTGTAGAAGGAATCAGTGGGCTACGGTGTCACCAACGAGATCATGTTAATAGTAACCAGAAAGGTATAATCTTACGGAAGGACTAATAGGAGGGAGAGAGAGAGGGACTGGTGAAAAAAGTGAAGATTGTGCAGGCACCCAATAGAAATCTCGGATGTAGGTGTAGGGTCAGAGAGAGATGAGATGGGTTTTAGAGTTTGACCAGTCCAGTGAGGAAAGAAGTTGGGCTCTTGTCAACTGAATTGGTGCGGTGGTGGGCATGGTGTGAACTGAAAATAGAATTGGTGGAGGAAATGGTTGGTCTCTAGAAGGAGAGGCGACCAGAGAGCACTAGGGAGAGAGTCGTGGGGCATAGCTTGTCCCAAAGCGATCTTGGTCCCAATAATATATATATGAATTTATATGCCTTTGAACATTTGTCAGCCAAAGGGTCGAAGGGACGGCTGTGGTGGTGTGTGATTGAAGTGGACTGGTCCACGACTGCTGACTTGTCAGCTTAAACTCTCATTGGTGCTTCCTTCCACCTTCACGTGGCTTTGTTCCCATTACCATTTCTTTTTCTGCCAAAAACTAATTAAAAAAAAAAGTGTGTGTCGTTCTACCGTTTACTATAAGATATTATTATTATTATGATTCTGTTTGTCATCAAAGAAAAGAGACTAGTAGGTTCCGTGTCTTACTTACTGCCTTAAAAACACAAATCACGAGTTTTGTGTGATCATCTTTTGTGGTCCACTCTCCCCCACTGACAAAAGTCAATGGCTCACGAGAACGTTGTTGGGTATATAAATTTTTCAGCCTACTAAAGTAGATGAAGTTTGGGCTAGAATATGATTGGGAATTAAGTGTCCACTCGAAGCCCAAAACATTGGGAAAGTCGAGTCTGAACCACATACATGTAAAATGGCGACAAACGAGAGTGATGATCCGAGTGAGCTAATATTTATTTACGCAATTGTTTGATTATTCCACAAACATATATAGTATTTTGAACCTCGAAACAAGTGCGTGAATCATTGGGGGATGTGAACAAAAGGATAAAAAAGGGACACACTTAATGATCTACCAACAAGCAAGAAATTTCTATTCAGATTCCAATTCTCTGTGCACTTAGAAAAAGAAATGCTCATAAAGCTCCATTTGCTTGGATGTCATACATACAAATACAATATACATATGCCGTTACATACGTGCAACTAAATCATTATATGCAATCCAATGCTCATCTGTACGCATGTTGAAACTGCAACAGACGCATTTCCAACATTTTGGGACTATGTTGTAAGATTACCCTGTTGAACTAAAGTATAAAGCATCTGCAGCCTTCTCCTCCATTCGGACCTTCAAACCACCGGTCCCATCCTAAGTTCAAAGGTCCATTGGTTCTGCCATCCCCACAACATGTATCAGTTATTTGATTCCACAAGGAGCACTAGATTTTTTGTAAGTTGTAAAAAGCACTCACAGTGGCAACAGAGGGTCGGGTGCTTTCTCGATGACACAGAGCAGCCTGCGAACCAAGACAATATACAATTTGATGACCAACCAACACACAAGTTTCAGCCAAAGCAAAGAAAAAGAAAAACGTAGGCTGAGTTTCCCTAACTTACTCCTCACACACGGCTGATACAATATCTGTCTGCCCGAGCTCTTCCAACTCTTTCTACACCAAATACAGAATAAAGCTATCGTTTAATATTCATGACACATCTTAAGCTGGACTATCACCATAAGCTCAATCAACATGAAATGGTGTCACAACCAACAGTTTATATCTCTACAAAGCAAGAGACTAATTACCATGCTCTCTGATTAACAAATACAGATCAGCCATCGACTCTCCCTCTCACCCAAAGTTTTAGTTTTTTGCTTTTCAGAGGGAAACAATCTACCCAGTTGTAAGACACAACACATACCGGTTTCTCCACAGATTGATCTCAAAAGCCTACTTTTTTTTTTTTTGTTGCTAATTCTACTTCACATAGATAGTTGCTCTCAGCGCCGACAAGTAGAGAGGATCAAATTGCCACATCGGAAGTGGGAATTTCGAAAGGAGATGTTACTTACCTCTAAGAATCTGACTTCCTGTTCAACGCGACCAAGCTCTGCAAGGATCCTGTGCTTCCCCCGTGCATCACCGCCGAAAGAAACAGCATCCTGCTCGTAAACAACCGTCTCCGCGGCTTCCTCCATCATCGATTACCGACTGTCGCCGATTCGCATCCTCCTCTGCCCCTACCTCTCCCGCAGATCTGACACCGTCAGAAAAGAAACTCAGAAAGAGAGAGAGAGAGCGTAGAAATTAGTTTTGAATTTTCGCAAAAGTCTCTTTTACTCGCTCTAATGGACTTTCCTCCTCTTTTCTCCAAAAGTCACGTCGCTTTTAAAGCAAATCAAATTCACACAATTCCAACAAAACAAGGCCTATAGGCCCATGGGCCGTAACAAATGATAACATACAACGTTACATTATTTCATGAAATCTTTAAAATAAAAGAAGAAGAAAAGTATGTGGCTGAAGTCTATCAATCACTCTCTTGGAAGGTACATGGTGTGACTGATAAGCATTCTTAGCTCCATCCAACTAGTTTCCCGATCTGGGTTTTAGGATTTTCCGGTCAATCTCGTCATCCATGGCTTCCTCGATGCTCAACGGGGCCATCACCTTCCCCAAGGGATTAGGTTTTCCCGGTTCCAACTTACAGGCGAGATCAATTCCTCGGCCGAGTTTGGTCTCCGTAACCCGAACCACCAGCACTCGGAGAATCTCCGTGGCAACGAGATGCAGCGTGTCGGCGTCACGGCCATCGGCGCAACCTAGGTTCATACAGCACAAAAAGGAGGCGTACTGGTTCTACAGGTTCTTATCCATAGTATACGACCATATCATAAATCCGGGCCACTGGACGGAGGATATGAGGGACGACGCTCTCGAGCCGGCGGATCTAAGCCATCCCGACATGCGGGTGGTGGATGTCGGCGGCGGGACTGGATTCACGACTCTGGGGATCGTCAAGACAGTGAATGCCAAGAATGTGACGATTCTGGACCAGTCGCCACATCAGCTGGAGAAGGCGAAGAAGAAGGAGGCGTTGAAGGAATGCAAGATCGTGGAAGGAGATGCGGAGGATCTCCCGTTTCCTACGGATTACGCCGACAGATACGTCTCTGCTGGGAGGTAAAGAGCAAGGAAATTGATTATCTCTGGGATTGTTTGGTTTGGTTTGATTTGATTTGATTTGATTTGTTCTATCTACTTCTACTTACTACTGAGTGTGTGTGTGTGTGTGTGTGTTTACAAACCACAAAAAAAACGAAACAGCATCGAGTACTGGCCTGACCCGCAGAGGGGAATAAGGGAAGCCTACAGAGTTCTCAAGATCGGAGGCAAAGCATGCCTCATTGGCCCCGTCTACCCAACCTTCTGGCTTTCTCGCTTCTTTGCAGATGTGTGGATGCTTTTCCCCAAGGAGGAAGAGTACATCGAGTGGTTCAAGAATGCTGGTTTCAAGGACGTTCAGCTTAAGAGGATCGGCCCCAAGTGGTACCGTGGTGTTCGCAGGCACGGCCTCATCATGGGTTGCTCTGTCACCGGTGTCAAACCTGCCTCCGGTGACTCTCCTCTCCAGGTAGTAATTTGCCACTCTCTCTCTCCTCCTTTAGATCTTGTTTTGTAATTACATATTCTCTCCGGAATGCAGCTTGGCCCCAAGGAAGAGGACGTAGAGAAGCCTGTCAACAATCCCTTCGCCTTCTTGGGACGCTTCCTCTTGGGAACCCTAGCCGCTGCTTGGTTTGTGTTAGTGCCCATCTACATGTGGATCAAGGATCAGGTTGTTCCCAAAGACCAACCCATCTGATCCATCAGTGACGTAGCATCATGAATAAAAATGTATGATTGTAAACCCTCCTATCAATGTTAAAAAGACACATTTTTGTCCAAGTGGGTTATGATTAACTTTTTCTTCAAATATATGTGTTTTCCCAAACTCAGTTGATTCTACCAACAACATATCTTGTCTGATTTTGATAAATATTCAACAAAACTGTAAAGCAACCAAGGTAGAGAGCGAACAAAATATCTATCATTTACCGATTCCTGGCACTGAAACAAGCAAATTACAACCCCCCAAAAAGAAACTCGGAAGTCACACCAGCAGCATGCACATTGATTGATGAGTGAAATCAGTCTGCATAGCTAACCAGACTCCTCTGCCCAGATGGCGAGGCTGGGGGAGAAGCGCCACGTGATTCTGCAGGAGAGGTGGGTCCTCCTCTGATGGGAGATCTTTGTGGCCCGAGACGGGATTTAAGGTCTTGGCTAATTGGCTGCCTCTTTCTAGGGCTCCCGCTCGGGCTACGGTGCCTTGGACTGTGGCTCCTGCGGCTGCGGTACCCATCTGGACTCCGAGAAGTGCTTCTCCTCCGGTTGTACCTATGCAAGGCAACAAGTCAATCTAAGTTTTTTACGTCCCAAGCCAAGCCAAAGCCAGATACTGTAGAGAGAGATGAGAGCACCAACCTTGGAGGGCTCCTTCTCCTGGGTGGGCTCCTAAAGCGTCCTCTCGGCGAGCGTTCAGAGTAACTCCTCTTGCTCGGATACCTCCAATAATTCAAACAAAACACGGCTTTAGTATTATCGCAGTATGTCTTCCTTTTCCTTTTTTTGTAAGTATGTATCGATTTAAGTTACCTGTCCGTGTTCCTGTCCTGATAGCTTCTTCTGTCAGGCCAGCGCCGTGGAGGGGAACGCTCAGGAGACGGCGTACGGTACTTCCGAGCAAAGGAATAGCGTTCAGTGAAGCCACGCCCCTTTCGGATGCGCTTGGGCTCACCACTTGGAGATGGGCTTTTTGAAGATTTCCCCACAGCTTTCTCCCGAGGACTTGTGCTTTCATTTCCAACATCTCTCACAGGGCTCTTACTAGGACTTTTGCTTCTACTGTTTTGATTTCTCCTACGAACTGGGCTCATACTCCTGTACAGCAATTGAAAATGGCAAATCACAACACGAAAAATGCAAAAGCGGAGCTGAAACACATAAATACAGGGATATAATATAAACCTTGATTTCAATGAGTCAGCCAAGTTGTTATCAACTTTGGTGGCCTTTCCATTCCCTACAACCTGATCGTCATTCAGAGAAGAATTCGGTTCCTCTCTCAGAAAGTTCTTCTCTGCGGGACTAGAATCAGCAGCACTCCCTAGAGGCACAGTTGTGGGAATTTTTCCAGCATCTGTTCCAAGAAGGGAGTAAGATTCAGATAACTTGCAAAGCATACGACAAAAGAGTTGCCAAGTATAGGTTAAATGAAACAAGATCCTTCACAAGTACACTTACCTTTAGCCTTTCTGGCCTTATCGTGGCCCACCCTCTCGTCATCAGAATTGCTACTCTCGGTGTCACTATCCCTGTTTCTGTAAATAGCATTAATAAAATCAAGCAAAAGAAGTGGCAACGATCAAACTAATTACCATGAACTTGATAGCCAGACCTGCGCCGAGGCTGTCTATCTCCTCGAGATTTCTTTTTTCCATTTCGTCCTTTGATCTTTCTTTCCCCACGTCGGCCTTTGTGTCTCCTTGTTGACCTCTTCTTCCTACGCTTCCCATCACTGGAAGAACTAGACTCATAAGAGGATGAATCTGTTTCTGAATCTGATTCTGTTTCTGACTCAGATTCAGACTCTGAACTTGAGGTATATGAATCTGACGAAGAGTATCTTCTTTTTCGCTTTCTCCTCTTCTCCTTGGAGTCTTTCCTGCGTGTTCCCCTAGCTTCACGATCAGATATGTCAAGGCCCTTGCTAGATTTTTTCCATTTCCCTGACAATCATTAATGTACCCGCATTGTGAATCTAGCAATTCCACATTCACGAAAATGAACTATCTTTATTACCTTTATCTTTTTCAGCAGCATCTTGGGCTTTTATCTTAGACATTTCGCCAGAGTCTATTATTTTCACATGGCTGGTTGGTGTACCATTATCCGTACCCAGAAGTTCCATCTTTTTGATCAACTCCATTCCCTTCACGACTTTCCCAAATACAACATGCTTCCTACAATATGGTTGAGGAAAATCACTCTTTACAATGACTCTGTTTTCTCAAAACGACCAAATCTAAGAGCAGAGATTTACCCATCGAGATGTGGCTGGCGTTTAAAAAGTATAAAAAATTGGGAACCGTTGGTGTTTGGGCCACAATTTGCCATCGAAAGGACTCCAGCTCCATCATGGCCCAGCTTAAAATTCTCATCTGTAGAGGTAACAGAATATACTAAGAAATTGGTTCAACTCCACAAAGCTGAATAAAGAGCAAGAAAACAAGTAAATACCTGAAAACTTCCCACCATAGATGCTCTCCCCACCAGTGCCTGCAAACCAACCAAAGTCACAAAAAAATATGGGCATTAATATCAATCAGGGTCAAGTTGAGTACATCAGTAATCATCCTAAGCAGCGAGGATTATAGATTCAGAAGCTATCGACAGTGATGAATAAAGAATTCGTTATGAAAATAGCATGATTCCAAGGATAACAGGTTTGGAGAATACCATTCCCATTAGAAAAATCACCGCCCTGCAAAAAAAGAAAACAACTGGTGAATAAAGAATTCGTTATCCAATCAAATGAAGAGAACAAATAATAAGTAAGAAGGTTGAAATAGAACAAGGCGAGTACAAAGAATACATTAGGATTCTTATTCTTAGCCATGGCTACACAAAGGAATGAGACCTATAATTCAGACTCAACTAGTAATAACAGGAAAGTAAAAGGATGCAAGAAGCTTGGTTGCACTTAACTAGCCTACAGGTGCTACGCATTATCATTCCAAATGCTCGAATATCAGATCTATCAAACTTTTCACACTATACGAACTTAAAACCCTAAACCCCCAATAAGTTGAGAAACACGAGTGATTCCCATCCAAAAAAAAAAAAAAAAAGAGAGTAAGGATAACACAAAACACATGCGCTGGGAAATCAGGGAGGTGAAGAATCTCGGAGATACCTGAAAGGATGGAGACAGGCGATAATCGCCAATGGAGAAGAAGAGAGATGAAGAAGAAACGAAGCGGCTCTCGCTAATTAAGAAAGAAGGAATCGCAGCAAGGAAAATCAACGGTTCTCTGAACGCCACGTGTCGAACACAAAACTGAAGTGCTGCTGCCTATCAGTTAACTAGTTAAGTCGCCTCAGGCCCGATGGGCCTCGGAAGAGAAAAAAAAATGGAAGAATACTCAGCGTCAGCGACCACCGTTGCGTTCGACCGTCCGATACCGTTGCTCCGCGGACCGATTCCCGCCGGTAGTTCGGAATCAGGTGAGTACGTTCTAGCATTCCGATCCATGGATTCGTGGGCTGTCGCTTTCAAACGTTGCGAAACCCTAATCAAGGAGCAGTGCGAGGAAGGTGCCAGAATTGGGTGCGCCGTCTCCGCGTCCAACAACTGTAAGCCGCCGTGGTGGCGTAGCATAGCCGGCGGTCGGGACATGAGGGAACGAGACAAGTGCGAAGAGCGGGAATTCAAGGAATGTTTGGCTGCCGCCAAGGACAAGTGCTCGGGATTCGCCAAAGACAAGTGCTCTGCTGCGTTTTTAGACGCGCGAATCGCGGTGGCGACGGAGGTTGAGGGATTGGTCTGGCTAGCGTCTATGCCGGAGGACAGCAGGTGGCTCGGTTCACTGGTGCAGGCAAAACGCAAGACCAATCGCAGAGCCAGGGATCTTCTACACCAGAAATCATCGCATTCTTCAGTCTCATGAGCTAAAACGATTCAAGTGTTTTTTTTTTTTCTTTTTGCTTCATGTCAAATGATAACATAAAGTCATCAACTACTAGTAACCGTGGCCTTCCGTTATTGTTCTCTCTTGAATCAATCGTATCTATCATGGTTACTTTGTTTAGATTCACAAGATGATGGTCATTTCATCCTCGAGCAAGCCCTTGTTGGGATTTCGTTTTAGATATGTTAAGCTTAGTGCTGCTCAAATTTGCACTAGTTCATGTGCTAAAGTTCCACGGCCTGTTGAATCTATCCCCATTCGACTACTCTTGCTTCGAAGCCAAATCAAGAATCCTTATATGCATATCTTTGCTCAATCAAGCTTTGTGCAGAGGAATAACAAAGACCCCTTTTTTTTTGGATTGGTGGTGGTCACGTCTAAGATTTAGTGGAGGTCAACTTGATTTGTTTGTTTATAAAGTCAACTGCTGCTTTTATTGTCTTCTGCTGTGTCATCGTCACATGAATAAGAAACAGATTAGGCTCAAATTTCCTGACAAGGAAAATGGAAATTGCTACGAAGTTTCGCTGATGATGGGATTTGTCTTTTTTTGCTTTATGTAGATGACGTAGAAATGGGTTTGTGGAAAAGTAAGGAGGAGTGACAAACTTGGTTTTGATTCATTCGTCTAGAGTTGTTAATTCAATTGATAGATTATTAGCAAACAAGTTAGCCACTTTTTATTATATTTGTCCTTACGGTCTAAGCATTAGAGCAAGCTGGTACACGCACGTTATTGCTCACCATTCTACAATGACGGCTTGTTCACACCAAGATTACACATATTATTATACCACTGCTTTAATAAAGTTACCAAGACTCGCTCGATTTAACCCTTTCTTTTGGGCACACACACTGGTTCGAAATCCAACAAGACAAGTCAAACACTAAGTACAAAAGGATGTGCTGCCCATGTCATTTTTCATCGCACAGGAGGCTTTCGTGTTTAGAACGTGGTTTTTAGTGACCGACTGCTCCACCGCCTGAAAAATTTATACTAGTAAGTATTACAAGTTAATTAATAGAAGGATTAAACAAACCAAAGTGCCAAATACAAAAGGCGGCCGGGCGGATTTAAATAGTAGCCTAACCTTTTTTTTAGAATGGAAGGGGAGAGAAATCATTTATTTGCGAGTCTTGAGTGTCTTACAAGCCACACAACACATATTGGCTAGAGAGAGAGCGCGCGACTCTTTTATTCTCCAACAAAGCATGACAGATCTCAAGGATTATGATTACAGCGCTCTCTTGCTCAACCTTACCACCACCAGCCTCAGCAAGGCCCAGAGGCGTTGGCGTATGGCTTACGCTGCCATCTACTCTGTTAGGGCTATGCTCTCTCTCGTTAAGGAGATTGTTCCCGCAAGGATTGATCCCAAAGCCTCTGATGCCTCCCTCTCTCTCTCCTACACAGCACTCGATGGAGCAAACATCAACTCTATGCCCCTCTCTTACGTTCCTGACATCGATCAGGATCGACTTGTGGAGATCATGAAGGGTAAGAGCTTACCGGGCATCCGAGAGCTCGGTGGCGTGGAGGGTGTCGCCGCTTCCCTTAGGACAAACCCCACCAAAGGAATCCATGGGAATGAGCAAGAATTCGGCAGACGCCGTGACCTCTTTGGCTCTAACACCTACCACAAGCCACCTCCTAAAGGACTTGTCTTCTTTGTGTATGAAGCTTTCAAAGACACAACCATCCTGATCCTCTTGGTATGTGCCACTCTCTCCCTTGGCTTCGGTATCAAAGAACATGGCATCAAAGAAGGCTGGTATGAAGGCGGAAGCATCTTCGTTGCAGTCTTCTTGGTCATAGTTGTCTCCGCCCTCAGCAACTTCAGGCAGGAGAGACAGTTCGACAGGCTGTCCAAGATAAGCAATAATATCAAAGTGGAAGTCCTTAGGGACGGCAGGCGCCAACATATCTCCATCTTTGATGTTGTTGTTGGTGATGTTGTCTTCTTGAAGATCGGAGATCAGATTCCCGCTGATGGTCTGTTCTTGGACGGGCATTCACTTCAGGTCGACGAGTCTAGCATGACCGGAGAGAGTGACCATCTTGAAGTCGATCACAAGGATAATCCCTTCTTGTTCTCTGGGACAAAGATAGTCGACGGCTTTGCTAAGATGCTGGTTGTCTCCGTAGGTATGAGCACAACCTGGGGGGAGACTATGAGCTCCATAAACCAAGATTCTAGCGAGAGAACACCTTTGCAGGTCCGTCTTGATACGCTGACCTCCACCATCGGAAAACTTGGTCTTACTGTGGCTGCACTTGTCCTGGGAGTGCTGTTAGTCCGTTACTTCACAGGGAACACAGAGAAAAATGGCGAAAGAGAATACAACGGGAGCAAGACACCTGTTGACACCGTCGTCAATTCCGTTGTGCGAATCGTGGCAGCTGCAGTCACCATTGTCGTAGTGGCTATCCCGGAAGGCCTGCCATTGGCTGTGACTCTGACGCTGGCTTACTCCATGAAGAGAATGATGTCTGATCAAGCTATGGTCAGAAAGCTCTCGGCGTGTGAGACGATGGGCTCAGCGACGGTGATATGCACAGACAAAACAGGCACTCTAACACTGAACGAGATGAAGGTAACCAAGTTTTGGCTTGGCCAAGAGTCAATCCATGAAGACTCTACCAAAATGATCTCATCTGACATTCTCGATCTGCTTTACCAAGGCACCGGTCTGAACACAACGGGTAGTGTCTGCGTGTCAGAATCAGGGCCAACGCCCGAGTTCTCGGGCAGCCCAACAGAGAAGGCTCTCTTGTCTTGGAGTGTGCTGAACCTGGGTATGGATATGGAGTCAGTGAAGCAAAAGCACGACGTGCTCCGCGTTGAAACCTTCAATTCAGCAAAGAAACGAAGCGGGGTTCTGGTTCGGAGAAAATCTGACAGGACAGTCCATGCACACTGGAAAGGAGCCCCTGAAATGGTCATGGCTATGTGTTGTCATTACTACACGAGCAGTGGGTCCGTTGAGTTAATGGACTCCACCGCAAAGAACAGAATTCAAGCAATAATCCAAGGTATGGCGGCCAGTAGCCTCAGATGCATAGCATTCGCCCATAAAGTATCGTCAGGATTAGAGGAAGATGGCTTGACCCTGATGGGAATCGTGGGTCTGAAAGATCCCTGTCGACCTGGTGTCTCAAAAGCTGTTGAAACTTGCAAACTTGCTGGGGTCACCATCAAGATGATAACGGGAGATAATGTTTTCACTGCAAAAGCGATTGCTTTTGAGTGCGGAATCCTCGACCACAATGACAAGGATGAAGAAGAGGCTGTTGTAGAAGGTGTTGAGTTCAGAAACTATACCGACGAAGAGAGAATGCAGAAAGTTGACAAGATCCGGGTAATGGCAAGGTCCTCTCCCTCCGACAAGCTTCTAATGGTCAAGTGTCTGAGACTGAAAGGCCACGTCGTAGCCGTAACAGGGGATGGCACCAACGATGCACCTGCACTAAAAGAAGCAGACATCGGACTCTCTATGGGGATTCAGGGCACTGAAGTAGCAAAAGAGAGCTCAGACATTGTCATTCTAGATGATGACTTCACATCCGTTGCTACGGTATTAAAGTGGGGAAGGTGCGTCTACAACAATATCCAGAAATTCATTCAGTTCCAGCTAACAGTGAATGTTGCAGCTCTTGTGATCAATTTCATCGCAGCAGTTTCAGCTGGTGAGGTCCCTTTGACAGCAGTTCAGCTGCTGTGGGTAAACCTCATCATGGACACTCTGGGAGCTCTGGCTCTCGCCACAGAGCGACCCACCAACGAGCTCCTGAAGCGAAAGCCAGTGGGCCGAACAGAAGCCCTGATAACAAATGTCATGTGGAGGAATCTCCTGGTTCAGTCATTGTATCAAATAGCCGTACTCCTCATCTTACAGTTCAAGGGTATGTCTATATTCAACGTGCGCAAGGAAGTGAAGGACACGCTCATCTTCAACACGTTTGTGCTCTGCCAAGTTTTCAACGAGTTCAATGCAAGGGAGATGGAGAAGAAGAACGTTTTCAAAGGAATTCACAGAAACAGGTTGTTCATTGGAATCATAGCGATCACTATCGTGCTTCAAGTCATTATGGTGGAATTCCTTAAGAAGTTTGCGGATACAGTAAGGCTCAACGGCTGGCAATGGGGAACTTGCATAGCGATTGCGTCTCTTTCATGGCCGATAGGCTTTTTCACAAAATTCATACCTGTTTCCGAGACGCCGTTCATTAGTTACTTTAAGAATCCAAGATCCTTATTTAAGGGTTCGAGAAGCCCATCCCTCAAGAAACCTTGAGCAGCCTACCATAGTAACAGATGCACTTCTCTAGGGGTCCGTGAGAAAATTGATGATCAAGAGCACAGCATAGGAGCCGTCTGGAAATATAACGTTACAAGCAGTTTCCAGCTTCCTTGAACGACCAAAAGATTCAAATCATCCATAAACGTGACGAAACCTTGATGGGTATGAATCTATGTGGTTCCCCACCAAGAGATGCTTTTATTAGAAAGAGTCTATGAACACGAGGTTAGGGTCACTGACTTGTGACTTCTTACGAGCTGCTGCAACAAGGTGGCTTTCCAGTTCAGTTCTGTAGAAATATAGGAAGATATGTTGATTGCTTACGAAAAACAATTGTGTGAGTATGAGCTTTTGAGGTAGCCAGTGGTGGATAGCTAGACTAACTTTGGATTGTCTACTGTAAATTACACTGTTTGTAATTTGTAAAGATAAAAGTATGCTACGATTTTTGTCATGAAATAAGGGAGTTTCCCATTTTCGTAAAACGTTTGGCTTTGCACAGTTTTAAGTTCTCTTTGATACAATAAAACATGATGCAACTAAGGTAGATCTATAGCGCCGAAACATGACAACAGAAAGTGGAGAGAGTGACAAAGCAGGAAAAAACAGAGAGAACACTAACACCGGTTTCGTGTAGAAGCACTGTGTGCGTTCGGGGCTTTTCACTTTCTTTCAATCGGCTTGTGGAATGTTTCATCAGTGAATGGTCCTGACCAGGAAGGAGTGAGGCTGTCAGAGCATGACCTAGCTTGGGTTTGAAGCAATATGGAAACCACATTCATCTCTTAACCAAAGATAGATCATGCTGGCAGCTTCACTTGTTCCCTTGTGGACTTGTCTTCGCAAAAACCTGTACAAATTTCACATATTTGAGGGATTGATTATGTAAGAAACGGAAGTAGGTAGAAAAGTTTTGGTCAAGAAGGAAGTTGGAAACTTGGGAGTCATTGGAAGTAAACAAGACATGACACTTAAAGAAAGGAGATGAGAGAAGAGAAGGATGATGATGCTTTGTGGTCAAAGAGCGTTAATACATATTTATAGAAATATATGAGATGAGGTTTGAGCGACAGATGTTAAAAATTTAAAGAGATGGTTGGGTGAAAAGGAGAGAGACACCACGAATTAAAGAAGCCTGAAAGAGTGAATTAAAAGAAGCATCACATAATGCATACAGCTAAGAGGAAGAAAGAGAGAGACAATATAAATAGACAATAGGGCTATGAAGAGATTAGAGCCTCTGCCCTGCATACCTATAGTTCCACCACCTGTGACTCTAAATATACTCCTTTATTGTGATACATCTCTTTCTTTCTCTCATCTCTCTCTCACGTACACACAGTGTAGTACCTTATTTTAAATCTTGACCGTTGCTTCTGCATTCCTTGAAGAAGACTTCGTCAAGGTCCATGCTTTAGTTTGACTCCTTTATAGCTAAAAGTCTGCATCTTTAGGTTTTGCATTAACCACCCTCTTATGTCTCCGCTCCTCCTGCATTAAGTATCCCACAAAATAAGCCATTATTCTCTTAAACGATGCAAAATACAAAGACGTAAAAAAAGTAAACAGCAGGGGTATGATATGAATGCTGGCGGATAGAGGTAAAATAGTGAATATACGAAAGATTCATTCACGGGTTTGGTAGGTGTGGGGTTTAAAAGCAAAAAATATAAATCACAAAGAGAAAAGGGAGATGAGTGTCGTCTTGGAGACATTTACTCTCAAAGTGCTTACAAGGTCTCTGCTGAACAGCCTAGTTAGACGACTCTATCTCTAGCTTGATATCTAGGTCCTCTGCTTCCTGTTTTTAAATACCTTTTTACTTTTTTACTTTTTTACAGGTCTCCATCTTCTCTCTTACTTTGAATTCACTTGCAATCTCTCTCTTTCCCTAGCAGGTGCAAAACAAAGGCCAACAACCATATGCAAACCTTGTAAAGCTATGTGGAGCTAGTGACATAATAATCTTGGTCGGGATTTATGAACATATGCTTTGTCAAGTTTTCGTCACCAACAATCTCCGCAAGAACACAGTCCGCTTTCAAAATGATGAAATCTATTGGCGTCTCTCATCACAATGTCTCGTCTGAATAACTTAGAAACCAGCTTACAAAAAGTATGGCAATCACCACAGACACGTAAATTTTTTGTGATCCTAAGACAGGCCCGGTCAGGTGTTCTGAGCAGACCGTAAGCAATTGCTAGCCTCTCACTGTGTCCATGCAGCATCTGAGCCTTTTCCCTTTCGTCTACGTGATGCAGAACGAACTTTGTATCGGCTAGATAACCTGCTTCCCTCTCCAACTTCATAGTTACTTCAGACAACTTCTCATATATCTCTTTCGTCTCTGGATGAGACTTGTCTCTTGCTATAAATCTATGAACCTTTCCGTCAACCTCAATCCAACTGCATCCAGGGTGTTTCTTCAACCCGCTTGCTTTCATTTTGGCCCTCACGTTTTCAACATCGTTCCATCTTCCCTGTTCAGCAAATACATTAGATACAAGCACAAGATTTCCTGGATTCTTAGGTTCTAGCTCAAGGAGCCTTCGAGCTGCTATCTCTCCAATTTCTCTCTCTGAGTGAGAATGGCATGCCGCAAGAAGTGCACACCACACTGCTGTGGTCGGTTCCGTCTTCATCATTTTAACAAATTCAAAGGCTTCCAATACACAATTTGCACGACCCAGCATGTCAACCAGACACACGTAATGTTCAGGCCATGGTTCCAATTTATATTCATGTTCCATGATCTTGAGAAACCTTTTACCCTCGTCAAGCAGACCTGCATGGCTGCACGCATTGAGAAGGGCCAGAAATGAAATGTGGTCAGGCGAGACGTTTCCATGTCTCATTTCATTGAACAACGCAACAGATGCTTTTCCACAGCCGTGCATTCCATATGCGTTGATCATACTTGTGTATTGCAGTAAACCTTTCCCTTCTGTCCGATCGAAAACAGCATTTGCACTCTGTAAGTCTCCACAGCATGCATACATGTCAACGACTGCAACTGCAATGGACCCCTCTAGGCAAAAACCCGTCCGGAGTAAGTAGCCATGGATTTCTCTACCTTTCTTGAGGGCAGATAAAGTTGCTGCAGCGGAAAGAATACTCAGCAATGATACAGAATCAGCCGCCAAACCAGTTTCAACCATGCGCCGAAAAAGTTCAACAGCCTCGATTGCGTTACCATTATGAGCGCTAGACGAAATCATGCTTGTCCAAGAGACAACATCTTTACCTTTGATTGATTCAAATACTCGAGTAGCATAGCCCATGTCCCTGCATTTTCCGTAAACATCTACCAACTCATTCTGTATCACAGTATCAAGTAAACCTTTTCTCACGATGTGACAATGGATTTCTTTGACAATAATAATAGATTTTAGCACACTAGAAGCTCGAAGGATGCTTCCCAGCATCATTTCGTCAATCTCCATCCTATTTTCAGCAACATCCCGGAATAATTCCAAGGCCTCTACATGACAATCATTCTGAGCATAACCAGCAATGACTGTAGTCCATGAAATGAGATCTTTCCCATGCATCATAAGAAACGCACGGCCCATATAACTTGTGAGGTTGCACTTTGAATACATATCTATCAACGTGTTCCCAACTTGCAAATTAGAATCCCAGCCGTGTTTAATCACGTAAGCATGCAATTCCATTCCTAGCAACAGGTTGCATAATCTTCCTGACGCTGAAATGACACTGGTCACTGAAACCTCGTCGGGTATGTGGCCAGCAGCGATCATATCACAAAAGAACTCTAAGGCCTCCTTGTACATGAAATTCTGTAGATAACCCTGAATCACAGAATTCCATGACACTATGTCATCGTTATCCATCTGACGAAGGATCCTTCCTGCATCAAGCATTTTACCACACCGTGTATACATTGCAATCAAGGCGTTGCACACGTATAGTTCGAAACAATGAGTTGATTTCAAGACAGCAGCGTGAATCTCTTTCCCTAGCTTTGCATGTGACAAACCTTCACAGGCTGTGAGAGCCGAGACGACAGTGTAGCTGTTGGAGGCAGGACCATTCATCTGCATTTCTCTGAACAATCCGAAGGTCTCCAGAGATTGGCCAGAGGCGGAATATGAAGAGAGAATAGAGTTCCACAGAACAACATCACCTTTCTCTTGGGATCCGTCAAACAGACGCCTTGCAGCGTGTAGGTCATCATTCTTAGCATACATGGAAACCAACGCATTGAGAATAAAAGGTGTTGGTTGGTAGTGAAGTTTAACGGCCAGAGAATGAAGCTCAGTCCCAGTCCGAAGATCGCCAAGAATGGCGCAGGCTTTAAGCAAAACAGGAAAAGAGTGAAGATGGGGAGGAACGCCCTCAGCCCGCATTTCGCGGTAGACAGCAAGCGCTGAAGCAGGCTCACAATTCGAAACATACACTCCTATCATGGCATTCCACGCAAAGGCCGTTCTCTGGCGCATTTCGTCAAACAGTTTCTCTGCATCATCCAAAGACCCGCACTTGCCGTACATGAATACAAGCTTACCGGCCAGAAAATCTAATTCGACTGCCGGGAAAGTCTTGAAGATGAGCGAATGCAGCTGCCGTCCCAGAGAGAGAGCCCTCGTTTTGGCACAAAGCTCAAGAGCGTAGGCATAAGCTTCGACTGGAGAGCTACTACTCCCGTTGCTGAGACAAGTGAGTATCGGGGAAGGGACTTGGTCGGGGTAATCGGGAGATGGGTTTGTCCGAATTCGGCTCAACTTGGGACGGCATGATGGCTCTGCCGGGATACTCAGAAAACAGCAACGCGTTGGAATCGAAATCGCCGAAGCAGAGTACATAATATTACAAGTAACGGGGAAACGGCTCTTGTTTAGTAGTCTCATTTTACTCGAAAGTAATCGTCGCTAGTTTACTCAACACCACCATAACCATCTTTCTCCGAGTTATCTCGTCGTCTTCCGCTTATCTCTCTGTCTTTTGTTCAACTCTGACATGTAAATATGGGCCAGGGCCACATTTAACAAACTGGGCCATTCTCGGGCCGGTACTATTAAGCAGAAGCTGCGATAAGGAGGAGGCGTCGACGACCGAATCAGAAAACATTTTCCTAAAACGCAAAATGTCAAAATCATATGTAGTTGGCAAAAATCAAAGAAACATTAGTTTACCGACAGGTTGGTTTTAATTAACCATTGCATTCGACAAGACGACGCGGGTATCCACTATCCAGGTATTAGAGTCATCAAACTAATTAATTAATAATAGACAAGATTATAGCAAAGGTTAGGTATCTCAAACAAGTGTCTCGCACGTCATGTCACCGTCTCTTGTGTTAGCACGAAACCTAACTTAAGTCAACGAATTCTCTGTACTGCCTTATATAATTAGGCTCCCCGAAGAGAGAAAAGGAAGCAAAAAGACATAAGCGATAAAATGGCAACTATTATCAACTTCTCTGCCATTCTTCTCACACTCTTACTGGTCTCCGCAGGTAAAATATTCAGTTATCTTCTTGATTCGATTGGTACCGTATGTATATTAACGTGCTGAAGACGATTCGTGATAATAGGACTAACGGAGAAAGGAGAAGCGCAAGAGCAAGGGTGCGAGTGGGAATGCAAGCGTCTACCAAACTTCAAGTGTTGGATGAAAGAAGCCGGGGAAAAGCTCTGCAGCGACGTGTGCAAGTACGAAGGAGGCGTTCGCGGCGTTTGCGTCTCAAACGCCGCCACTGATACCCACCGTTGTCTCTGCCGCAAAAGCGGATGCTCCTAATTAAGCCTCCACCCCCTTCACCGTCTCGTTTCATGTATAATAATTACTTATGCACGTGTCCAGCAGACATGAGCAGAGTAATAAAAGAATATTTTTGATGCGGGTGTGATCAATTGCTTTCTGCGGTGATCGTTTTTATTTTTATTTTAAGAAGTAAAAAGAAACAACAAGAAACAGCGGTGCATTGTAACCCTACACACAACGTTGATAACGTCGTCTCTCGAGATACCTCGAACATTATACTTTTTTTTTATTCTCTCTCTATATATTTCATACTCAAAAAGACAGAAAACATAATTAACTTGTGTCCACGTTCGCATCTTCTTCTTCTTCTTCTCCATCCCCCTCCGAGTTGTGGTGGTTGTTCATCAGTAGTTCCTCCCAGAACCCGTCGTCGAGTTCCCTCCCCACGTCCTCAATCCGTTGGCGTCCATACCCTTGCATCTCTAGCGCCAGAGCCTCCAGCTCCGACACGTGTTCCACCGGCTCCAGTTTGACCTGGTCGATCGCAGCCTCCTCAAGCTCTTTCCTCTGCTGCTCGAGTAGCTTCTGCAGAAGAGTAGGGTTCTGCACCGCGCTCCTCAGGAACGACATCATATGTCTCTGTTTCTTCTCTGCTCCATTAATCCTCTGCTCCATGTCTTGGATGTAGCCCCTCGCTCTTTGCTCCTGCTGTCTGAGCCTCGATATCTCCATCATCAGGGCATGCCTCTCTTGTCGGAGCTCGAGGCAGGGGTCGTGACCGTCGTCGGGTTGGGAGTGATGGAGCGAGGGAGGGACAGAAGAGGAGGTTCGTCGCTTGATGCTTTTGAGAAGGTCTCTTTGTCCCATCAAGAAACCTTCATTCATAAACTCCCATCTCTCTGCCTCGATCTTTCTGAATCCCTGAGGATCAAGATTAGAAAAAAAGGTAGAGTAAGTTTTCGCTCGCCATGTCCTCTTATATAGTAACACCAGAGCATTAATCTTCCACTGTAAAAGAAAACAACCTTCAATATTATATTATTTTTTCTATTTTAAATTAGTAGAAGAAAAAAAAATGGCGGTTTGGATAGGGGGAATAAGTGTCGATCTATTGAATATTTTATTTCAAGTGGATAACTGGATAGAGTTTCCAGAACTTACGGAAACTTCTTCTCTTTCACTGCTACCAGAGAGAGTCTTAGCTTATTTCACCACACAGGATATACGAAGGTTTCGGTTGAAACAACGAATTCAATTATATAAATCAAACAGATTACCATTTTGCAGTAATTGGAGGTAGAGCGCATCGTAGAGGTCCTCCAGGACTATAAGATGAGGGGGAATACAAAAGTGAAAAACAAAAACAAAAAATCCATCGCAATGTCGTTTAGTAGAAAAACAGAGATACTTACATAAGTGTTGAGTTGTCTGACGAAGCTGGAGAAATTGTTGTGCTTGAAGTACAGAGGAAGAATAGTCGCGGAGAAGGAATGTGGATCCCATACGACGAAACTGATGCCTCCCCTGTTCCAAGACACAATGTGGTTCGTGTTTGGATCGTCCACTATCTCGAACGTCTTAGTTAGAAACGGACAAGGCCCTGCTTCCTGCAGTCCCTCCATAGGCACCGGCATTGACCGTGTCCTGTAGCTTGAGGACGGCTCCATCTTCTTATTTGTTTGATCAATTTATCTCCGATGATACCAGCTTTAAACTTAAATTGCTTTTTTTGTAAATTTTAATCCAAGAGACGAAACGAATCATTTGGGTTTCAGAAACAACGGCCTAGAAAAGAGCGGGAAGTTCATCTTTAAAAAAAAAAACAAAAAAAAAAACAGAGTACTCTGCTTTTCGTGTTGTTAAGTGGTAGTTGGTTTATGGTGGTTGGGGAAGGAGATGTGGTGAAGAGAATGGCCACGTATGTGACATTTATATATACAAGATTTGTTACATAACGTGCTAGTGGCAATAGTGTAATTAATTACTTGTTTGGGGGAGTTGGAACGTTCTAGAACAATAACAAGAGAATGGGTGCACACTTGCATATCGTTTCTTAGAACGTTCCGGAACTTATACTTTTGAGGAGAGTAAAGTAAAATCGTATGTGGTGTATCTAAGATAGACGACAATTCTTTCAAGACTATCAACGTATGTTTTAATCAAAACATGCACCGGTCGTGACTGTGGCATTAGTCGGAAAGAGATTAGAACCATAATCAGTTAATTTCAGTAAACTAAAGTGAAAGGTACAAAATTATAATGTAAAATAATACTGAAAGTTTATACGTAAACAGGCGAAAACACGATATACACAAAGCTGAGTGGTACATTTGTATTTTTTCAAGAGACAGTACACTCCAAAGTCCAAATTTCTTCTGGATTAAGTTTGGGATGATACGCTGCCACGTGACAAAATGAAAACCGCCACGTAGCAGTTCGATGTCTCGTGGAGTGTGCTTGTGAGAATGGTGGTGGCCATGTGCCTGGATACGCAACTCCATGCAACTTGGATTGTATATGCCTAATGGGTGTGTATTACTGTTATAAGTTTTGTATACAAGATTGAAAAAAAGTATTAACGATTGTGCTACCACTGATCAGTATTAGTCACAGTATTAATCTATTGTTTATACAAGTCTTAAGAAACAAGTTTGAACTGTGTCAAATGACATCAGAAACATCAGATTATAAAAAGGTTAGGAACTTTGATGATTAGATACATAGTAGTATAGAAATGTGTATTTGCACACATAATCTAGATATTTAGATGCAAAACCCATTATACTTATTGGTACCACTGTAGTATTATATAATTGTGCTTTCGATAAAAGTATTTTATATATTCACGGCACAGCACGCAATAGTTATAGATCCAGCAACAAGGCATCAAGATCCAGATAACTTGAAACCTTCAGTGCGTTTGGACTGAAGTAATAAATGGTTTAAAAAATTACTCCTTAAAAGGCACCACCCCCGTGGACATTTGTTTAACAGAACATTCCACTTCGAAGCACCCCTTTTTGCTGTTTGACTTTGACTTGTTGCCACGTACTCACGAACACGTGGCACATTCGATTAAACCCGGAACAAAACCGTGATCCAGCTGGGATGATTGAACCGGCCCAATTTTTGCAATTGATTTCGTTCAGATTCCGCTTCTCTCGACGGAATCCTTCGAATCGCGTATTTCACAGGCGGCACAAGCCATGTAAGGGGGGGGGGAAGATGACGCCCAGTGTGCTAAATCCAGGGTTCCTCATCGTGCTGTTCTTGGCGAGCAGCTGCGGAGGGGAATCGTCCACGTGTTTGACGGTTTACAAAGAAGGCGGAGCTCCAGCTGTGTTTCAATCGCCCAAGTGCCCTCGTTGGACTCTCCGGAATTGGGCTTCCCCTTCTCGTTCTCGCTGCCACACGGCGGCGATTCAAGGTCGTAGGCATTACCAAGAGGATCGTGTTCTATGCGCTCTTGATCTTCGGGTCCCCTTTCCCGGTGCGTACCTGCTTTGCCTGTCTACTTTAAAGAACGATTTTGAGAATTTCGGTCTCTAACGGCATCATCTGAGCAGGCAAGAGTGGCACAAAAGATGTTTTGGTTGGCATCGCAGCAGTTTTTGACGGGCACAATGGTGCAGAAGCCAGTGACATGGCTTCGAAACTTCTGTTCGATTATTTTGCTTTGCATATCAACTTTCTCTTGGACGCGACGTTTTCTGCCATGACGAGCAAGTCGATTGCAAGGCTACCATCTGAAGGGGAGCACGGCGTAATTCCGCATGGCGCTATTCCGGATGAAATCATGCATCTGTACAACCTGGACTTCTATATGCAGTTGAGTGCTTTGTCATTTCATCTCCTAAGTCTAGTCATGCTCTTTTTTTTTTTTTTTTTTTTTGAATCTCCGCCTCATTCTAGTGTTCCCTTTCCTTTTGCAGGTTGCGAGACTCACTGCCGCTTAATTTCGATGATTCTCTTCACCTGGATATTATTAAGGAAGCACTTCTGAGAGCGATCCATGACATTGATGCCACATTTACTAAGGTCTAGTGGGGATCTCTCAATCCGCTCAACGTTGTAAATATGCATTTCCTTTCCAGTAGGTTGTAACCAGCTGGGTTTTGTTTTCTCCAGGAAGCATCTAACCAAAAGCTGAATTCAGGTTCAACGGCTACAATTGCACTAATTGCAGATGGTCAACTAATGGTTGCCAGTATCGGTGACTCTAAGGCACTTTTGTGCTCTGAAAAATTCGAGACTCCGGAAGAAGCTAGAGGTTGGCAACATCTGTTTCTAAATCGATTTTACAGTGTTGCTGTGCTTATCGGTTAAGGGAATTTTCATGTTGTTTGCTTATTGCAGCTACTTTGGTGAGGCTGTACAGAGAGCGAAGGCGCAATCAAGGCTCTTCACCATCGAGATTCTCTGACTTCAAACTGGAACATGGCAATGGACTACTGCGTTTGGTTGCCAAAGAATTGACAAAGGATCATCACCCAAATAGAGAGGATGAAAAAAATCGTGTTGAAGCTGCAGGAGGTTATGTCACTGACTGGGCTGGTGTGCCACGAGTGAACGGCCAGCTAGCTGTCTCCCGTTCTATTGGCGACCTTACTTTCAAAAGGTAGGCATTGCTGCTTGTATCCTTTTTTTTTTTATCTCTCGAACATGCTTATTGCTGAAACTCGTGTTTCTTTTGTGACTCTTACTATCATTTGCATTATGAGAAGATGAAATGTGAGTTTTGATATCTGTTTCAGTTACGGTGTCATCTCTGCACCTGAGGTGATGGACTGGCAGCCTCTAGTGGCTAATGACAGTTACCTGGTAGTGTCATCTGATGGCATCTTTGAGAAGTTGGAGGTGCAAGATGTATGCGATCGTCTGTCGGAAGCAAACAATCAAACTAGCTCTGGAGCGGAAGTGCCTTCTTACTGCTCAATTTCTTTGGCAGACTGCTTGATTAATACTGCCTTTAACAGGGGAAGCATGGATAATATGGCTGCTGCTGTCGTTCCTCTAAAATCTAATCTAGTTTCTCAGCTCCAACGGAAGGAGCAGAGTATGAGTGACAACAAAGATAAGATTGATTCAGCACTGCCGAGTGCACTTCCATGTGAGTTTTCTCTGGTTGCAATCAAATTCCCGGACATCCGCATCATGTGAGCTTCATTGATTTTGTCCTACACTCTCATTGTTGGCTAATCAAGTTTTTGTCTTTTCAACAGTGCCCAATGATATATATTCGGGTCCATTGAAATCGAACCAGGCCCAACCACTTGCAACCATGTTCAACAGGTTATTGGTATGACCCAATTCACAGAATTTCACTGTTACATATTCATTGTTGTTTCCTAAGGCATTCTCTGTCAAATCATTGTGAATTGCATAATCTCATTTTCTTTAAACACGGGTTTAAGCTAATGATTTTGTTTGTAAAAATGTACCATCTTATTATCACAATTGATTTAATTGATTTTGAATTGCAAGAATAACAGAGAAGGGGGGGGGGGGGGGGGGGGGGGTGGGGGGGGGGGGTCAGCACTATATCTTACAACTAATATGATCTGGCCATGCTTCTTATGCTAGGTTGAAGTTAAAAACGGAAGTTTCTGCTGCTTTTATATGTCAGAGCACCTTATTGGTGCGTCTCAAGGGCAAGTGGACGATTTGAACGCTTATATGGGTGACTGGCCTCAGGTTTTACCTGCAGCTGCCGAGCCATTCTCTGGTAAATGAATATTTCTCAATGGAATCCTGTTTTATTTGAGGAACCTTATTGTCGTTGGTTTTTGGTTCCAATGAACTAGTATATCATCATAATCCTATCTTTGATTCTTCCCGTTTTTGGTTCATCTGAAAATTTACCCGATGATGAAGGCTGGTGTTTGCCTTCTGGGATGGCTGTCAACGAGAATCAAGATCAGTGCATCAATCCTGATAGCTTCGCTACTTTCCTTGGGTTACTTGAATCTGTACCCTTACATGGTTTTGGTGCTAATAACGGGACGGATGAGAATTCATTCCCAGACTCGAGGTGCCTCCTTCTTTTCCTTTGAAATGATCAGTTTTTTTCCGTCTTTTTTTTTATCATCGTTGATGAATACATCACTGTATATGATCTTTGGTAATCCTGTGATTAGCAGCGTTACGCCAAATCATTTGTTCTTTTAAGCTATTGGTTTTTCGTTAATGCGCTTGGCTATGCAGTCATTGCTAAAATTTGGAGGGGCAAATGCCATAGTTTAGCGCATGTCATGTCTTCTTGTTGCCTTTTGGCTAGATGGTTTCTTCACAGAGAAACATGATGGTCTTGTCTTAGTGTCATCATATTATGGAAACAGTTATCTTTTAAAAAAGGAAAATATTCTTAAAAAGTGCCTGATAAAACTGTGTTATGCCATGTGATTTTTAGCTATGTGCTGAAAAAAAAATTTGGGCGTGGTGCATTTGGTGAGGTATGGTTGGCATTTCATTGGAATTGCTATCAAGGAAATAACGCTACTGGTTTGATCCAAGAAGATGAGAATACATCAAAAAATGGTGTTCATATCAGTGACGAAACTGGTAACGTAACTAGTAATACATCTACAGATCATTATGATGCTGATGGTCCAGATAACTCCTTCATTTTGAAGCGGATAATGGTACGTGTTCTTTTTGGAGCCTTTTTTCAATCTTTCCATTAAAATATGATATGTATCCGCAACTTTCTTTTTTCTTCTCTGGCTTTGTATGCTTGGAGTGATGGTGAGCAGACGTGTATCTATGATGTGGGCATCACTCTCTGGATATTACTTATTTGTGGGTGGCAGTAGTTCTCCACTGTTTATTGCTTATAGTAAAAAAATGTTTTAAACCGAGTGGTTCATGCATAAATAGATTATTCACGACCTGGCATAGGGTTATTCTTTGCAAGAGTTTTCTCCCTGCTAGTTATGTCATCTATCGACTTTTCGATGACTTGTAGATGCAAGTCCTTCTCAAATTTAATTTCTACTTTTTTCATTATATTTCCTAAACAGGTAGAGAGAGGACCAACTGTCTACTTAAGTGGTCTAAGGGAGAAGCATTTTGGTGAATTGTTTCTGAATGCATACAATATAAGTGGGAGTTCTTCTGCAGCGGGAGCGTCAAGTTCTCAATCAGCGTCATCAGGATTGGATCTCTCTGAACAGGGTTTAACACATATTGCGAGATACATTGAGTATTTTGAATCTCGATATAATGACATATGGCTTGTGTTTCATCACGAGGGTGTGTCTTTATCAAAGCTGATGTACACTGTGGAAGAAGCAGAGAATAGCTCTGCTGGTGAAAAGGCTGAAGAGGCAAGTCATGGGCAGATACTTCGTCCCTCAAAGTGGTGGACCTGGTTGAAGACAACAGAATCAGGAAACGAAGAAATGCGGAGAATAATATGGCAGCTGGTTCGTTGCCTAGGAATTTGAGAATGTTCTGATTTTGTTCCTATGTTTGGCAGTTGCATTTTGTGCTTACTTTTCCTTTACGCTTTACCCTTCTTTTTCAGTTGCTGGGTCTAAAGGCCTGCCATGATCGCAATATTACTCACAGAGATATAAAACCTGGTAAGAAACTTTTTGTTGTTAATGGTAGTTCATATAGTGTACAATCTGTGACAGATGATTATTCTCACGGATATTGATTTTATAACGATTGCATGGCATGTTCCCAAGAGAATATGGTGATATGCCTTGAAGACATCAAGTCAGGCAGATGCTTAAAGGGTGTACCAAATGGAAATTATAACTTCAAAGCTAAAATGTACTTAGATAAGTTTATTCATTTTGCTCTATGTATTTTTAATTTTCTGCAGCACTCAAAGTCTTTTAGTCCTTCACTTATGTAATTTATTGTTTCGTGGTAACTGATGGTCTTATGATAACTGTTTAGGCGTATCATCGACTTTGGCAGTGCACTTGATGAATTCACAATAAAACATTATTATGGGTCAACCGGTCCTTCAAGGTATTTCCTTTTTTTGGTATGTTTTTATCAAAAAAATATCCACATCTCAGATTTCTTAAATCATGATTATCACAGTACTTTGAATTATCTTGAATTCAGAGCAGAACAAACTCAGGATTATGCGCCACCCGAAGCCATTTTGAACAGCAGCTGGCACCGTGGGCCAACCAGTTTGACATTGAAGTATGATAGATCCTGCTATTTTTAAATAAGCGTGACTGCAGTATATATATATACAAGACACTTTTTAATCTTGCAGATACGATATGTGGAGTGTTGGGGTTGTGATGTTAGAGATGATTTTAGGGTCACCAAATGTTTTTGAGATCAGTTCTGTTACACGTGCCCTTTTGGATCAACATATCAGAGGTTGGAGTGAAAACTTTAAAGAGCTTGCATACAAGTAAGTTTGATTTAGGAGTGTAAATCATTTTGCTTGAGACCGACACCACCACAACACTCTTTAGACAAGTATTCATGTTCGAACTTAAATTTCGGTGACAGGCTTCGGTCCCTTATGGAAATGTGCATCCTAATCCCAGGTAGCTCTTTAAAACATGGTGGCGCCAGCTCAAAGCAGGTAAAAGGCAGATTGTGCTGTTGATTATGAATTGTTTTATTTAACTTGTCTAAAAAAGGTCGATTTGATAATAGTAATGCATGCGTAATTTCATCGATTTGATCAATTGTAAAAAGTTTGAAATGGTATAATAGGATGGTTTGAACGCCTTTTCTTAAACCTGGATGATTATTGTCTTATCCTTTGGATTTAGGGTGGGATTTCACTTGCGTCATGGAAATGCTCTGAAGAATTTTTTGCAGAACAGATAAAGAGTCGTGACCCTCTTAAGATTGGGTAAGTATTGATGAGTCCATAAATTAATGGTATGTACATTTGAGGAGATGGTGCTACATTTTAAAGGGAATGTGGGAAATGCAGGTTTCCTAATGTTTGGGCTTTAAGGTTGGTGCGGGGGCTACTACAATGGCACCCTGTGAGATACTCCTCATGTGTCTTTTGTTCATTACGGCAATGTGGTTAGAGCAATGTTGTGTTGACAGATTTGGATGGTATTGTGCAGGAGGATAGAATGAGCGTTGATGAGGCTCTGCAGCACTCTTATTTCCAGCCTCCTCCCAGCTCCGGAGTGTAGAGAAAAGAGCAAAGTGAAGAGATTTTCTGTGGCAGTAAGTGAACTCCTTGCTACGGTTATAAGTCATGTAAATCAGTATTGTGAAGAATGAAATATATTATTGACAAACAAGTGGTGGGTTGATATGATGGGAAGGCTGCCAGAAATATGAAGCATGTAGAGAAGGAGTTGTAAATGAGTGAAATATTAGAGTGAAATTGATCAGTTGAATAAAAAAAGGATGATAAATGAGTTATTGTGGATTGAAGTAGGAACACAGTTGAAAGGAAAGGACTAAGGGGAAGGCTCTATAGGAAAACATAATTTTGATGCGCAGGTTTCCTGTATATAACGTAAATGTTGTTCTAAAATCTCTTTTTTCCTCTTAGTCTAGGAGACTTGTATGTTTTTTGTTTTGGGCAACTGATTTTGTATATGATGATAAACCGAACGAGGGCCTTGACAATTTTACCAAAAGCAGATGCAGAGGAGACCATAAAAGCATAGATCGACTTAGTTTAGGGATATTAGGAAACTGAATCCTAAACATAACGGAGGAGAGAGCAGGTAGATAAATTACAACGCCGCCAGAATATATGAGAGAGATGGAAAGACAAAAAGGTCAACTAAACATTCACTATCTCCCCATGATTAAGTTTGAAATGCTCAACCAAGTCATATCGCTGTTACACGTGTCAAAATCTGAGGCGGCTGATTAATTTAATTGCTCGACGTATCGGGAAGCTTCTCTCTTGGTAGCCGCCTCTGCTCATGGTGTCTTTTTCTTCTCTCTCCCGCCGATCCCAATCCCGATCCTATTGAGTAATTTGGTCATCGATCTCATTCCCCTCAACCTCATCAGCTTGATTTCGTCAGCAAGATGTGGAACCAGGGCTTCGGGAAGCATGATTTGGAGTCGGCTCAGGCGCCTCTCTACCCGACGATGACGATGGAGAGCCCCGAGCTCCGTTGGTCTTTCATCCGAAAGGTCTACTCCATCATCTCCATCCAGCTGCTCGTCACTATCGCCGTCGCCGCCACCGTCGTTAAGATTCCTCCTATCGCCGTCTTCTTCACTACCACCGGCGTCGGCTTCGCTCTCTACATCCTTCTGATCTTCACTCCCTTGATTGTTATGTGCCCCTTGTATTACTATCACCAGAAGCATCCTGTGAATTATATATTGCTCGGGATTTTCACCGTCTCTCTCGCCTTTGCGGTTGGCTTGACCTGCGCCTTTACAAGCGGTAAGAGGGTTTCGTTTGCTGAACGCGAACACGACGACTATTGAGAGACTTCCCGTCTAAATGAATGTGTATGTGTATGTGTGGAACAGGAAAAGTCATTCTCGAGTCTGTGATTTTGACCTCTGTTGTGGCCATATCCCTCACTCTCTACACTTTCTGGGCTGCCAAAAGAGGCCACGACTTCAACTTCCTCGGGCCCTTCTTGTTCGGTGCCGTCATTGTGCTTATGGTCTTTTCCTTCATCCAGGTCTCGTTTCGCGAATTCCCTTGCCTTTGTTGCGTTCCCCCTTTAAGTTGAAAGTTGAATCCAATGTGTGTTTGTGTGTGGCTGCAGATTCTCTTCCCTCTAGGAAAGATCTCGGTGATGATCTATGGCTGTTTGGCATCCATCATCTTCTGTGGCTACATCGTATATGATACGGACAACCTGATCAAGAGACACTCGTATGACGAGTACATCTGGGCTGCTGTTTCACTTTATCTCGACGTCATTAATCTCTTCCTATCTCTGCTCACTCTCTTGAGGGCCGCTGATAGTTAATCGCTATGTCATAATTCTTTATATCTGCTAAGAAATCTGGGTGGCTTGTAAAGAAAAAATGTGTTGAACGCTGTAACATGACAGTGGAAGCTAATACATTCTACTTGTGAAAGTTGTTAGCTTTAGAAGTCATCTATCTCTTCAATCAATGGAACAAAAAGATATTACAAAAGGCAAAGTCTTGATCTTTAAACCTATTCTTATCATAGCAAGTCCGAAAAAAGCATCTACATCTCTGCTAGTTTATCCGTTTGGGCATGGAACTTTTTTGCTTCTTCTCTGCAGCGATGGCGAGAAGGCGGGACACGCCCTGGGTCCATATCTCGTATTCCCTCTGGTTTCTGCACTCAAATTCAACGACCCTCTTTGTTTCAGTCTTCAAGCCGAAGTAGTGATGCTTGTCTCCGTTGAAGAGATCCCTGCCCGCCCATGCAGGTATATCCCTTTTCACTTCCAGCACCATATCTGCAACACAAGCGCAAACCAAATGAATTGCATTATTATATTATTAGCACTTTTCTGGTTTTTTGTTCAAAGGCAGAGGAAATGTGTGTACGTTTCTTCTTCTTTGTGAAGGTCCCTCCGACGTGTTTGCTCTTCATTTTGAGTGAAACTTGGCCTGCTTTGTTGATGTAGACAGAGACAATCTTCCAGTGGAGATCACCTGCTTTCAACACACTAGGTTAGCAACCCATCTTTTTAATCGTAAATATCATTCACTTGAGTTGAGAGTACCTCCACGAGTTCGTTTGAGGAGCTCTGTGCCTTTAGCTAGTAGTTCCTGGTTGCAGACGCCAAGGAAGTCTTCCCCAGCTATAGGTAATTCTCCACTAAAGCTACTATCGCTATGCTTCGTTTCAACCTGGCCACACAGCGCTGAACTCGCACCTTTCTCGGCTGGTAACGCAGCAGCTATGTTCCACACTTCTTTAAGCGCCCTTGCCTTCAACGTGGCTGCTCCTCGCAGAGCTGCAAAACGTGGGTGAGTTCAGGTGTGGGATTCTCGACAGAAGCAACTCTGACTAGGTTATAATACAGTACCTGTTGCAGCAGCCGCGGTTAGGGTGACAATGTCGTCATGGGACTTAACATTCACTGCGGAGCTCACAACGGATGTCAAATGATCCCTTTCAGCTCCCATGTTCTCCGCAGCCTCCACACACTGAGCAGCCACCAATGCAGCCGCAGAAGCCATGGCCATATCAACTCTGGCCATCTGCTCATTTTTACATGGTGAGGAGGCTGCCGTCGCTGCTGCTACAGCTGCCACAGCAGATGCAACTGCAGCCACAGAAACAGCTGCATGGACCTGTGCATTGTGAGCTCTACTCTCTTCTTTCTTCTTTTCTTTACGGTCCTTGAGCCACCTACCGACCGTCTTTGGACCGGCTCCAGCCACGGGGGTATTGCTCCCATTTCCGGTGGTGCCTCGGCTGCCTCCTGTGCCTGAGAAGAGAGGCTGTATCGTGTTGTGGGTGCGAAAATACTGCCAACGGTAGTAACGGTAGGATTAGATTAGTCAGATCAAACCAAGTTAGGGAAGGAAATGCTAACACATGATCTATTTACCAAAGTAAAGTGAAGACTCTCTCTCTCTAAGGAAGATATAACAATTTCATTTACTTAAAATGAGCCAAACATATGAAGGGGCTCTGTGCGTTGGAGTCACATTCCTATTCCCCGTATCTATCTAAAATCCATTTCATAAAGTAAAAATGCATTGGAGACGGAGAGCATTTAATAAGAAAGTTTGAATTCGCTGCATAAAGGCCTTAATTGGCTTATAGTCCCAAGACCCAGAAGGCTGATCGCTGCAGTTCCTTAAATTATGCCAACGACCCAATTTTAAACAATCGATTTTTGTTTGCAGAAGATTCTCTCTATTAAACTGGAGGGAAAACAGTGAGAGGCTAAACACAGGTTGTAAAGTGGAGAGTCAAAGTCAAATCTGTTTTTGTCCGCAAAAATAAAGGTTTCATTTGCCTCTGCTTTCATTTTGGCTGTACTTTTTGTCCAGAGTAAAAAAAAAGATTTAAATAAAGGAGGAAGTACCTTGACGACGTCGTCCAAGTCATCGGAGGGAGAGATGGGAGGACTGTCTGTCTCCGTGAAAGAACCTCCGCCGTTCAGTGGGCCGCTACTGTGTGATAACCTCCCCGACGTTAACGGTGACACCTCCTTCATTATTCACACATTCACTCATCATTTGCAGGCACAAAATTAAAACAGAGTCTTGACACTCTGAAATTAATATTCATTAACCGTACGTACCGATTGAGACATTATGCGCTCAAGAACAAGCTGTGAAGTGGCAGAAGCAGCGAACGAGAACTGGCTGCTCTCCGGCGGACATTCTTCTTTCTCGGGGTTGTTTTCTTCCGGTATCGGAGCGTTTATGGAAGGAGTTCTGGTGGTGGCCGGAGCTGACTTGGCGGTGTTGAGAGCTCTGGAGACTTCCAAGGCAGATACGCTCCATGATCTAGACAAGAACTCCATCGGGCCTCGTGGGCTTTCCGGCAGTTGTGTACTACCGGCGCCTGAAGATAATATCTCCGGCCGGCGAGAGCTGGTGATTGGGTTCGGTCGTCTCACTTCTCTCTCCATCCCTGTCTTTTTTTAACTTGACAAGGAAACTAGTTTTGTGTGTGTTATTATATATAGACCAAATAAAACGTCTAGGTGTGTATTTTCACTTTTCTGCTCTTTTTCATTTAAAGAAAAAAATATAGTGTACCTGGTTATAATAAATTGGAATGTAAGAAATAAATGGAATTAGTTTAAATGTAATAGAAAAAAGGAAGATTATTCATTTTATAACATTTTTAAAATAGAATAATTTTTTAAAAAAAGATTTGTTTTATCTTCTCTGAAATAAATGGAATGTTTTTTTCATTTTCTTTCATTAACTGGAAACAATTTTATAGAATACTTAATTTCACATAATTTTATTCCTAAAAATTGCAATTCACTTACAGCCAAAGCTATTTCACTGAAAGTGAGTAAGTGTAGTCGTTGCATAAATAATGTGAGACCAGAAAAAAGACGTCGCTTTTCAATAACGAAGCCGCATCTTTCCAATTGTTTAATTAATACACACCAAAAATTACTTTAGGCGTATCAAAAGAAAAAAGAAAAGAAAAGGAGGGAATATTGGGATACCAGACTATTCACTGGCTTTATAAGACTTTTGAAATGGCAAAAGAATTGTATTTTGAATGTGTGTGATGTCGTGTTTATATAATCCTTTAGTATTAATCAAGCAGCTAATAAGCGGTTTGCTAAGTGACGATGGATTGTATGAGAGGATATTGTTGGTTAACTAGAAAGAATCGAAACGACTGTGTTTGATTTCATCAGTCTCTTAATTTGGTCCCTCCCCTTCTATTGCTTTGATTTTGAGACACAAAGCTGCGACCTTTGCGTACATTTACACATGCTGCTTCGCGTGCTTACCATTACGTCACCTTCCTCTCTCTCTGACTCTCTCCATCTCCACTTCAATGGCAACTTCGTAATTGATTTTATTCATTCCTTCCAGTACTAGAACAAAACTTGTGATTTTCTTTTCTTCTTGTACAACATAAGTGTTAACATACATATGCATTAATACATTATTAGAGTATTTGATAGCATAAAATGCATCTATGTGATATTCAATTATACTGCATCTCTTCTTGTACATAGGTATGATGTTGCACTTTGCAATTGAAGGTGGGTGACCACTTAATAAAGGTACATCCTTTATTCTCTTTTGCTCTGTCTAATTCTAGGGATACCCACATTTTTCTTTTCTTTTATAATCCATTAGAAATATTGTCTCATTTTGTCTCTCTGATTATTCCTTTGCCTGCAATCATTGTTCTTGTTTGGACGTTTTGCAGTTTTTATACCAATTTAATGAATAATACTATTGAATGTATCAGCTGCACTTTGAATAATGATGAATCCTCTTTTGCATTTTATTGTTTCTTTAATCATCTTCTTTTTTGCTTTTGATATGCTTACAATAGACACCATATCCGTTTCTGTGGGTTTTGAAACCCAAATGCACCTTTCGATGCAAAAGCACCTCCAAGTCAAAGCAAGCATCTTTAAAGGGAGAAGAATTTTGAATTCACAAAAGAAAAGACTTGCGAGCAAAACCCTTTCGTCCATTTGATCTACACGTACAGCAAAATGTTTAAAGAAAAAAAAAGAAGAAGATTGATTCCCTAAAGGAATCTGAGTAGAGGCACAGCTTTTACTTTATTAACACCACTTTGTCTTAATGCGACGCTTGAAAACAAGCAGGGAGATGTAAGATTGGAACAGCATCCGGGGAGACACAACAGGAACATAAACAGACTGAGAGAGAGAGACTGGACTAAAGAAGAGCCCCAAAAGAAAAAAGAGAGCTTTTGACTGTGATAACGAGTTAACAGCTTTCACTGTTTTGGCTCCAACATCGAAGTGTCCCCAGCTCTCCCTTTAATCTCTCTCAGAAACAGCGCTTCTTGGCTCATTCTTCTTGGCTTCAACTCACAATGAACAAATTGAGTAGCTAAAGATTATCTAGCTATTAGACTGCAAGCCGCTCCCTCCGTAGTACTGCTTTGTTGTTTCCCGAGAAAACTCGGCAAATGTCATCCCATCCCTTAGCCTTGACGACAGAGGTGGAACAATCTTCTGTATGTCTGTTTGAGAGACCTCGTCTGTATCAGGGAGCTGTCTCTGTAGACAATCTGACCTTAGCTGTTCCATTGTATATTCTGAGACCGAGAAAGTTTGGCTCCAATTTGGCTGTAGGAAGACCGCAAATGTCTCGCGGCTAATGTGGTCCAGCTTCTCTGGCCTGCAAACGCAGTGGAGGGTCGACCGTAGCTTCCCCTGAGACAAAACATCAGCAGATTCTCCAATTTGAACTAAGAAACTGTCCTGTGGAGTCTTGACCATGTAGAACTTGTTCTTGGAAGGATGATAGATGCGCAGGTAAGAGTGGGTGCTCATAAAAGGGCGGGAATACGAGGATAAAAACATAGGATCAGTGAGAATGGTAAAGATCCCATAGTCATAGTGCCACTGTTGCCACAGATTCCCACTCAAAGCAGCCCCATGCCTAAGCTTAATGTGGGCTCGTTGACCAGATTGCTTCCTCCTCTGGGCTTCAAGGAGAGCAAGATTATCTGCAGCGGAGTGGTAATGAACGAGGCGTGCTTTGGCGGCGCAAGACTCCAGCAAACTCTCCTCGAGTAACCCTCCTCCGATCTCCCTGTCGCAAACTCGGGCTATAAACAAACCCAAATCCCTCATGCAAAAACCTAGCTCCTTAAACGCAACACCAAGATGTTTGAAATCACCATCATCATCATCCTCCCGCAACTCCAGGTTAGAACCAGATTGACAAGTGGGGTCATAGCTGAGCTGCATTGCAAAAGACGAGACATGTCGTTCTGGATTCTTGAGAGAAACGTCGCTTCCCAAGTGGTGCTCCTTTAACGATGAATGGAACACAATCAGTAAGAAGAAATGCCACAAACACACACTAACAGAACAGCTCAGAGTTTCTCCAATCGATTTCATTGAAAAGGGTAACCTTAAGAATGCGATTCCGCTTCTCGGGATCAAGCAGAGCCAGCTTCCGAGCCATTGGAAGGAGTTTGCGGCGGAGAAGGGCGGAGCCTAGAACGCCGGTGACAGAGAGAATGCCTGGGCCGTTTGGGCCTAGGGCTTCCATCACATCTCTCGAGATCCGGTGACATCGTTTTCGGTCTCTCGAGGACAAAAGAAGATCCGACAAGGACAGTTGATAGGGTTCGAGAATCTCTGCTTCCACCTTGTCTCCTCCGTTCATAGCTCCCATCACCATCACTGGACTCCTATATTCTCTCTCGTAAATCCAAACACGCACAGTTACGATAACGCCCCTATCTTTCTCTCAATCTGTACAAATTTTCCTCCATATTTTAAAAACGTTCACAATTAGGTGGCCCAACACAACAGGGCCCAAAACGCCAGCTTTGACCACATGCCGTTTTAAGCCTTAAGAATCGAATGCATCGCCGTTTTATTGTCTACATAGTACATACAAATAAATACAAGAAAGGGTTTGGGGGTTGCTTGATCTAGACGGAAGCTTCTTTGAAGCTCTTGGTCAGCCAGATGGCCGTCTCCCTCGGAGACACCCTCTCGGGTCCAAAGGGTTTAAGCAGAACCCCGAGCTCATCGTACCTTTCCTGCTGCAAAAGCTTTGCACTGAACTCCAGCAGCCCCTCCAGAGCCTCCGCTCGCTGCTGATACGACGATGTGTCGAACCTTCTCTCCGGACCTGGCCTTGTCTCTACTCTTGTACACTTATCCTTTGTCATTGAACGGTTCGAATCGTCCTCGTGATTAGGAGGAGGAGAAGAGCGCCTAGCTACTGCTCTTGCGCCTGTATCTCTGTTCTTGAAGAGATGGTCAGGGAATTCAGCGATCTTGTCGAATCTCGGAGCGTTTACAGAAACGTCCGGTGAGTTTAGGCCCTCCGACTCGCAAGTGTAAGGGTTTTCGACGACCAACGGCAGAGATGCTCTCCTCCGATTCATCTGATAAAACAGCAAAGAACAGAGATCTGAAATTCACTCACCCTATCTGTATTAAAAGCTTTGGGTTTTTTGGTCCTCTTACCAGTTCATGCTTGGAAACAGTACGCGGCGTGCTTGACGGCGTTTCAAGTCTCTTTGAAATGACAGATGCTTTTGCTGAGGTCCCGGCTACTCCCGCTGTTCTAGCTGCACCTGGTTGCTTCTTGACCCTCTCCTGCCTTTGAGCAACGACAATCTCTTCACTGACGACTCCAACAGTTACTTCTGAGTCTTTTCTGGCATTATTAAACATTGGTGAATGGGATGCTTTGCCTGAAGAAGACACAGAGCCTGCTTCTGTATCAGAGGCACTCGGATTCAACCTCCTGTCGTTGCTAAACGAACGCCTTCTTTCCTTTACTGTAGAACCCTTCTCAGACCATTGGAGTGTAAAACTGCTTCGTCTGGGACTCTCTAGCTTCAGATAAACCATGCTAATGTAAGGCTGAAGATGAGGGTGGTTAAGCAGCTCACTAGCCTGCACCCAGAGATAACACCAATATGCTTAGCTCAATTATGATTCAAGGATTCAATCGCACAGAAGCAGTTTTACTACAGGAAACATACGCTTGGCCTGAGTTCAGGATTTTTCCTCAGCATACTTTTGATGAGGCCTCGGCTGCGGATAAGCGAGGAAACAGGTTGGTACAGCGAGTGGGTTAGTGTTGAGAGAGAGAGAGAGAATGATTTCAGACTTACAATGAACCGGAATACATGGCAGGGATGGGATCCATTATCAGTTTGTGTATTTTGGTGATCAGTGTCTGCACGTCCTGCAATCAAGATATCACATTTCATAACAAAGGTGCTAATTCCCAAAAAGACAAAAAGCTACTTAAAAGGACGGACACTTACAGTAGCTTTGAAAGGAGGTTTATGAGCAGCCATCTCATACATACAGCATCCTGCTTGCCCCCATGTCTTAGAAATGAAGAATGTTGGATAACAAGTAAAAAAGCAATGAAGAATGTATAAAGAAAGTTATACCCAAAGACCAAATGTCTGACTTTGATCCGTAAGGTATGTCAGCAAGAAGCTCAGGGCACATGTAACTTGGAGTTCCAACAACCTAATAAACACACTGACTTTTCACTACTGCGTCTCAGAAATAGATAACACAAAGGCTTGTTAGTGTGTAAGTGTCACTGTTGACAACTTACAGAGGATGTAAGGTCATCAGAAGTGAGAATCTTGGCGAGGCCAAAGTCACCTGAGACCGGAATGAGGATGCGTTAATAGCTCTCAAAAAGGCAAAGACATAGTGGAATCTCACAAACTTACCAAGCCGTATGTTTTGCTCTTTTGTCAAGAATATATTAGAACACTGAAAAGAAGAGTGTGAATGAGACTTAGTTGCTTGAGACATGAAAGGAAGAGGTTAAATAGTATAAGTACCTTGACATCGCGGTGGAGAATATGGTTGGAGTGCAGATAATCGAGTGCCATTAGGAGTTGAACAAGCCATTGGCATAGTTTCTGCAGGAGATGGGGTTATTAGTCATAAGATTGTTGTGAGAAGTGAAGATCTTAATGGCTGAGGCAAACCTCTTCAGGAAAATGAACACCAGATGCTCTTTTGATGGTTTCTGTCCTGCAAGAAGATAATACGTATTGGAAAATAAGAGCCAATTTCTTGTAACTTAGAAAAAAAGAGAAAAACAAAATCTGTGAGATGAATTTGAGTGAAAAGCGTTTTACATGTCTCCACCTTCACAGTATCCAATAACGATGCAGACATAGCAACCCTGAAAAGAAGAGAGATGATGAGTAGCAGAAACAAGAGAACCACCACATAGAGGCAGGCAAGAACAAGAGACCTTTTCAACCCACGAATCTTTGTACTCCACAACAAACGGATTGCGGACAGTAGAAATGAGCTCCATCTGAAACATCAATGGAGGTCATCTTAAATCTTAAGAAAAAAAACTCAGAATCCAAAGACCAAAAGAAGGTGGGGAAGAGAAGGCAAACCTCCTGATGAGCTGAACGGCGAGCCCTATCAGACTGGCGAGCGAGACGAATCTTTTTCAATACGTATCTGTGTGAAACGCAGAATCACAGTAAAGATGAGTAGGGAGACAATTAATAGAGAAGCAAGCGAGAGAGAGAGAAGACAGTGTACTTCTTCCGTTCTTGTTTGTGTCTGACAAGAAGCGCAGAGCCAAAGGAGCCTTTCCCAATCTGCTCCAAAACTTCATACCGCTCCATCGAAAATGAATCTTCAAACAGAAACAAACCATGTGAGAGTAGAAGAGAAACCCCTCATTATAAGATGAAAACTACAAACACACACAAAGACATTGAAGAAACTAAAAGAAAAAGGAAAAAGAAAAATGTACAGGAGTCTGGAAAATCCAAATCAGTGTCACGTCATGCACCAAATTAGATTAGTAAACAAATCGAGAGTAGCTTTCAGCAAAGATTTATGATTGCTATCATCAAACAGTAATCATAAAAAGCAAAAAGTGGGAACCAGCCCGTAATCATATGCACAAGCCATATACACAAATTGATTTTTATTATATACTGTATATATCTAAATAATTATCGGTCGCCTTGCACCTTCTATCCTCACCGACACCGTGGTAGATGAGCAGAGAATCGATTCGCAATATTACTAATCACCCCAATTGCAAAAACTTTATCAAAAGAAATATTTTTCTAATCCCCAAAGTTGTGTGTGAGAGAGAAAGAGAAAGCGAAGATGAAGAAGATGAAACTGACGATTCGTCGGAGAGCGGCAAAACAACAGTTTCCTCTACCTTTTTTAAATTTCAAATTATGTTTTCCTTGGAATTTGTTGAATTTCGAGTTTACATAAAGAAGGAAAAAAACAAAACTTTGCTTTTTCAGTTTTTCCAGTAAAAATCATTTGCTCAAAGTACAAACCATTTTATTTGTTCTAACTGGAAAATTGTAGCGCTAAAAAGCAAATCAGCAAATACACATTACCAAAAGAAGTTATTTCTCTTAATAAATGATCTTTAAAGTTAATTTATATTTAATTGTTCAAAAGACAAAAATGTTGGAGATGTACACGAATCGAGCTGAGCCCAGTGGGCCCGACAGGGAGGTATCTATTCCGCGCGTTGCGTTCACTTGATATTCCGTGGGCCGATTTGTGTGCGCGACTAAAACGACGCCGCGTGGTCCAGCAATCAGCATGTTTAATTCCCTTTTTACCCTTCTCCACCTCGATTATTACTATTAGTCAGCCAATCCTCTAGTGAACCGTATATCTCTCCGGCGTTGATGGCTCCGGTGAAGAGGAAGCCTGAGAAAAAGGCGAAGAAGTCGAAGAAAGACAAGAGAATCAACGTAGCTCCGTTGGATCCAGAGGCTATCGACTGCGACTGGTGGGATACTTTCTGGCAGCGAAACTCTTCTCTCTCAGGTAGGAGCTTCGATTTCCTCGACTTAGAGTTAGATCCCATTCGGGCTTCGTGAAATCCGCTGATCAAAGTAGATGCTTCAGTTTGTTGTGCTTCTGATTCCTCTTCGAGTGTGATATCAATCTATAGTAGATTCTTCCCCGTTGGTGAACTGAGATGGAAGATGTTTGCAGGTGTTTCAATCCCCGTAGAGGAGGAGGATGCGTTCAAGTACTTCTTTAGGGCTTCAAAGACGACATTTAGCTATATATGTTCGCTGGTGAGGGAGGATCTCATCTCTAGACCTCCCTCGGGGCTCATCAACATCGAGGGAAGGCTTCTTAGTGTAGAGAAACAAGTAGCCATTGCTCTGAGAAGGCTGGCCTCTGGTGAATCTCAGGTCTCCGTGGGAGCAGCCTTTGGTGTTGGGCAGTCCACAGTTTCTCAGGTTACATGGAGATTCATCGAGGCGCTTGAGGAACGCGCCAAGCACCACCTGAGATGGCCAGATCCTGACAGAATAGAAGAGATCAAGTCAAAGTTTGAGGGAACGTACGGTCTCCCAAACTGCTGCGGAGCCATAGATTCGACGCACATCATCATGACGCTACCGGCTGTGCAAGCATCAGATGACTGGTGCGACCAGGAGAAGAAGTACAGCATGTTCTTGCAAGGTGTCTTTGATCACGAAATGAGATTCCTCAACATGGTTACCGGCTGGCCTGGCGGCATGACCGTCTCCAAGCTGCTCAAGTTCTCTGGCTTCTTCAAACTCTGTGAGACAGCTCAGGTTTTAGACGGGAACCCCAAAACTCTGTATGAAGGAGCCGAGATTAGAGAATATGTAGTTGGAGGGTTCGGTTACCCGCTCCTTCCGTGGCTCATAACTCCCCACGACAGCGATGACCCCTCTGATGCCATGATGGCTTTCAACGACAGGCATGAGAAGGTGAGGTCAGTCGCAGCTACGGCCTTTGCACAGCTGAAAGGAAGCTGGAGGATTCTGAGCAAGGTCATGTGGAGACCAGACAGGAGGAAACTGCCTAGCATAATACTGGTCTGCTGTTTATTGCACAACATCATTATCGACTGTGGTGATTATCTGCAAGACGATGTTCCTTTATCGGGCCATCACGACTCCGGTTATGCAGACCGGTACTGCAAGCAGGCCGAGCCGCTTGGTAACGAGCTCAGAGGATATCTGACTCAGTACTTGCAGAGGTCTGGAGGATCCTAGCCGCCTTCACTAATACTTTTGAGAGGAGTTGGTAATTTCGCAAACATGTTGATTTAATGAGGTGTTGTCTTGTAGCCTTCTTCAGTATTCGAGATCTTCATCCCTCTGAACCATTCAGCAGCAGTCTATAAACAAAAAGAAAAGATGTTGACAAACTTTTGTAAAAGTAAAACTCAAACATTCGCATCTGGACCTAGAAAAATTATCTAAAACCAAATACTTTTGAGAGCACTTTGGTAATTTCGCAAAGAGAAGGGGGTAATTTTTTGTAAAATGCGAATATTAATATATGCGTGGTATCTTGGAGTATTGTGTGTAGTTGGGCTCCACTAAAACTTGTTGAAAGTTTGTGAATTTTTTATAAAATTCTTCAAAAGAGTATATGCTGGTGGGATGCGTATCGGTTTCGGTGCTTTGTGCTCACAAGTAACAACGGACCAAGACTCCCAACATATTCACATGACACACTAAAAAACTACTAGTCTATATATCACAAATACAATTACGCAATCTGGTTTATTTCCTTACATAATATAATAAAATAGTAATCTCAAAAGGGCCCATGTGTGTTGACGGTGCTACTAATTGAAAGAAAAGTCATATGTCAAAAAGATTTGAACCAACAGCTATATTTGTAGATTTGTGGTAAAATTGGGAAGGAATATTAGAGTAACTTATGGGAACAAACAAGGGACAAGGAATTGAAATTCGAAGAAGTTTCACAACTAGACTGGTCCAAAGAGACACGTTGAAAAACTATTCAACGGGTGTGGTGGTGGCGTGAGAAGAAGAAGAACCAAAGACACGCAGCTCTCTCGGCTCTGTCTATAATACTAATATTTTTGCTTTTTAAATTTTGAAAAAAAAAAACGTAAAGGGCAAAAGGAATAATGATCTCGCGAGAGTTTGGCCGGTGAAACTGTCAAAAAGACACAGATGATTTGGTCTCTCACCTACTCCATTGTGAAACCAGAAACAATCTCTCCCTAAAGGGTATTTCATCTTCTTTCTTCTTTCAATCTCCGCTTTGTATCTTTCTTTCTCAATTCTCTCTTGTCTTTTCCTTTCTCTCTCCACCACATAAATTCGGAATTCAAAAGGAAAAACCCCTTGAGCTCCATTGAGTCAACTCCTTCATTTCCGATCCTTGGGTCTGTATTACTATTCGTGGGTCTTCAGCTCCAACGACAGAGGAAGCCAAGCCGGAGAGAAATCAATGGCGTCTGGCGGCGGAGAGTCTGAGAGAGGTGTTCAAATCGGATCCGACTCGAAGCCGAAGCCGGCGGATCCCAAAATAGGCGGAGCCGGGAGCAGGAGCGCCGGAGAAGGGCAGTACATCAGGGCGGACACTCTGGATTTCAGTAAATGGGATTTGCACATGGGTCAAACCTCAAGTGCCCCCAAGGCGCGGGCGGCGCCTATGCAGGAGTGGGAGATTGACCTCTCGAAGCTGGATATGAAGCACGTCCTCGCCCACGGCACTTATGGCACTGTCTACCGCGGTGTCTACGCCGGCCAACAAGTCGCAGGTCCGTCTCACTTGTCTTGGGTTTTCGTTAAAGTTTGCTTCTTGTTGCTCCATGTGACTTTCTGTGTTACATACAATTTGCAGTCAAGGTGTTAGATTGGGGAGAAGATGGTTACGCCACAGCTGCCGAAACTACGGCTCTGCGTGCTTCCTTCGAGCAAGAGGTCGCCGTCTGGCAGAAGCTCGATCATCCCAACGTTACAAAGGTATTTACATTCAAAATTACATTGTAAGAATTTCTTGTTTTTTTTTTAATTCAACCCGTTTTTCTCTGGTCGCAGTTTATAGGAGCGTCCATGGGAACCTCGGATCTCAAGATCCCTCCTGCCGGCGATTCTGGCGGGCGTGGTAACGGTGCACATCCTGCGAGGGCCTGCTGTGTTGTGGTCGAATATGTTGCCGGAGGCACTCTCAAGAAGTTCCTCATCAGGAAGTATAGGTCCAAACTACCCATCAAGGATGTCATTCAGCTCGCTTTAGATCTCGCCAGAGGGTAATCAATCAGCAAACCACACTCTCTTTTGTTTAGAGTCTGCGATTGTCTCTGTGAATAGGATGCTTCCTTCCTTTACCGACAAGCCTCCTCCGACCTTTCCCTTTTTCCTTGTCTCAGGCTGAGTTACCTCCACTCCAAGGCGATTGTACATCGTGACGTGAAGACAGAGAACATGTTGTTAGAAACTAATAAGACGCTCAAGATTGCTGATTTCGGAGTAGCTAGAGTCGAAGCTCAGAACCCTCAGGACATGACTGGTGAAACTGGAACTCTTGGATACATGGCGCCAGAGGTATGGAGCCAATATCCCTTCTCTTTCTGTATTGGGAAAAGAATTAAAAAAGGTTGCCTTTTGGTGCGTATAGGTTCTTGAAGGAAAGCCTTACAACAGGAAATGCGATGTCTACAGCTTTGGCGTATGCCTCTGGGAGATTTACTGCTGCGACATGCCCTACGCTGACTGTAGTTTTGCTGAGATCTCTCACGCCGTTGTTCATAAGGTTTCTCTCTCTCTCTCTCTCTCCACAGTCTCTTCTATGCTAAAGTTCAATCAGATAATCTAATCCCCTGTCTCTCTCTCTCTCTCTCTCTCTCTCGGTGTATCTTGCTCAGAATCTGAGACCAGAGATTCCGAAATGCTGCCCACAATCGGTGGCAAACATCATGAAGAGATGCTGGGACCCGAATCCTGACAAGCGTCCGGAGATGGAGGAGGTCGTGAAGCTACTTGAAGCGGTAGACACAAGCAGAGGCGGTGGAATGATAGCTCCAGACCAGTTTCAGGGCTGCCTCTGTTTCTTCAGACCTCGTGGCCCCTGATCTCTCTCTCTCCCTTTCATTTTTTGAGAGCTGCGTGATTCTTTGGATTTTGTAATCTTTTTTTGAGACTTTGGAGTTAGATTGGTGTGGTCTTTGTCATAAGAATCTCTGCTCTCTCTGCTCTCTCGATGTATTTTATACTACTACACACAGTCGTGTATAAATTGATAAAGCTTGATTCTTTCTTTCTCTTTTGGGGGTCTTTGCAGGTCTGTTGTTTCTACCAAAATGTCGATTCTTACAATTTCATATATGTAAACCTGTAATGGAACAAACAGAAACAGAGAACTGAAAGTTTAAAAAAAAAACAGAGCACCCACTAAGCCTAAGAGTGAAGAAGGCTACTAGAGGGTCTGGTTGTACATTGAAAAGGATTGGGGCGATTTTGTTATTAGTATCAAAGATAAGGTCTAAAATACACAATTTACGAATAAACGAGTCGTGAAGTAGGTGTAGGTAGAGAGAGAGAAGTAAGCTCACATTTTTGTTGTTTCTCCAGTTTCAGTGCATACGTTTCTGTCGGAGCTCGACTCAGATGGTGACCGGAAGCTCAAAGGCGGCGGCTTTTTACTCGATGAAAGATTTCCTGAAGCAGACAGGCGGTTTTGCGGTTATAGACGGCGGGCTTGCAACGGAGTTTGAGCGTCATGGAGCGGATCTCAACGATCCTCTCTGGAGCGCTAAATGCCTTCTCACATCCCCTCACCTCGTTCACACCGTAAAACCTTCTCTTTCTCCGTCGACTCCTTTTCTTTTTTCTGATGTTAGTGTCAAATCTGATTCCAACGTTTTGCTCGCCGGGCGGCCTCGTAAATCCAGCTGTTGCACGAAGCTTTGTGCTTTTCTTTTTCTGTGTGCATAAACCCTAGATTTGTATTTGGATTTGGATTTGGATTTGTATTTAGATTGAGGTTTTACTTTGAATGGTTGAGAAAACGCCATGTGAAGCTATCTGGATTTAGTAAAGCATTCTCGTTTTCATCAATGATTGCGCCACGAATGTTTCAACACTTTTGGTGTATAAGACTACTGATTCAGCTGGAATTTACAATTTATAAAGCTGTCAACTTCTGAACTCTAAACCCTTTTAGTAGTTGTTAGTGTTCATCTTTCTCCATTGTGTTGCATTTTCTACGCCCAGATTCAAGGTTTCTTGTGTCTTTTTTGAGTGGGGGGGAAATAGCTTCTTTTTTCTTCTTCTTTGCTTTCTAGTGATGGCATTGGTAGTAAGTATTATGGCTCATAGCTTTGCTTAGCTGCTAGTATTTCATGATGGAGCAGGTGCATCTCGATTACCTTGAAGCCGGTGCAGATATCATCTGCAGCGCTTCTTATCAGGTTGTTTGTCCCTCTCTTTCTCTTCATCTCTCTATCTTCCTTTAGCTGCTGATGTCTTTTTCCGACACTAAAAACCTGGATTTGAACAGGCCACGATTCAGGGGTTTGAAGCAAAAGGCTTTTCAAGAGAAAAGAGCGAATCTTTGCTTAGAAAGAGCGTGGAAATAGCCTGCGAAGCTAGGAACACGTACTATGACAAATGCGGAACTAGCTCCTCCAGCGAGATCATGGATGATAAGATACTTAAAAAGCGGCCTATATTAGTTGCAGCATCAGTTGGTAGCTACGGCGCATATTTGGCTGATGGATCAGAATACAGGTCTAGTCCTCCTGCAGCTTTCTCCAGCTTTTTATCTATGTTCAGATCTGATTTTTAAAACTAACTGTTGGTGGCTGTGTTACAACACGATCAGTGGAGTGTATGGTGATTCGATGACGCTGGAAACACTCAAGGATTTTCACCGAAGACGAGTCCAAGTTCTGGCGGAGTCGGGTGCTGATATAATCGCATTTGAGACCATTCCAAACAAGCTAGAGGCTCAGGTAATGAAACGGGTTTTATGGGGGATCATGACTTGTAAGTCTTGCTGCATTTGACGTTTGTGGGCTTCTTTCACAAGGCGTTTGCGGAGCTGTTAGATGAAGGGGATGTGAAGATTCCAGGGTGGTTTTCGTTTAACTCCAAGGATGGGGTGAACGTGGTGAGTGGGGATTCGATCAAGGAGTGTATCGCCATAGCTGAAAGTTGTGAGAAAGTAGTGGCGGTTGGAATCAACTGCACCCCTCCAAGATACATAGAGGGGCTAGTTACGGAGATAGGAAAGGTTGGACACTCATATGGGTAAGGCTTTTGTGGTTGTAGAGAGGGAGAAGACGAGACTAAAAGGTTTGCAAAACTTGCAGGTGACGAGGAAGCCAATACTAGTGTATCCAAACAGCGGAGAAAGCTATGATGCTGATCGGAAGGAGTGGGTTGTAAGTCTTTCTATCTTTGTTATTACAGTTTGGTGCGAATCAAAGTTGTTCATGAATTTGGTGCGCTGAGAGAAGAAAGAAATGGTGGTTGCAGGAAAACACAGGAGTTGGGGATGAAGACTTTGTGTCATACGTAGAGAAGTGGATGGATGCAGGAGTGTCTTTGCTTGGAGGTTGCTGCCGCACTACACCAACCACCATCAGAGCCATTCACAGCAGACTTGTCTCCCGCAGAGCACTTTCCTCTTCGTCCCACCATTATTAGCCTCTCTTTCTTCTATTTGTACCCAAAAACAAAACTTTTGAATGTTTTTTGTTTTCCCTTTGCCCAACACTAAACCCGTTCTGCAACATGATCGCCTCTTTTCTTCTTCTTGTTCTATATATATGATGCCATCAAAAGTTTTGTGTAGACTGTGTGTAGTAGTCTCGTGTTAGATAGATGACCCTCACCAAATGTCAAATGTCACATATTATTTTGTTTCCAGAATATGTAATACTGATTGTCTGATTGCATATAGCAAGTCCAAGGTCCTTCAGATTCATCGCTTAGCCAAACTCTGTGTTACAAGATGTCGTCAACGCTCCTTGGGCTTGTGGTTGTACCGTACGGTTGGGGAATTATGAGATCTGATGTAAAAGACCACACACAATTATTTGATGTGTGATCCATCTTTTTCAATTATACCAGAAAACTATGCACAAAGAAAGAGATAAAAACAGTAACATCATCATCCTTTCTTCTTTTCTTTTTACCCCTAAACCCTAACATCTCCATGTTCATGAAAGTGATGTTTAACCATACTCGCACCCAAAGGACCTCTTTCTTCTCCTTCTTCTTCTTCTAAGGGTTCTTCAAAGTGAAAATCTTTCACATCACCCATCATTCCCTAAACCACTTTCCCCTTCCATTTCTTTTTTCACTTTGTTTTCTTTTGCAGTACTATATGATGAATTGTGCATTTGTGCATGTTCGGAGAGTTGGATGGAATATTTGTATCTGCCTTGCGATAAATTAACATATACAGTATAATGCTGAAAACAAAAACAAAAAGTTCCTTGCAAACAAGATTGGAGGAAATTTTATTTAATTTGTTTGTCTATTCCTTAGAATAAATCATTATAATTCAAAAACATGCTTAATTACCAATCATATCCTAATGTTCTTCTAGGTATTATCATGAATCTTTATAATATCCCCCATATGCTGCATATTTTACAGAGTCGCTTTCATTAGCAATATTATTAATTTAATAAATAAGATAGAGTAACAGAGACACAAATTAAGTTATTTTCTCAGTTTTAATAAAATGGTTAGGTTCTTCGGTAGCTTTAATTAAAATGTTCGAGTTCTCTATTATTGGGTGTGTACTGGCGTTGACGGGGTACAATAGAAAAAAAATAATACTAGTTAACCCTTTAATTAATCAGTACGTTTCTCTAATGAGAGAGGGCGAGTCATAGGCATTTAACAAAAGAAAACCCATGAAAGCGTAATTAATATAAGGAGTTATTACAACTGGCACAGTGCTTCGTTTTACATATTTACAAAAATAAAAGGCTGTGGAAATGTACTTTCTTTTTAATATACTGATGCTGCCGTATATGTGTCAATGTGTGTATACGCATACATACATTAATAGACAAAACATACATACACATCGAAAAAGAAGATTTACTAGTATTTACTAAACCTAAGTATTGGTCTGAATAAACAGACACGGTCTCCCACATGCAGCATGTGTCATTTTTAACTTTACCTTACAAACTAAATTGCTTACATTCACCAAACAATGTCTTTAAAGTGAAAACTCGATTTATATAATCATAAAAAATGAAGCAATGCAAAATCTGGAGGTGTTGGGCCCCATAAATTAGCCCTACAAGATCCTAACTTTGTGTTTACAAAATTAATGCTCAACTTATATAAATAATGGTATTTCCAATAAAACTTTCTGTTAAACAATATTTCTCAGTTTGATGCTCGACTCGTACGTATAAACAACATTTCACAGTAATTTAAACAGCGATCTTGTGATATAAGCCATTATAACTCGTATGTATAAATGTAAATGTAATATGACATTGTATAAGTTGGGGTATTATGCGTTTGAATTAAACTTTTGAGAAAGTAGATAAGATAGATCGAAGAGGACGAAGCAGCGTCTCGCAAAGTGGATGGTCCCTTAGACATTAGTCTAGATTGGGTCAAAAGAGTCCCCTCCTCTTTCCACACAAGAAGCTCAATTTTATAAATTTTCACATTTTACTAAAAAGTGCCTTGCAAAGATATAAGTACGTTTGTTTTCTTGATCTTTATAGTATTATTTTGGTAAACGTGTTATTTCCCACTTCTATGATACGAATCCAAAAACTATAAAGTGGCATTTGTGGTTGTTGTTGTCTCCGAATCCTCAAACTTCACCCTTTAAACATGCATACATGTATCTACTACACCTTAGCTCACCAATCCACTCTCTCGTTTTGCTTTTAATTATATATTAATTTTCATTTACGAAACTATTTATTAATTACTTCCTGGCGACATATTCCCAAGAATTGAGATTTGGTTTTGTTTAGGTGGTTATTCCAATTTCCAAATCCGGGATTTGTATTGCATATATGGAATGGAACAACCCAAAAGTGTCGATTTTGCACTTTTCCTTTTTTCTATTATGATTACTCTTCTATGTCATATTTCCGCTTCATATGTTGATCTCTTAGTTTCTATATAAGTATAACATGAGAGAAAAAAGTGTATTTTATCATTTTTCTGATCTAGAGGACTATACACTTATTAACCCTCTAGTTACAATGAAACACTACTAACAAACAATATAAGATAGCTATAGCATATATATATATATACTTTAAAATATTTAAAACATCTTTGTTTTGCAAAAACGATTAAAGGAGTATCAATTTGTGGTAACAAAGTTATTGCAAATATGGAACAGAAAGTAGTCAGTAGTCTCTATTACCAAAACTTGGAGCTTTTACGAGGGTCGTAGAGGAGTATTCCATAATAAGTTGAAGTTTACATGTTTATGGGAAGAACATTATATACGTCACAATCAATGGAGATATACGAAAACAGAGCTTGAGGGAAACTGCAATAACTATGGACTGCAAGTAGGGAAATTAAAATAAAAACGAAAATGAAAAGTATATACTTTTTATGTAAAACGAGAAAGTTACCGGGTCTAATTACCCAAGGCCGGACGACCCGATACAGGAAAAAACGGGTACAATTCGGTTTTAAATTCATAGGAGTATTTAATTAAAACGGGTCGGACCCACAAGCAGAGATGCAGAAGAAGCTCTGGAGAGAGAATCATATGGCAGTTTCATGATCCGCTCTTCTTCTTTAAAGACAGAGAGAGAGAGAGAGAGATACATTTCAGAAAACAAGAAGAAGAAGAGGAAAATCCGGGTCGTACCCGAATACCCATCTCTCCCCACTCGGGTTCCAAAGTTCTTGTCTTTCGTTTGCCCCCCTTTGGATTTGGGCGTTGAAAGCCTCAAAGAGAGAGAGAGAGAGAGAGAGAGAGAGAGAGAGAGAGAGAGAGAGAGAGAGAGAGAGAGAAAACAAACAAACAGCATACGAACAACCTCTTCCTTGCCCTCTCTCCACTTTGCTCTGTGCCCAGTAACGAGGCTCCTTGTTTCTGCATAGGAATTTGCAAGAGAGAGACACCCCTCGTCTCAATTCTCAACGCCTTTCCTCTGTTTATAAGAACCCCATTGAAACGGTCTTCTATTCTCAGCATCTTTTAATTCCTCAAACGGTTTCTTCACTTTATCATTCAGAGATCAGAGATCTACCCGTCTCTGTATGAGGCAGAAGAACAATGGGTGATGGTAGTAGCCTCAAGAGAACCAAGGTTTGTTTTTTCTTTGTCTCTCTCACTCAAAAACCCATTGGTTCGCACCCAACCAATGTTGATCTCCAATTATTTCGTTTGTGCAGCTTTCATGGCCCAAAACATTGGTTAAGAAATGGCTCAACATCAAGAGCAAAGCAGAAGACTTCCACGCAGACGACAGAGACCTGTACAGAGGTAAACTCAAATCCTCACTTTTGATTCTGTTTTCTCTTCTTGGGTTTTGTTTGTCTAGTCTCTGGTTAAATGCTAATTACAAGTTTGTTAATTTTTGACTTTTGCTTCTGGATTTTGAAGTGAACAGCTTTAGGTTTCTACTTTTAAGGGGTTTCTCTTTTTAAGCTTTTGCAGGTGAAGGTGGAGATTGGAGGAACAATGTCATTGAAAGAGAAGAAGCATGCTCTGTCAAGAAAAGCAGCACTGGTCAGTAGTAATCACTCAAAATCCATGCTTCTTCATTTACTGTTTTATTTACCTCTTTTTTTTTTTTCTTTTTTTTCAAACTCATTTTCATTTTTATTTAATTTTGCAAGAAAAGTCCTTACTTCGTAATTGTCCCTTTGCAGAGACTCCGAGCAAGAGGAATACCGCAAGAGGTAGACGAAACAGACACGAATTCGATTCACCGCAACCGCAAGTTCATAATCTTAGGGTTTTCACTGCTACATGGAATGTCGCCGGAAAATCTCCGCCGAGTTATCTGAATCTCGAGGATTGGCTCCACACTTCACCTCCTTCCGACATTTACGTTCTTGGGTACGCGGAAAAAGCTAATCTTTTATTCCCGAATTTTCTACTTTTGCTCCAGAGAAAGCCCTCTGATTTCGATTCCACAGCTTCCAAGAGATCGTTCCTCTGAACGCCGGCAACGTATTGGGCACAGAAGACAACGGTCCCGCCAGGAAATGGGTTTCTCTCATCAGAAGAACCTTAAACAGTCTCCCGGAGAACAGCGGCGGAAGCTGCCGGACTCCGTCGCCGGTTCCCCACCCGGTGGCGGAGCTGGACTCAGACTTCGAAGGGGCAAACTCGTCATTCTACCATCGGAGGTCGTTTCAGTCGGTGAGCAGGAGCCTGAGGATGAATGAGTTGGAGACGGACATGTCAGGATCCGTGGAGCCTCAGCTTGAGCGGAGGTTCAGCGTCTGTGACCGTTTCATGTTGGGCCGCGAATTCTACGACCAGAGCTTCAGGTATTGCTCCTCTGAGGAGGAGAATGTGCAGGACGCAGCAGATTCGCCGTCGTATTATACGGTCACGAGGAGTGGATCCTTTGTGACAGAGGACAGAGAGAAGGGAAGGGACAAGTCCAAGTATTGCTTGGTGGCGAGTAAGCAGATGGTTGGGATATTCTTAAGCGTTTGGGTGAAGAGTGATCTAAGGGACAGTGTCAAGAACCTCAAAGTGTCTTGTGTAGGCAGAGGCTTGATGGGTTATCTCGGGAACAAGGTAAAATCTTACATCCTCCGAATAATTTTTATTAAAAAAAAAAAAACCAGACTTTGATAATTCTGAATGCCAAAGTTTGGATCCCTGCAGGGCTCTATTTCGATCAGCATGTCAGTGCACCAGACGAGCTTCTGCTTTGTGTGCAGCCACTTGACGTCTGGTCAGAAAGAAGGGGACGAGCTGAGAAGAAATTCTGACGTTTTGGAGATTCTAAGGAAGACGAGGTTCCCTAGAGTGAACAACGCATGCGACGACAAGTCTCCTCAGACCATTTTAGAACACGAGTGGGTTATCTGTTGCGTGAATGTTGGTCGCTTGTTGAAATCCATTGCAGTCAGTAGCTCAGTTTGTTGTTATGTGTGTTTTGTGCAGTCGGGTAATCTGGCTTGGAGACTTGAACTACCGCATCGCTCTTTCTTACCGGTCCGCAAAGGCCCTTGTCGAGATGAGAAACTGGAGTGCCTTGCTTGAGAAAGACCAGGTAACAAAGCAGCTCGCTCTCTCTTTGAAAGACGAGAGAGAAACCAACCTTGTCTTAAATCTCACATTTGGTTTTGGAAACAGCTACGGTTAGAACAAAGAAAAGGGAGAGTCTTTGAAGGATGGCATGAAGGGACCATATATTTCCCTCCAACGTACAAGTACTCTAACAATTCTGATATCTACGCTGCCGATGATCGCCTTCCCAAGGCCAAGAGGCGCACTCCAGCATGGTTATTTTTCTCTCTTTACTTCAACAACTTGATGCCATTTATATATGTAATAAAACATACATAACTGAGATTGTGGATGATCTGACAATTGCAGGTGTGATCGCATTCTCTGGTACGGGAGTGGTCTTAATCAGCTGTCATATGTTCGTGGGGAATCAAGATTCTCTGATCACAGACCAGTCTACAGTTTGTTCTCCGTAGAGATTGAATCCGTGTCTAGGAACCACCGTATCAAGAAAAGCTCTAGTTACTCCAGCTCTAGGATCCAAGTTGAGGAACTTCTTCCTCAGCGCTTTGCATATTCTGAGCTTAACCCCTTCTGATTCTTCATCACTCCTCAATCATTTGGAAGATAGATCCCCAGCGAGGGAGGATTCATCGTTTCTTAAGCCCCTCGAAAGAAAAACGGTAACTAAATCAAATGATAATGGAATATTTTACTCTCTCTCTCTCTCTCTTTATGTGTTGTTCTGATAATGAGATATTTATTTTACTTTGGACTTATGCAGGGGTTGGTCAAGATCTCTGTGCATTTCCCTGTTTTGGGTATGAGATTCGAGTGAAAAGAGAAGAAGAGAGTAATAGTGTAGCTTTAACTGATCAAAACATATATATCTTTAGGATCATAGAGAAATTGACCAGTTTTGTGCTTTTCAAACCATTAGTTTCTCCATAGAGCCTAGGACTCATCAAACTTGTGTATGTATATATATGTGTGTATGCTTGTACATCTAATGGATTCTTTGTAATGACCGATGGGTTTAGAGTAGAAGAAAGCTTTGTTATTTTCAGTTTCTTGTCCTCTGATTTCTTCCCCATGCAATACTGAACAGAAACAATCTTAATTTTTTTGACCAAAAAATAAATTTCAATTTGTTTCACAGTGTTAAGTGATAAAGTGAGAATTCAAAAAGAGAGTCAAACTCGTGGAATGATATATTCTTGTTTTGTACTTTCGATTCCCACCTACAGTACTTGATTTCTTTCTACAATTTTGGCTTTTGTTTTATTTTTTTCACTTCCTCGATATTGGGCTTTCCCCCTTAAGTTTACAGGACTAATTTTTTTTAATTTTGTTGCAAGGTTTATGTATTAAACACACAAGAAAATAAAATGTTTACTCTCTTTTCTGTTATTTTCAGCAAATTAATTTAGTACTCATAAAAGAGAACATCTTCATCTTCTATCTATATTTCCGTGCATTCCATGTCCTTTTTCGAAAGCAAACGCGCCTAGTTAAGCGCGTGTATGAGACGTGCGTATGTGATTGGAATCTGAGAGCAAGAGGATCAGATAAAGAGTGTCTTGTGGATTGCCTTTAACCCACCATTCATCGCCACGTAGCACCCCACGTGGGAAACTTTATTTTACGAAAAATTTACACAGAGATTGTCTCCTCCCCCATTTTATTTATGATGGAATTGCTTTTTCGTAAATGATATACCGACGGCGACGACTCGTAGATTCAAAACACAAGCTCGAAAAATATAATACTATAGTAATAATGTATCATTCATATAATATGATCTGCCACCTAGCAAAAAGAGACATTTTTGGTCGGAGGAACGGCGGAAGTTAGAGGTAAGCGACGCATATGCTATCAATTACCCTTTTACTGCCCATCCTCCCCTTCTCTTTTTTTTTTATTTTCTTTTGCCTTTATACGTTTACTTCTTTTCTCTTGTATTCTTGTTTTCTTTTTCTATCGTATAATATTATTAGATTCGTTCTCCTAGTGGAATACAGAACTATACGTCACGTACGTATATTATTATAATGAACTAATGTTGTTGCGTCCCTGTTCCGTTCCGTGATGGATCTACAATCTACATAAATGAAGAAGCTTCGCATTTTGATGGATATGATGAGAAGGTCCTATTAACTAGATCACGACCACATGCTTTGTCGTAACATTACTCGACCTTTTCTGGTAACGACCAAATCACTCGTTTTTCCACTTGGATCCCCACTCTCTTGATCAGTTTCTTACAACGTCACATTACCAACTCGATTCAACTTCACTTTTTAAAATTCTACATCCATTCGTCTGGTTATGAACAATGATACCTATGTACATATATGCATATGGATTTTTTGAAGATATTAACTAACACGCTTAATATGTTCACTACATTTTATTTGGAAAGACAGTGACACATTAACTAATACACCGAATGGAATTTTCTTATATTCTTAGGACTCTAGGCTCGTAGGTAAGTTTCATACGAGCAGTTTAGAAAATGATGTTTCCATGTGATGATGATCCCTTGAAGGCTCTATCTGTGTTGGTTAACCTACGACTCCAATCCTCTGATTTCAATTTGTATATATGACACGTTGTTTTTTTGCTATCAGCATATTGGATCTGTTGTTAACGACAACTATATATATATATATATATATGATTATATTAAATCTTAGCCCTTTAATCAATATTATTAACTCTCCCTTTGTTTTCAATAATTTATCTTAATCAATCAACATAACCAGATTCATATATATAATATCATATCCCTGTCTTGGGATATGCGACTAAATCAATCATAAACTATATAAAAACAAAGTAAAAGACTATTCAAATTGTTTGTTAGTCAAGTTGATCACAATTTGTATATGTGATTTGGATCCTTCGACTCTTGCAATGACATTGAGCCGCATTATGCAATAATGGCGATACATATATGTTTTTAATTACACACACCGGAAGGCCGGAGGGTGAGTGCTGATTAATGGCAAACTAAATCAATCATGTAGATACAAATTTGAGTGATTGGCAACACACGTTTTTTTTTTGGTTCAACCCTATTGTTTCTGTCTGAATCTAATACATCTTCCCATCAACCGAAACATTTTCCAAACAAGGTTCCAGCAGTTTTGAGAGTATACCTCCTTTGGACGACAACTACAACTTTTTTTTTGATGTTATTTGACTAATCTTTCGTAATACAATACTTTTAAGTGTAAATGACTCTTCCTAAATAGAACTGAACTAATGATATTGCGTATTCATTTTCATGGCCACTAGACCATACATCATTTGGTATGCGCCTATGATCAGTTTCTATTATAAAAATTAAGAAAGTTCAAAACTGAAACTAGCTATATATATATAAAACGCCGATTAATATTTCAATATAGTGGTACCAATTGGTTGGCACAAAAATTAATGAGGGATGAATTAATGAAAATCTAAAGTAAAAAATCTAAAAGATTAAGTTATTGTAAACTATAGATTTAAATTTTCAGGAGTTATTATATAGAGTTATTTGTCGCATGTCTCAGGCATTGGTGTTTGGAATGTCGTCAATGGTAAATAATAGTATGTAAAAATACTATATGATACAAAATGATCGCAACAAAATTACAGACGGAAGAAGTAGTAGATAGGTGCATAAATTCACAGATAAATTAAGAGGGAGAAGACTTTATCTACTAGCTACTTGACCAGTTTGGCATAATTCATCTTTGCCCGGTGTGTGGTAGTCCAACAGAAGTTGTGAAGTTCCGTTCCACGTGTCGAAATGGAGAGGAGAGATAAGCCCACGTCATCAGCGTCTGAAAGAGCAGAGGGATAACTGATGTGGCAGAAGCGATGACATCAGCGGATATAGAAGTTGCATGTAAACGAAGTGGGAAGTTGTCGAGAACAAGAGAGATGCGACGTGTATGTCTCTCTTTTACCAAATATTTGTGAGCACACTACTGATTTTGAATGAGGCAAAAGGATTTAAAAAAAATAAAAATAAGCAGAAGAAAGAAAGTAAACTGTAAACTGGGCAGAGAAGAGAGGTGGGGCATGGCGTCATGGATACATAAATGATTACAGTTATAATTAAAGAGTTACCATAATTAGTAAGAGAATCGATTAGCTGTTTTGAGGGGGGGCATGACGTCATCTTCTTCTCTATCACTTACCTCGACGGCGTTTGCTTCTGTTCCAAGCTTCCTGTCAACTGTTTGCCTACTAATTATTAACTACGTCAGATGAGGTCATCCCCCTATATAATTTTAACTGCACCCACACGAGGCCCTAACATCTCTTGTTTTATTTATTTATTTATTTTACGCAACCAAATTTTTGTCTTCTTTTATCTTACGGATTTTTGGACACTTAAAAAGTGATATACACGCACACAGCAAAAAACAAAAAGTATCGGCCCTTTTACATGCAGGAATCTAGAATAAATATCCTTCGATCATAATTACATTAATGCAGCGATGGGGATTCCGTGTATTGCTAATTAAAAATCTAATGTATGTCTTTCTAACAGGTCGATATCACGCATTGAAATTTAATTAATTGTGTTCACAGACTTAACGCCAAATACATGTTGATTTCGGTAGAAGGTTACCGGTTTTAGTTGGTTTACTCATTGCTGGAAATTTTGTATACTGATTACTGACAAAAAAATTCTATTTTTTTTTTGTTGGGACAAAAATAAGAGAAATTAGTTGGTAACCGAGAGATATGGGGCCGCAAAGGCGTTAAAACAGATATGTCACTATTAGATATGTCCTCTAATAGCCCATTTGGTATAAATGGGCTCTTCAATATACGGCCCAAACAAATTGAATGGCAAACACAACCAATAAAATATTGATTAATAAAAAAAAAAAAAAAAAAAAAACCAGAGAATGTAGCAGCAGCTGCTTAAGAACCCTAAACACTTTTGCACATGATGAATATAGATTGTTCAAAGAAGAATAGAAAAGAAAAAAGTTGAACGACAGATCAAATAATTGCCGATGCCAACGGTAAGCCGATACCCTCGAAAAAACGCGACAGTACGGCTTTTAAAACAAATCTACACTGAAGAGAGAGAGAGTACAACACTAGCTAACACCAAATCATCATATGTATCAGATATAAAACTGAGGTGATTGGATCTTGTCTTGGTTTCCTCCTAATGCTTTGTCTTTGGACTCTTTTGGTTTGATTCCATTATTTCCAGCGCAGGTTCTTCCCTTCTTGGCCTTAATTGCAATCTGTCGCGATGATTCCATAAAGATGTCGCATGCAATCTGTTTCGCTCGGCATCCTTTTGAACAGAATGCCCCAAAGTGGCTGCGCTTGCAACCAATCGTTATCGTTAATTACTCTCCTCATCATCAACTTTACAAAAAAAAAAAGCCAATCAATTTTACCACACAGTCGTACTCACCCGTACATGAAAAGGTCCTCGTCGTGACGTAGGTTCTTTCTGCAGAAACGACACATCTCAAGAAAGTTTTGGTCCGGGAACCAATCGGTGCCGGCGGCGTCGTTCTCCGAGAACTCAAGATGCTTATCATTGAAGCTTGGGATTCGCGGTCTCTTGCTCGAAACCATTAGATCTGTCATATTCTGAGATATTCCGAATCACTGGAATATTCTTCTGGGTGGAGAATCCCTAATTTCTAGGAGAGGAAAAACCTTTTCAAGTGACGCAGATGGTTTGGTAGGAAGCAATAGAAGCATATATAAGCATTGTGCGGGGTCCACCGGTGGTTTCCTCCGTGGACCAATAGGATTTCAAAGCGACAGTTGGATTTGGGTATTTTTTTTTCTTTTCTTCTTAATACAAGATTTTCTACCTTTTACAAATCCTTTTTAGTATGGAATGGATATGCCACATATTTGGATTCATTTTGGAATCTCTACATTTTATTGTTTTTAATTTGGATTCATGTTCATTTCATTGGACTAGTAGTCTGTCGTCATTTTTTAGATTCTAATCAAGTGCATGAGTTTATCAAAAAGTAATGATTTAACTAAATTTTGACACCCGTTTCGTGGATAGAGAGATATTTCTATAGTTAGATGATTTTTCGAAAAAACTTAATAGCATAATTTGCGGCGGAAACTTGAGAGCTAATTTAATGGTTTTAAATGAAAATTGTTTTAGTTTGGTGGTTCTGCAAATGTTATTGTCTTTGGTGATTCTGAAAATGTTATTGTCTTTTGGATTTTGTGATGAATACTTATATTTATGGGCCCAGGACACGAAATCCATTTTTGTGATCCAGAAACATATTCACGTTTCTCCTTTGTATGCCCAGCCCAATAATGATAGTTATGGTCGTGCTCGTGAATAAGAACAACATTAACATACTATATAATACATTTAACAAATGTATAGAGATCATTAGGAAAATGATGAGATTAAAAGAATGTTTTTAAAAATATATTCATATCGAATTAAATTGACGATTTGTGCTGATTCCACTACAATTCTGCACACTCCTCCACGTCAAGTGATTTAAAGTTGAATCATTTTTAATTAGTCATGTTAACGTACATATATGGACTGAGGATCAAACTTTTCTATATATATGTTTTATGATAGTGATTAAAGGATCAGAGTTGTTGAATGGCATACAAAAACAAATACGGACACTCAATGTGGGCGCCTCATTCCATAAATAAATACAAATGTAATGGCATACATACAACGACGAGAGTAGTCGCAATTTTTGTTTTTATTTTGTTTTCTTGCCTGTCAAAGGACTAATCAGATCGTTATTATTTTGAGTTATACAATACAGTAGAACTTCTATAAATTAATATTCAATAAATTAATAATCATTATAAATTAATAACTTTTGCCGATTTCAATTCAAGCCAGTGTAAAAATTAGCAAATTTTGATAAAATAATAAAATAATAATTTTTTTAAAACTCTTATGTAAAAATATAATCTCAATAATTACATAAATTAATAATTATATATTTAAGCATATATAAATAATATAATATAGTAAAATATAATTATATTATTGTTCTAAGCTTATAAAAATTGCTTGATTTATTTTTTAAATTCACTGATATGTTATTTTTTGAAAAATATTTATATTATTAAAAATATATTTTTTTGTTTTTTAACAAATATTTTGAATTTAAACTGAAATATCTCTCTATAAAATAATAAAATATTAATTTCTTGATAAATTAATTTATCGATTAATTAATAACTTTATAAATTAATAAATTTTTGAAATTCCAACATTATTAATTAATAGAGAATTTACTGTATAACAAAAACAAATCAAACGGCAGACCAATTTAAGCAAGAACTTCATCAAGGCATAAAAACGACACACAGTTTTGTTTCTTCTTACGAGGGATTGCCTTGGGGGGTGTGGGCCCACCGGGGAAGAGGAAAAGCCCAATATGGTTACGTATAGACTAGCGAAAACGCGATTGTTAAGTAGGAGTAGGACCCATGCCACTCCTGTCTTTTTATGTGGGGTCCCTCTTTCTTCTGTTTTGATTAGAAATTTAGAACACTGCTAATGGTTGACAAGCCGAATGCAATTACGTCGCTGATAATATAATCTTGCAAGTTAATGGACACTCTTTGTTGAATCCTGGTTATAATAGATGGAAAAACAAATTTACTAATTATGTATGATAGAATTGAACTGATATTATTGAATAAAAATACATCACTAAATACAAAAATGATAAAGTCGTTGAGCGACAGAAAACTTCCGTATGGCTATGCTTATAATCTATTAGAAGTTGACGACCTTAAACAATCAAATTCTATAGTTGGATGGGATTCGAGAACCACGGGACCAACAACAAGAAAATTAGTTCGACGAGCTAAATATTTGGTCAAATATGTGATTATTTTATAATTTGTCCTATAATGGTGTATTTGTCAAGAACATTTAGTGGACAAATACACGTGGCGCTTAAGTAGATCTTAATTATTGGATTAAGCAAAGCAGGTGCATTTGTGGGACCCGCTCTGATTACATTTTGTTTTGCTTTTTTATCCAGGCAACTGTTTTAAAATTATCATTTGCATTTTTTAATACTGAAGATATACTGTATATCTAAACGGAGATGAATTATGATTAGAGAAAGACAAACGAAATAAATGACAAAATGTATAGGAGAAATGATAATAAATTATAATCGCTAAGGATTATTTTTTTAGGTAAAAAGAAGAAGGAAACAGAGGCCCAAATAATTAAAGTTAGTTATTCCGCAATAATTAAAGTTAGTTATTGCCATGAAAACAAAATATAATTTGTTCGTTTCAAATAAATAAAATTTGTTTTTTTCCAATTTGACAGTCATTTTATTTTTAAACCTAATACATACAACGACAAAAACGTACAATACACTACATTCATTAGTCAACCATATACGGTCGTATCAAAAAAGATGTCTTCAAAATTATTGTTAATTTCTTATAAATATGAGGGGTACGTTCGTAAAGTTGCATGCATTTTTTTTTTATTAAATCCACAACGTCCCTTCACTCGAGATCACCTCTCTCTCTTCGAATAATAATAGTTAAAAAGAAAAAAAAAGTGAAAGAGAGAAAGCAACTTTTAATCTGATTTTGTGAGGGGAGGATAATCATCACATTGGAGTGAGACCCATCAGAGCAGAAACAGTCAGAATTTTCAATAATTGTACCATTCTTCTCAAATCCACATCTCCTTCACTTCAGATATTTATTCTACACATCAATAATCTCTCTGAAATCTGCGTTACTTGTGTCTTCTCCTTGGCTTAAGCTTGCCTTTGTCTCTCTGTACTCGCTCTCCATGGAAGCTACTGAGTTATGATCCTTACTCCCACCGGATCTGAGGGTCTGAGAAACAAGCCAAGAGCAGCAGCAGCAGCAGCAGCGGTATCTCCAATGGCTGATCAAACCCAAACTTCAACAGCTAACACCTACCACTCTTCAAAATCTCTCTTTACCTCTCCAAAGTTTAGGTTTTTCTCTCCAAAGATCACTTCTTTTGACTCTGATTTCTCCCTCGCCAGCCCAACTTCGATCCTGGAAGCTAACCCATCAATCTTCTCCTCCAAAAACCCTAAGACCATATCCTATCTCGAGCCCACGACCTCTAAACCCAAAAGGTTTCACCCACCAGACGCGTTTGGCCTCGCCGATCTCGTTAGTAGCATTAACAGAGACCGCTCGAGAAATCCTGTGAACAAGATGGTCCTTTTCGGGTCAAAGCTCAGGGTCCAGATCCCATCAGCCGATTTTGGGACTAAAACCGGCATGAGATACCCTGCTCATGGACAGGGACAGCACAGCCCCTGCCTCCAACCAAAGGCCTTAGCCGTGAGCGAGATTGACCAGACGGAGGACTACACGCGCGTCACATCTCACGGTCCGAACCCAACCGTCACACATATCTTCGACAACTCTGTTTTCGTTGAGGCGACTCCTTGCTCTGTTACTGTGCCACTACTAGTACCCGTGGAGACCAAGCAAAAGGACATTCATTTTCTGAGCTATTGCTACACCTGCAACAAGAATCTTGACCACAAACAGGACATCTATATATACAGGTCCGGTCCATTATCTATCTATGTATACTTAATCTCTCTTTACTCAGCTCATCTGAGATTCCTTCCAAAACTTTAAATAAAATAAAAAATGGGTGTGTTTGGTGCAGAGGAGAGAAAGGGTTTTGCAGCAGCGAGTGCAGGTACCAAGAGATGCTTCTTGATCAAATGGAGAGCTAGCACCTCCTTTTCCTCCGTCTCTTTTGTATTATTATTTCCTTGGTTTTGTTAGTTCTCTGATCCTCCCTCTGCTTATGTTTTTTTTTCTTTTTCTTTTTTGTATCTCCCATATAGTTTGTAGAATATAAAGTCTGAATTAATCTTTACAGTAACTCGCTCTATGCTTCTTAAAAGGCAAAATGATATTGCTATAGAGAGGCCCATTTGCTTTTTCTTTTTATTTGATTTCAGTTTACCTCAAATTTTCGAACAAAAGTATAAATCGAAATTTTATTTCATCCTGTGAAATGTTGTTCTGCATAAAGTATGGACTGATTTGGTTTGCAGAATCTTATTAAGTATCTCTCCGCAAACAAACCAAAGCAGATCGACCCTTATCAAGATGTGTAGGGAATGTGTTACTGGTGGGACTTAATCATCCCTTATCAGGCCGGCCCGCAACCGCAAGCTTTGCTTGCCCAAAGAATACGGGCCTAATCTGGGCCGCTTCTAATATACTCAGAGTACAGGTAATGATGCTTTTTAACCCACAAAGAAAACCCAAATAAGATGTAGTGTAGGGAATGTAGGATGTCTGTCGATGACCCTGAAAATTATTGAATAGGCCCATAGAGCACCTATTCCTCAATTGGGCCGATTTACGGAACCAACTCAAACGATTTTTTTATCGTTAAGGTGTACTTATTATCTACCTGGTTGTTCTAGAGCCAAATTAACCAATACACAATACAGATTCAATCTTCATATCTTCTTTCTCTTGAGATAAAATTAAGGTTTATCTTGCCACGTAGAGGTCAAACCTACGGAATCAAATCTAAATTTAACAGTAATGGCAAATCTCAATAGCTCTTTGCCAGCTTTGTATTTCGCATGGTGTAAAGTGTAAATGTTCAATGAAATCCAAATGAGATGGAAAAAATAGATAAAATATGAAGAATATATATATATGCGAGTACAAAATAAAACTGCTATTTCAATATAAAAATTGCCGAATGAGAGGTTTCTGCCAGAGCTTCGTCCTTATTATGTTCATTGTCGTCGCTACACGACAAAACTCTATTTTTGTACGCAGTAACAAACAGTGAACACAAGTTGCCTTTTTATTTAATGAAATAATAAAATCAAATTGTTAGAAAGAAAGATTCAACGAGACAAGATCTTAGCAAGATCCATGTACTATATATATTTGCCCCTGATTTCACTTTATAATTACAGATTCGGCTTCATTTCTCTAAAGAAAAATAAATCATTAAAAAGCAAAAACTGTGAAGTACAAAAACCCACACGTGTGCGGTCAGGTCTATACAGTATACACATGACGGTGAAGACAATGCTTCACTTGTATTTCCTGTTTTTTTGTCATTTTTTCTTTCTTTCTTCAACTGAATAATTAGCAAATTAATTTGTTCTTATTTGCATTTTTGGGTAAAATAATTATATATATTATTTTTTTGTAAACTAATTGATTGAATTTTTACAATAATATTCTCTACTATTTTAGTAGAAAAAGACTATGTGGTAAATTAGTGCCATGTTTTATTATAAACTTACATTTTTAAAAATAGTCGTTAGGATATAACTATTTGCGTGATTCAAGGTATTGATGAGTAGTCTAGACAGACAACATAAGTACGTAACATTAAGCTTATCATCACATTTTAAACCACAGCCTTTTTAAATTTTATAATATGTACAAATTCAATTTTAATTCCAATAATCCGATCGGTATATATTACCTTCAAAATACCATCCCACCAAAGATAGTTATAATGGCTTTGCAAAAAAAACTAGATCTAAAAAGAAAAGCGGTCGAGTTAGGTTAAATATTAATTAAAGCATGGTATCAGTGTGCGATTATGGTCCCAAACAATCTGGTGCTCTATTCGTATAATCGTATTTTTTTCTAATCAAATATGAAAAAGGATATAGTATAATTTATTTGGAGTTGTATTATAGAAAACCGCTATAATGTCTTGTTACATTCTCCCGTTCGTGGAATCAAAACAAAAATTAGTCTATTCAAGTTTATTTAGAAATCAAAATCACCGCAATACTATAAATTTCGACGACTTTATATAGTATTACTTCATTTCTTATCATATATACCAACAACTATTTCTCAAAAGAGTTGTCGGTAATGGGAGCATAAAGAAAACGAAATGTCCACGAGGTGACTCGAGATAAATTAATTAACTAAAAAACTTAATAATTACGTGGTCATCATCAAAGAGAATGAACAGTGTCTCCCACCAACTACTTAACTAATGAACTATATGGAGTCTATATAACTAATCATTTTTAATTTTATTTTCAGGGGTTGTTATTATATTCGAATTTGGCATGTCCAAAACCGACAAGTTAAGACTAAAAGTATCAAGCACTATAGTTAAAGTTTTGATTAATGTATATAAAATTATGATTATGGTTTTATGATGTTGCTGTGCCTTCAATCTATCAAGGTCATGGTGGCTCTACCACCCACTCAAATCATTTAACTGCCGGTTAATTAGCCATTCTCATTTTCGAAAACTAGTATATATGATCGGGCACTTGAAAAATGTAATTAGGTGGGTAGTGATAATATGCCAATAATTAAGTCAAATGAACGGGATGGGGAAGACGTGAGATAATAAATTATAATGCTTTGTGAAAGAAGAGATAGGCTTCGTTCATCATATAATAACTTAAAAAGCATATAGATGCTTTACCAAAGATAGAGTCGAAGGGACGAGCATAAAAGATAGAATCGAAGGGATGAAACAATTTTGTTTTAATAAATACATTATTCCAATAATTCTCATAATCTTGTTAGTTGATATTCATTCAAACTAAAGTATCCTAGTAGTATTTGTTGCATCCCCTTTTCCTACGCGGCTTTGAAAATTCATTGCATTTGGCTTACAAAAATACTGTCTTTAATTAATGTAAGTATGTACATGATTTATTATTTTATTTTTGTCAATCATGCCTAGATATTCTGTAAACAAAGTATCAAATACTTGATTTGTTTTCTAAATGCCATAACCGATAAATATATATATATATATATATTTCTTATTTTAAATAAAAGAAATATTAAAAACTTGAATGAATAGTTTGCATTTTTTAAAACGTTTTTATGTTTTAAAAACACTATTTTGCTATTTTTCACATTTACGTTACTTATCAAGTTTTTATATTTTATGTATTTAAAATATAATTTTGCTATGTACAACTAGCATCTTGAAAATATAACTAAAAACAATTTGACTTGGTTAATCTACTAAAACTAAGTGTTCAAAATTTTATAACTATTCAATAAAAAATTATTTAGTTTAGTATTTTTATATATTATTCATCTGACATACCAAATAAATCATGTATTAAACAATGGAAAATGTACAATCATCAATACTTGTACATAAATAACTCAATTCAATCAATTTATAGTTTACTTTAAAAGCACAAGAAGCTAAATTTTTTGTTTGTTTGTCTTTAATGATAAATACCAGCTTTTTCGAAGGAATTTTAGGTAATTTTTATGATAGTAATTTTTTCTCTTGCATTTTCAATTATACATCGAGTTTGGATTCTTTGACATTAAATTTCCAGCTTCTTTAAATAGTAACCGCGGTTTAAGGTTAATATAAATACGGTTAAAAAAGTTAACTGAGTTCAATCAACAATATATAGTTTTAATGCTAACTGTGTTTCGTGAATTCAAAGGGAAATGCATTGTACATCAATAATTCCGTTGGACAAAGGGAAGCTTTCTTGTTGTCTTATGCTCGATCAAAATTATATTTTATTTCCCATATTATCTCAAAGCAATTATTTAAGTTGGCAGCGTATACGACATCAAGTATTTATGCCATCAGAATTGTCTGTAATACAATTTCCGATATTTTGTTGTTTTTAGACATCTCGAGGTTCTTGTAACTTTACTTACCGATATTTATTAACAGTCACAAAATACGTGTGTTGTTATGGTTACTATATAGTAAAGCTATGGATGCAACGACAATCTGAGAAAAGTAGAGTTACGTTTTTAGTAGAATGTCATTTTCTGTTAGCAATAACATATATTAAAGCAACAAATCAGCCGGATTAGTTTTAAAACATCTTATATTATAAATGTAATGGATAGAGTCGTAGAAAGACACAGTGAACTAGCTATAAGCTGGAGTTCGTAAAGCGGCGATGAGAGTTGCATATGATTATTTAAAGAGAAGCGAGAGATTATGCTTATTACATTTCCACTTGTGTGTTAATAATATTGATTACCAATTAATTTTGAATGTTATGTTTTGAACTTCGACATATCTTGTTTGAAAAAGTGTTGATATGATACCGGTTACTGTACTATGAAAAAAAAGAGGATGAGATTTTGTTCCTTGGAGTCTATTATTAGGAAAACATATAGCTGAATAATCGATGTTTTAATACGATTACAAAAAAGCAAAGAAACTAACAGTAAAAGTTAGTTACAGCGAGGGTCCAATATGGTATTGGAACAGTAAAAAAAGAAAAGGAATAGAAAAGGCGATGGATGCGTTTATTAAACCCATGTCCCACTCTCCTTCGCTACTTATGAATCACATTGCTCTCCCTATATCGAGCTGTATTTTTGTTTTTTATTATATTTTTGATATACATTTTTGTGTCACTGTTATTGCTTGAAAATGACAAGTTCTAGATTTGGAACACTCTGTGCTGGCTATCTAAGGAAAGAATATCTGTTTATTTTAATGCTTTACTTTCTTCCCATCAATGGATTTTCAAAATTCATATTACAGTGTATTAGATTAACAAACTTTGCCAATATTATATACAACTACAGTACTCTCAAATTTGAGATGGCTGATTATTGCATAAAAGATTTCGTAATTATAGATTGAGCTTTTTTGTTAATTGAAATAACGCTGAGAAAGAGTCAAACTGGAATTTTCAGCAAAAGAATGGGGCCTTGATCACGCAGACAGCTTTGTTAGCAAAACTATTCGTAGAGTAAGTACATCGTTTTGGTTAGTACTTAGTACTATATCATTTGTTATTAAGTCATTATTAATTAAAACAAAGGCTAATTAACTCGGAGATAAAAGGAGGAGGGATGCGGGGTTAAAAATTAACCCTGGTGGTCTGGTTACAAACTTACATCACGGGGGTTAATAGTAGATCTTAAAAAAAAAAAAAAATTTTTTTTATAACTTCAACGGCCGTCAGCGAGAGGGTTAACGGCAGATTCCTTGCAAGGGCTTGGAGGGAGGCTAGACTTTCCCGAAGCAACAAGACGTTGCACGAAACTCGCGATTCTTTCTCCGTTTGTCTCCGTTAGTAACCGTTTCCCTCCGAACGGCGCCGTTTCCACGCCTCTCTCTTTCAATAACTCCTCCGCCGTTTTTGTCGCCCCCACAATCTCGTCTCCGCCGCTCGTCAAACCGCTCACCTGCATGCATCCACTTTCGATCGTCATTTTCAATTTTTTTCTTTTTCTTTTTCTTTGTCACAGAAAGAAATGTTGGGAATAAGAAATATATACCTGGACTCTAACGTAGTCCGTACGGTTCCAACAGAAAGCGTTCCCCAGCATCTGATCGACGGTATCGGAAACGCCGTCGAGCACGATGTCCACGACGCAGGACGTCGAACAGTCTCCGTTACGGCGGAGTTTCCTTCCCGGCGAGGAGGATATGGTCGATGAACCGTTTCCTAGGGAGAGGACGAGCAAGTCATCGACGCCGTTAACCGACGGGAAATCTCGTTTGTTGTGGAGAACGTGCGTGACGGCGGCTGCACTTGGATTGTTCATCACCAACCCGCCGTCTACGGCGGAGCAAGAGGTTTTTCCGTCCACCGACACCACATTGACCGGCTTGAACAGGCTAGGGGTTGCCGACGTGGCACGGCATACTTTCCACAGCTCGAAGTCGAAGCTGGGAGACTCGGACGCGCCGGCGCGTGAGAAAACGAAAGGAGCGGAGGTCTTGAGGTCGTAGCAAGGAACGAGGAGAGGCTTACACGTGTCCTTCATGGTCAGCACCTTACCATCCTCCCTCCGAAACGCCGCCTCCAACACTCTGTCCATGCTCTTGCCCGAGTATCTCCGGTTCCTCCGGAAAACCCCGGTGTGCCTGATCTCGAAGAGCTCCGAGTTCTTCTCCGCCATAAACTTAACAGCGTCCCTGGCAGTGAACATGGGCCGGCCGGAGCCGTCGTCGGCGACAAGCAGGGCGGCGAGAATGCCTCCGATTCCAGTCCCGGCAACAATGTCGAAGAAATCGGAGATCTGAGCGTGAGGGTCACCGGTCTGAAGGCGGATCTGGTCTTCGAGGTGGACAATAGAAGCTCCGGCGACAATGCCAGTGGTTCCACCGCCGTCGATGCTAAGGATTCGTGTCTTCCTGGTGGTGTCGCAGTGCGAAAGCCATTTCTGTTCCAGCTTCGTGAAAATGTCGAGAGTAACCTTGCTGAGATCCATCTCCATAGATTCAGAGAACAAACAGGATTACGCTTTTGATTTTGTAATCCGTAGAGAATGCCTGTAACCAAATAGCAAAGAAAACGCCAAGAGTTATGACTATCTCTCTCTCTCTCACTCTGTAATTTCTATCACGCTTTGTTGCAGTGAGGCATTAATGGGGTAAATGCGCTCTCTCTCTCTCTCTCTCTCTCTCTCTCTCTCTCTCTCTCTCTCCCCAGTGACTCTGTGTTTACTCGTCTCTCTCCTCGAGTGACTGGATTTGGAGAAGAAAGGGTTTAGTGATTCAGAGATAATTCCGGAATTGTGAGTGGGTGATGGTAGTTATATACTCCCAGTGACGGTGCAGTGTTTGTTTCTTTCTCTGCTCTTTTTTATTTTTATTTTTATTTTCCTTTCTTTTTTTTCAATTAAGGGGGATATTCAGTTTTCTTATAAATTATTTTATTCTAGCACAACATTTATAAATAGAGTTAACATATATTGAAAAAAATAAAGAGTCTCTTCTCTCGTTCATTTCTTCATTGGACATATAATTTTTGGTAACATCCCATGACTTATTATTATCTATCTTTCAATTAGAGACTGTCTTTTTTAATAACAAGGCGATGTGAATGAATACTATTTGACACACCTATACAATATACATATATTACACGTATAGGCCTTATTTATTTGTTTCAAAAAAAATTACTAGAGACTTGGCTAGGTAATTCACGATTTAATTAAAAAAGTACACCCGTAAATTAAAAAATTATAAATTTGATAAGGGTGGTAGGACTGTGCTCGCACGTGTGAGTAGGCATGTCAGTTTGAAGGTCAAGGAGTAAGCGCGAACCTCGGCTGCAATACCGGCTCGGCTTCCGCTATAAATTAATTAATCACACACGCTGTTGTTACCTTCCTACTAATCACTTTTTTAACTCTTGTGTTTATATTTATTGATGATAATAAATGAAGGACGTGGAATCGACGACGAACCGGCAAAAGTTATAGAGTTGTTTATGATATCAAAGGACCACAAAATAAATTTATTGAAAACCCTAGACAGTGTCACAGCAGCACATGTACAAAAAGCTAGGATTTGTTATGTATCTAAAGCCGAATGCAAAGGTTCAGACCCAGTTCTTTAGGTCCAGGCCCAATTTAGCACGGTCCATCATATTCAATAGCCCATTTATTTAGTTTTTTCTTTTTCGTAAGCAATGGTTCAATCACTTAAGTCCTATATATTATTTTGAATTCATTTCATTTTGGCTATTTGTTTTATACTTTATATATTAGTTATTCAGCCGAAGATAAATAATGACTGAAATAAGTAAAAAAGAAAAAAACTGGATGATAGAAAAAGGAAAGTAAAAGTAAAACACACACACATAGCTGAAAAATGTTGCAGGCCGGTTGGAAATGTTCCGATGGATGTTGGGCCAAAATATCATCGGCCCAAATAAAAGATACTCTAAATGGGCGGGGGATTATAGTTAGGCGTTCATCCAAACAGAGCTCAGCGTTCCTTATCCCGAACAATAATCAGTCCATCTTCTCCCTCCCTTTCATTGACGAACCAAAAGAAGGTTTTTTTTTGTTTATAGTCTAGCCACTTCACTTCTACGGCTACTGCCATGGCGGCTTCACTCTATTCCACTGCTCACACGACACCGATTCTTCGATTCAGAGCGAATTACTCCAAGTCTCTCCTGTCTCTCCCAGGTACGGCCCTTGGATTTCGTTTGTTCACTGTGGAATCACACTCCTGCCTTACTTTTTCTGGCTCCGAATTAGATTCGTGTTGGAGGGTAATCGCTTCGGACAAATCTCCCTCTGCACGCTTAATTGCGTGTTCGCTAAGGACCGAGAAGCTTCGCCTCGGTGCGGGCGTGAATCTCTCCAGTGGCCCCGTTGTCAAGCGGTCACTACAGAAGAGGCAAGTTCCAATAATCACGAAACAATTGTGGACTGATAGGGTTTCGTCAATTCTCTTATTGCGAATCCGTGCTTAGTAACTTGTGATTGTGTCCTTCCATGGAAATTCCAGGTTGGTGATAAGGTCTGCAACTATTGAAGAGATAGAAGCTGAGAAATCTGCAATTGAGAAGGATGTTGTACGTGTTTTACTAGATTTTTGTTATTGATCTCTGCTTGGATGCGATTCTGCCCTTTTTTTTTATATATATAGTATTTATTTTTTGATTATGTTCAATTCAGAAATCAAAGATGGAGAAGACCATTGAAACGCTTCGGACTAGTTTCAATTCCATAAGGACAGGGAGAGCCAATGTAGCAATGCTAGACAAGATTGAGGTTTATAAAGACTATTATATTATGGATTCCGAAAATTCTGGTGACAAATGTAGATCAAAGTTGATGTTTTATCTTTGGTTTCCAGGTGGAATACTATGGAAGTCCAGTAAGTCTCAAGACCATAGCCCAAATCAGTACGCCCGATGGAAGTTCTCTGTTGCTGCAGCCATATGACAAATCTAGGTACGAGCAATTAGTTTTGCTTTAGAAGAATTCTCATGTCATGATACATCCAAACGCTGTCGTACGTTCCAGCTTGAAGGCTATAGAGAAGGCTATTGTGAATTCTGATCTTGGAGTGACTCCTAATAACGATGGAGATGTGATTCGATTGTCCTTGCCTCCCCTTACGTCCGATAGAAGAAAGGTATCTCTTCCTGGCAAGCCTATTAGATCATCTCTCTGCTGCCTGCCTTACGTTTTGATTGTGTGTACCACTGCAGGAACTATCCAAGGTTGTAGCGAAACAATCCGAAGAAGGGAAGGTACGTAGTGTTTGCCTATTGACCTAAACGTGTACTCACAAAAGTTAGTTATCCCTAGGGTGCTTAATGATGTACTTACCTCTTTATTAATCTTTGCCCCTCTTTTTTTTCTTTTCATTTCGTGTTTGCACTCGTTATAGGTTGCACTGAGGAACATAAGGAGAGATGCCTTGAAATCTTATGATAAACTCGAGAAGGTTCCATCAAGTTTTTTTTTTCGTTTATCTTGATTGGCCATTCCTCTTGGTTTGTCATTTTCAAAAACAAAGCTTCATTTTCTCAGGAGAAGAAGCTGTCAGAAGACAACGTGAAGGATTTGTCAAGTGATTTGCAGGTAACCCCGACAACACAAGAGTTTGTTTTATTTAGTTAAGCAAAAGCCAAAGAACATTAGTGCGGGCGGCTGACGAAACATGTATGTTGTTTGGTGATTGGCAGAAGCTAATTGATACGTACATGAAGAAGGTAGAGGAGCTCTGCAAACAGAAAGAGAAGGTAACCACAAATTTTGAGTCAATGGCTCTGGTCTACTTTGATGATCCATTAATTACTTACACCTATATGCATCCACAGGAGTTGTTGAAGGTATAGCTGAAACGGTTGTTGGGAATCGAGAGGAACTTTGTAACTCAATCTGGTAAAATCCCGCATTTCCAACTCCTTTGCTTCTAATTACTTTTTCTCCGATACTATAATGACTCTGGGAATCGAGAGGAACTTTGTTTAAGTCTGTTTTCATTTCGAAAAAAATTAGAAGAAGCCTCTTTTATATGATTTTTATGATCCCTCTTTGTACAGCAAGCTTGTTAACTTTTTCCTGCCGATAACACTTTATTGTCATTTTGCTTTAGTGTTCATCGAAGTTTTGATTTATATAAAAACAATTAATAAAAAAAGAATAAAACAATATTTTAACTTAAATAAAAGTTTAATTTGGTCATGGGCCTCATGGCTGAATAAGTTTGGATCAAATCTTATTTTTTAGCTTAATAAGTACGTATTTACCACTTTAACTTATTATCTTCCATTTAATATAATCTGATTAAATAGGTGATTGGAGCCACTTCAAATGCATTTAATATATTAAGTTAAAAAACAAAATCTGTATTATACTTTTTAATCTAGTTTAACTTATTGTCTTAGTATATTAGTAAAAAGTGTAATACAGATTTTATTTTGTGTATATTTGTAAAAATACGATACAAATTTTCAAATTATAAAATGAGATTTCTATAAAGCAGATATAGTTAAAATTTTCAGTCGATAAATATCAAGTTTTTAAAAAACATTTGTTACTAATAAGTGACCCACACACCGATATTAAACCCATGATGATTATTTAATTAGTTAGCATCATGGGAGGACTATATTTCAATTTGTCTGTTTGCATGATAAAAAAACATTTTAAATCACTATTATACTATATAATATTTAAACCAAAGCATCGATATATCGTATATACTAATACTGTTATTTTTATAAGTTATTAAGTATGTCAAGTAGCCTAGGTGTTGGATTCCTTACATCGGAACTCCAACGAAACTTTCGTTAGTTTGTGCTTTCAGATATTATATACAAGTTTTTAACGTATATTTACAATATATATAGACATCATTATAATATAGGGTAGGGTCAAAACATTATTAAAGTAGTTTAAAATATTTTTATACTAATAATACATGATTATAATATTTACTTTGATGCTCCCTTCATTAAACTGCATAAGACACCGTTCGTCAGTCAACACTTTAAGATAATTAATTTTTTTAATGATATCATGCTGCTCTAGTCTCTCTAGACGAATTTTTCTATTTATTTTGCTATCATTTGCATTATCTTGCACATTATTTTTCTTTCTTAAAGCTCATTTGATATGATTTTATTTTAATTCGTTAGGACCCAGTCATTTACTATATAATACACAAAAGCGGGAAGCAAAATTATAATAATTTTAATTTGGTTAGTTATTATATTGCTTGTGGTGTATTCGACACGTGGCACTATGAATATCGAAAGTGCTGCTTGTTTTCTACTCGCGAAAGTTTGTTACTCGCCTGTGCGCGTGGCGAAAACAATAAAATCACATGCTGAACATCAGCATCGTTACCATGACAACTCAGCGGCCGAAAATACTAAATTATGCCGTTTAGGCAGGTCCAATTTTCTGTAAATAATAATATAAATTTACTTTTTTTACGACACTGTAATCAAATAGTAGTGGTGTTTTCTTTTCATTTTTAACTCTTGCAAAAAGTGTGACGCTCGCATCAAAGCAAAATGATTATAATAAGTGTGTATAGAGTTACGAAATTGCTAAAGTTATATAGTGGAGACTAATTTGCACAAATTAAATGGTACGTGCTACAGCTATAGAGAGATTTCTCTGTAACAAAGGTAAGTGGTAGTCGATCCCACGCGTATGGGCGGCGCGTGGTTTTTAGTACAGCTGTTTACACATTCAATCATTTATATATATTACAAAATTTGATATTTCTTAAATGTGCACTCTTTTAATACTATAGAGGTTTTTTAATGCGACATGAAGCAAAATAATATAAAATACAAATGCCATGAACTGATAGTTAAAATAATCATATGTTTTGGGTGGGCACAATAAAAATTTATTATAGATGATGATGGACTTAAAAAATTATGAAAAAGCAAAGTCATAGAATAAATGAATAGGATAATAATAATGTGTGACTAAAACATTGAGCAGTGTGGCTTTATTCCATTAGAAAGTGATGTTTCTGCCATGCTGGCACGTCGAGATCGTAGCCGTCCAATTCACGGCGTAATCCAACGGCTAAGATTGAGACATTGTCGTCATCCGAAGATCTAAACGTCTTTTAACTCCTTCCTTTTTCCAGGGGTAGGTTTTTTCTTAGGGAAGTGCACAAAATATAGGAGGAAAGAGACGAGAGCAGCAGAAATATCATCCCCCAAATTTTTAGACGGAGTGAAAGATTGTACTCAGACTCAGTTGATGGGAGGTTTGTCATTGTAGCTTGCATGAATGGATAAAATCAGGGAAGCTCGAAGATCATCAACAACCATGGCTGCTTCAAATGGCGTTACAAAACGGAGACAGAGAATCTCCGGTATTGCTTCGACCTCCTCCTTCGTCTTTTTTCATTCCTCATTGTTTTCCGGTTTTCTGATTTTTTTTTTTTGCTCCTCGGTGCAGAGAATAGTCGTGGTCAGATGCATCAGGAAGAGGTGGTGACAGTGAGAGATCGACCGGAGAAGAAAGAGCGAGATCCGGAATCGTTGAGTCGGAGCAAGAGGAGACGAAGCGAGAGGTTCGCGCCGAGGAACGTGAGAGATGCTGAAGAAGATAGCTCGGATGAAAGCCTGGAAGACGATGATGTCAAGCATAGTTATCACCGGAAGAGCTTCCCGTCGGGTCGTGTCCCTAGGCATGCGGCGTCTTTGAAGGTCACCGATGGAATGATCGGCGTACCTATCCCGAGAAAGGCTCGCTCAGGTTTGGAGCTCCGCTGCTTTTATTTCTTTTAACACTCGGATTTTCGAGATCTCTTCCTGATACTTGCTTTCCTGTTTATTGTTTGCGGCGGCTGCAGCATGTATGAAGAGGTCGCATGACTGCCGGACTTCGTCGGGAAGCGGTGGCGGAGGATTTGGAGAAGACCGGCGAAGACATCCATCTTCGAATTCGCCGGGGAGCTACAGCTTCGAAGTTGTTTCACCGTCTTCTTCAGCTGTTTTGGTCAAGCAGAAGAAGGTTCGTGCGCTACATCATTAACGAAAATGGTTTCAATCGATGTTTAGAATACTGATTTCAGTTTTTTCCCAAATTTTCCCAGAATGTACACGGATGCAAATCCCGGATACCGAAGCCACCGAAATCCTCCGGTACGATTGAGGACGACTTGGAGATTGAAATAGCAGAGGTCCTATCGGGACTGAAGAAACATCCTCATAGCTCAAAGAGAGAAGACGACTCGGAGAACTCCCTAAAAGGTATTACGCGGACACGAAGACCGTTCTTGCTTGATTATCTAATCTGAGAATCTTAACGGAAACAAAAATACATCGATGCTTGATTTGCAGGTGCGAAGAAGTTGAAAACCGGAGGTGATGATTCTTCCGCAGGTGTAGAGATCGGCGGTTTAGTCACTTGTAAAGCGAGAATCGAAACTGGGCTCTCAGCGAACATTGATCAATCCACGAACGGAACTAAAACATCGTCAGTAGTCACCGATACTCTGGAGGAGAAACAAGCAAGGCAAGAAACACCTAACATCTTGGATGGCGTTCAGAGGCAAGCTTCACTGGATTCGGCGGTGTCAAAAGGGTAAATACATCTCCAATTAGATATCTTGTGTCTTAATTGATCTTTCCTCTTTTTTCCATGTTTGGAAATCTGATGTCTTTCTGCTTTCCTATGTTTGGGTCTGCAGGATGGGTCCACAGTTGGAAAGCAATAGAGACGAGAGTCATTGTAGTAGTAAGCTCGAGATTGACCTAATGGTGAGAAATCCATTCGTTTAGGATTTTAGCTACAGAAAATCCGAAATTTGCAAACGTACTGAAAGTTCATTGGTCTGTCCATAGGTTCCTCCAGAAATGCCCTCCTCGCCAGAGAGACTTTCTCTTCTTCCGTTGGTTTCTGATTCTATTGTTACTAAAGACTATTGCAAGGCAAGTGTAGATTTAACAAGGTTGTGCCGTTAAGCATGCCCCCACTTGGTGGTTTGTAACATTGTTTCTGTTTTGCCTAATGCAGCAGCAAGATATTTCTGTAAAGAGCAACGAAAAAATAATTGTCGAAAAACGTGAATGGTTGAATCTTAATCTAGAGAGACTGAGCCAGGATACCGGCAGAGATTCTAGCTTAAGATTGCAAAATTTGGATTGGAGCCAACCTCAGCAGGCTAAATCTGGTAATCAACCTTGAAATATGATTATGAGTCACCATCAAAGTTTTGGCTTATAAAGTTGATGATTTTTCTAGGATACACAGATTTACCTTGTCTGACCAATGTTTATCTCAGTTTCAGCTCAGCAGAGTTCAGTCTTACCTTTGACGGTAGCTGTAGGCGGCTGGCCTAGCGGGCTTCCTCCTCAGGGGTGAGTTCTGAAAGCCCTCACCTTTCTTACGTTGTCTTGTGCTACCTTAATGGCCAGACCCTAAAAAGAACAAAGTATTGGCAGATATGTACCCCTGATCCAGAATGGTACACCTGTGGATGGGAGCAGTGGATCTTCTACATTAGTGCAGGTATATGTTGTTGTAATTGCATTTGTTATATTTGTTTTTTTTTTCTAGTGGTTCGGACCATGATTTCTATACAAATATGCAGGGTGGTCGATTTTCTGCCTCTCAGCCTAGGCCTAAAAGGTGTGCCACACACTTTTTCATTGCCCGAAACATTCAGCTACATCAGCAATTTGTCAAAACAAACCATCTTTCCCAGCCAAACAAAGGTTCTGTGTATCTTAGAGGTGGTGACTTGAGCCCAGCGGCTGGAATCCCATCCGTGGTCGGAAGCTCCCCTATTCTCAGTTTAAACTTTCAGGCACAAGATAGAATCGCGGTTGGTGTTTCTGCGCCTGAGGATAAAGCCTATGAAAGTGGCCATCTTGCCTCAACCAGACCGAAGAAGCCTCAACTACCCCCTGCATCTAGTAGTATACTGGTATGTACTTCCTTGCTTTTTTTTTTTTTTATCTTGTCACGAATTTGTGTTCATCCCATTGGAGTTTTAGTGAAACTGCAATTTTAGTTCTCCTGAATAAAACCTTTCTTCTCTATCAATGCAGCCTTCTCAAGCTTTCATCTTCCCTACAAACCACCAATTGCAACCAGTCACTGTACCTTCTAAATCACCTCGTCCAACAGTAAGTCCATGTGTGGCTGTTGGTTCTGCATCCGTCAGTTTTAACAATCCAAGTTCATCAGCCACCGAAGCTTCTTCTTCATATTTCACAGTTCTTCCAAACAATGCATATTCCTTTCAACTATCTTCAACTAACAGAGGTGGGACTGCAAGCCAAGGGTTGCCTTTCTTCAATGGGTCCTTTTATTCGCCGCAGATGTTCCAACCTCCCCAGCTTCTGCAGAAACAGAGTCAAGCCCCGAAGGAGACAAAGGCAGCAAGCTGTTCCTCATCGTCCCACAGGCAACCGCAAGTTAGTGTGAATAGTCTTCCAAGCCAAGCTAATGTTCAGAAGCACCGTCAACAGTCTCAAAAGTCTGAGGCTAAAACAGTTGAAGATAACTCAGATTCAAGGAGTTGCCACACTCAGAAAGGAGGGCCATATGGCCAGATCATGACAGCTCCTATGCAGCCACAAAACTTTTCCATGTCATTTGCCTCTTTCGCGGGTGGTTCTGCCCCTGCAAATCTGAATTTCTCTTCCAGTGGCTACCATGGCGTAACAGCACCTGCCCTTGTCCATCAGAAAAACCATCAGGCAAGTGACTCAAAGACGGGAGGTGGAAGCTGTTCAAGCAATGCTGAGGACCAGAAGAAGACTCTTACCGGGAAACCTACAGCGAGGATGAATGGACAGACACTGGTTTTTGACAATCCATCGAGAACCCTCAACTTTGTTTCTGGCACTTGGCCTCCTCCTGCACCAAAAACAATAAATGGAGACCCTTCACTGTTTACCCATCATCTTACGCAGAGGCAGCAGCAATCTGGTCGGAGTAAGACTATGATCACTCATGCTCAGGCTGCCACGTCACCACAGTGGAAAAATCCTGCAACCCCATCACTTGCGTCGTGCAAATCCATAAACCTAAAGCAGTTCCAGTCTCAGCAGCAGCAGATAAGAACACACGGACAGACTCAGATATCTTTTGCAGCACCAGTAAAGTCGCAACATGGGAGATCTGGTGGCTCGTATGCTTCAGCTCCACATGGGAAAGCAGCAAACCCTAAGGGCAACAATAGCAAAGGCTTGCCATTATCACCTGTTCATTCGTCTGGTGCACACCCACAGGACCAGACAAAGGACTCAGCTACTGGCTCCACACAAAAAACGTCTCCAGTTTGTGGGAGGAACGTGCCACGGATCACCTGTCTGAGCTAAAAGTACTAGTTTCATGGAGGCAGCAGACGTATAAAGTCACCATTTTTGCAGTGTCTAGCTTCAGAAGCAGGCTATGAGGTTATTTGGGGGTCGGTATCTTATAAATTGTTTAATGAATTATGGTGTCAAAGTTCTTTCATTGTGATTGGTCTAGTGTACATATTTAGACTAACAAAACCCATCCCTCAAAGCAATTTATTTCAAATACACTCTTCAGCATAAATATAGAGAATCCGATAACAAAGACCAAACTTGGGTTTATTATTCGTCTTCTGAGACTCGTGAGCTACTCGCCGACTGCCAAAGAAGCCACATTGTCTAGAAAATCTTCTCTTGCATTCTTATCGAACGGCTCTTCACCAATGTACAAGTCTAAGATTGACCTGCACAAAAGTTTGCTCTTCACACTACCAACATGGTTCCCCTCAACTGAACGAACAAAGAAGAAGTAAGAGTTTTAGACACTCGAGTCTCAGAGACAAATAAAGAAGTAAGGGCATATAGATCGATAAGAATGTTTACTTGCTACGCTGAGTAGATGGCCTGGTTCTTGCGTCAGATCAATAGTGGAACTTCTTGGAATTTTATACTCGTCTTTGAAGAGGCTAGTGAAGCTACAAGTGGCATGAAAGTAAAAGAGAGATCAGCAGAATCAAAGCCAAGGTACGAATGTGTGTGTGATATACTATAATACTAGTTTAGTTAGTACCTTTGAAGAAGCAACTCATGGTTGTCTAAGCCGCCAAACTTCTTGAGTCTGTTTCCGACAGATTCTTGGAAAGCATTGCGCACGGAACGGATGTTGAGTTTGCTGTACACGATCTGCAGCCTTATGGTCATCCTTATGTCGGACTCAATGAGATCATCCATGAATGCCTTGTTTCCCCTGAGCTCAGATGCTGGCAGATTTGCGTATTTCTCACCCACAAGTTTCTTCACATCCTCACAGTCAGCATACATCCCTAAGTATTTACAGTCACGCTCATCAATCAACTGGATGCAGAATGACTATAGCAATTCGTCTGGACCAATTCCTTAATCGTAATATTTTCTAAATGGCAATGTAAGAAGGTAGTTCACGAAATTAAATCGGTTAAGATTATTTACCGAAGGCGTAGATATCGATGTTCTTCAATCCCAGTAAGCTCTTCTTCCTCAGCCCGACGCCGAGTAATCGCTGGGAATCTCCTATTGTAGCCGGAAACGAGAAACCGGTCTTTGGCTCAACAATGGATTCGGAGCTAGCGTCGGCGAGAGTTATAGATCCCCAAGGTAACAGAGACGAACGTTGACTGGAGATCCAGCCCAGAATCGGATGCCTGGGATTCTGCGACGCCGCGATCGCGGCTCCAGCGGCAGCGGCGCCAACGGTGACGGTGACTGCCACGGCGGAAACGGAGAATCTTGAGGATGACGTGGCACGCGGTGGTTTCGGGACTGAGGGCTGAGAAAACGAGAAAGGGAAGCGAAACGAAACCATCGTCTTCGCGTGATGTTGTTGTTAATTCACACTCAACACTATTTTGTTTTGTTTTTGTTAAGTCGTTTAACTTTACACACACCATTGATATGAATATGATTCAGCGACAACAACTGCTGGTTTAACTGACACGTGTGACGCACGTGACCTTCGTGTTTTACGAACATGCCCATTCACTTCTTAAGGGCCTACACGCGAGTATAATAGGCTTTTCTATTTTCATTTTATAGTAAGGCTAAGGCCCATGGCACTTCACCCTTTTTCTTTTCTTTTCTTTTTCTTCTACAAATATTCGTTATAATTTACTATTTTCATATTTTATTTTATTTTCAAGACATTTACATTAGTATCACAATTTGAATTCAATATTTGTACTCTAAAAAAAAAATATATATATATATATATAATAAAATATATATTATTTTGATAGATTATAGTAAATAACATTGTTTGGGCAAATGGTAGAGATATTTTAAAGAGTTGCAATTTCACCACGTTTTATCGTTCTAGAAAGAAATATTCAATTCTACGTCATAAGATTCCCTTAAAATAAAATATCTAGAATATTTAGAAAAGGGGTATTTAACTTGGTTTCATCAAAATCCGATTAAAGATTTGCAGGACTTCACGAGAGGCCACTATTGGCGTCTTATCTTCTTTGTTCGACTGAGGTTCATTTAGAAATTGGAATCAACCAAACTTGTCTTTTTCACAGCACCAAGATTTGTTTTCTAGCAAGAAGCCCAATCGAGCCCATTTTAGGCCCGGTTCCCACTCACCAAATTCTGACCGTCGATTACTCCATCGACGGTCAATAACGCGACCACTCGATATTGTTAGAAATTGGCCAGAAAATATCGCTACTTTTTCCTTTCTTTTTATAGTTATAGATATCGAAGATAAACCAGTCTCAAGTCAAAGAGGGTTTTCAGTGAAGAAGAAGAAGAAGCAATGGATAAATCAACAGACACTAATTTCCCAAAGCTGGAGAAACCTACAGGCAAGAAACAAACAGCGACGGTTGTTGTCGGAGCGTTGGCGGTCGCATGGTTGGCGATAGAGCTCGTGGTTAAGCCATTGTTCAAGAAATTCAACTCCTCTAAGGACAAATCCGATTCCGACGATGCCACAGCTCCTCCCGCGCCCGGCGCCTAAAGGTGACGAGAATAGCCTCTGCGGGAGACACGTGGAGGTCTTACTTGCTTCTTAATCAAGTCTATAAGCAAATGTTGTGTATTTTATTGTTGTTTCCTGTGTAATAATATCGTTTGGTTTTTTTTTTTATCGCTTTGACGATGGTTTTTTAATTAATCTCGCTCTTCCTTTCTTAATAAAATCCCCAGATGGAATAATAGATCAATGAGTTACGATGTAACGGATTTCATTTTCCTTATTGCCTTGGACTATCTGTTTGTAATATTTTTTTATAAAGTGTTTTATGTCATTTCTCCCATTCCGTTTCTTTTTGGTACTAATATCAGTTTGGTATTCGATCTATTAACACAGCAAAAACGGACCTTTATATATATACATATATTAGCTCTTTCTTTTGGTTACATACATTGTCATTTACTATGCAGGACCAGATCATGGGTAAAGTACATTCTAAAAGCATTTTTTTTTCCAACATAGGAAAAAATGGAAAAGAAAAGAACATAAATTATATAAATATCAAGAAAAATATGGAACAAAATGGAGCAGAAATGAGAAAACAGAACATTTTAGTTCAATCTACTTACCAAATGGTAAGGGAAAGTTTTACCTATGAAACGGCGACGAATGATGATGAATACTATTGTAGTAATGATAATTGAGGCCCTGGCCCATTAAGTGAAATCCGTGAGGCCGAAGATATACATATAAGCTTGCGGAGCACGTGTCGGGTCAACCCGAATTGAAATATGGAGCATCCATCCACGTCAGTCGGGGCCGGCCATCGTTCGTAGATCAATCTCTCATAGCCAGAACAACATTAACGTCAATTTCCTCTCTCTTCATCATCTCTCAGTTTCTGGTTTCTCCGATGCTAGGTGGATTCGGAGGAAAGTCATTTGCCGGAGGCCGCAAAAGCCTCAGAGTCGCCGTCGCTGGGGACAAAGGAACCGGGAAATCCAGCCTGATCTCGGCCGTCGCCTCTGAAACTTTCCCGGATAACGTCCCGCGCGTCCTTCCTCCGACTACTCTCCCCGCTGACGCTTACCCTGACCATATACCTATCACCATCATCGATACTCCCTCAAGGTCTTTATGCTTTACCCTGTCTGTATAATGCAGATTCCTCTTTGTATTGATTCTTCTTCTCCTTGTAAGAAAAATAGTCCAAGTTGTCAATGGTCGAAACGCCATGAATCATCACTAGCTTAGGTGAAAGATAATTCAGTTTTTCCACACGATTACGATTTGATCGTCTGTACACCCGGGTACGCATGATCCTCAATATATTGATATCTGTGATGTTTATTTGGCATTTAGCATTGACAATAGGATTAAGCTCATTGAAGAATTCAGGAAGGCTGATGTGGTGATTCTGACATATGCTTGTGATCAGCCTTCGACTCTTGATCGCCTGAGTTCTTATTGGCTCCCTGAGCTCCGTCGGCTAGAGGTTTGTTATCTTTTGGTGAAAGATTGTAACTTACGGATTCTCCTCTAAGAAAGTATTCAATTTTGTTGTGAAATGTAGATCAAAGCACCAGTCATCGTGGTGGGCTGCAAGCTTGATTTACGGGATGAACGCTCTCCCGCCAGACTAGAAGATATAATGGCTCCAATCATGAAGGAGTACAGAGAGATTGAAACCTGTATAGAGTGCTCTGCATTGACCCTTATTCAGGTATCTTTTTGGCAAAGAGACTAAATACCTCAAAACATATAATATCGAAAGACCCTGCCCACGACTGAGTTCTTTATGTGATTAAACCATATCCAGAGAAACCGTTGTTTTATTGGCGCTTAAACATCAGGAATATTCTTTTTTTTTTTTTTTTTTTTCCCTGTTTTTCAGGCCCCTGATGTCTTCTATTATGCATTAAAAGCTGTCCTTCATCCAACATTTCCGTTGTTTGATCAAGAAAAACATTGTTTAAAACCTCGCCTCCGCAGGGCAGTTCAAAGAATATTCAACCTTTGTGATCATGATTTGGATGGTGCCCTTAATGACGCGGAGTTGAATGATTTCCAGGTTCTCTTTCCCTGTTAGCCACTGATTACTGCATTCATGATTGAATGCTCCTCATCCTTCTATAATTGCGATGCTGCAAATTTGGTTAACAGGTAAACTGTTTTGGTACCCCACTTGACCCTGTTGAACTTATGGGAGTTAAGAGAGTGGTACAAGAAAGGCAACCAGATGGAGTTTCTGATCTTGGTCTTACACTTCCGGGTTTCCTTTTTCTTTTTTCTCTTTTCATTGAGAGAGGTCGTCCTGAGACGGCATGGACTATCCTAAGGAAATGTGGTTACAATGATTGTTTAGAACTCAACACCGAGTTACTACACGTTCCGGCAAAGCATTCTCCTGATCAGGTGTGTGTGTACTGTTAGTAAATAGCTATAAGAATGTCTCTAAAGATACGAGGCTGGCCTGCTTTTGACTAATGTTTGCACTCTGTTCTTTTATTTCACTTGCAGAGCATCGAGCTAACAAACGAAGCTATGGACTTTCTGAGTGGAATCTTCCAGTTGTATGACCTTGATAATGTGTGTATGATCTTTCCTCTAATTATCTAACCTTGATTCTGTTGTTCTGCTTATGTGATCCTCATGGAGCAGTGGTAGTTCATTAGTGCTCTTTCTTTTTGTTGCTATTTAGGATGGAGCCTTACGGCCAGCTGAGCTAGATGATTTGTTTCAAACAGCTCCAGATAGGTAATTTTATGGTGATTACTTTTTGCGTGATTCGTTGGTTACTCTTACCTCTGTAGTTTCTGGTTAACAACTGTTCTTCCAGTGTTTATTCAGAGAGTTTACCTTCTCTCCTATTAATTTTTTTCCCTGCCAGTGTTTTCAATGTTCTTGTACTTGAATTTTTATATTGTTTTTTTGGAGTAAGTTCGTGTACATGTACAATCTGCTTTTACGATTTCAGTCCTTGGCTTGAGGCTCCTTATAAAGATGGTGCAGAGAAAACGCCAGGCGGAAATTTAACAGTCAATGGGTTTCTGTCTGAGGTTTGTATGTTTGCTTCTGTGTCGACGCTGAATTGGAAGCAAGCTTTCATTGTCATCATGATGAACTATCAGATGCAACATTCTTTACCATGTCTAATTATGCTCTGTTATATGCGTGAATGCAGTGGACCCTAATGACTCTAGTGGATCCTCGAAAAAGTTTGGCAAACCTGATATATATCGGTTATGGTCACGACCCAGCTTCAGCATTCTCTGTTACTAGGAAAAGATCAGTGGATCGTAAGAAGCAGCGAACAGAAAGGAATGTGTTTCAGTGCTTTGTATTTGGGCCACAAAAATCTGGAAAGTCTGCACTCCTCGATGCTTTCTTAGGAAGGTAAACTAGTTTTTTTTTATCATTGCAAAGTAATAAGTATTCGTCTTATGATGTGTCATCGTCAGTGTTTTGGTTGTTTCTATGGGAATTACGGAGGTTAAATCCTCTAACCTGTGTTTCAACTCCAGGAAATTTTCGGACAGCTATAAGGCAAAAATGGGTGAACGATATGCAGCAAATGTCGTTGATCAGCCTGGGGTGAGTAGTAATAGTATGAACTCTTATGTGATTTTGTGAGATGTGAATGTTTAATATGTTTTTTTTTATTATTTTTCAATCAAATTGTTGGATGTATGTTGCAGGGTAGTAAGAAAACCCTCATATTGAGGGAAATACCAGAAGACAGAGTGAAAAATTTTCTGGGAAATAAGGAGTCGTTGGCAGCATGTGATGTTGCTGTGGTTGTCTATGACAGGTGAGCTCGAAAAATCTTTGTACAGAGTCTAATGTGTGGGTAATGGATGGCATGAAGAAGGAGTTAAAAGTATTATGAAAAATTGATTGCAGCTCGGATGTGTACTCATGGAAAAAAGCGAGGGAGATATTAATGGAGGTAGCAAGGAGGGGAGAAGAGAGCGGTTATGGTTGCCCTTGTCTTGTTGTTGCCGCAAAAGATGATTTGGATCCGTATCCAATGTCGGTGCAAGAGTCTGATAGGGTAATGCGTCAAGAGTGTAAATATATTATGATCGTATGTATGAGAGTGGTCTCGGAATGATGAACTGTGGGTGTGTGTGTGTGTGAACGCAGGTGTGCATGGAATTGGGAATAGACGTGCCAGTGTCGCTGAGCATGAAACTCGGGGACCAAAATAGTCTCTACTCAAGAATCGTGAGTACAGCAGAGAACCCTCACATGAGCGTTCCAGAGACGGAGGCAGGAAGAAGAAGCAAGAACATACGTCAGCTCGTGAATAGCTCACTTGTATTTGTCTCAGGTTATTAATTATTATTAATTTCTTGGCAAAACAAAATCTATATTAATCGGAGTGAAACCGTTTTGTTTGTTAAATCATCTAAGCTTTTGCAGTGGGTACAGCTCTTGGGTTTGCCGGCTTGGCAGCATACCGCGCTTACTCAGCAAGGAAGAATGCTTGAAGTTTCGTTTCTCTCTGCCCATTCTCATCTGCTTACACTGTAATTTGTAAGTAATATAATTATCTAATGGTAAAACATCATCGTTTATCTCTGACACAATAGTTATTTTGGATACCATCATAAGTATTCTACTTTTCATTGATTGTTGGGTACTAAAATAATGCACATTTTTATCGGGGAAATGAAACATTACAAGCGACCCATGTATTTATGCTCAATGATTATCATATAACAAAACAACCATTTTTAATACAAAATTTTCATATTAATACTTTTGCAGAAAACATTGAACGTTATTATTAAGACACAAAATGCGACAGATGTGAACTTGATGGGAAAGCGAAATAAATATAAATCAGATAAAACGCGAAATGAAAATGGACCGAACGTTTGTATGTTATCTGGAACAATAATAATAATTGATAATAGCCTTACAAATTCTCTGAGGATCAAACCAGATTTTTAAAAGCGAACAAGACGAGGAGTCAGAGAGCAGCAGAGATATTGAGAAATCCTAGGCAAAAGAAAGAAAAAAATGGCGGCTTTATCATCTTCTTCTCTGTTTTTCTCCTCTAAAACATCTTCTTCTCCGGTTAATAATAATAGTCTCCTGATCCCGCCATCTCTCCACCGCTTCTCTCTCCCTTCTTCATCTTCCTCTTTCCCCTCTCTCTCTTCTTCATCTTCTTTGTCTTCTGCATCTCTCTTCACCACATTCTCTCTAAGGAGTTCTCGAATATCATCAGCTCCTCAGCGATTTACCGTTAATGCAGAGAAGAAGAATGTACTTATAGTGAACACCAACAGCGGCGGTCACGCCGTCATCGGGTTTTACTTCGCCAAAGAGCTCCTCTCCGCCGGCCACGCCGTCACCATCATGACCGTCGGCGATGAATCATCCGACAAAATGAAGAAACCTCCTTTCAGCCGCTTCTCCGTAAGATATTCCGAAATCCCTACGAAATTGAGTCCGCTTTCGAATCTCCCCAGTAATCATCTTGTCTACAGGAAATTGTCAGCGGCGGAGGAAAGACGGTGTGGGGAAACCCGGCGGATGTCGCGAATGTGGTGGGAGGTGAAACATTCGACGTTGTGCTTGACAACAATGGCAAGGATTTGGATACTGTTAGGTCTGCCTTACTGAACTCAGAATTTTTCCTCTTTAGAATGTGGATGATGATAACATCCTTTTGTGGGAACAAAACAGGCCAGTGGTGGATTGGGCTAAAAGCTCCGGCGTGAAGCAATTCTTGTTCATAAGCAGCGCCGGGATCTACAAGTCCACCGAACAACCTCCTCACGTTGAAGGGGTAATACTGTAGATAAAAACAACAACTTTCTCACTAGTCTCACTTTTACGTATGTCTTCTTCTTCTCCAATGTGCAGGACGCAGTGAAAGCCGATGCAGGTCACGTGGGAGTGGAGAAGTACTTAGCAGAAACGTTCGGGAACTGGGCCTCGTTTCGACCACAGTACATGATCGGCTCTGGCAACAACAAAGACTGCGAAGAATGGTTCTTCGACCGTAAGTTTCCTCCTCCTATCCACACAATGCTACTGTGTATGTGTGTTTACAACAACACAGGCCAAAAACTAAAGTCAAATGTGTGTTGTAGGGATTGTGAGGGACAGACCAGTGCCAATCCCAGGATCCGGTTTGCAGCTAACCAACATATCTCACGTGAGGGACTTGTCTTCCATGCTGACTTCAGCCGTCCACAACCCCGACGCCGCTTGCTGCAACATCTTCAACTGCGTTAGTGACAGAGCCGTCACTCTTGACGGCATGGCCAAGCTCTGTGCTGCCGCCGCCGGCAAAACTGTTGACATCCTTCATTACGATCCTAAAGCCGTTGGGGTTGACGCCAAGAAGGCTTTTCCATTCAGAAACATGGTTAAACAAATACACCCAATAATAAAGGCTCTTCCTCCATACTCGTTGAAACTTGATTGATTAGTTTTTGTAACCCTTTCCATTGTTTTATGATCACAGCATTTCTACGCGGAGCCAAGAGCAGCAAAGGAAATATTAGGGTGGGAAAGTCAAACGAACCTACCTGAAGATCTCAAGGAGAGATTTGAAGAGTATGTCAAGATTGGCAGAGACAAGAAGGAGATGAAGTTTGAGTTAGATGATAAGATACTCCAAGCCCTCAAAACTCCTGTGGCCGCTTGATCAAATATAAAGGCCATTTCATTTTTTCCTTTGTAACATCTAGTGCTTACCCATATGAGATGAACATGGTTTCAGCTAAAAGATCATTTTAGATTCATAACCAAAAGAGCAACAACAACTCTAGGTTATGTGAAGATAACCATTCGTTTCAAGGAAATAGATTTCAAGACAGACATTAGATCCTTACATACCCTACTAAAGAACGTTTTACCAAATAGATAGAGATAAAACTGAACCTACCTACATAGCAACATGAGCATCGTTTCATGTTACCTCCTCCTATTCCTCCTCTTGCTTGATTTTCAGCCCTCCGAGCTTTGATTCCAGTTCACTGTCTTCTTCGCCTTCCTCTTCTTCGTCTCCATCTTCAAAATCTTCTCCTTCCGGGTCATTATCGTCCAAAGGACCAAGCTTGTCCAGGGAGTCCTTAAACATGCCATTCACCTCGTCGATACCTTCCTCCGATATGAAGTTTCCATTAATGTTCAGAAGCTTGAAAGTGTGTTTCTTCAAAACGGCTTGTGCCAAGGTTCTAGCCCCAGCTCTTCTGATCATGTTGGTGCTCAGGTCAACTTCAGCCAGCTTGTCAAGACTTTCGACTGCCTCTGCGATTAAGATAGACCCTTCGTCTTTGAGTTCATTCTCAGATAAATTCAGCTTTGAAAGAGACTGTTTCGAGGCGATGCAAGCTGCCAATTTCCCAGTGGATTTTACAGTAATATCGTTCCCAGCCAGTTCTAGAACTTCAAGACAAGGGGCAGACTTCGTTAAAGCTTCTGAGAGCGCCTCTGTTCCCTCATCTTCCAAGTTCAGGTAACTCATATAGATCTCGGTTAAATCAGACAGCACTGGTAGTGTCTTGGCCAGAGCAACTCCACCTTCGACTCCAAACATGTTGTCACGAAGATCAAGTTTCTTCAAGTGGCTACAGAATTCAAGTGCTTCTGCTAGTGCAACACCGCCTTCTGAACCAATCCGTGTAGACGAACACCGGAAATCTTCCAAAGATGGGCACTGCCTGACAATCTCTGCAATGGCAATGGCTCCTTCATCTCCCGTCATGTTGTTATGAAACTGAAGAACCCTGATTTTGCCAGTAGAAGGAAGTAACTCACGAACTGCTCGTGCAGCATCCTCGGAGATGCCATCATTCATCAGATACAGCTCCTCTAAGTCATGCTGAGACTTGATGAGAGAAGCAAATGCTCTGATCCCTTTTTCTCCCAAAGCATTCTCTGAAAGATCCAAATACCTAAGCTTAGAACCCTCCAAGGCAGATGAAAACATACTCATGACTTCAAGTGCTTCCGCCTCTGGTCTTCCTGCAACAACATCCGAGAGATCCACTTCTTTCAGCTGATCCTTGATGGAAGACAAAACGCTCACAGCAACTTTGGCTGCTTCCAAGCCAAAACTCCTGTTGCTGAAACGGATTTTGGTGTAAGAGTTATGCGGCTCAGTCAAAGGGCTCAAAAGCTCACGGGCCTCCTCTTCGTCAATAAATGCTCTTTTCTCACGAGATATATCAAAAAAGACATCACCAGTCGTCTTCACCCGCACCTCGGATTCTACCTGCGGGCCTCGTTTGATCACTTCAAGCAAAAGCTTACTCGACTCTTTGGCATAGACCTGAACAGCAGAAGTTCCGTCACCATCAGGCTCGTTCTGGAAGTGTTTGTTGGCAGTGGCAAAAGCCAGCTCTTCAATTCGCTTGGCATCTTCCTCAGCCTCTTCCACGCTCAGCAGACCGTACTTCCTGGAGAAGATGGATGGGGTCGTGATGTTCTTGGTCATCCGCTCCACAAGCATCAGCCTGGTACTCTTACTCGGCGGCCACATCTTCACCGATAAAACACGGCTCTGCGTGGTTTTAGCTGAATGATCCATGCTACTTGGTTCTGTCATTCAAAGCAAAGGACAACATTACTCACTCTGATATCAAACAATCAAAAAAAAACAATTGGCCAATGTAACTACTGCAGCTAAGATCAACATGCACTATTCTATCTAACGCTTTGCGCTTCAACAGACCAAAACTAGTGTTAGATCCAATCGCAAACAACAATTATATTTCTAGTGTGGATACAGAAAGAAACTTTAAAACGTTTCCAAGACATTTCGGAGAATTTAAACTCATACTACGCAAAAACATATTTTAAATCTACAAACCACGAAACTGTCTGCTAACGAGACGTAGAGATAAGAAAACTCGCGGTTCCGTATGTATTTTGAAATCCAGAAAACTTTCGACTACACAATGGAGAGGAGAGATGCGACATGGTTATGATTAAACTCACAAATAAGAAGGCGTAAACCCAGAAATGTAAAAGAAGGAGGAAGAAAACAGAGAATCGAAATGTGAAAGAAGGATAAATAGTTAGGGTTTCGTTCACCTTTTTACTCGGCGTATCGAAATGGATCTCTAGTTGCCGATGACGGAGAATCGAAGAAAACAGAAAAGGAGTTTTATCAGAGAAGCGTAAATAAGAAGCAGAGTGAGTCAATCATCGATCCGCGTGATGATAATGGAGGCAATGATGCGTTTTTAAAAATCAAATTCAAAAAGCAAATCTTAACACACACCCAAAAAAATTTGGTCTGTCTTTTGAGAGCCAATCCAGGACGATTAGGGTTTATTCTACACGTAAAATGACAGTAAAGCCCCTACACAACTCCTCACCAGTTGGAAAAACCATATAAAAGCCCAGTAATAGTAGAGTCTTCGAAAGCCCAAACTTAATTTATAAAGCCCAGTAATAGTAGAGTCTTCGAAAGCCCAAACTTAATTTATAAAGCCCATTCCTTGGTTAATCTGAGTAAGACGGGTGAGGAAGGAGGAGACGGTGGGCCACCACGGCCAGGTGGACTCGCCGACGGTGAACTGTCGACAGAGGCCTCTCCACCACGCCTTGTGCCTTTCACTCCATTTATTTATGTTTATTTGTGTATTTTATTTTTTAATATCCTGTTAAATAAACGTAAAAATGGAAACTTCCTTTTCTTCTTCTTCTTCGTCTTCTTTACAATAATTCGCGGCTTCTTCTAGCTTCAGAGCAAAGAATGGTGAAGCGCCGGAGATAGAGATCTGTATTCTTCCATGTCCGGAGCTTCTTCATCCTCTGCCCACTCTCTGGTTCGGAGTTGAAGAGGTTACTTCTTCTTGACCTATTTCCCCCAAATAGCTTGTAAGTTCCCTCACCTGTCTTCGTTTATGGGCATCTCAATCGGATCCGAATTCTGATGATTTACTGGAGATTGTTGGTAGGTAGGACAAATAAAGAGAGGTTTTAGGTTTCTTTAGAGTTAGTTCACCAACTCATCATAAATTAAATTCACAATCTGCAAGGTCTTACCACCATTTATGCCACTGTAATTGCAGATTAGCTCGAGAAATGGAGTCGGATCCAGGATTCGTCGATTCGGGTGTGTACCTGAGGTTAGGGCTTATGATAGAGGGCAAACGCTTGAGAAAGCCACCGACAGTCCTGTCACGTCTGGCTTCATCTCTGGAGAGGTGTGTGTCGGCGGATGAGGAGGAGTTGGTTGAAGCGCCGGAGATGAAAGAGTCTGTGACAGTGTTTGAAGGGAGATCCCCGCCAGAGATCAGCATTGCGCACTACTTGGATCGCATATTCAAGTACTCAGGGTGCAGCCCATCTTGCTTTGTCATTGCACATATCTACATTGATCAGTTTCTCCAGAGGACCCGAGCTCGACTCAGGCCGCTTAATGTCCACCGCCTTATCATAACAAGCGTGATGCTCGCCGCTAAAGTCTTCGACGACAGGTATCTCACTCAGTCACTGTGGACACTGGAGTTTTTCGATTCTTGTTTCATTTCACAACCTGTTTTTGGGCTTTAAGGTGTTTGTAGACATAGTCACTGATCCCTGGTGCTGTGCAGGTATTATAACAACGCATACTACGCGAGAGTGGGAGGTGTGAGCACGAGAGAGTTAAACAGGTTGGAGATGAAGTTGTTGTTCACCCTTGACTTCAAGCTTCAGGTACATCCTCAGACGTTTCACACACACTGTTGTCAGTTGGAGAAACAGAACAGCGACGGTTTCCAGATCGAGTGGCCGATCAAAGATGCATGTCGAGCCAGCAAAGAGACGTGGCGGAAGAGCACTCCAGAGTCAGTCTGCTGCTCCCAAACGACTGCACGCTGATCAGCAAGTGTAAGATAGGGTTTTGTGTGTGTGTGTGTGTGTGTGTTGGTAGTGATGATTCTTTTGCAAAGATTGATTGTTATAGACAATTCACATTTGTGTAGTAGAAAGCCTCTGAATTTCCCACCAACTCAGTAGTGTTTTCAGAGGTTTATATATACACACTGATTCTTAAAAGTAAACACATATTTCATTGAACATCATAACACGGCAACAATTTCTTCCACATCAGCTGCCGTGCAATTTCTCAGGCAACGGTGACCACCACAACCACCTGAACCGCTGGCTTCTCCACCACCACCGTCGCTGCTATTAGAGTCAGAGGACGGTGAGTGGTCGCCGCTTTGAGATACACTGTCTGACCAAAGCCGTGTAAGGAGGAGTCGCCGGAATGTTTTTAAAAGATTCCAGTTGAGGTCGGCTCTCAAAAAAAGCTCGGCTCTTTTACTTGTATCCAAGATTGTAATTAGATTCCGATCGACTCGTTTCGCCTTCCTCACAGTCGCGGTACAGCTAGCAGTTTGCAGTTTCAGAACACGAGTCTGTGCGTACATTTAATTAACATTGTACTATGATCGATGTAATTGGTCGTCATAAATGATAAAATTAAATAAAAACGCGAACCCGATGGACTGGGACTGGGGGAGGATGACCTTCGATTGTTACTTTAGATATTTGTGTGCTTCTAAATCGTTAAAACAGATTTTCTTTATTGATCATGATCATGCGAAATATTTATTTATTTGGATTTGATTAGATATGTTCAAATTTATCAAGCGTGCAGTGCAGGTCTGGCTTTTACTTCGAATGAAACAAAACTTAAAAGTTATTTCTGAGATAGTTATTTACAAATAATAATGCATGTTTATAGTATAAATTTTCTCACAAAAATGTCTTATTGTTTTCAATTTTGATAAGACGCTTGAAGTATACACCTGAAGTTTTGAAAATAAAATGTTAAGGATGAGATTAAACCGTTAAAGTATATCCCAAATTTGGATAGCTACGCCAAATTCACATACAGATACTATTCAGTTTGTCGTTATTATTCCTTACTTGCAACACAGTTTCCACATTTGGAGCAACAGTATAAAAAACAGCAACGAAATAGAAGGTTATTACTATCTCTTACAATGAATGAGCAAATGATTATTGAAAGAGAGGGATTAAAAAGGTTAGTTAATGCGCATGGTAGGCGTGACTGCCTTATTGGTCGTATTATTTACCTTTTTTTTTTATCATGATTGGATTAATATAGATATTTTTATATAAACGTGGGTGATGGGTTAACATCAATCAATCATTAAACTTCTTATCCCAATTTACTTTGTTGATTTATTTTCTTTGTATGTATCATGAACATTTTATAAATTAAACAACTGCAAAAGTTGGTGGCCACGTACGAGTTCAGGCGAACTAGCTAGCACGCAAATATGATGTAACTAACTTTTTTCTTTTTTTTTGTGATTTAACACTATTTACCAAGTTTGTTGTTAGTAGATGCAACAAAAACAAAGTTATAGTTAAGACCTAATATAATATAGCTAGGACTTTTCTTTCGATTAGTTTAACAAAACAAAAAAACTCTTCTTTAGATTAAGTATGTGAAGAAATTCAGCAGAGACAGTTAAAGCAAATAAATATGAAAAAATAACAATTGAGTATGATATTAAGTTGAATTTTTTTCTTAATAAAGGATTTGATGATATTAAGTTGATGTATCCATTCATTATTTGGAGCTGTGTGATGTAATTAAGTAATCAAACGACACTTTACTAAAGATATAAGGAAAGTTTTAAAATGTAGTAATCAGCTGATAAGACAACAAAAAGCTAAGGAGTTTAATAGAAACGCATATAAGCTCGTTTAATCCACCCATTTGATTAAAATTGATATATCAATTAAATATTGTCAAATGTATTTAATATCAAAAGAAGGTAAATTACTAAATATTTTAAAAGAACGGATCAAATTTATAATTTTTTTTTTTTAAATTACAAAAAATTTATAGTTAAAATTACCAGATGGGTTTCATTTAGTTTATTAAATTACAATAATATATATATATATATCTATATATATATTCTGTATTATTGTTGTGGTATATAGGAATGGGAGGAATCAGATACGTACATGGACGTGTAGGAGCATGCACACATTACTAAGTTCGCACACAAGAAAAATTATACATTCCCATAGGCAATAGCTACGACTTGTCGCTGTAAGAATAATCTTTTTAAAGGCCCTTTCTCAGACCATTATATATATTTCTTATCTTATGTGTATAATTATAATGTAAAAAATGAAAATAATGAAAATAAAAATGAAAAAGTATTTATAGGTTTTCCCGTCTTGAGACTATACGTAAGTGGAAGAGTAATAAAGAGACGTCGCTGAGTTCTTGGCTATTGCATGTCGACAAACAATTTTGCCTCTCCGTTTCATTAATGGACGGTCCAATAGAATCTTTATATTATTATTCACCAAGAAATAAAAGACTCATGATAATATCAAAATATAAAACATAGAATCCCATCTGCATGACTTTTTGATTAAATTTTATAAATCAGGGCATATAGAATATCTACATACATTTTTAATATTTACTAGGCCGATCATGAGGAAGCTGGAAGCATAACGACCCTAATTAATTTAAGTGTTTTAAGTTTAAGTTGATGTTCGTTAATATTATTCCATCCAAGCTTGCTCTTCTTTCATTGATGACTGCCTTAGTATCCATACAAAATTTATGTTAAAAAAATACAAACAAATCCTAGCTAGCTAGTTATTCATATTAAAAGATTTGTGTGTTAAAACATAATTTTTCTTTTATCTAAAAACGGAAGTGCTTCTGATCATTATTTTCTAAAAAAAAAATCGTATCTTAACTTCACATCAAACGTAATAGAAGTTTACATTTGATTGAGACATTATCAATATATATCATCTGCACTGCACGCGTATCAAATATTTGGTTACCCCAAAAGAAATATAGGAGAATAAAGTAAAATTAAAGAGGAAAAATAATAGGTTTTGACCAATAAAAAAAGCGAGCTCAACTTGTCCTAAATCATTCGTACCCTTGTTGATATTCCCAAGTGTGTGACCCTATATATACAAATCACATCCTCTTCATGCAAAGTCACCTGAACATTTCATAAGTCGATACAAGCGTCCACCAAACAAACATATCAAACCATCTGAAGTCACAAGTTTATATTGCAAAGCTCTTTTTATATTAATACCAGAATGATCATGAAGATATCTATGGCCATGTGCAAACAGCCATTACCTCCTTCGCCGGCATTAGACTTCTCTCCGGCGAGATTTGGTCCCAATATGCTAACTCTAAAGCCATATGGTCCAAAGGACAAAGTCGTGGTCATCATGGGTGCTACCGGAACAGGCAAATCACGACTCTCCGTCGACCTAGCCACACGTTTTTCGGCAGAGATCATAAACTCCGACAAGATCCAAGTTCACCAAGGCCTCGACATTGCCACCAACAAGATCACGGCCGAGGAGAGCTGCGGCGTTCCACACCATCTCCTCGGCGTCTTACCGCCGGAAGCGGACTTAACCGCCGCGAATTTCCGTCACATGGCAAATCTCTCTGTTGAATCTGTCCTTGAACGCGGAAACCTGCCAATTATCGTTGGAGGTTCCAACTCTTACGTGGAGGCTCTAGTCGACGACGAAGACTACAAATTCCGGTCGAGATACGACTGCTGCTTCCTATGGGTCGACGTGGCACTTCCCGTTTTGCACGGATTCGTGTCTGAAAGGGTTGATAAGATGGTGGAAAACGGATTGGTTGAGGAGGTTAGAGAATTTTTTGATTTTTCGGATTCTGATTACTCGAGAGGGATCAAGAAAGCAATCGGAGTTCCAGAGTTTGACCGGTTTTTCAGAAACGAGGCCTTGTTGAACGTGGGAGAGAGAGAAGAGCTGTTGAGTAAAGTGCTCGATGAAGTAAAGAGTAACACCTTTGGGTTAGCTTGTAGGCAGAGAGAGAAGATCGAGCGGTTGAGAAAGATTAAGAAGTGGTGCATTCAAAGGCTGGACGCGACTCCGGTATTCACAAGGCGGCGGTCGAAGCTGGATGCTGACGTGGCGTGGGAGAGGCTGGTGGCTGGACCAAGCACCGATGCTGTGTCACGGTTCTTGCTCGACATTGCTACCCCTCGATCGCTGGTAGAAGCATCAACCGCGGTTGCGGCGGCTAGGGAACGCGAGATGTCGCGGTGTCTAGTGGCGTAATCATACCATAACAGATAAGGCTGGATTTGGAAATGTGGTTAATGTATTCACCAATAGGCTTATTTTGGTGCTGATGACATGGCAATGGTCAGAAATTCGCAAGACTACGATGATGAGTGGGGCACATATAAAATTATGTTAGAAAATAAAGTTATATCCTCTATTTATATATGTATTTTATATATGCATCGTATATAGAGTATTGTCAGATACTGAAATTTTGGCATAACGGATTTATCAGTATTATAATATCATCTACCTTTTTGGATGCGAGTGAGACTGTAAGTGGAATGCTATATTTGGAAGTGAGACTTGATCGCCTTGTAACTATTTTGATTTTAATAATACAACGACTAATTTAACTGAGTGGGGCTTGAAATTGGTACGATTTTATAATAATTAATAATATATCGTGAATTACGCAAAATTTTGTTATTCTTTCTCTAAAGGTATTTGTTTGATGCGGACACACGTACATATATAATAATGAATTATTAACGAGGTAATTGTTTAGCACATGTTTAAGCTTTGAAAATGAAACTGTTCTAAACCCCTAAAACGAAATCAGCAGTTTTTTTTTATTATGTGGAATCCTTGTAATCAATTTGTTTGCGCACCACCTCTTTGAGTCGGAAACAAAAGAAGAAAAAGACAAAAAAAAAAAGAGAAAGTATAATTAGATTCTTAAATCTTTGTTAGCAAATAGCAAATGACCCGTACAGTAAGAAACAAAACCACGCGCCTGAAGCCGTACAGAGAAGCCGTTGACAATTATGTGCATTATTCGATTAAAAAAGGGGTCCCACTCCCATATATATCATCAATCTTAGTTTTTTTTTTAATGCGCTCTTAATTGGAACCCATCCATTATTATTATTCTCCTATATCCCCCCGTGTGCTATTGGTGACTTTCGATGCTCCCACTCGCTCCATATGTATACACTATACACTATACAGTATGTTTTAATTACCGTTGCCGTTTCATTGCATTTTTGTTTTCATATATATGTTTCTACCCAAGAGGGTCGCATAATCAAAATGAATTTTCGCCCGTCAAAAAAACAAAAGATATATATAAATGGTTTCCGCAACAAAAATGATTGATTACTTACTCCTTCTAAACTCCATTTATTTATGTATGTGTATGGGATGTGTATTATGGACTTACTTTTGTGCGATGTGAATACTGAATAATATGCATATATGTTTTGACTTGGAACATGAAACTATATACGAGATAAGGAACAAAGCGAAAGAAGACAAAGAACAAATTGCCAAGGAAAAAACGAAAAAAAATAATCGAGTAAAAAAGAATCACATCTTTTGAGCATAACCCAAGAACTAAATTCTATTATTGGTCCCATCAATGCGACTTTTTTTTTAAACAAATAAGAAAGATTCTGTGAATCTACGTCCACTTTTGTTTAATTTAAATCATCTCTTAGTTTTATTTAATAGATTCTCTCTTTTTTGTTTGTTTGTTAGTAATTATACCTTCTCCTAAAACCAAAAAAAAAAAAATTATACCTTCTCTGTTTTTTCTTCATAATGAATATTTTAGAAAAAAAGTTTAATTCCTAGATGTTTTCTATTTCTTAAGTGTAGTTTAGTTTTTTCTTTTAATTTACTCTTTCTATTTTAATTATTTAAAGATAAAATTAAAGTAGTAATTAATAAAAGTAAAGATAGAATTGTAATTGCAAATACTTTATTAATACGTGTGAAAAACTAAAACACTTTTACAATTAATAACAGAGGGAGTATATAATATATACTCTTTTCTGGTAACTTAAAGTTGCATTATGGCGAGAAATGGATTCGATTCAATTATATCAACTGTCAACGTAGAGTGTGTTCCAAAAGATTTATATAGAATTACCACAAACGGGCCTATATAAATTTATAAAATTGTGATCTATGATTTATAATGGGCCTTAAACAATCTCACGAATTTCAGCCCATATGCAATGGATTACGAAACGCGCACAGAGCGAGTGAAGCTCACCCGAATGAAATAATCCCTCTTACCTTTGTTTTTTTTTTTTTTTTTTTTTTTCTTAGGCTTTGGCTGACTTTTTGACTGGTAAAGTGTGAACGTACAACAAATAAACTAAAGGCGTGAATAAACTTTATTACACGACTAAGAAAAGAAGAAGATAAACAAAAGGGTCTCTGAAGAAGAAGACATGAGAACAATTAGTTTAGCGAGAGGAAAGAGGACATCAGCGAATGAGTCTGCCTCCACAGGTGAAAGTGACGATGCAGGACTCATCCACAAAGACTGTATAGTTATGAGCAGGTTTGGCTAGCAATGGCGGAAGCCGAACCAGAAGGTCGCACACGCACTCGTTATCCATTTGCTTCAACCACTTGCAGCACTCTTGCTGCGCGTACGTCTCTTCTCTGTGTCGGTGGTGATGGTGGTGGTGGTGGTGACGCCGGCGCCGGCGGCGGTTGTGGCTGTTGTCGTTATTGTTGTGGTGGTCATGGTCATCGTGATCATGATCATTGTTGTGGTCATGGTCATTGTTGTGATCATGGTCGCGGTCGCGGTTGCGGTTATGGTCATTGTCATCGTGATCGCGATCGCGGTTGCGGTTATGGTCATTGTCATCGTGATCGCGATCGCGATCGTGGTCGTGGTCATCGTCGTCATGGTCGTGGTCATGGTCATCGTCATGATCGCGGTCGTGGTCATGGTCATCATCGTCATCGTCGTGGTCATGGTCACGGTCATGGTCATGGTGGTCATGGTCAGGAGGAGGAGGAGCGTTGGGAGGAGGAGGTGGGGCAATGGGAGAAGGAGGCGGGACAGTGTTCATAGGGAGACGTGAGCAGGCGTAGTTAGCGAGCGCGTATTGAGAGGCGCATAGTGGACGTGGTGGTGGAATCTGTACGATTCTTTGGCCTCGTGTGAAAGAGGAAGAGGAGAGAGCCAGAAGGAGAATAGCTACAAGAAAAAGTGTTTCCATGGAGCGTGCGTATGTGTGTGTGTGTGTGAAGAGAGATCTTTGGTGGGTCTCGTTTTATATATTCAAGGCGAAAGGAGGCACAAAGAGGATGTGAAGATTGGTTGCAGAGAGATTTTAGGTTCATTGGAGTATTTCACTTGATTTGCGTGACTTTGTTAGGTTGCTTGTAGAGCTTTCTTTTGGGAGAGTGTTTCACTTTAACCTGGCACAACAACAATTCCTGTTCCAAATTACGCAAACCAATTTAATCACAAAACTATTATTATAGCTGCAACTCCAAAAGCGTTGACACATGAGAATATCGACTCTTAAAAAATTCAAGATTTTTAAATGTTGAACTCATTGAACATCGACTCTTGATTAAGATCTGAAAAGATGATACTTAAACAAGTCAAGCAATTGCTTTTACACCGTATGAGAATATGCATCATCGTTTTAGCTTAAATCCAGCTCCATGTGATTGAAACAAGTGCCTTCAGCTGAAACCAGACTGCGATTAAGACAGTTCCACACTAATGAGCAAACAGCAGGCGAGGAAGTATGTCATAATCGAACAATTACAGAGGCTTGTTGGTTGGTTGGTTAATCACAGAGACGCTCCTCCGGCTGCTTGCTTGTGGATGCTAACATCAGCTCCCTGTCTTTCTGAACTTGCTCTCTCTGAATTTTCAATCTGTCTTTCCTCTCCTGCCATCCTTCCTCCAACAGCCTGAGGAAGTTATCCTTAATGGCGAGCAAAGGATCTCGATCAACAAGCTCGTCGTCTTTATAAGCTTCTCTCAGCACAGCAGTCTTGATCCCTCCTTTGAGCGACAAGTAGAATATACCGGAATGGCGAGTGAAGAGGCTCGAGAATGCGTTGGAGAAGCGGAACTCGTCGCAGAATTTGCCAAGTATAGGCACGGGGACTCTCTTCAGGAGCGAGAGGGAGAGCAGCTCGTGCACCACACCAACCGTTCTCTTCTCCATTTCCTTGGAAGCTTGGTCCCAGTGAGACGCATCCTCGTATGGCGAAATGTAGTCTTGCTCTACCCAATCCCTAGTCCACTCCCTCATCTCCTTCCTCAGGAAAAACCCAGACGGCAGTTTCACATTAAAGTTTGGTCGGACCCGGACTCCTGTCTTGAGGGTTTCCTCCTCTGCCCTCTGCTCGATCGTCGACCTGGCGAAATCCGGGTTCCACTCGACCAGCTCGAGGAAGGACTTGCCCTCCTCAGGCGGACCCGTTAGCCGGAAATAGTTTGGGTATTTCTGAACCAATTTCACAAGAAAGTCATTGGGAAATCCAAAGTCCCGCTTCACATGGACCAGTTTGTCGGCAGAGATGAGCTTATCTTTGGACATCATGAGCAGTTTGCAGAGCTTGGAAACAATCAACGGCTCCTTCTCGGCGTAAATCCTCTCTTCTTCGTCGAGGAAAGCCCTGAGGCGGGGCGTGGGGCGGACGAACTGAACGAGCTCCGACTTGGGTTTGATCCGATCGTAGTAAATCTCCAACAGAGAAGGGTTCATCTCAACGAAGCTCTTTGCTTTGAAATTGAGGCGTAACCTCTCGCGCCGCTTCTCAAGGTACCTCAGCGGAATCACTTGACCAGGCTCGTTCACCACTTCTTTCACCACCCGCGCACAGAGCCTGTAACGCTTGTCCTGCTCTATTGCTTCGTCTAGCCTCGTGTCCTTCTTCCACACCACTTTCAAGCTCGAGATTGTTCTGTTTTGGAGCCCTGAGCTTGGGTTCAACGGTGATTTCTTCAGAGATTTGACGATTTCGTCACAAATGGTGAAGTTTCGGAACACCATTTTCGATTTCTGCACCACAAATTTTAGGGCTTTTTCGAATTCGTTCGTCGGCTTTGGTTTTGCCGAGCGTCAGTCGGAGGAAACAAATGCGAATGCCTGTAAACCCTGGGAGAGAGGAACGCCACGCGCGATTAGAGCGAGTTCTAACCACGCGTCCCCATTTATGTGCGCAAGAAAATGTATGTAATTATAATCTCTTCAACTTATTTACACAGCTAAACTTTTGGTGCTTATGTTCTGATAAGATACTCTAATTACAAAACTATCGAAAGTTAGTTAGCATATCAACACATTCAACAACTACATTTCTATGAATCAAAATGAAAGTAGATATCGATCCATTTTTGATGATCCGAATAGAATTTACATTATAGCTGGCTTTTTTCTGTATAAAACTAAAAAAGAAACAAATCTTGATGATGTGCTATATTCTTCTCTTGTAACTAAACTAAATACATAACCAAGAGAAGGAAGCATGTCATGAAACGAAGAAGAATTGTGGAAGGAACGATCGATTAGTCATGGGAGGAGAGAAGAAAGACAGCACATTTCCAGATGATGTAAAGACGAGCCCTTTGCTCCTTTATCTGCTTCGAACATCTTTCCCATGTCCTAACCTTGGTACTACTACTGCATCTCAACATAACTCTCGCTCCCATTGATCCTATACTGAAAGATCCCAAGTTATTATAATCAATGAAACTATTGTTTTTGATAGGTTTTGGCCGCTGGAGATATTACATAATTAATTGCTTTATATAGTGTCTATGCTGCTGACTCGAGCTCGATTCAAATAATTTGGTAGATAATGTATAATGCATACATAGTATAAATAAAAATTATTGAATTTAATATTATGGACCTACATGATTCTAAACGTGAATAGAAAAGACATGGTGCTTTAGCCGTTAGCTTCGCTTTTCAACTAATATCTTTTGATTAGTATCTATCACTGATTAAATGCTAAAGAGAAAATAGTTTTTAAATTTGGCATCCTTTTCTTCTTTTTCGAAAAAGCCTATCAGATTTGAAATTTGAAATTTGATTTTAAAGGTGAGCATATTGTTTGAACAGAAATCTTCTGTTCATGCACGTATGAGACTTTTAATGAATGAAGGGGTGTGGCTTGTGGGGCTTTATGTCTTGAGGTGTTGGTTGGGAATGCGATGATTAAGTAACTAATCTGGTGGTTAAGAGATGTGAGATTATTTTAATCAACTTACTATATATGGATTTGTTTAGTACATGAATGTTCATCACTCGTTTGATGCCCTGGCCTTGAATATAAGCTTTCCAATTGAGCCAAAGGGTATCAATTTAATTATTAGTTCAGTTTATAGTTTGATTGTAGGCTGTTAACAGAAGACAAATTCAAAGTTTTACTGTAGAATGACCATAAATAAGTTTTGTTCAGCAGAAATGTTTGAATAAATAAAAGCCGGGGGAGTGTATGAATGAAGCATATCCGTGTTCGAAGGCAAAGAGTTTGTGCAAGATCACACACAACCACATTATTATTGCCTGACCCTACCACTTTGTCCTCTTTTCATTGGTTTAGTTCCTTTTTTTTTTATTAGAAATCATACATAATAAAAATTAGATTACAGTAGTATAGCATTTGAGAACCTCAAAACCAATAGAGATGTTGTAAGGTGCGAGATAAGGTTAGTTGTGTAGTCGAATTAGTGATTAGCACCGGATAGGTTTGACTAAGAAAGTGATGATATTGACAGGTGAGAGGAAGATGAATGTATCAAAGAGTGGTCACGTACGCCCTTTTTTTCTCCTTCCTACTCTCTCTCTTTCTATGTTTGTCTGCCACGTGTGCCTTCTCTTTCACTCTCAAACAAGAGCACGTGAGAATGATGCGCCAAATTCGACCGATACATCATCACAGATGGAAAAAAGGTTCTCAGCAAATTACATGAGAGACAAACTGCGTAACTGTAGTCAGAACCATAGAAACAAACGATTAGATCTAACAGACGTAATGATTGTTAGCCTAAATTGTCTTTTGATTAACGATTACTCTCTTCTTTTTTTTTGGTCATCCCTTTAACAGAAAGAGGTACAATTCCGTGATTTCGTATACTACAGTATTGGGTTTTCATCTGCATTAATATTAATGGATATGTATTCTTTCGAAAGATGAAAACTAGGCCCAAGTGAGCCCACGCTGATACGGAAAGCTACACAAGGTGTTGCTGTGAATGCATCTCTTAGCAGCGACAGATATAGAGTCAGAGGGAGAGTAAGAGATGAATTCTAGTCTACAAGGATACAAAAGAAAAAGAAAAAGAAAAAGAAAAGCCTTTGACATGTGACCGGGGAGCCCGATGTGAAGAGAGGCTCTTCAAGGGTTAATAGTTGCCTCTGCGAGGGCCATCTTGATGTCTGTCTGTTTTGAAGAAAACATGAATTGATAATAAGAGAGATGTATATTGCAAGAGAGAGATGAACTATGTAATGTAAAGAGAGAGAGAGAGAGAGAGAGAGAGAGAGAGAGAGAGAGAGAGAGAGAGAGAGAGAGAGACCTCGATGGAGAGAGGTGGAACGGTAGGGCCATAGCGATCAATGACAAGGCCATCTTTACCGACCAAGAACTTGGTGAAGTTCCATTGGATGCGAGTTCCAAGAAAAGTGGGTTTCCTTGACTTGAGGAATTTGTAGAGTGGTGCTGCGTTGTGTCCATTGACACGAACCTAAGCATTATATAAGGAGGCAGAAGAGATGATGGAAAAAGAAAACATGTACACAAAAAGAGATGGGTGAGTTTATGATGATGATACCATGCACCAACCTTTTGGAAAACCGGGTATTCGGCCTTAAACCGAGTACAAGCAAATGCATGAGCAGCTTCGCTAGTCCCAGGCTCTTGCTTCATAAACTGGTTGCATGGAAACGCCAATATCACAAACCCTGTGAGTCACCATTATTATTACCCTCGTTAGAATCTTAGATGACAGCCTTCTTCTCTGTGTTACATATATACAAAAAAGCCTTTAGAATAATACAATCATAGAGAGAGAGAGAGAGAGAGAGAGAGACCTTGATCTCTGTATCTCCGGTAAAGTTCCGTCAGCTGCGTGTAATTGGATTTCGTGAAACCGCTGTTCCCCCAAAAGTTTTGAAATTTAGGACAAAACAAACCAAAGAAAAAAAAGGGAAAGAGGAAAGAGGAGGGAGGACCATTTAGAAGCCACATTGACGACGAGGACAACCTTCCCTCGGTAAACGCTAAGGTCAACCTCCTTGCCGGCGCTATTCTATTTCCCGGCGAACAAAACAAACATTATAAGCATAAAATCATACGATTCACTAATGGAAAACGGATTCACACACACAACCTTGACGGTGAATTCATGGATGCATTTCTCCGACACTGATACCGAAGCACCCATCTCTCGCAGGTTTCAGGAGAACTGTTTAAATTTCCTCCCTTTGACTCATCAATTAATTATATACTTGTTACATTAGCAGCATACAACAGCCTGGTAACAACTAATAATATTCGTTTGCTGTAAATTGAGCTTTTCTGTCTGTGACCATTATTTATGGATTGTATCTTGATTTAGCAGTATTTAACCAACAAATTCAACACACTATTAACGAAATGCTTCAACTAAAGATTCATTTTACACATCTTCAATAGCACAATATATTACTACTATATTTCCATTTTAATAGGTTAATAACCAGAAACAAATTAAGGGGGTTAATAAAACAAAACAAAAAAAAATGCCCAAATCAGGGTACTAACTCATTTTCCCATCTCTCTACAAATGGCTTTACCATCTTCTCACGGCTGTTTTTCTCTTTGCATGAGGTTTTGGTAAAGAGGAACATCATATATGTACACACTTACACAGTGCCCTTCTTTTTTTGGGGGGTATATAAAAAAGTGCCTAAACAAGCAAGCGATCGATCACATCTCTCTCTCAAGTGGCCAAAGTGTATATTCGAGCCAAACTTGTTTCTCTCTATTCCTTCCATAACTATTAGAGCCTCCTGCTGCATAGGACTTGCCGTTTTCTCTGTCCTCACCTTTGATGCCACGTTCCCGGATCTGCAAACATAACTCAAGTTTACGTTCAAGATAGAGAGAGCATATGTATGGGCTAACTAAGAACACAGCTGATTTTTACTTTGTTGGGAGGTTAAAGCATGAATTCCCATATTACCTCTCATTCCTACGGTAACAGGACCTTCCGAATGCTGCTTATGGTGATAAGAGTGTCTACTGTTATATTCCCGCGGAGAATGACTCCACCTTTGGCTCTGCATCCTTCCAGAGTCACGGTGTTGCCCACTATATGATGAGCTGGACTGATAAGGGCCTTTGTGTCTGTCATGATATCGTGGCCCTGCAAATACGAAATAAGCATCCATGGCTATTAGCAAGTGCTTGTGTGCGCAGATATATACATACATTCATACGCGTATCCGTGCATTAAAGAAGCTCACCATGAGAAGAGCCCGGATGATATCTCCAATTGTCTCGACTCTCACATGGTGCAGGCCTCACTCTCTCATGGCTATCATGATAGTTCCTTTCGTCAATATCCGGCGCGTAATGAGATCTGTGAGGGTATGAGGAGGCTTCTCTCCGTTGCTTTATGTGGTGGTCGGGCTCCATATATGAATAATGATGTGAAGGCGGAGGTGGGGGATAAGGCCTATGCTGGAAGCTAGAATCCTCCCCGCGTGGCATGCTTTTTGACCAAGATGCACGGGAACTATAAGATGATTCAGGACTTCGGTAATGCATAGGTGGATTCATCCTTGGAAGACCGGCCTGATGATCTCCCTGCCACATTGACCAGAAATGAAGTTAGTAAATCATGTCTCAGTCATCACCAATGTTCAGCCGAAAAGATTCTTATACAAGAAAAGAAAAGGACGCACATGCATGCTGGGATATCCACTGCAGTCAAAGCCGTTTGAGTAGGAATCAGACATGGCACACTGAGCATTCTGGGAACGGGGAGCTCGTGGAGATGACGAGGTCACATTCTGATGTGAAGTGCCAGAGACAGGCTGACAGTTTGCAGACTCTGTATTACCAGCTTGATCAGTGATTGCACTGCTTCCAACTTCCCAGGGTGGAGCCACGTCTTCCATTTCAAGCTCGCCGTCAACATCTTCCAGTATACGGGTATGCCTTTCCGTAATGGAGGGTGTGACGTGTTCCTCAAGGATTTTGGACTCATGTTCAGGGGTTACAGGCTCAAAATCACCACAATCCGAGTCACTCTCTTCGTCTTCTTCCTTAAGCATTGCAGGCATGCAGAATCCATGAAGTTGGAGAGTTGAATTACTGATACACAAAAAAAATTAAGTTATGACACTAGACTTAAAGAATCAAGACCCCAAAACTGAATAGACCCCAACTCTCACCTTCCATACTCATCCACCAGCATACCCTCCATATCTCTAACAGGGTCATCCAGCGCCCTTTCTGTTCGAGCGGAGCGCCGAGAATAGAGGCAAACAGGAACATCATTATGTGAATCTAGTTCTTTTATATGGCGACTAACAATAGATTCAGGAAGGATCCGTCTATCGAACCAAAGCCTCAAAACCTACATAACAGCAGAACGGGTGAGAATCAATATTTATAAGAAAAAGTAGAGCTTAACAACATTATCACGTACCTTTAAGCACTGCCTCCTGTTTTCTTGTGTGGTGGCTCCAGCTGGGACAGCAGCAGCCAATAGGCGAGGCAGCATAACTTGAATGGATGAAAGATAAACCCTACCAGCATCACCTGTAGAGAAAGACAGTATTCACAATGTTAACTCGCCAGTAACAACCTCGATGATGCGGCTAAGCTAAAACATTACACATGTAACTCACCATTCAGACCTTTGGAGGAGAACTGAGCAATAGAATCCACAAGGAAAAATAAGTCCACCCTCCTTTGTAAATTTGACTCGCTTTCCAAAGCCTGAGCAAGAACTTCCATCACCTAATTCAAGACAGAGAGATTCTTAACAACATAACGCCCAAAATCTGCATAATATAGTGTTTTCTAAATCGCACAAAGCACAGGGCAAATAAGTCCATTTTCCTACTCCTACGCTTGTCAGAGGGTGGCTGGATGCCGTACTGCATCCTAAAAACAGCACCAAAAACAATAAGGGCTTTTTCTAATTCATCGTTACACATAAAGTTAGTTTGATTAATATGGTCTCAGTTTAACTGAAGCAATTATCTATTTCGACAACGTACATAGTGTTCTACCACATGACAGATCCAGTTACTATAATATTGACAATCTACAAAAAGAAAGTTGTCTCCAAAAAGCAGAAAAATTGGATTTCACCTCTATCAACAAACAGATAAGATCACAAGCAGGTCGTACCTTTGCCGACACACCAAATTTCACCAAGTCCATAGCCAAACGAGTTGCTCGCCCAATGGTCTCCTTTGTCCTAACCAACGAGCCTAGAGCGGTCTCAAAAGATTCAATAGTGACCGGCACATCAGGACTAACAACTTTCTTCACCTGTGTTGTACCCGTTTCAACTTTGCTTTCTTCTTTGACACTGTCATCACTCATAGTTTTTTTCTCACCAAAGTGAACATTGGTGCTGCAACTACTGTTGTTCTGCATAACATTTGCAGTTTCTACAGTAGAAATATGGCAAACTGAGTTGCTATGTGGAGTAGCCCTTGCAGTAGAGTCAGGAGATAAACTCATTTTATCACGTGAAAGGTTTTCAGATACGGTAACAGAATTGGTGGCTTGGATCTGCTCTTTCTGCTCATCAGCCTCACAGCTGCCAATGCACAGGGACATACCATACTGTTAGTCAACTGGAAAAATGAATGAAGATAATATCTAAAAAGACCTGATCTGATCTACTCGATATTTTCCGAAACCCAATATGCCTATTATCTACATAGACTCTCAACGTAAGAGAAAATTTAGTTAGAAACTGGGAATCTTCAATCATAAAAGGGACATGGAAAACTACAAAGAAAGTAAAAAACAATAGGGAAATGGATTAGTATGTCAAAATTCAAATAGATAGATTTCTATTCATGACCTACATCAATCTAAATATGAGACTCCATACAAATACTCCAATGTACTTATAAACTGGACGCCTGATTGTAATTTCAAAAGTTATTTTAGTTACGGAATACAACATGAGAGACAACATCGTATCAGAGATTAGTAGAGGAGTATAGCGAAAAAATCAGTGGACTCACCTATTTTCCAGCTCTTTGTTCTCCACAGCATCCTCAGACTGACTATACACTGTTTCATTATGAGGTTCCGCTTTTGTAACTGTCACATCACTATCAAATTCTTTACCCAGACTTTCTTGTTTGTTTTTCAGTAGAGTGTTTTCAGCCACCTGCATATTATCAGCCTCTCGATTCTCGACCACTGAACAGAGCAATGAAGAATGTTCTACACCTTCAGACTGGACGACCTGAGTCATATTGTCAATTTCCTCACATTTTTCTTTAAGAAAAGAATCTCCAACAACGACCAATGAATGGTCACAACAATCCTTGCCCTGGCTTTGGTTTTGGTGAGGAGATTGAGCCGGTACCCCTAATGCCGTCATATCCATATTCGAGCATAAACTTGGGGGCTTATTTTCAGATGAATCCAAGGTATCAGGATTCAAAGGGGTTCCGTTTTTCTCACTTTGATGTGAGCATTGCATGTCAATAAGATCAGACTCACTATTTAGACAGTTCAAGGTTTGCGATTCCTCAGAACAGCCCTGAACTACTTCAGAAACACGAGTATTCCCTTCTGGCGAACTGCTAACTTGATTAGATTGTGCTTCAGTTACTTCATCATCTAGCATCATGTTAAATTTGTTCTCATGGAACTCCGTAGCAGTTTGTTTATCTCCTACAGTCTGAACACAGGCCTTAGACGGCGACACTCTGTCAGAAGGTTTCTCCGTTTGAGAAGGCACTACATCAATCATATCACCTGGGAGCTTAGTAGACAATTCAAAGCTGTTAAATTCTTTGGCTGCAGAAGAATCATGACCAGAAACAATACCATTTTCATGATTAATCGAAGGGCTTGTCTGCTTGGCTGCGCTTGTTAGAGTGTCTCTGGATGATATGTCTTTGAACTGTGAAGAGGCACTGGCCTTTTCATCAGCACAAAAAGCTCTACCCATTCGGACTCTGGCTCGCTTTACCAGAGGCAAGTGTTCATCACCATTCTCTTCACAGGGAATCTCATTCAGCGTTCCATGAGAATTTTGAGATCCCTGGCAGCTATCACACGCCTTGGTCACAAAACCTTCTTCTGCTTCAACTTTAGCAGGAAGATCAATAAGGTCACTGCTTTCACGTTTTCTGGTGGGTTTCCTCTTCTTCCTCTTAACCATGGTACTAATTTGGAAATCAAGCCCTTTGTTGAGCTCATGACCTCCTTCACAATCCTCACCAACAGCATCAGCATCAGAATGCTCGACTTTGGAACCAGAATCCACACCATTGCCATCATTCCTACTATTATTGTCAGATTCAACTGTAGCAATTTCAGATGCGTTGTCCTCCTCAGATCCATGAAAATTTAGAGTTGATGAAACCACATCATCTGATTCAGAGTGACCTGACCACCGGATCCTCTTTCTCCTTCTTTTAGCTCCATCGTCTATATCATCGACACTGTGGCCACCATCACTGCATTGAAGCTTGGACTTTTGAAGATTATCCAATTCCAACCTTGACGAGATTTTAGAGTGCTGAACCGGTACTACTATTTTCTGTGGATCACACGTTTGAGACTGGGCCTTTTCATTTCTTATCCTCGAAGAATACGTAGCTATCTCACATAGATCTTTAGCTGCGGCACTATCACAGGCTCCATTACGAGCTAGACTGTTATGACGCAGAGCTAGCATTTGTTCAGCAGCTGAAGCATCCTCGCTGAGAAGAGTCGATTCATCCCTACCATGACTGGAATTTGACTCTATTTGAGTGTCAAGTCTTGTACCAATTAGATTTTCACATGCCTGAGGCAGCTCTATAGTATTCTCAGCACTTCCGACAGTTGTCTCTTCAACAGATTTAGGATCACTAGCTTCCTTCTGCTGCTTCCGATTCTCGTAACTCTCTGTGATCTCTTTAATTGCACGGAATAAATCTGAACCTTTGGCATGCCGTTTTGTCAAAAGCGATTGCTTCTTCTCTTCCGTAAATGATTCAACATCAGCAGGATTGCAGAAAGCTCTGCACATACACCAAAAAGTATTACTAGCTGCATACGAGGGGATAAAGTAACATTTAGCTGATCTAGAGGAAAGAGCGGATTGGTGTAAACAGCTTACAACCTCAAGATTTATCCACTTAATGAATCTACTTTGGTAAGTGTGCAGCTGATTAAACATCAAAATTCACATAAACATGGGAATGAATGAAGCAGCAAAAGAACATTGACTAAATGTTGATGCTAATCTGCAAGGTAGATGATAAGACAGTTCATACAAAAAGTCACCATCCAATAGATGCGGAAGCTACAAAAGAAGTATCTGGAAAGAAGAAACTCTAGTCAAATAACATTAACTCAGGTGAAGCCAGAATTCCGCACAAGGATGATGATTCTAAACCAAGTAAAATTATAACGTAGTGGTGTCTGACAGAGAAAATACATCCCATCAAGTATATATACTGCCTCAACCAGACAAGTTAAAAATGTATGGCCATAAAGAAGCTACCAGCTTCTACGTCCTAATCTAGCGAGACAGGCACCAAATGGCAAATAGGAACTCGAGCGGAAAACGTTGGCATTCGAACAGTAAGGTAATAACAGTAAAGGCATGAGAACTCACATCTCTTGTGTTCCAAAAAAGTGAACCAATACTTTCTTGGAATCGGCTGAGTAGCCCCACTTCTCTGGTTCGCTAACCTGAAATCGGATCCAGAAATAAGCAGATGGGGCAAGTGGTCCAAAAGAAAACAAACTCAAACGGGATATGACTATCAGTCTAAGACCACAACTTGGATAGCCTAAAAACTTGCTAAGAAAGAACAATAACTTTTCACCGGTATTCCTGTAATCTGCTAAAAGCTGACAAATTTCCATATCCCTTAGGCAGTCGATAATCGACATACACATCAAACTATAAAAAATGTCATCTTTCATCTTAATTTATACGCAGACATGCAACTTCAAACCCTAAATATATAACGCTGTCTATGAGCAATTCTGGCCGAGATGACGGAAAAATGCAATAGAGCGAAAGGAAGCACATACCGCGGCAGGCCAAGCAGGAAAGCCTTTGACTTTGGCAAGCACGAGATCGCCAACCTTCCACTGCCGCCGAGCCGATGCTGCGGCCGCCGCCTTATAACCGCCTTTCTTGCGGCTCGGAGCCATCAGGAAAAGCGAGATGAGGATTCTAACCTGTAAATCACAGGCGAAATTTAGCAGCTTGGCAGTGCCTTAGGATTTTCGGTGACAGATTCCGCTAAAAAACTTGCAGGCATTGAAAATTCCCCAACCCAATCGACGCAACTACGCGAGGGAAGAGACGATTGTTGTGGATTGATTAGCTTTTTTTGGAAGAAGAGGAAGAAGAAGAAAGAAGAAGATTCACACACGAAACTACGAACCCAAAAGGGAGAAAGGAAGCTGTTTGATAGGAGCCTTTCTAAATTGTTAATGGCTCGGTCGGTGTAGGGTTTGCAAGTTTCAAAGCAGATGTATAACGTGCGCCATACATGCGTAGGTTAACCTTCTTTCTTTATTTTCACTTAACTTTTTTACTGGTGCAAAAGTTTAAAAGATCGAAAGATTCGAATCCACCTGATTCAACTACTCCTTTAAGCCCATCTTATTCAAAACGGAATGTCTTCAGCTTACTAAGGCCCACTCATAGCCCATTATTGGCTCAGTCGTAATATACTTATGAGGAGCATTTGAAAGGAAATTAACTTATTTTGTAATAATTTTTTTATCTGTCAAAAGAAAAGAAAAGAAAAGAAAAAAAGTAATTTTCCTCACTATAAAAATGGCATATTAAGGATAAAATCCTGAGTCCATATACAATTTTAGTTGAAAATAAATATTACCGTTTTATGCAATAAACAAACTTTGAAAACGAAAGGAGTGTACTGTACTAGCTTGAAGTTCATTTATTTTTCAACTCAACTATACATAATAAAGACATGATGATACAAGAGAGCAGGCATACCATGTCGACTTGCAGATACCTATGTTGGGTTTAATAGTTTCACTGGAAAAGTTATTATTAGGTTACGATAAAGCAGCAGAGATCTCAAACAAAACAAAAAATGTTTCCGACTCTCACAAATGTGTTTTTTACAATAAAAATCCAATTTTGACCAGACTTTTAGTTACCTTTGACTGTTTTGTGTAGATGACTTTTCGTAGTACATTTGTTTTGGAGCTGCCACGTTTTCCGATGGCAAATAAAACACCGATCTCGAGACACGTGTCTTGTGGGAGTAAGATTTTTTTGGTTCTGGAAAAGGACGTTTCGGATTTGCGTTTGCGTCTCAACACGTATTTTTTTTTCCTTGTATACCAACCGAGACGTCAGTTATACTATCTTGATTCTGTGTTGCGGCGTATACGCAATCACCAATAGACACGCGTCCCACTAACCAATCGGATCTCGACACATTTAGTGGTAGGGAGCGCCAGGGGATTTCTTTATGCTATTAGGCCACGTGTCTCATCCTCGAGCACCGAGCCAGCGAATATAAGTAGGTGAGATGACGACGCGCGTGTAGAGCGTAAAAACCCGATGATTGTTGAGGGAAGATTCTCCGTCGTGCAGATGAACGTGAATCGACGGCTCAGATTCAACCAACCGAGTCGATTACCAAGCTTGGGCGACTCGGGGATTGAGAACGAGCGAGTCTTGGCTCTCGTCTTCGAGTCAATTAGTTGGGACATCCACACGCTATGCGCAATCGCCTCCGTGAGCCGCAGATTTTGCGCAATCGCGAGACGAATCCTGTGGCGGATGCTCTGCGCTCACCGTGCGCCGGGGATGGTGGCGGCATTGTCCGGCGAAGATCCGAGCGGGCGGATCGACGGTGGATGGCACTCGTTAGCGAAACTCATGTTCTTCTGCGGCGGTGGTGAGTCGAGTCGGTACTTCAATCTGAGTCAACGGTCGCGGGGTCACTTCGCCTGCGAGTCCAGATTCTCCAAGACCTCCGGGCGATTTTTCCTGCCGAAGAATTGCCGCGGCGATCTCTTATACATTAGCGATCCGTGCGAGCATCACGCGGTGGGTGGAGATGAGCATTTAGGGGTTTTCAGAGGAGTGTTTAGGGAATTTATGAGATCAAAGACGAGGCAGTGTCTCGTGAGAAGACAGGCGGAGCTGGAGGAGAAGGTCAGGTGTCCGTATTGCGGAGGGCGCGTGTGGAGCATGACGGCGGCGCGTCTCGTCCCTAGGAGCGCGGCTCAGCGACTGGGCTCACGCGATGGTGGGTTAGAGTTCTTCGTGTGCGTCAACGGCCACTTGCACGGTACCTGCTGGCTGATACCACTCTCATCGGATGAAGAAGGCATAAGTTTCAATGATGATTGCGACGATTTTTACGGCGGTGAGATCTAATCCAACGGCGGTGGCATTGTGCACGTGGAATTAAACTGGGTGTGTGATGTCTTTGACTCTCGAGTGTTGAAGCATATGCAAACGGCAAAAAAAGGATTATCCATGGGGGGACTGGATTTTGCTGTGAAGATCACGTTTTTTGCATATATACCAACCGGCTAAGCTATTTCCGATATATTTGGTTTCGGTTTAGATTATTTGGTCTGGTTTAGCTTTTATGGTATTCTTGAACATTGTGAGAATGATATTGTATCTGATTTCTTCTTGTAGCCTTAACATTGATTTGGTTTAGTTCTTAAAACATAAGTAGTACAAATCAAAACATGGGTCGTTTGTTGGAACAATAGCCACAAGCTCCGATGTGGGAGCAGCAATGCCATACAATACAATGTTCCGGTCCACCCTTATTTTCTGTTGAGGCAGGCCACTAAGAGTGTGGGGTTCTCTAAACCCAAATTAGGCTAATAATTATTGCTTACGCACTTTTTTATTTTGTTATTGATGTCCTAGATGCAATGAAACATTAAACAATATAACGTTTTTATAGTGGGCAAAAATTTGAGACCATTTTTTATTTTATTTTTATCACTCGCCTTTCCGCTTTGGTCGGTTTCTGCTTTCTCTGCGAAGAAGCGCAATTGCCGTCGTTCGATTCTCCTTTGCTTCGTGACACTCGGCGGCAAAGGGAGAGAAGAAGATGGTACTGTATTGGGGTGGGTTATGTTGCCTAGGCGCCACCGCTCTTTACCTTCTCAGCCAGAGAACGGGCAGGTTAGGGGTTTTTTATGACTTGCGAATATTTTTGTTTTCTTCAGTGAATAGTGCGTAATGTTGTTGGTCTCCTCTTTCCTGCGCCAGAGATGTTGAATTTCTCAAATCGGTCACTAGGGTTTCCCAGCTCAAGGATTTGGGTATGTTTCGCTCTCTGTTCCCCACACTTGAGTTTTTGAGTTCATCTCATGTCGTTTTTTGTTCAGCGGAATTGGTAGAAACAGAGAGCACGGTGTTGCCTTCGATCATGGCTGTATCAGGAAGAGTTGGCTCTGAGACACCCATCAAGTGTGACCATAGTGGCATCCTCGGTGTCATTGTCGAGGAAACCGTATGCCTTTATTGGATTCCCATATCTAAGGATAAACCCTTTTTTTATATATTTGTCTTTTTGAGTGTGTACAACAAAAAATGAATCTTCAGGCAGAGCGACTTTTTCTGAGACGTAATTGGAAGTTTTCTTGGGTTCAAGACAGTGCATTGATGCTGCCCGTTAGTAAGGAAGTCCCGTGGTATCTGGTAAGCCTGCTGCATTTGAGTTTGTGCCTCTTACAGTGTCTGAAATCGGTGGTATATGCGATAGGAGGACGGGACAGGACACGTGAATGTCGCCGGAGCTCAAGATGCAATAGGCTTCGTCTTGACGGTTGGGGGTGAAGTGTTTGAAAAGTCAGAGCCGTCATCCCTTGTTCAAGGAACATTAGAATATCTCCGAGGCCTCAAGGTCTTTCCTTTCTTCCCCGAGTTTCTTTTGCTCTGCTTAAGTTTTTATATCCTCTGTGGCACCATTCTTGTCTTCAGATGCTTGGAGTAAGACGTGTCGAGCGTCTTCTCCCAATCGGTACACGGCTTACCGTTGTTGGTCAGGTATGCCTTTTTTTTTATCTCTCGCTCTGTACTGTAACACGTTTCAGATCTCAATTTGTTGTTGCTTGCGGTGTATGTTGTACAACAGGCTATTAAGGATGGTACGGGGGATGTCAGGGTTCAAAAACACGACCAAGGGCCTTTCTTCGTCTCACCTCTACCGCTCGACCTGCTCATCTCTGAATTGGGAAAGTGGTCAAGGTCGTCTTTTTTTTTGTTTTTGCAGTGTGTGTACCCTATTCTCTTCCATGAAAACTGTAACCTGAAACAGTCTAAAATATCTTTTTTTTTTGTTGGCAGGTGGTTCAAGAATGCCTCCATGGCTTTAACTCTTGTTGCTGTGATTCTGATTTCAAAGCCTGTGATTGAATATATGCTAGTGAGAAGTGGGGAGTTTCTGGAGAGAAGGCGGCTGCGACTGTTGCGGAAAAGGTATGTCTCAGCTTAAAGCAAAGGCAGATGCGTGCAAATGAATAGTCACATTCCAAATTAATCGGTCAGCTATTTTTTGTTCGCAGAGTTGATGATGCAGCTGCTAAGAGAGAGGAACGAGCGACTCGAGGTTTGGTGAAATTTGCATTATAGCATATATGAGTGAATCATGGTGTTCTTACGGATTAATATGCTCTGATTACATAACCAGGATTGGAAAGGCAGCAAGAGAAGAGCTCAAACTCAGATGATCTCTGCGTGATCTGCTTTGAGCGCAAGTATAACGCCGCTTTTATTCAGTAAGAGCACTGCTTTTCTTGTGAAACTCATGAGCCCTCTTCTCGTCGCAGATTCTGACTCCTCTTTGGTTTTGTAAGGTGTGGTCATATGTGCTGCTGCATCACATGCTCCTTGAAGCTGCAGGGGAAGGCTTGTCCTCTTTGCCGGGAACCAGTATATCAGATTTTGAAGATTTACCGCCCTTGAAGTAGACATTGGACTCACTTAACCAGCACGCGATGCTTGTTTTTGACTTTGACCATAATGTTCTTTCCATCGCAGATCCTAGTTATTGATGTAGACCGGAAACAAGAACCAAATAGAATGTTTGTCTAGTTACCCAATCGCGTATGTTATTTCAAGCCTATTCGTGAGAAATTAGCGTCGGTTCTGGAAACAGCTTCCATCCAAGAACTTTTTTCCACCTTTTCTTTGAATTTTTTTTAAAATTGATAGTATAATCTCGAGTTAATGAATAGATATCGTTTTTAGATTCCCAAAGTTTGCATTACAAAAAGGGATCCCAACAGATATAATTCCTCACTGAGCTTCAATTACCATCACCAGCTCAAAGTTCGTCGATGGCAAACAAAGAACAAAAGTATACGGACAATCAGAAGAAGCAAGGCGGAGTTAACATGGTGGTAATGATGGACTGTTTTGTCTTTGGAACCTGTTTAAACTATAATGTAGCCGGCTAAGACTAGAAGAGGCTGTCTTTTTATCCCACATCGCTTATAAGAGAAACATTAGTCATTTTCTTACTAGTATAAATAAGAGTCCAAGCCCAACTTCCAACTCATACCTTTCTCGGCCTTTTGGCTAAGATCAAGTGTAGTATCTGTTCTTATCAGTTTAATATCTGATATGTGGGCCATCGGTTCACACGATATTAACTCTATTTTTTAAGGGAGAAGGCCCATTAAGATAGCTTGCTGTCTGGGCTTTCATGAGTCGCCCATGTGTTGCACTACTGCACGGGCCTGGCTCAACCCATCAAACAAATAGTTTAAGTTTTGAAAAGTAAATCATCTCATGAACTGAAAAGCTCCCGGGACATGTTCTGATTACGAAGGAGGATTTTAGTTCATATCACTCACGACTAAGTGACTAGAACGCTTCCGGTTGTCTCTCCTTGGGATGATCTCAAGGCCGTTGGTAACACCGACAGTTATTAACTTTGATGGTCCCTTGTGACAGGATTAACATAACCGTTCTTTACGTTTCCAGTGACAACAACAACTATTTTTGTTTTCTTTCCGGTCAGGTGGTCTTTAATTCAATCCAAGTAGTAGTAAGACACGTGATTCACGCGAAATGAAACGTGAGAATAACAAAAGCTGGAAGCATGGTGAAAAGTAGTATTAGAGATCAACAAAGTCCAAATATATAAGAATCTTTTTTCGAGTTTTTGTCCACTCAACCAAACTTTTCAATGATAAGGGGGCTTCATCTTTCAGTAAAGAAGCGAATCTCCACCTCCAATGGAAGAAAAACTTGCACAAAGCAATTTGCTTTTTAGTTAAAGCAAAACCAAACCAAACCAAAAAAAAAAAAAAAAAACAGTATGGAGAAGAAACTAGAGAAATTCTCTGTTTTCTTTTGATAGGAAAGATTAAAAAAGACAATTACATTTTCCTCTCTAAAGCGTGGAATCAAAGCAAAGCCAATGGAAAAAAATCAATAATCCCACTAATTTTTTTCATATAAACCAACACCAAAACACATTATATTGATGTAAAGAAGAGAAAGATGCAGAGAAGAGAGAATGATGAAAACCGAAGCATTTGTCGCCGGCTGATTAGGTTCGTGGTGGTTAAACTAATGGCGGGTGAGAAGGAAGGTAAGCCAGTGAGGAAGAAGCTGATCAAGAAGGAATCAAAGTCTGAGATCACAATTCATTACAAGCAGAGAGAAGACTCGGAGGATAACGCAGCCAGACCAGAGAGAGAGAGGGTGATCATGCTGGTTAATGGGAGTAACGGCTCCAAGAAGATGATACACGGGAAGAGCGTGGTGAGTGAAGCTAGCTTTATGCGACCGGTCGCTAAGCTTGAAGATGAGGGGAAGTCACATCCGAAGCCGCTTTTGAATGATATAAACAAGAAATCAGATGCTTTTATCCAGAGTAGACTCGAGAAGATGAGAAATAGCCTATAGCTCCTGCAAATTGACACAAGTGGAGTGGTGGTAATGGTATCATAATGTGTGTGTTATTCATCATATATTCATTTTTTCGAAACAACTCCTGTCTGCATTCTTGATAAATAACATATATTTATTCTTGTAATTTTTTTGATATCCACACTTTTAGCTGTAAAGTATCTTCGAGCAGAGAAGCAGATTGGGGAATCAAATTCAAATTATCCTAAGGAAGACAAAACAATTATATTGAAGTATCCCATATTGTTGGAAAGATTGAACTAAAGGATCAAGGATACTTGATGGAATTTCTATTTCTCTTTTTGTGGTTTGTTAGCAAAACAGAACTGCTATGCTGCCTGGGTTAAATCTTTCTTAGGGAATAAAGTGTTATCTTTAAAAAAAAAAGGGAATGAAACAAGCTAGGGTACCCGAGTAATAAAGAACATCATAAATAAACTTCAAAAGTGTTTTGAATTTTTGACTCTGTCCATTAATAACTCTTCTCAAGTGTGGATTCTCTTTAAAAGCCATTTATTTGTCTTCACAAAACACCCTTTTTGGCTTTATTGTTGCATGAACTCAATTTGGTTATTGATCAGTGATTCGAAAAACTTAGTATATTTGCGCCAAATACATGAAAGCATCATTTTTCTCTATGTTTTGCAAAAGAAAGACTCTTCTTTCTTTGATACAACTCATGTTATCTCTCTTTCGTATTAAATATTTGGGTAGTTCTTAAGTTGGATTTGGACACGGGAATGCACATGATGTACAAGTGGATGGTAAAGAGAATCTTCATCTACACGTACCCTCACCACCGTTAGAAATCTTGCATGTTACAGACTCCTCTATATAGTATATAATCATGAAGATTTATCACCATAACCTATAATCTTGTAACCATTAGTCGAGGCATGAGAGCAACACAATCACTGTTAGTAGTCAGCTTGCTGATTTGGGGTATTCTGGTGTTGTCGAGTGCAACTGAAGAGCTGGAGTGTAAGAACCAATGCAAACATGACCTCCACAACAAGAAAGAGTGCGACGAAAAGATGATGATGATGATGATGAAGATGAAACAAGAGGAACAAGATCCCTTCTGCGAGGAGATGATGGCCATAGAGCAGCAACAAGTAGAAGGAGGTCATGATGGTGCTGCTAATGGGGATTTGCAGGCGAAACACAACATAAAATGCGCTTCTTACACATCCCATAACAGATGCATTGGGAAGAAGATGGACAACGAGGCAGTGTGCGAGTCATCGTGCAGTATTCTTCAAGAGAAACCGCTCATTGTAAGGTGCATCAGGGTTTGCCACGAGAGAATCCCCGGAACTGTGGACTTGCTTCTACTTAAGAAGTAGTTATAGAATCTCTGTACTAGTGAATAAAAGTGTTTTGTGTAAGAGCCCAAATAACACTAATAATATCAACATTTGACTTGCAAAACGAGTTGGTTATTAGAAAGAGAGGTCAGAGAAAATATCCAGCTTAGAGGCTTTTCATAGAGTATTTTGAGAGAAAATGAAATCTACACACAACTCGTAATGGCATAGTAGACTAGGGAGAAAGGTCTGGAAATCAAATGATTATCCCCTGAAAGGCTTGTTGGAGCTGCACTTGTCTGAGGGAGGAGAGGCAAGCCTGGCATCAGGAGGGAGAGTGTCCTCCATGACCTTTGGGACAGTGAAAGTGAAGTCTCCAAGAGGCGCGTAGCTGAAATCGGGATTGGCTTCAACGAAGGAGGCGACTTCATTGCGACTCCTAAGCTTTTTACCGCTAGGAGTGATGTAGTAAGTGTCCATCTTAGAGTAGTCTTTTCTGAGAACAAGGCTCCGCTTGAAACCTTTGGGGGTTTTGGGAAGACCAGGCTTGTCCATGACCCAGGTACGAGACGCGTCGTAGTCTATATCCGCAGGCTCCTCACAGGACGCGTGTTTCTGGTCGCACCTGAAAGGCTCCTCCAGCATTCTACTCCTGATGTCCTCGTACGTCTCCTGGCTCTCTAGCACCCTCCACTTGTGACACTTGTCGCATTGTGCAGCATAGATGTCGATAACCCTCCCTTGCGCTACTTCTTTCTGCAATTTACCCTCGCCCAAACAAAATGACCAGATTATCCAAATTAGAACATGCAAGGTAAAGAATAAAGAGACACGGTACTTTCAGTGTCAAAAGTAGAATGAGAATCTTCCGAAATCAAGAACCAAAAGCAAAGGACAAGTAATTTTTGCAAAGCCCCAAGAATTCGTGTACCAAAAAAGAGTTACGAATTGAAAACTCAAGAACATGAGACCTAGCACTCTTAAAATCGTGACGCCATAAAATTGAAAACCTAAAAAAAAACCCTATGATTTCTTCATTCATTACTATCTACAATAAGAGATCTGAGTTCCACAGAGATAATTTTGGGGAATCTATTGACGAAAAGAAGAAAACAAAACCGGAAGAAGCGTATTTGGTTTGGTTCACTAGTACCTTCGCTCTTGCTCTCGCAGCTTTTCCGATCTCTTCCTCCTCCATCTCCACGCACGATAAAAGAAGCTGGAGCTGAAGCTGATTTCCTTTTAAATAGTAAAAGACGAACAAGGTTTTCAGTTTTTTTCCTTTTCTTTCTTTCTCCAACTGTTCCGTCCCAAGAAAATTTATCGGAAGCTTTCGCTGCCAACACTGATGATAATCGCACGGCCTGTTGAAAGGCTATCCCTGTGACAGACAAATCTACACTTGACACGTCATCTTACTAGTTCTCAGTATTGAGCATATGGGCTTCCCGGCCCAGTTTTTTAACAACAAAGAAAAATACTAAATTCGTATTCGGCCATTTACTATATTGCTCTGTTTGTAAACGAAATCATCAACTAAAATCCCGGAAAATTAGCAGACAAATCTTCTGTTTTAGTGATGATTCTGTTGATCATCGTTTCCTTCTCCGTGCTGTTGACTGATTCTCACTGTTCCGATTCTGAGCCCTCCTCTTCCGCGAACACTGACAATCTCCGGTGAATCGACTGCCACGCTTGCAATCTCTAGCCGTCCCTCGCTTCTCACCCTCCTGTGGTGGAATCTCGGCCGTCCGTTACAATCCAGTGTCGTCAGAAACGGTGGGAGATCTTGCTTCCTCGTCACGCTTCTTCCTCTCCTTTCTTCTCCACTAACATTCCTCGTCCGCGGCGGCGCAATTGATCTCGGATCCGTGAGCAGCGGTGGCTCCGACGCTCCCCACTGCGATTTTTCCCCTCCTAGATAGAAACTGTATTTATTATCCGACGAGCACGAGAAGAAATCGTCGAGGTTAACTCCACCATGTTCCCTGCACTTGGGACTCTCGTGACCCGAGTTTATCTCGACGGTGCAACTGTCATGTAGAGATTCGCCGCCGGAATCAATCGGAGTGCTCCAGCGTCGACGATGAGAATGTGTAGGCGTGCCGTCCTCTGATGGCCGACGTTCGTCTTCTCCGGTGAGAATCGCAGAGGATGACGTCATAATTAACATAACCGCTCTCTCTCTCTCTCTAGTCTCTCTACGATCGCAACTCCGAATGCCAAAACATTTTTTTCAAGATGGGCTTCATTCTCTTTAGTGTAACCAATCCTTTCTAAGATATATAGTATTTGGTGGGCCTGATGCGTGTGGCTATGCCAGCGTGGCAAACTGAGAGCAGGTTTTTTTCTGTCAACGGTCGTACTATGGGCTTATAAACTGAATTGAATTGGAAGATATTGAACTGCCCTGGAAAAAAAGAAGGGAGAACAATACTACTCATACTATAGGCTTATAAACCAATATATAAAAGCCCGTTTATGCGGCCCACATTGATGAATGGCTTTCCAAAAGCGAAAACGTTAAATCTGTGTTTAAGAATCTTTGCAGTTTTACCCAAGAAAATCTGATGGATCCAATAAACGATCCCCGTCTGTACAAATAACTTTTGTTTCTGGTCAATTCGTCTGTACAAATAACCAATATGCATATCAAGTTTCTCAAGAGATAATAATCGTTTGTTGGAGTTGTCACCAACAAGAGACAAAGAAAGATGAAAAATATGAATGATGACGAGTTGCTGATGAATGCAAGTGATAAGAGAGAGGGGATGTTAAATGGTAATTTGTGGGGTTTAGAGTTTCGGGAATTTCGAGATGAAAGGTTCGTGTCTTCTTCTTGTTTGAATCTCTAGGGTTTAGGTTTAGGCTAATAAAGACAAAGGCATCGTTGTTCAATGCTTTTGTCTTTTCTTTCCTCTCTTCTCTCTCTTTTTTATTTCTATTTTTCTTACATTTCTATCAAATCTCTGCATATCTTTAACACTTTCCACACAGAGGAGCTCTCTACTCTTAACTTCTTCCCAAATTATAATCTGATTATTTCCCTTTACCTCGTTTCTCTTTCTTTTTTTTTTCAGTTTATTTTGTTAATATTTCGATTTGGTTACAGTTTTCATTCAACTCCATCTAAGTTAATCGAATTGACACTACCGAATGTATATAACTCTCAATCTGAACTAGAGAAAAGTAATGCCCAAAAGTCATTGATACTCTTTTGGAGGAAATTAAACAGATTCCTCAAGCCAAACCTTTAAGCTCAAAGTTAGTTAGATGATGATTGATAAATATACTAATAAATTTGTGATTTTGGATCCAAAGCATTGAATATAGTCCACAAACGACAAAGCTAATCCAATTGACAAAAGAAAGAATCTTAGTGTAAACGACAAAATAATGAATTATAGAGAAATCAGAAGATGTTGATAAATCACCAAACAAATTTAAAGTTAATTTTGTCAGAATTAAATACAACAAAGCTAAGTTACAATATTGAGAAATGAAAAAAAACTATTTTCCAAACACGAAACATTAATTGATTGAGCAGACGAAAAATTAATTAATTTATCACTAGTAAAATATTCACACGAAAATAAATTAATATTGAGACACGCTCCCCAAGTAATTGCCAAGACAATTACATTACAAGACAAAGGAGAGTCTTTGTCACGCACGCATCAATAATCCAAAAGTTTGGTCATAAATACTTTGACAAGATGAAAAACAAAACAAAATAGTAGCAATAGAAAATTAAATTTTGAAAGATGCTAGGACTAAAAGTCAATGTTAATCGGGAAAATGAAACTATATATATAATTTCTTTTTGGTCAAGAATGTAACTATATTCAAAGTACGAAGTTACCAGTAAGATGTTAATAATTTCTTGTATTATTTTATATAGAAAGAAAAGATGCAACCAACTAGACAAAGAAGAAAGAATCGCTTTTCTTTTATCTTCGAGCCTCGATCGATGTCCCTACCACTTGGCATCCGAAAGAATAAGTGTATACAAGAAAAACAATCACACATAAGCCATGGTTATAAGTGGTATATTATAACGAAATGTAGAAATATATAGAAACAAACATACGTAGACAAAAGAGATTGTTATCTCTAAAAAGGGGGTCCATGTTTATCCTCCCAAAGTTCATAACCACTTCAAGGAAACACCAAAAATTCCAAATCAAATACATGCACATAGAAGAGGCAATAAGCAAAAGATGCCAAAGAAAACTAAAACTATTTAAAAAGAGGAATAAAAAAGAAAAAAAAACCATTGTTGATTTTGACATATTTGTCCAATCATTATTTAATATATAAATTATTTTGGTTGTGTAAAGCTTTTTTGTCATTTGGGTGGATGGGGTTCGGTTTTGGCATTGTGAAGCTTTTGCCACAAATGCACACACAACACTTGTCTTTTTTCTTTTCTCACATTTATTTCCTCTTCCTTCTTTCTTTATACTTCACTCAAACGCCATTGCCACATGTCTCCCTAGGGTTTTTCATTTAGGCCTTTGGATCTTTCATTTTATTTAAATCTTTTTTATATATTCACAATTGTAGCAAAGGTAGAGCAAATGCTTGGAGGGTTCCAAATCGGAAAAGTTAACAGGAACAAAAAAAAAAAGGGTTTATAAAAAGATTTGTCTTTTGTAAGCCAAAAAAGCTTGGATGCATGAACAAAAACAAGAAGAAGGTGAAAAACTACAACCACAAAGGCATGCTCTTTTCTATTAAAAGCATGAGACTATAAACATACAAATCCATACCAAGGATAAGTTTTTTTCACAACATGTTAAAGACAAATTATTTGTCTTGTATTTTACCCCTCTGTACTCTAGAGCCAATTAAAGACTACCTCCTATACTACCAAACAAAGTACCATCTTAGCCCTAAACCGATAGAGATGCGGTGCCGATAACACAATTGGTTTTTGCTTCAGGCGCAACCAAGAGCTCACAATAAGCCGGACTTATGATGCTTCAGGAGACTAACGAAGACACAAAAAAAACGTGACTGAAAACTAGACGATGCTTGTGGAAACTGTACATAGCTAGTGCTTCTTTCTCTTGTTGTTGCTATGGAGTCAGAAGAACAGGACTTGGCATGCTTTGAGTATCCTCATCCATCGAGTGCACAAACTTGTTCAACTCGTCCATAAGACAATGAAAGTGATCATTGTTAGGCAAGAAGTAAAACCCAATGGTAGCCTGCTTCAGATACAGAAGATTAACATGGTGACCAGTCTTGTTAAGCCCATCGACATAAGCCAATTGCCAATCCTGAACAAGGTCCAAACCAGCCACGACGACAAGACTCTTGGGAAATTTGAGCCCTTGAAGGCTTTGACCTCGAGGGCCAAAGGGATTGCAAGCTGGATGGTCTCTGTCGTCACCTTCCGGTAGATAAGCCCTCCAATACCAATCTCGGTCTTGAATCGTCACAAAGTATTTACCATCGAGGCTCTTCTCAGACTGAGTCCGCTCAAGCCCACCAAACATAGGGTGGAGAAGGATGTTCCCCAGGACTCGAAGCCCTTCCTTGGTTGCCCTCACAGCGACATTGTGAGCAATGTTACCTCCAGAGCTGTCTCCAGCCAGATAAACATAGACATTAGAGTCTTTACCACTCTGAAGCCACACTCTGGACTTGACCCATTTGAGAGCATTCCATCCATCGTCGTAGGCACAAGGGTAACGATGCTCCGGGGATCTCCGGTAATCAACGGAGACAACGACAACACCGCAAATGCTAACGAGACGCCGGCAGAAAGTGTCGTAGATAGCGCTATTGGCGGAGGAGTGAGTGAAGCTGCCTCCATGGAAGAAAATCAGGACAGGGACGATTTCCGTCGTGCTGAGAGGCTCCGTTAGGTCGACGGTACCGTAACGGGTGCGATCGAGAGGAGCTGGTCGGTAGATTCTGGTGAGAAGGTTGGTGGTGGTGTCGACGTGGTCGAAGGAGAAGACGCCGTCGACGGGGAAGGTGTTGGCGGGAACTTTCCGGTCAAGAAACTCGGCGAGGTCACGGTTGAAGGAGCCGTCGGGACGACGGAGGATGTTGTAAGCGAGCTTGAAGTTGGAAATGAGGACCCATGTGTTGAGTGGGACAATTCTCTACAGAGATAACAAGGTTTTATTTTTTTCATTAGATGGGACGTCTTAGATTTTATTTTATCTTCCTCTTATATATATATATATAAATAAAGAAAATCATCCGTACGATGAATCTACCATGATGATGATGATGATGATCTTCATCGGCTAAGAATTAAATTCGCAGATTTTGGGGATTTACAAAATGAAAAAGGAACCCGAAACGAGAAAACACACGAAAACGAAAATGGAATCGTGACTACAAATCTCAGAAATGGATGAATCCAACGGAAGAAAGTACCTTGCATTCGTTTAGATTGACCTCGTTTCCACCAGCCATAGTCGCCAAGAGGAGTTATGTATGGAGATTTTCCAGGACTGGCTTTGAGGGAAGCGGCTGAAACAAAGAATCCAAGTGACTGACGAAGTCTCTCAGAAGAATGGAAAGGACCTGGAGAAAAGGGAGCCAGAGAGATGGAGAGAACAAGTACAGAGAGAGAGAGAGAGCGAGTCAAAGGTGAGAGAGGTTGAAGATGAAATAATAACCCATCGGACGGTGACGAATGGACCGGACGACCGAGTAATACTGTTTCGCTATGTGGGTCCTACGACTTTCCACTTTTCTCCCCTCTTTTTTTTATAATATTATTTTTTACCTTCGTCGACAATTACACAATTTCACTAATTACCAAATTAATTCAGTCGGCTGATTAATTAGAAACAAATTAATTCAGTCAAATAAATATATACTATTTAATTAAAAGGAAAGGATTGGCCACGGTGTCATGTGTAGAGAGAGAGGATTGGCTATTGGCACGCCAGTCCTGACACGCTCTCTCATAAGTGTTCCTTTTGACCACCATTTTTTCTTCCCCTCCTATTTTATAATTCAATTTTGGATATATATTTTTCGGGCAATTCATTTTTATAATTAAATTGTTAAATGGTTCATTATTGAATATTGTCATTAATAATCCCTCTTCCCCTGTATGCTGATGAGTTGGCCGAAATATTATGTGTCTAACTCTGTTTTTTTTTTTTTTTTTTTTTTTTTTTTTTGTCATTTTGTGATACTGCAATTGATGTACAATGATTTTGCAAGTATAAATACAGAGAGTATCTAAACAGTTTTGTTGTTGTTTTTTTATTTACTTAGTAATCTTTATATTACATTCCACAGATTTCTTAAATTTTAGTACATTATGATATTTCATCAATGCTACCGACCATGACCATATATGCTTAGTGGAGAAAAAAATAAAGATACATACTAAGTTTTGTCGTTTGGTTCCATGTAGGTAACGGAAAACAATCGAATTTATCTATCAGTTAGATACTTAGATATATATGTAGACAATTTGTAAGCTATATTTGAGTTGAGGAACCAACAAAAAAGCAAGAAATAAAGGTTCCATCAAAAATCATTCATCATCTAATGATATATAATATAAAAAAATAAAGAAAAAGAAAACAAATTATCATAATATTGTGGATCTTGTTTTAAAGTTGATGGTTGTGTTGTGTGACTTGTGTGATAGGTGCAAGACAGAGAGAGGTTGTTTTCGTTTTTGGTACTTTTTTCTATTTATTATAAATGTGAATGCAAATTGAAAATAAATTAAAATTAGTTAAAGGAAGGTGACAAAACAAACAAAAATAAGGCCTATCCAGCGTGCGACCAACGCCATGGCATGTGGCGACAAAAGTGTTGTGTTGTTTTCTTTTGGTTATTAAAAACATTATATGCATCTCCGAAACTACCCTCTTCTGGTTTCCGAAATTACGAATATTGCCAGTACTGGCGAAACGTGGTCTATTTTGGGCGAATGACATCATGCCTTCACTCAAGGGGCCCCTCCTTTCAACGTTAGATTTTCAGTTTTCACAAATATATTGTGCGTTTTCAGTTTTCATTATATGCTTTTTTAATTGAATATAAAAAGTAGAAACCAGTAACATTATTGTACGTACGATCAACTTATCTCATGTGTCTGATTTTATTTCTGAAAAGATTAACTGACATATGTGTATAGAAATTTAATTTGAGCTATCTATTACTTATTTTTTGTTTTAAAAATTAGTAATAATAAACCAAGATTTTTGGAGAAAATGAATATTTGTCATTTCCAGAAATAATAATAATAACAGTCATAGCTATTTGCTAATATTATTTGTTTTTTTTGTCATCTACACATTTTTCAATTGTTTTTTACGATTTTATAAACTCAAACTTTGCGTCGTCACTCTGTTGTTTTTCTTAATCATTTGTCGAACAAAAAAAAGAATATTTTTATATTTCTTGTTTGTATGTTTCCATTTATATAATTTGTCATGTTTAGTTTGAAAAGTCAATTTAAATTCTATGTATTCCGAGAAAATATCGCTTGGAAAATAAATGTAGAGGCCACAACAAATTGTTTACTTGTTCTTTTTCTCAAACGGGCCCATGAGGTGGAATGTGGGAATGGGCTTAGGATTCTGTCGTGTTGTGAAAGAAGGCGCGTGGTCATGACACGCGTATAACTCTCTCTGTGAATCAATTTCCATAATAAAGTATTGTACATAACCATGAGTTCAAACTGGATTCATTGCATTTAGGCGTTCTCATAGATTGATTGAACACATGAAAAACCCGCAATACTAAAAAACAAAACAAAATTATGTTTTATTAATGGAATTATGATCATTCAACGGGTTCAACGAGTGTTTTCCGGGTGTTTAAATCCAAAAATTAATCTATTGATGAGTTAAAAAAAATGGAGGTTAGTGTAGGCAAGAAGTTAAACGAAAGAGAATTTGGGGAACGGGTCCTACTTTGATGGCTGCGCAACAAAATTAAAAAGAATTAACAAAGATGTTTGGTTAACAAGTTTTTATTTTGTTCTTCCCAAACGTTGATTATCGAAATTTGCTTTTTGGTGTATCTTTCGGATTTGACAAAACAAGAACCATGAATCTCTGTATGATGGGACCAAAACAGTAGATCTCAGCCGTTGTTTTATCCCGATACAGATACAAACATAGAGTATTACCTAAAGCGTGTACTAAAACAACTTGGATCGTCGATAACGAATTGTATTTGTCATTATTGAAATGGAAGAAATGTCCATAGGATAAAACTAATGGATATTAATTTTCATTCTTTTTTTTAACAAATTTCTTCCTCTTGTTGTTTGTTTTCAGGATAATTTTTTCGTTAAACCATCATCACTTATGGCTAATATTGGGTAATAAAACGAGTTTAAAAGAATGGTATCCAGAACAAAATAAACAAAGAAACGAAAAGGAGAATAAAAGGGGAACACGCTAAGGAATATGATTCGCGTGTCTATTTGAGGCTTTCTTAATTTTGTCGTCATCTATTTTGTCTTTTTGGTACGTGTGCCTCCCATTTTCCACTCCTTACTTTTGAGTTTTCTTTTTTTTTTCCATATTGATTCTAAGTAAATAAAAGTACAGTCCATTAATTATTTTCCTCCATCATACGGATGGAAATATCAATTAGTCAAGCCGTGGAAGAAACATTAATCTAGAAGATATTTTTTTCCGAATTTACTTAAGATAAATTAAGATTTCACCCCCATATCAAATTATCCAAAAAAGTAAGTGATATCATTTTTTAAACTACTACTGTAATATATCACAAATAAAAAAAAGATTGAGTGATTTGCTATTACGTTAATGAGCCAAAACAACTGAAACGGAATAATCACTTAATTTTATTTTCTCCAGTACTATCAATTTTTGTACGCATGTGGCAAAACTAATGTGTTTAAACGAGCTTTAACCAAAGTCTTCCCCACTATTATTTGTACACATTGGGATAAATTTCGATAGTGGAAGAAGACGACAAAAAGTAATTTGTTTGCTGTCCGCTTTTAATTTGTCGTTTTTCGTCTCCAAAAGCTACCATCCAACAAATAAACTTTTGGGCTTTTTTAGTTGAGCTAAAACTTCCAACTACAAATTAATTACATCATAAGATACGATTTATTATATTTTACAACGCAATTCGATCACAGCAATTGGGGATGTAGCTCAAATGGTAGAGCGCTCGCTTTGCATGCGAGAGGCACGGGGTTCGATCCCCCGCATCTCCACTTTTTATTTTATTTTTTGCCAGTATATGTACAGTAGTATTTAAATGTGTTTATCCGGTGTTGAAACACCAGTTTTGCCTGATCGTAAGTAGATACGTAAATCACTTCTTCATCTCTCTTCCCAAGTGAGTAAAGCAAATTTTATTTTACACAAGTTTTTATTGTCGGGCACATCAAAAACCGCAACTCCTCTTATCGATCCTTCAATGCCATCTTTGCTATTAGTTCTCTCTTCCATGACCATCAGATATCTCCATAGTCTTCAACATGTCCTCTTTTCTAGCGAGTGGACTCTCTTCTCTTTTGAAGCTATTTTTAGTTGTAACTTTGGTTAAGCTCTAATCATAAACTATATTTTCATTTTATAATTAGTGTGTTGAAATTTGGAATTTTATATTTCGTAGCTTTACCAAATCTCTATGTCTCTAAATATCAAAAATTTTAAACCTTCAATTCCATATATTCTATCCAGAAAATATAATGTCGTGAAATTAATTTGAAGTAAGTAACTAAGGAAAAAAAAAATTGGTAACAGGCCTTGAACAAAAATCTGATAATATTATATGTAGGTATGCTTTTGTATTAAGAAATAATCAACTGGGGATGTAGCTCAAATGGTAGAGCGCTCGCTTTGCATGCGAGAGGCACGGGGTTCGATCCCCCGCATCTCCACTTTTGTTTTCGAAACATTACTTTTCAGTGCAATACAGTATTGGAACATTAGTTTGCTGGAACGTGTTTTATATTTATGGAACTTAAACAGAAAGACGCTACCACTAAATTTTATTAGCCTTTCTCGTTTATTTTTTACTTTTTTTCATTTTCTGAAATCAAACATGACAACTGATTGAATTCAAAGAAAGAAGAAAAAGTTGTACACAAAGACACAAGAAGGAAGGAAAGAATATAAACACAGACATCTCTAGTTTAAAGTTTAGGAATTGGCCATAGAGTCGATGAGCAACTCATAGCCCTCAGGGACATGAGACTGAAGACGTACGCACTCAGCCAATGCAGGAACATCTGACACAACGTCTAGAAACTGAGCCACAAAGAGAAGCAGGTGGAAATCAGAGATCCTCTTCACGAATGGGAGGCTCCTTGAACGATCCATATGGGTCTTCAACGCCCGCGTCGTCGTCTGAATGTTTCGGTTCTCTATCGGGAAGGTACACGACAGCGATCCCTGTCAATTGCATACAAGACGATTCAGAAGTGATTGTATCGACATGACTCAGTCACGAATCTACAACATTCAAAAGTACATAACAATTGTTCTTCCTACTTAAAACTCTTGGATTCTTATCACATCTACAAGGTAGACACATGCAAACTTTATCATCCTTGCTATAGGACAGATTTAACTAAACTGAAATAGTAAAATGAGCTAAAGGGCGCAGAAACGAACCTGGTGATCCAAGATCTTGACGACGACGAGGAAGAAATCATTGTCCACTTCTTTGACATCCTTGACTCCAAGAACCACCTCTTTCTTCATCTTGGAGAGCTTGGGATCATCCTCGGATCCAATCTCCGTCTCGAACCATCCTTCCCTGAACAGCCTGACGCACATATCACTCATCTGAAACGCCTCGAAATGAACATCTGCGCCACCGTCCTCATTGATCTCGAGCTTCACAACCGCCGTGACCCACTCTTTCAAGTCGCTCTCTGCGTGAAGCTGCGTCGCTAGCAACACCTCAGCGTTGGACAACGTGTACTCCTTCTTGTCCTGCGTCACCGTCTGGTTGAATATAAACCCAACTTTCCTCATCCCTAAACCTAAGGCGATTGCATCGACGCGCTTCTCTTCCTCCGCGTCCCTCATCAGAATCAGGTTATCCTCCATCCCTTGCTGCGGCGGCTCGTAGATGAAATTCACCTCCACCTCACCTTCCTCCGAGACGGTTCCGTACATGAATCCCCCGCGTTTCACAGCGAACGCTAGCGACTCGTTGACGTAGTGCTGAAACGCATTCGCGCAATCGCGGTCGAAGGAGACGGAATCGCAGTGAGATTTCTCCTGACGAGTCACGCGCATCTGGCGTGCGATTAGATCATCGACGGTCATCTTCCTCCCGAATGAACCGGCAGGGGTCACTGCCGGACCACCACGAATCGTACGCTCACCCTCGTAGGCAAGGTAGACCATAGAGCCGTGGCCGAGACCGAGCGACGAGATTCGAAGGTTTGGGTCGTTCATGTCGCTGAACCCTGAGAAATCAGCCGGCGTCTTCGCGAGGAGAAGGTTCCGATTGGTGGATAAGGTTTGGTTATGGATAGGGATCTGGAGCTGATCCTGGATTAGGGTTTTGAGTTGGGAGACTGTGATATGAGATCCATCTACGCTCACTCGCTCCAATCCATCTCTGCTTCGGATTCTGAGCATCATCATCTTCGTTCAAACGAAATCAAAAACCAGAAAGCCTCTAGGTTTCGCGAGAAACGAGAAAAATAAGAAAACTTAAAACAGAATCGAGAAAAGCTCGAAAGCTGCTTTAGATATATAAACGAAACGAGATAGAACAAATACTTGAAGTGGGACTAATTTGAAGGTATATATGATTTCCTTCTTCCGATGGGAGTCGAAAGGCTCTGAGATTCCAGTTAAAGCAAGAAGAATAATGACAAAGAGAGAGAGACGCTTACAAAATGAACCGAGATTTCCTTTAATGGGCTTTACTAGTTAGCCCAATATGGTCAAACTATACAAAGATCAAATTTTAATACCCAATACATTCAAACAATAATTTAACACACTAATAATATCCATCCATTATACTCTTTCTGAAATAGAGAGAAAAAAAAACATATTAAGAAGCAAAACATGATTCCCAAAACATTCGATTTTTTTCAATCTTCCTCATCAACCTCTCGTTATTTCTCGTCGAATGTGAATCAGCGTTTCGATTTTCACGTTCGCTCCTCTCCGGCGGCCTCCGGTGACTATTCACCTCTCTGTCTCCGTCATCGTGATCCTCTTTCTCTGCGGCGATGGTGTCTTCTTTTTTATCCATCTCGACCGAGTTAGAAACTGTTGACACACTTGTCATCTGGCTCGTTGACTCAGGATCATTCCCATAATCTTCACCAAATTTATCATCATCGCCGTCATGGATATGTTTTTGGTGTTTCTCCGAATCTGCAGATGCTTCTATGAGCAAGAATGGTGACACGTCCACAGGGTTGTTCTTGGTGTTCATAAGTTTGATGTTCTTTTTCTTGGAAAATGTTATAAGCAGAAAACGTAATAAGTTGGAGTAATCAACATATATAATTCCCTCTTTATATCAGATACTGAAAGAAGATAAGGTTGCTAAATCAGATTTCTTGGGCACTTTATTAAATTTTAAAATATGAAAGACAATAGATTGTACGCAGCTTCTAGAAGGACTCTGTATGATTTTGTGTACAAATGTCAAATTGTAATGTTTTTTATACATGATATATAGTAACATAATAACGTAATATTATAAAATTAGTAATGTTTGGAAAAGCCAAATTAATCAAATTCATATTCTATTTTTTCCATGCCATTTACTCTTTTAAGTCGAAATCTGTACAGCTCCATAAATCTGGATTAGACTGGTTACTAAAACATGATATATAAATCATCATTCTCAACCAAAGAAAAAAAAAATCGAACTTATGGCACAGAAAAACATTTTCTTACCCTAATCAATAGACCATTACAATTTACACTTTTTTTTTTGTTTAACAATTACAATTTACACATTTGAAAAGATGTCGCAAAATTCATCATAATTATAAAAAAAAAAAAAAAACTTATTTCATATATATGTCTGAATGGATTTATTTAATACAAAGTTGGGATTTGTAATTCTTCTAGAGAAAAAAAAAATTGAAAGTCAAAGACCTAGCAACACGTATTTCATGTGTAAGTCCAAGTGTCGAAGATATGGGTGTTAGCTTGTCTCGAGCTATAACAATTTAGCACCACTCATCAAGCCTTTAGGCTCTTTACGAATCTTATTATATATATAAGTCGATCATCATAAATCCATACCCCATATATTATTTAATAACACAAACAATCTTTACGTGCATGTATAATTACAAGTGTGACATTGTGAGCATATACACGATCATGCGACTCTGAACTCTCTTGTAATTTGGTAGTTTTTAATGTTGATCATAAGTATTTAACTTATCTGTGGATCCGGATAAGTTACAGAGACGGGCCAGGCGGCAATGGATATTGAATCGTTCTAAACATCAATACGAATTTGAATTCGGCTCAGTAGCCCAAATGGGCTAATACTTATCGCGCATGAGCAAATGGTATTTCACGAGGCCCATGCTTTTGATACATAAGAAACTATTAGACATTTTTGTTTGTCGTTGGATGCTGAAAGATTTTATTGTACAAACAAGAAGAAGACATGAATCGAGTAGAGCTATAATGTATGTAATAAGAAGTGATATATGATAATTAGAATAGATGGGGATGTTAAGAGCAGTGTGGTCCAACTTACATGAAATTAAATGGTCCAAAAAGGAAAGGCTGAGAAAATTATATGGTGTGTCTCTTTGAGGACCACATTCCTCGATCACGCCATTTATTGAATCAAATCTTATAATTAGTTTATTTATTTCTGCACATATATATATATATATATATTTCAAAATTAAATGCTTAAAGTTAATATATTTGCCAAACGAAATTGATAGTTCAGTTGCAGCAAAAGAATTAAAAAGAAGAGAAACAAACATAAATAAGTGGTCCCATAAAACTTTACAATAATGGTCGTCACTCGTCACCATTTATTTTCTTAAGCATGCAATAGTAATATGGTATTGGTATAATTGTGGAATCTTTTTCGTTTATAATAAACCATCCCAAATGGTAGAATAGTCGATATCTATATATATATTTGTATATTTATACGTACCGATATACGTACATGTACACGGGTTTTGTGTGGGTGTGTACGGTGTACCTACGTATATTGTGTATATATATGTACGCATCAGTCATCACAGTCTACCAGATATGAAAGATACGTGTATATAAACATTAATCACTAACGAATTTAGAAATTTTTATTACAATGAATAAGTGATTTTGCAAGTAATTTGATTGATGTATATATGTTATATTTAGACGTGGTCTACATCTGATCTTACAATAAATATATCATAGTAAACAATTGTATTTTCGTTATAAAGTAGTCTAAGAGGCTGTGACCATGCATGTAGTCCATCGATATTAATAGTAGACGATAAGAGGAGGGTCTCGACCAGACGTACACTTGCTCATATATCACGATCAATAAAAGATTCAACGATTTTGTAATTTGTACGTTTGTTTTAAGTTAAATTCTGTTATTCAAAAGAATTTCTGTAATAAACTCGAATGGTAAATATATACCAAGATGTACATGCGAGTGGCCTTAATTTTTTTTAAATGATCAAAAACTACATAACTATGCAGATATTAGATCTTTACAATTTGAAATGCCCACGTCGGCAAAAGCGAGTGCTTCATTTTGAGCGTTATGTGTGCGGGAAATTCTTATTGTAATATACTAATTTTTTTCATAAAGGGATTAAGGTAAAAGTTAACAAAAGCGAATACGAATTTGGGTCGCCAAACCTAATCAATTGGTATTTTGTGGAACCACCTAAAGTTCCATGGAACTTACATCCCACCAAACCATACCCTTACCATTTTCATATTTAATTCATTAATTACACCGTAAGGCTTGGACTAACTTGATATTACTTTATCGATATCTTAAAAAAATTATGTTAGGTTCATTGAATCACAAAATAACAAAAAACATGTATATCATGGCCTATTTTTTCACACCAACTAGGTTTTTCTGTATCATTTGAAATGATATTAGTAAACTATCATAGAAACTGTAAGAGTCGGAGAGAGTAGTTGAAAATTGAAATCCTTATAAACAATAAACGAAGACATGAGAATATGAGATACACGAAAAAAGTCAGACAGATTAACTGGAAGCAAACACTTTAAAGAAGAAAAAAAACAGACGATATATTGCTATATATATGCTAACAAACACAAAAGAAGCACTCTCGAAAATATTAAACTTGAAAAACTGAAAATCAAATAGCGAGGATTAACGTTGAATTTAGCATATTTCGCTATATCTTAGATAGCGGATTATAAGAGTTCTAATTATATTCAACTGGTTACGAAATTTAGAGATTAGTATATAAAAGGCTGAAACCAATGCGATGTGAAGTTTGAAGTTTTTTATTTGTTGTTTGTTATAAAGTTTAAAGTTCATATCCATATATTTTTGTTGTGGATATTGAATGTTTATTTTTCTAAGAAAAAAACATTGGATGTCTCGATAGATAATTAACAAACCATTCAGCGCGATTTAGACATATGCTTTTCTTATTGTATAGTTGTTCATATTCATCGGTCTTGAATAGACTGTATTTTCCCTCAAAAAAAGTTTTATGAAAATGTGAAATTCACACCAAACAATGAAACAAACTTAACGTCGAATCGAGGAGGAAACTGTATATAGTCGGTGTGACGATAACAATAATTAAAAAAAAAAACTGTAATTAACAAAGCTGATGCTGCTCTTTCTCGACACGTGTAGTTTAATCATTAGATGTGCTTATTAGTTTTAAAAGAGTTATAATTGCAAAAAGTGCCCGTCAGGCGTCAACGTTAAAGAACCGACCAATGAGTTTTTAACACGCCCGTTTGTTTATTCCATAAGATAAAAAGAGAGTCTCATATTCGGACAAATCACAAATAATAAGATTTATTTTTTCAACTTCAGTTTCATGTAATGAGCTTCGTTCTTGATATCATCATCATTTTATATTGTTAAGTAAAATGAATAAACTTTTTAACTACTCTTCTTATCACCGATTACAATAGGATGTGCAATAATATACTAATGAAACTTTTTATATACCATGCGAAAGAAGTTTTAGATCTTAGATCCATAAACTGTCTTAGTCTACAACACTAACAGTTAATAATACATGCTAAGTATGTAACATGTTAAAAAAAAAATATACAACAAACACCCAAATTTATTAACAAAGACTCAATAATTCACCAAGGAAATCCTTTTTTCACCAAGTAGCTACTTCATACTATATGAGTTAGCTATTTTTCATTTTAATATTATGAAAACAACATATATTTTTACGATACTAGCAATTGTGTATTATAAAAACAAAATGCATTAGAAATTCACATAATAAACCATATTATTAGACCATACATTAACTTGATTTATAAAATGATTGTAAAAGATTATGTGGAAGAATGTTAAACAATAATCCACAAAATGTGTGACTGAACAAAACAGGAACGGCAATAGAAGACTCGACGTCCACAGTACCCCACATACTCAAGCCCCCAACCCTACCCTACTTGATGGCCCCACTAGCTCGGCCCATTGGGCTTTTATAGCTGGTTAGTGGTAAGAAACGAATAATAACCATATGTATTTATTTATCCGTTCGTTATTGCTTTCACAATATACGCCATGTTTCTTTTTCCCCGCATACACACATTTGGTTAACAAACAAAGTGTCCATAATGAAGTAATGATATTTATTGAAACGTCGGAAGCATATAGTAACTCGAATGCGTTGACCAAAGTATCATCTTCTCCTCGAAATGATGTGGTTTTCATGCGTAACCAATAACCATGAACCACCCATTATTAATTATTAATAAGACTAATAAGAAAAAGGTATGGTTGCGTGACGTATTAATGCAATATGGAAAAAATAAACTAATATGGAGAAAAAGGCAAAAATAAATGCTGAGAAAGGTTATTATAAAATCGTGATTCGGAGGAACACGAGTTTGAGAAATATAGAAAGCAAAGATATAAGATATTTAACTGGTCAGAAGATTGTTGACAAATCATATAAATAACGATTCAAATAAAAATGAAAAATGAAAAAGCGAAAAAGGATGGCCTTCCACTAATGGGGAGAGGTCATTATAATCAACATAATCCAACTTAGCTTTCCGTCACGTGCCACTTTACTTGTACACCACCTCTCCATTAATCGCATTATCACTCATCATCTATCATGTAGTATAAACATTATTATGTATGTTGCTGTTGTATTGTATCCACACATGCGTACACACACACAAAATACCGTTTTATATTATGTGTTGAGAACATCTGTTTCTTTGTATAAACACATACATACATGCGTAAATTTATTCATAGTGATTAATCTTATTGGTGATCTCTGTTTCTCCAACGGTATAGATGCGGTAAAAAGTTTTGCAGCCTATCAGTGTTAGCATCAGACATTTTCATTCGACAGAACATCTGTATATTAATTTTTTAATATTGCTAAAGAAAATTTTAAAATAAGATAACGAATACAGCAAAGTGCAAGCTAGTTTCAGTACGAAACCCGAGGCGAAATAAGAGAGATTCGCGGGAGAGCCATGCGTGGGATTATTATTCTAATCATATCCTTAAAATTAATAATCAATTGATTATCAAAGAATCAATGACCTCTAATATCCAATTAATTTAAATTGGTAGATTAGTTTTCTTTTTTCTGACATCAAGTAAATTACTAGTAAAATTTTGCAAAGACAACTCAGCTCCCCACTTCTCTCCCTAATTACCATCTCATTTTTCGTTATTGCATAAATGAGATGTTTAATCTGAAATAAAATTGAATCGATGCAAGCCATATATAATAAAGTGAGTACTAATTTTTTAATTTATTCTTATGATTTTTGAAAAGAAATCGAGCGTTTTCTTATTTGTTAATATATGTGTTATATCAATAATAATGGAGAAAAAAAATATTTGTATATGATCTACAGATATAAATTTATTTTGGTTACCATTTATTAAGAAAAACTCAAATAAACCAATGTAAACACCAAGATTTGCCACCGTAAAACCAATTTGTTGATATTATTTTTTTTGAAAACGAAGGAGCCAAAAGTAAATAATACTATATCGTAAGTGAAAGTGGATTAACGGTCACGATCTAATCAAACACGAGATTCAATCAGGAGCAAAAACACTGTTTGATCTGTGACATGTTTATTTAGGGAGGACAGACCTATCGAGTCCATGCTGAGACAGTGCAAAGCCCATCATACACTGTTCTTTCTAACTTGACAAATATACCCTTTCTTCTACACCGCTTTGCTTTGAAGAGATGCTGGGGCATTTTCGCCATATCCTCGAACCTATTTCTTTTCCTTTTCTAGCGATTAACCCAATGTACGTGCGACACAGCCCGAGATAATTTATTTTTATCCGATTTTACACTCCTGACGAGGTAATTAAATTTCAAAAACAATTTAAGAATTAATTAAACATTTCTTAGTCACCATTGTGTGTGTCCGTACACTGTAAAAGAGGGGGTCCCAGATCTGACGGTCGTGATTAAGATGCGACGCTGCACTTTCTTCGTACTTTATTCAATTTTTCAGTAACCATTCTCTCTTTCTTTACCTTTATTTTTTTCTACTCCTTTACTCATAAAGCTATACACTTTAAATTATTGGATACTACTTCCCTCACCATACACTGGTGTACATTACTCTTGCTACAGTTTTTACAAGTATTTAGAATTTTTAATTAACACTAATATATCTTATCTGCAAAACAACCTTGTCATTTTTTTTAGCAACTTATTGATTTCAACTCCGATATTTCATTTTTATACTTTTTTATTTTTATTTTTTTACATGATTCAGTCACACGACTCACACCGGAATGTGTGATTCAGTCAGATTTCATTTTAAAATTGAAGTCTTATCAAAACAGTGTGAAAAAAGTGTTACTATTAAATGGTTTATCCAAGTGGTGGGTAAAATAATTATCATGAAATAATTGTAAAACCTAGGAGATAGTCAGATTCCACATCAAAAGATGATTGGACGGTTGTGATGTCATCATAAATTAACCCTGGCTTTCTTATTACCGTCAGATCATTCATCTGCATTATTTGTGTTGTGGTCCCCGCAATTTACGGGGCTTCCCCTCATATCCAGCCGTGCATCGCGTATGAAACCCTATCATTAGATTCCCTCTTCCCCTACACCCAACCGCAGGCTATCGTTCACCTCCTTCTCGCGATATATTTGAGCCGCGATAAGCGACCCTCCAATTTCTCGTCCCGTTTTCTGCGGCTGCCCCTTCTCTGCACAGTCGATAAGATAATCTCCCGCTTTCAGTCAATCCAACGGCTGGTATTCGAACTTTGCGGGACACGTGTCGTGATCGGAGTCGACAATCACAATCACCGAAAAGCCTCACATGGAGATGTTTGACCATGGTAAACATTTAACCGAACCAGAGTTGCCCTTTAACTTGAGCTCCCCTACCCTTCTCTTCCTCTTCCCACTCTCTCTCTCTCTCTCTCTCTGCTCCTTTTTCATCTTCCTCTAACCTTCACATCCTGCATCTTCTTCGCTACTGATTAATCTCCGTTAATGGCGCATCAGATCTAAACCTCGGATATATAACGCCTTAGCTCTTGTTCAAACGCTTGCCAATTTTCGTATCTGGGTCGATCTTCGAGATCTCGAGGATTATCGCCGCACCGCAATGCATAAGCGAGTGGCCTTGTCGTTCCCAGAAGAAGTGCTGGAGCACGTGTTCTCGTTTATACACGTGGACAAGGATAGGAACTCGGTGTCCCTGGTGTGCAAGTCATGGTACGAGATCGAGCGGTGGTGCAGGAGGAAAGTCTTCATTGGGAACTGTTACGCCGTGAGCCCAGCGACGGTGATCCGGAGGTTCCCGAAAGTGAGATCCGTGGAGCTGAAGGGGAAGCCTCACTTCGCTGACTTTAATTTGGTGCCCGATGGATGGGGAGGTTACGTGTACCCTTGGATTGAGGCGATGTCGTCGTCCTACACGTGGCTTGAGGAGATAAGGCTGAAGCGGATGGTGGTGAGCGACGAGTGCTTGGAGCTCATCGCCAAGTCGTTTAAGAATTTCAAGGTTCTCGTGCTTTCTTCCTGCGATGGCTTCTCCACCGATGGCCTCGCTGCCATCGCTGCCAGTTGCAGGTATTCTGTTTACACTCATGACATGTTTGTAAGATTCCCTTCTGTGTTTGTCACCTTTGCCTTTATCTAGCTATTGTTGAAGATGTGTGTACGTTTACTCTGATCTAGGCAATAATTCGGCTCCGTGTGAATTTTGTTGGTCAAGATCCTCCGTATTCTGCACTAGATGTTTTATTCACCGTCCTGAAGATTCTTTATTTGGCTTTTTTGGGGTCTCTTTATTCCTGGGTTATTCGCTCAATGAATCTCCTGAGAAATCTAGTCAATTTTCCGTTTGTTCCTTTTTTTTTTATTTGGGTTTTCCTACCTTATAAGGCAAAGTAGTCTGTTTCCTGATTCCTTTGCTTTGCTCGCTTTAGCCCTTTTTAGCATCTCTCTGGTAAGCTACTAGTTTATCACTGTTCTATTGCTAATATAGTTTTGGTAAACTTTGCACATTGCATCAAGTACAATTTTTGACAGCTAATTTCAGTTGTAATAATTCAATTATGTGGTTCTGCACCTGATTTTATATATTTTCCTTTATTGCTTCCCTGTTTTTATGGTGTGGGCATGTCGGTTATTCGATTCTAATAATATGACTCTTATGCAGGAATCTGAAAGAGCTTGATTTGCGTGAGAGTGATGTTGACGATGTAAGCGGGCACTGGCTTAGCCATTTCCCAGATACGTACACATCTTTGGTTTCACTCAACATCTCATGCTTAGCCTCCGAGGTCAGTTTCTCTGCGCTGGAAAGGCTGGTGAGTAGGTGTCCCAATCTCAAGTCTCTGAAGCTTAACCGAGCTGTTCCTCTTGAAAAGTTGGCCACTTTACTTCAACGAGCACCTCAATTGGAGGAATTAGGCACCGGCGGGTACACTGCTGAAGTGAGGCCAGATGTGTTCTCTGCTTTATCTGTGGCTCTCTCTGGGTGCAAGAAGTTGAAGTGTTTATCTGGGTTTTGGGATGCTGCTCCTGCCTATCTTCCAGCAGTTTATTCTGCTTGCAGTCGGCTTACAACTTTGAACCTGAGCTATGCGACAGTCCAGAGCTATGATCTTGTCAAGCTTCTTAGTCAGTGTCCTAAATTGCAGCGCCTGTGGGTGAGTCCATTTTAACATTGTTACTTTATTTTACCTGATGGGGTATGTGCTCACTTTTTTTGTAAGGCCTACTTTTTTTTTATATATAATTGGTAATATGACTTATGGACACAGGTGCTGGACTATATCGAGGATGCTGGTCTTGAGGTACTTGCTTCAACCTGTAAGGACCTTCGCGAGCTCAGAGTGTTTCCGTCTGAGCCTTTCGTCATGGAGGCAAACGTTGGACTGACAGAACAAGGGCTTGTCTCCGTCTCCATTGGCTGTCCGAAACTTGAGTCGGTTCTGTACTTCTGCCGTCAAATGACAAATGCTGCGTTGGTAACCATTGCTAGGAACCGTCCCAACATGACTCGCTTCAGGTTGTGCATCATAGAGCCCAAAGCGCCAGACTATCTGACTCTAGAGCCGCTGGATGTGGGGTTTGGAGCCATAGTGGAGCACTGCAAAGAGCTCCGGCGGCTCTCCCTATCAGGGCTATTGACGGACAAGGTTTTCGAGTACATTGGGACATATGCAAAGAAGATGGAAATGCTGTCAGTGGCGTTTGCGGGAGACAGTGACTTGGGGATGCATCATGTGTTGTCGGGGTGCGAAAGCCTGAGGAAACTAGAGATAAGGGACTGCCCGTTTGGAGACAAGGCGCTGTTGGCGAATGCTTCAAAGCTGGAGACAATGCGATCCCTTTGGATGTCTTCTTGTTCCGTGAGTTTTGGAGCCTGCAAGTTGTTAGGACAGAAGATGCCAAAGCTAAATGTGGAAGTCATCGATGAAAGGGGTCCACCAGACTCGAGACCCGAGAGCTGCCCTGTTGAGAGAGTGTTCATATACAGAACAGTGGCTGGCCCTCGGTTTGACATGCCTGGCTTCGTCTGGAACATGGACCAACACTCGACCATGAGCTTTTCCAGGCAAATCATCACTACTAACGGGTTATAAAAACTACAAACGAGGTACATTTTTTCATTAATCCTTGTGTTCTTCACCCATCGTTCCAGTTCAGGAACACGGGAGAAAGATGGAGAGAGAGAGAGAGAGAGAGAGAGAGCTGTGTCGCCATTGAATTGAATTATGGGCTTCTTCATATAACCACCAAGCTCGTGAGCAATAATAAGTGAAGAAAAGAGAGAGAGAAAGACTTTGGTCTTTTTGTGTTTTTATATAAGAATTTGTATTGGTTGTCTGTTTGTTTGTCTACTTACTGAGAGAGATCCTGGTGGGGTATTATTTTCTTGAGAGGGAGGATAAGAGCTTTTTTTCAAAAGACTGTCAAAAATTGTAACTGCTTCACTTGTTTGGACTCTTTTTTATCCTTTTCAAGTGTTTGGTCTCTTGTCTTTGCCATTTCATTTGTTCAGATAAAGAAGCGAGTGTGATATATCTTTGAGGCGACAGGGATCATCCCTTATGATTAATTTCGATGATCCTTTGTGACACTATTAGCAATTTATTAGGTATAAACTTAGCATTAAAACATAACAAGAAAAGTTATCTGAAAAATTCCTCTATGATCTCGGATTATTTATGCTACCATAGAAGTTTCGATTGTCGATCTATTTTGCACAGTTGTGCAGCATGGTGGGCTTTCACTTTTTCAGTTTCCATGGTGGGCTTTCACTTTTTCAGTCTCCATAACTTTACTTATGGAATAACTATGAACAGAATTCTAGTTTACTACTCTAAACAGTTGACAATAAAATTTGTGACTACCTTATAAACCATAATCGGTTTAAAAGTGCAAACATTTAGGTGAAAAGGCCTGCAATCCAAACCCAATTGGTGGTTGTTGTGGCGGATCAGAAAGAGAAGATGAGAGCCGGCCGTACCACACACTATGTTTGAGGTAGAGGGTCTTGCGGAGTTGAGATCCTGCGAGTGTTGTATGAACCACAGTGCCCGCACTTGAGTCCAAATATGTGGAACATAGTATTGCTCCTCTTGTTGCAGTCATTACAAAGAATTGCAACCTGCCAACAGTTTCTTGGCCATGAGCATACGCTAGAAGATGGGATAAAGGAAACTGTAACGAAATTGTAGACATCATTACCTCATATTTATACTCATCAGGCATCTCTGTTTCGGATATCTGTGTAGAGAGAGAGTGTCAGTTAGTCCTTTATTGAATAATACACCAAATCAAAATTTGCATTGTTACCTCGCGATCTAATGATTGCCACGAAGATGACATATCCGTCATCGACTTGGAACAAATGGGGCAACGGTACCTGAGAGAGAATATTGGCAAAGCTTGTTACAGTAAGGAATGAATAAATGCAGAAGTGTCATTGAGATTATTACTGTTGTTCGTTGATCATTTGTTCGAAGCAATCCATATGCATAGTATGCCCACATCTCATCACATTCGCGACTTTTACCGAATCAAATAGATACTGCCACGTTGAAGAAGAATTCACAAAAGGTTAAAAATCAAATATGAGACCACCATGCTTTAAACAATATTCCCATTCAGACAAACCAACCTCATAACAGACAGGACAAGAATTCTTTAAGGAGTTCTCAATGCAAGAGTGTTTATCGCGCAAGCCAGTTGCATAACAAGCTCCTGCAATATTCACAGTGGGGATTTTGTGACAACAACAACAGTAATAATAGGAGAAAAAAACTAAAACACACAAGATTGCAATCATTAGAAACTAGCTATAGACTGACTTATTGGACATTCAAGTGACTTTGTTTAGCTACAAGACAGCCCCATCCGGATCAGCCTGTATGTGCAAACAAATTCAAAGATCCTACTTTACTACCCTACACTCGAATTGTCACTTGTCGAATAGATTCTTATGTTCCTAGAGAAGAGTTGATGGTGACAAGTCGTAATCTTACACACCACCAATGTATCAGGAACTTGCTTTAAAGATAAAAAAGAGAATCCAACACATAGGCAAGCTGTTAAAAAGGTACATAGCTACATACCACAACTCTGGCAATGAAAGAATTTGTCACGCCCACCAACTCTGACAAGATTAAAGTTAGAGTTTAATAAACTTAATACAAATGATGATTGTTTTTTATTATAGCACAACATCTCTACACCTCCTCACCTACAAATTCCACAGTCGTGACAATGAAACTGTTCTTTTGAGGTCTGCAAACATAATAATAATAATAATACTATTAGTCAGATACTTTCAGAAGGAAACAAAGAGAGTTAAAGCAATTCAAACAAAATAAAGGATGAAAAAGCTCACATCGTCGTCAAAGAATTTGCAGATATCACAAAAGTATTCACCCATATAGACGCCGCAATTCGAGCAGACTTGAGCAACCTGAAAGTTACATATTTACCCAAATATGAGTTAAAAACAATAGAGTTTGCAGATGAAAAACAAAAATCAAAACCCTCTTTTATGTAATGTACCTCTTGCTCAGTTTGACATATGGAACAAATAACCTGGGAAAACAGAACACAGGTGAAGCACACAGAATCCAAAATTACTAGACTCAAACACAAGAAAGAAAGAAACCTGCTTGACGTTTTGCCGGACCAAATCATGTCGTTCTTGAGGATCAGATAAAGAATTCTGAAACAAGGAAGAAAGCATCTTCTTAGTAAAATAAGAAAAATAAAGAAACAAGAGAGCAAGAAGGTCTATAGTTGGCGAACCAACCGCTGCCTCGTTATGGCAATGGCGGCATGCGAAGATGAGATTGCAGCAAGGAGCTCTGAGTTTGCAGCGTCTCTTGTAGTGTTGGCATCTAACATAAAAAAAGAAAAACCAAATCAGCCACACTAACCGGAATCAGAGATCAACAAACATCAAATCAGAAGACTCGAATCAAGATCGCTAAAAGGGGAAATCAAATAACCCGAATTCGAATCTTCCAAAGTCTTTGTCTTTGGGGAGCGAAGCATCTGAATCCATGATTGAGTGGAGACTACCACCCGTGAGATGAGATTTAGGTCTCCTCCTCACCACCGTAAAACCACGAACCAACCCAAAACGGAGTCAAAGTTACACTGTACACGTGTCAACCTCTCATTGGATACTCGCGTTTTTTTTTTGCCCTTCGTCGGTCCATCCTTTTGAGTCACTTACCGGAAACTAACAATAACATTTTAGGGCAAAACTGAACAACATATTTTAGAGGCTGTTTTCTCAAAATAAATTCTAGATATACGACCTTCTCCTTTCCAAAACTTTATTATTTCTTCACTCCCAATCATTAGTTTTTATGTTTGAAAAAAAAAATTTAATTTTTTTATAGTAATTTTTGTCAAATATTTTCCATTTTATCTTTTTTTCTGTTTATTCTAAAGTAATTTTTATCAAATAAAAAATAAAGGCTAAAATTTCAACTTATAATTATTTTTAATAAGTGTGAAAATTCTAAAAAATCATTAGAGAGTAGAACTAGATGATTGACCATGTTAAATATATATATATTAAAAAAATGAGAGTGTGACCGGTTTATTATTGAATTTATAGAATAAGTCATCTTTCAAGCCGTGTGATCGTCGAATGTGATTAAATAAACATATCATTCAACTGTCTATCCGATTAATTACCGTCGATTTTTTAAAAAGTTGAGATGCTTAGAACAAAGGTGCCTTATTGGATCGTGTATGCATGCATGATGATATGAATAGATCGGGAATGCTTTTCTCACGCGCCGGTCCAAGAATCATTGGATCCGACAAAGACAGCAAGTGAAGGTAGTTGTTACACGTTCCTTACCGATTAGATTCTCCCAAGATCCCAAACTACTCGGAAGTTTTGTAAAGTAAAGCTATTCCACATATCTCGCAAAGCCCTTCCTCTTTTTCCCTTTCTTTTCTTTTCTTTTTTCTTGTTTTTGCCACCGATCATCGTTCAAAAGAAAACAACTTATGCAGTTTCTATCTCGATCGAGTGTTCAATACACACCTGATCCGGTTTTATTCATGTATTTTTGTGTCCAACTCTAGTCAATTTTTTGGGTGTGCAAGAGCATTTTAAATCTCAGATCCATCTTGAAAAAGAAGATAACGAAAGAGAATTGTGTGCTTTGCTTATGATATAAAGTGAGCATGAAGGATGAATTGTATTTCAAAATAAATAACCATTACTTGTACATTCAGTCGTTTATTGTTTCACTGGTTTTGTTATTTTGTATATATATGAGGGAGATGGAAGAAACTAAACATCTATTTCACATCGACCTTCTTCTATACGTTGTAGAAACGTTATGGACTTATGGTGTCTCTGGTTATATTACATAAATCATTAGATACATTACGCCAGCTCAAAGATATAATGTAACAGTACTAACAAAAATCAAGAAAAACGGCAGTTTATATTTTTAGACGTTCATCCTCTTACTGTTAGTTTAGTTGGATACTAACATTTTTAATTCACAAACTTCTATACATGCTTCTGATATATTCATATCTAATTATTTTAATCGACAACCAAATTAGAGCTAGTTCTCATCAAAACCATCCAGAGAATGTGACAATAGTATTTACGGTAGGCAACAGTTAAAACGAAAGGCAATATAACGCATACGATAAATAATTTTTCTCCATTAGAATAGATAACACATCAGTACATCCACTGATTAATTAAGCTGGAAATACAAAGCTAGCTAATTAATTTCTTGGGCGCGCGTGAGCTAAACAAAATACAATCATCAGTTACATAGTATATAAGAACATGATACACATTTACGTGTGATCTTTCAATTATTATATTTTACTATCTAATTAACATACCAACAATCTTTCTTTTTTTTTGAAGGATCGATTAATTTTCTAGTTATGAAATGACTGATACGGCTTGATCAAGGGAACGAGAGAGCCACTTAGGTGAAGCGACATGACTTCGTTGGTTGAACCAACCAGCTTACCACTTACGAAAACAGCAGGAACAGCGTTTGCACAGCCAAGACGGACTAATGCCTTCTCGATCTCGCGGCAGTCCGGATCGTTGTCGATCTCGTGGATTGTTGGTTGAACCCTAAGGTCACGGAAAAGGATCTGCACGGCGTAGCAAAGACAGCATGAGTTTTTTGTGAAGATCACAACTCCTTTCTCTGATGACATTCTCATCACCTTGTCCATGATCAGATTCTGATCTGACGGCTCAGGAGAAAGAGTGTGTATCTTTAGCTGTATATGTAGCCTTGGCTTTAATGTAAGTTTCTCTGTTCGTTTGCAAACTTATGGTATGCTTGGCCTATTTATAGCAAGGCAAGTAGTGCAAGACTTTGGACTGGTCATTTTTTTCTTAAAATAAGAAATTATTTCTTTTTTAATAATGAAAATAGATTTTAAAAATGATTCCTTCCAAAGAACTAATTAAAGCGGCTTTGTGAGAAAAAGACCATTTTTTTTAATGTTCTGTTGTACAAGTTGCAGAAAAAATTATTATGTAAATTAAATGAATTATTTTGCAGCTATAGTATTGAAGAAGGCAACGAACAATAATTATCTAAGCATACGATTCGAGAGGTTGTAGGAATACATTGTAATGACTTTATGTCCGAGAGAAGTGAACAGTATCGTATTACTGGATCTCAAGGCATGCGAGTGACCTATACGCGCGTTCTTTGCGTGCATGCTTTGTAACATATGTGTCCAACGCTTTTTTATGACGAATCTCATTGATAATGAGAGATTAATTAAGCTTATCATCAGTTAAATTAATCACGTCATGCGTAAGGACGCAGCAGCTAAATTAGGTAAGTTTGTTTTGAACTTCTCGGTTATAGAATATCGAAGAGACCAAGGAAAAGCATATAGCAAATACGTGTTTTCGTCCCATAGGCCATAGAGCTTATGTCGTTCACAACAATTTATAATGGATTTTCAAATTTTCGTCAGATTATTAATTATTACTTTATTCAACAACACACGAGCTCCGTTTATTGAACGTTTATTTGTTGTTTTTGAAGACAGTTGCATCTCTTTTACAAAAAAAAAAGATAGTTGCATCTAACTATATTACCAACCAACTATATATGGTACAAAAATGTTTACAAACGAAAAGATATACTTTCTAATGACGGTTTTACGAGTAAACAAATCCGCTTTTATATACTACGTACGTGGTTTGTAGACCAAAGCAAAGTATGGAAAAAAAAACCACTTGATTATCTTCAAGTCCTTCATCAATTTCATCTTTCGGGTGCGAGACCATAAATACTAGCTAGATCCAATGAATCTGTTATAAGATTGAACCCAATGCGTATGCATTGCTCAAATTAGTCTAAAGCTATTTAGATAGAAAACAAAGTTATGACAAAGACCCCCTTTGGATACCTGATCAAACAGATACACAAGCTTGAGAACTGTTAGGGTTTGTTTGTTTGTTATAGCCGGATCTTCTCCTGAATTTATAACTCGAATCCTTATAGGCTAAAAAGAAGATTGTACAGCCGAAACAGGATTCGAGCTTTCGGTGATATTATCAACTATATATGTAGTGAGAGTATTCCCTTATTAATTGTCCCCTACCACCAACTTGCCTAAAGACACATATTCCTTGTCTGTCTCACTCTTACATATACGACACTCATGTTTGATTCTGCCTTCGTCCTATCTCTTCCGGGACGTAATTACATACGTGTAAAACGGCCGGCCAAAAAATCTTACAAAATGATCGGTCTTGCCAAATATTCTTTTCATTGAAATTTCTATGTACTACAACCTTACACATACGAACTCAGCGACCAGATTTTAGTAAATTTAAAGAGAGGCAAAATTAGCGACAAAATGTATTGTGATAAATATACCATATCGTAACATATGTATATATTTATGAAATCGATCTTAGTCGATATTTTTAACAATAAAATAAATAAAAGAACTAAAACAATTATTCGGTGGTGCGACGTGAATTTTCGCACAGACCACATGTTTATTTAGTGTTGTTCTATGTTCCGGTGCCTTGTGGGTGAAGCTTTTCATGTGTAAGATTCTCCGAAGATAAGGGGGATCCTATAGTACTCGTCTACGTGTATCATTCCTTCTTGATAGTCGTCTCTTGTCTTGTCACTTCATCGATCTATCATATCACCATTTCTCGATATTCATCTGTTGTTTCATCTATGTTCAATCGTTTGTACAATAATAATAATAATAATATCAATTCAGTATCATCTTAACAAATGACGCATTAATTACTTTAAGATGTGAGTTTACTCTTCATGTACGAGAAAAGTTAAAGTCTGTGTTACACAGTTGCTTAGAGGTACACTTGTCTTTTCTTCCGTACAATGCAAGTCAAGATACATATATATACATCTATACATGTATGTAACTTATTACAATTAAACCACCTCCATGCGAAGGAAGCAAAGCATTTCAATACATCTATGCTTCCTCCCGATTATCTATATATGTATATATTTAACACATTGATTATTGATATCTTATATATGTATATGCATATATATATACATACACGTACGATGGCTGGAACGCTATAACCATATGGCTTTAGCGTCTTTAAGCATCTGTTTAAGCGAGCCGTCGACGTGGAACGAGATGATGTCTTTGGCTGATCCGATGTACCTTCCTCCGACAAAAACAGCTGGAACAGTCGGGTTTGATGAGCCGAGAGTACGTAGGGCCCGTTCCATTTCACGGCCTTCGGGATCTTTATCGAGCTCGTGGATCGCCGGACTAGCTCCTAGTTCGTAGAATAGCGTCTTGATGCTATGGCACATACAACATGAGCTCTTTGTGAATATTACTGCTGCTTTCTTCGACGATAAATCTCTTATTTTCTCCATTTGCGGTTGATAAAGAGAAGTTAGTTATGAAGTGTTTGTGTTTGAAATGTGAAAGGCTTAGGTTGCGTTGTACATATGCTTGGATCAGCTGTTATTTATAATGGTTATTGTGCCAGATTTTCGATTATTTTATTTTGGACTTATGTATAAAAAATACACTGGATAAATATATAATTGATATACCCCACTCAAAATATATAATGTAGTTGAAATGCCCCACAGCCCAAACTTTCTTCGAAAGAGGCTAATTAAGTTCTTAATTTGTGATATCATTTTTGGATAAGAAAAAATGCTTACCCTCATGATTTTGTTTGACGGAGACTCCTGATTTATTTTCGTTGATTTTTTTTAAAAAAAATATGTTTGAATTTGACTTATAGTAGAGGTGGGATTAGTTGTCATATATTATAAAAATGTGTATCATATTATAATATTGATTAATAGAGAGATGACTAATATCACTTTCGGTCCGTGGCTTCGAAGTAGCATCACATACCCAAAATATTTGTTTAAAATAATAGTTTATTCCCCTTATTTTTAAGTATTAGTGGAAACGTGGAAAGTTTATAATTTGCGGTAATGTGCCATGAACAAAAAGGGGATAATTGATGAGTTTTGGTGTTCAATAATATATATGAGTGTTTTCTCAAATAATAATAATACGGAGTAATTATTTTAATGATTATATTATAAAGCCTAGGTACCTGAAATAATGACAAAGCCAGACAAAATCATTTCGTATCGGCTCTACACGTAGACGACAGAATCTATCTACAATAATAATTGGAAGATAGATGCATGAATTTTGTAATAGGAGTAACTGTATATGCATTCCGCTTCAAAACTAAAATTAAACAATTAATTTAGGGATTTATACATTATGTTTTCAAAGTGGTTACATTACATTATAAACAAAAACGTAAATAGTTTTAAATTTGAGAAGTGTATGCAAAGAGAAAAAAAGCAGAGATTTGGTGGTGACTGTTGCGTCATCTTTGACATGGAAAAAATCTGAGATAAGAAGATTATCCATAAATCTGACCCCACACATGCATTTGTATATAATATGTGTGCGTATAATGGAATATAAAACCTGTCAACGTATTATGTAAATGATTCCATCTATCTGTAATGTAATGTGTGTGTGTAAATGAAGATACTATCCATGCGTTGTCTACTTGTCTTGTTTCTACTGTAATATCTCAAAACTTTCTTTACATATATTCCCTTTTTCCCCTACGAATATTGAAAATCTAAAAAAACCACTAATTATATACACTAGATCCTTTGAGGTTCAGTGTTTATAATTTGAATACATAACAATATTGTTTAAGAGACTCTCCACTTGGCGAGACGAGAGTCGTTTATTTGGCAAAACAAAATTTAAATGCTACAATGAGACTTGTGAGGATGATAAGCTATGTTTTGATATTTGTTTCATAGGTCGCATCCCATATAGATTTTATTTTATAGATTGGATTCTCTTTGGGTCTTTTCCTTTTAATAGTAACCCAAAGCGTTGACAGAATAAATACTGTTTGTATACACATAGCCTCTCTACTTGTCAAAATCGAATCTACAAGACTTTGTTCTCTGACTTCTAATTGACCTAAATGGGCCTTATACCCTAATAAGTTAAATCTACATGTACTTTACACAATAGCCCATTACGTTTCTGTTTTTTTTTTGTTTTGTTTGGGGTCGCCGTAAACCCTAAATCACAAACTTTGATTCTTCTCCTTCGATCAAAGGTACGACGAACTTTGGATCTTTCTATCGCGTTTCTTCACTGTTTGGTAGTTGAAACCACTAATTTAAACGGAAATATTGCGCCAGAGGTTTATATTCATTCGGAGTGATTTAAAAGTCTGGTTATTTTATAACTAAGGAAAATCCGTTTTTTTTTTTTTTGTATTCTCTTAGTGTTTGGTGGAATAATGAATTGGACATGGATTTTGATCTTGTTTGTGCCTGGAGAATCTCTACATTAAATATTACTGTCTAAAAAATTCACAAACTTGTGAACCAAACTGATAGTAGAATGATTTTTTTCTTGTTCTTGTGGTTGTTTCGTCGCTAACTGCTGTGTGCAGTTTTCCTTGCTCTTAAATTTCGTTTGGCTTGAGAATGTTGTTGTTGTTGTATTTTAGGCTCATTAGATGGCAGAAAGTAATGTAGCCGAGGAAACCACCATGGATGCTTCTCAGGAGCAACATGAAACGGTCGATGAGATGCTTGCTAGGCACAGGTAACAGCTCCATTATGGTTTCTTATGTCGGGAATGGAATAATCGATTTGGCAACGCTTTTACCTGATTGATTGTTTTGATGAAGGCAAGAGATAAAGCAACTACAGAACAAGGAGACGGAGATGAAAAAGGCAGCGGCAAAAGGAAGCAAAGCCGAACAAAAAGCAAAGAAGAAGCAAGTCGAAGAAGACGTTTTGAAACTCTCCACTAAGCTCAAGGAGAAACAGTTGAAAGAACTCGCGTCACAAGGTTTCAGCAGCAGCAGCAGCAGCAATAGCAACATCTCCAAGGACGAAACGAGCGAGAAGAAAGGTGATATCGACACTTTAGTGAGAGCCATCGCTGGAGTCTCTGTCACTGCTCAGCAAGAACACTCGAAGCCGAGCAAGAGCGTGAAGAGACGCGAGAAGCGAGCTAAGGAAGAAGCGGATAGAGAGCAGAGAATCAAAGAGGAGCAGAGCAAAGTGAAAAGTGATCGTATGCTCGAGAACCAGAAGCTCGAGAAGAAGCTTGAACCGTTGGGATTAACCGTCAATGAGATCAAACCAGACGGGCATTGCCTTTACCGAGCAGTAGAAAACCAGCTTGCGAATCGATCAGGCGGTGCATCTCCTTACACATACCAGAAGCTTAGAGAAATGGCTGCTGCGTACATGAGAGAGCACCAAACTGATTTCATCCCGTTCTTCTTGTCTGAGACCGAGGCTGACTCCAATGGCGGCTCTGCGGAAGAGCGGTTCGAGAAATACTGCGGAGAAGTCGAGTCAACCGCGGCTTGGGGCGGCCAGTTGGAGCTAGGAGCCTTAACACATTGCTTGAGGAAACACATAATGGTGTTTTCGGGATCGTTCCCGGATGTTGAAATGGGCAAAGAGTATAAATCCGGCAATGACTCGACCCTCATGTTATCTTATCACCGGCATGCTTTTGGGCTCGGTGAGCATTACAACTCCGTTGTGCTCCTCAACAACATCACCGAATGATAGACTTTTGTATCAAAAGTTTCAAGATTTACTGAAATTTCTATTCTTCTTTTAATGTTTCCTGGCTTTGAAAGAACCTACATACTTTGTAACTTATGTTTTTACAATGCGATGTGTCATTTATTCTATACAGCTCCAGGTTTTAATTACACTAACACAGATATGTAGTGATTCGGCCAAGAAACTTGTTTATGGCCTTTGGACAATTTTGCGAGCCAATTTTGCTAGACAGTTCTAGACATCTACAGAACACAAGTTGTTCCATCCGAATCTATGCTCTTATTATTATTCATCACCCATAAGTGTGCTAAACCAATCATGGTGACAAAAATGACACATGGCCTTATCACGAATCTGCCAAAGATTCCTCATTTGTGTTGATTTCCAAATCTGGTGTCAGAATCATGTTTTCCTGTTAAATTCTACTGCAAATTTTGTCAATGAACATGATTTCTTATCTTCAATGCAACAACAAAGAGACGATTAAGAGTTAAGACAAACCCACACATTCAGATAACTCCAATTTTTTAACAAAACTTGAAAAAAAATGGATTTGACGGTAGCCTAAAAGCTAAAGGCAAGATCTTGTGTCTGATTACACACACACTCACTTGCTCTCTAGACTCCAGGTCACACAAGCAGAAAAGTATCTCAAAGACGATCCTTTTTTTGATTACCTTTCTTGCTTTCCGTTCCTTTAGAGCATGAAACTTGTGGGGAATCTATTGTTGCTTGAAAAGATAGGCATCTAACTGGATAAACCATAATCCAATCTCCACCTCAGTGGATGCACCAAAAGCAAAAGATATTGCAAAGATAAAAAAAAAACACATAAAAAAAGCAACATACAGTATGCATAATCACACTGTCGCATACCTCCTTGGATCCGTGGATCATTACTAAACCATATGACAAGGATATTTCCGTATATAGAAAAAAGAAATTCTCATGAACTGTATATGCCACTTGGTTCTGATGTCGAAAACGAAAGAATCTAAATTCATGCAGTTTTTAGTGAACCCCAAAGGGCACATCACTGGAGAAGGACCAAAAGAAGTAAAGTAGTGACAAAGATCTGACTTATGCAAATTTTACCCTTCTCCAAACATCTAACCCTATAAATAGGCTAACTCTGCATAACATCAAAGCAAAAACAACCACAAAGATCCTTGAGTTCCCTAGCACTCTAAGTCCTGGATCCGTGCTACATTCCTCATACTATCTATACACATCCAATGGAAAGCATTAGAAGTTTAGTTGCAGACAAGCCGGTGGTGATTTTCAGCAAAAGCTCTTGCTGCATGAGCCACTCAATTCAGACACTCATCTCAGGATTCGGGGCAAAGATGACAGTCTACGAGCTTGATCAGTTGTCCAACGGTCAGGAGATCGACAAGGCATTGGTACAGATGGGGTGTAAGCCCAGTGTACCCGCCGTGTTCATAGGGCAGCAGCTAATCGGTGGTGCGAACCAGGTGATGACTCTCCAAGTCAAGAACCAACTAGCCGCATTGCTAAGAAGAGCCGGAGCCATATGGGTTTAAGTCCAAATGCAGCTAGGATAGAATAAGATGAGAATAATACATACTTGTTTTGTGTTTTTTTTTTCGGGTTTCTACCATGCACAGCTATGTTTTCAACAAGTGCAAGTTTGTAGTCTCACAACCCTGGTGCTAAGATCAAGAACTTGTATTCTCAATCACCATACTTGTTATATCAATCTATGTAAGCTGGAAAAAAAGTATCCGCAATGCAATATCACACAATTAATATAGAGAAACATTTTGCTTTTCTTATTGAGCTCGAAGGATTGTTCAACAAATTGAAAAAGGCCTTTGTTCATCAGCCTTGTAAACGAAGAACACAAAAAGTAGAGAGAGTCACTCACTTATGGATGTAATCATTCAAAACGCCATTAGCATGCTCTAGCTTAGAGTGTCTCCGCCAGTTCTCAACTGCTCTACACACTGTAGCTTTTGCGTCGCGAATCTCTTGAGCTGTGAACTTGTGTTCTATGATTCCCAATGGGCCAGGTTGCAGAACATTGATCACAGTTTCGGCTTCTTGCTCGAGTTGCCTGTAATGATTATCTTAGTATTTCCTCAAAACACACACAACACGACGATGAGCTATTGTACAATCGAGCATCAAAAGGAAGTCTTCCCATCAAGATGCAAAGCATTAATCAGGCTCGAAGTACTAAATTTGATAGAAATTGAATATCCATATCCCGTCAGTTAAATCACAGTAACATCTTCATCACCAGGGAATTAAACAACGAGAGATTCAAGAGTATCGCAATTCAGATCGAAGACATATGAACGAACCTGAAGAGCCCCGAGAAGGGCAAAGCTCTAGCGATCCTGTAAATAGACATCGTCGCCGGAAGGAGATGAAATTGAGGAGCTGCTTAGTGTTTTCCAAAAGGGATGTATCGATGGGAGTAAAAGCTTCCGCACGTTTTAGAAGGTTTTGAACTTTTGACCAGAAGATGAAAACAAAAAATAAAATTTTCGACTTCACTGGGGATCGAACCCAGAATCTCTGGTTTCGTAGACCAGCGCCTTATCCATTGGGCCATGAAGTCTTACATGTCTTGCTAGTCACCAGTTTTATCAAAACGGTTATTTCTTCTATGGTGTGTTTGACGAGGATATATATGTCTTGAGAGCCAAACACGTCCCATCATCTAAAACTCTTGAGAAGCCTTCTTCCTTATCCGACAAAATCACGCGCCACTCTTGTTCCACCTCTCTAATTCTCTAAACAATGAATGGCTTGGTGACGACGAGTCCAATGGGTCGAGCCTCGGTGCATCTCCACTCTTCTCTACCCATCACTTTACGCTCGACGCAGCCACCGTCAGGGACATGTCTAGTCTTGTCGCCGCCTTTGCCGTCTCGCAGGACTCCACGACTCGTCTGTATGGCCGTAAGTGATTGTAACCCCCAATGTTTGGGTCCCAATGTTTTATGTTGATGGGTGATGATTTATCTGTTGGAAATTGCAGGAACCTTACCTCGTTACGAAAATGGAGTCTGTTGAGAAGACATGGAAGGAGATATCAGTACGTGCTTACAGTTCTTGCTTTCCTGCATTAATATTTTCCTTAGGTCTCAGTGGAAAACATCATACGCGTTTTGGAATTATTTGTAGGTAAAACTAGCTGACCCAGATGTTGTCTCAAATCCTTCTGAATACCAAAAACTGGCACAGTCCATGTCGGAGCTTGACGAGGTAATGCAATTTCTTAGCGGTTGCAAAGTTTGGAACTTTCTTTATTGGGTTTCTTAAGATTGACTTCATTTTGGATTGTCCTAGGTTGTATCCGTCTTCAGGAGATTCAAGGACTGTGAGAAGCAGTTACTAGAATCCAAAGGTCCCTTCAAGTCTCTTCCTTTCTTTACTTCTGCTTCTGCTTCTTTTCTATTCATTGGTTTTGATTGGTTTTTTTGCCTTCAGTTTTGGCGAAAGAGGCTGGAGATGATGAAGATATGGCTGAAATGATTGGAAGTGAAATCAACTCGCTCTCTAAAGAAATTGAGGAGCTTGAAAAACAACTTAAGGTTTTCTGAGTTTAAATAATTGAAGATGCCTCTTGTCCCTCTTGATTTGGATCCTCAAGTTGTAACATTATGTTTGCTTGTGTCAGATGTTACTTCTTCCTACCGATCCTCTTGATGCCAGAAACATATTGCTCGAAGGTGATTAACTAACTGTAGTGTTGCACAAGTCGTAACATTTGTCAAATTTATCTACTTCTGCGCGAGTATAATGCTTTTCTTCATCCTCTACAGTTAGAGCAGGAACTGGTGGAGATGAAGCTGCAATTTGGACTGGTGACCTTGTAGGTACATGCTTTCCTTTTATTTCTATCTGCTTGGAATTTCCTAAATTAAAACGCAGTCTGATGGTTATTCGCTATTTTGTTTCAATCCTATTCATAAAAGTAACAGAACCGTAAAGTGTGATTGATCCTATATATCATGGCTAAGCAGAAAGCTTCATATCAAACACTGAATCAATCTTGCTATACTTGCAGGTGCGGATGTATCAGAGGTACAGCGAGCGCAGCTCTTGGAAGTTTTCTCTGGTTTCATGCTCTGAGGTAAGACGCTCTGTCTTCTGTCATTTTAAGGAATGTGTAAATAATATTGCACTAGAGTATAACAACTATGTGCTCAGTTATATAAATATAGCTTCTAATCTCCCTACATTATAAGGCTGAGCATGGAGGTTACAAGACGTGTGTGATGGAGATAAAAGGGAATCGTGTCTATAGCAAGCTGAAATACGAATCTGGTGTTCATAGAGTCCAGCGTGTTCCTCAAACAGAAACACAGGGCCGTGTACACACTTCTACAGCGACTGTTGCCATCATGCCAGAGGTAAACTAGATTTCAACTTATTGCATTTTTCCCCGATATTCTGAAAAACTTAGTAATCAATGGAAACTGTCATCATCTTTGCTTTCTCCTTGTTGTTATTATAGGCTGATGAAGTGGAAGTTGTGATTGACCCGAAAGACATTGAGCTTACAAGTGCAAGATCTGGTGGCGCTGGAGGTCAGGCTAAAAACCGGGATGATATAAAGAAACTCACTCTATGTTTCTCTCGCTAATATACTGAAAAGAGGTCTTGGTGCAGGGCAAAATGTGAACAAGGTGGAGACGGCTATAGATCTATTCCACAAACCATCAGGTATACGCATTTTCTGTACAGAAGAAAGGACTCAGATACGAAACAAGGCTCGTGCTTTCCAGCTTCTGCGAGCAAAACTGTAAGCAACATTCAAGGAACTAACTCTCTGTTCTTCATCTTCTTCTTCTTCTCTCTTCAGTCTTTCTTGAGATATATCCATATGTAGGTATGAAATTAAAGTACGGGAACAACAAGAGAAGATAAGGAATCAGAGAAAATCTCAGGTCCTCTTTATATTACTATTTCTATAAACCTTTTTGATTCTTGTTAATCATCAGTGAATGAATTATTCATCTTATAATGCTTTATGTTGATTCTTGCGGAAACAGGTTGGGACTGGAGCTCGTTCAGAAAAGATAAGAACATACAATTATAAGGTAATAATACACGAATTTCTTCAGAGACTTACTTTGAAAACAGGATGATTTCTGTAATTGTTATGATGTCTGAAAACTACAGGATAGTAGAGTCACTGATCATAGGCTAAAGATGAACTTTCCGCTTACATCATTTCTTGAAGGTGGCTTAGAGGATGCAGTGCAGGTAGGATCCTGACGTTGAACCCTGAATCTTATAACTTGTTTTTCTTAATTCGTTGTTATTAATTGATTTGATCATGTGATCTCTCCGTTCTTATTGCAGGCTTGTGCTGCTTTGGAGCAAAAGGAACTCATGGAAGAACTGTCCGAGTCTGTCGCTGCTTCTGGATAAATCCTCAAAACCATACTCGAGTGAAAATCTTTGAACAGACATCATAATTATAAACTCTCCTATTTTTGTTTATTTATAAATCCAAGCTTATGAATGATAGGAACAATATGGATGAGCATTCCTAACTGAACCAATCCCAGATTGAGAAAACATTACATCAATTGATAACAGATTAAGAATGTGGTACATGTCATATTCCACAGAAAACAAAAGAAGAGATCTTTTCTTCTCTGTCAAGGGCACATCATGACTGAGGAGAAGAAACCTGCTGAAACCTCCGAACAAATTTATCCACGAACACGGATTCTTTAATCTTAAGGATCTGGAAATAGTTCAAATCTTTTTTCTTCACAAACCCTTTAGACAGAAGCTCGGAGATGACCGTGTTCCTTGGTTTGATTCTCTTGTCCAAACTCAGACCCAAGACAAAAGGCTGCATAGCAATGGCACGGGGCTGAAGACCGGCGTTGTTTACGAGGTAATCCATGGTTCCCTTTATCTTGTCATCCGATATCTTCACACAGTTTGGGAATCTCTTGAACGCAGCCACGGAATCCTCTCTGGACCAGCCAAATTGTTGGTACAGCTCAAACTTGCGCTCCACAGCGGATTCACTGACGTGAAACAAAACTAGCATAGCATGAACGAAGTACATCTTTTTGGGGTCGAAACCGAAGCTGCGAACTCTGGTTAGGACCTCGTTGAACTTCCTCTCGGAGCAGAAGAAGACGAGTGGGCCATTTTGGACCAGTCTTTTGATGCTTTGGTCCCTGACTCCGACATCTCTACAGAGTGAAAGCCGTGTGGCCAAGTACTTGACCGTGTCCAAAGTGAAGATCCAATATCCGCGTCTCAAGCATTTGAGGACATTGTCTTGGTGGAGGAGGATGCTCTTGAGGGAATCATAGCAAGGGACGAGCCTGTTGCTCAAGCTAAGGGACAGCGTCGTGGGGCAATTAGAGATGAGCTTGGCGGTATCAGAGATGGTTAAACCGATCGAACGGAAAAACATGAGCTTTGGTAAGAGCACTGCCTCTGGGTTCACTATGAGGATACTAGGGAACGATTTGACGACCCTGGTGATTTGTTCATTGGTGAAGCCATTGTTCCTGAGCAGCGTGAGCACAGAGTCAGGCCTCGGGGAAGATGACAAGTTTACAAATTTGGACTTTAATTTAGCAGATTCCAAGGACAAGCCACACGAATTCACGAGGTATGATACAGTAAAGGATTTCAAAGATGGTCTCTTCTTCTCTTTGACATCCTCTGTTTTCCAATTTGATACTGAACAAAGTCTTCTTCCACTCATCAGAAACCCTGGCGAAGTGTCTCCCAAATCGATCCAACCCGAAGATCTGAAGAAGGAAAACCGTCGGCAGTATGACAAACTTGACATGATACATAAACCCTAAATCATAAGCCTCTCTTCCCAAATCCCCCTTTCTTGCCCTAATGTTTCTGCTAAGCCATCCCTGATCTTCGATATTAAAAATTATAATCTAACTGATGGTGGATTGGCCAAGGTTCTTCTCTCTCGCCGGCGTTTACAAGCACAGGTCGTGTCTGAACCTCTGAAGAAGACAAACAGCTGTTCCTCGGTGAAGCTTGATCAACGTTTGTTCTTAAGACAAACAGTTGTTTTTTCAGTCGCATCTCAAAAATCATGTGGAAAATCTTTAGTATCTCCAATTTTGAGAAAATTTAAATGAGCCAAATAGCAAACTTGACTCTGTTCATAAGTCCATTAAAGGCCCAATAATCCGATCAGATTTCATCTAATTGTAAAAATGAATCTATCTACACATTCTGATTTCTATTTTTTTCCCATGTCTCTCAACTCTCATCTTCTTCGCCATTAACATTGGTCACACTAGAGCTATTATTAATGGGGGCATCTTTTAGCAAATACAACGATAATAAGCATAAAATAGAAAAATCAATGGATGCACTGATATATTTTGGCTCAAATTTTATCAAACTTTAGAAAATGCACCCATAGTGATGTAAGTGGCTTCGCCCCACGAAAGACATATCGGAATAAGAGAAGAAGATAAGCGCGGTGGAGGTGATCTCGAAGGAATCAGTGGGTCAAAGAAGAAGAAGTAATGAATGGGATAAAATCCCAAGAGAGCTAACGAAAGAGAGAATTGCTCGATTATACTAATGGATTTGCTGGATTACCTTATTAGTCTCTTTCGATTGCCTAGGCTCGGTAAGGGAGATTTACTTGTAGCTGTGTGTACGCGGTTGCTATGGTATGTGTTTATTAACGTAATGTTTTTTTTGTTTTGTAAGGATTTTCCACTAGTTAACTAATGTTTATTTCGTGAAAACCCTCTTTCAATTTTTCGATTTATACAAAATTTAGATTGAGAAAATAGTGAAAATAATAACAGAAAAAAAAACATGTGTGTGTTAGTGAAGTTGGTGAGCAATAAAAAGATGTGTACGTACGTGTTCGAGAGCGTGAGTGCACGCATTTTTAACGTGTGTTTGACTCTTAAGGTAAGAGATCTTTGACTTTTGATAGTAGTGTATGAGTTCTGTTCGGTTCGGTGTGAGGACGAAACTACCCATTTATTTACCAAGGGAAGTACTAGTGCTTTATGGTCCTTAATCCTTATTATCCACACGAAGAGCGGGGTAATTTCGTCAGCTAATGTTCTCAACACTTGTTGTTGTGTTTCCTGTACTTATTTCACCGTACGGTAACGTAGCGTTGGGAAAGATGAAAGCTTGTAATTTTGTAAAGACGTCAAGTAAATACGAGAAACAAATTCTTTTTATACTGATATTTTTTACCTGATCATGTAAATGCATTGAAACGATCGATCTCATTATGTCGTATTCCTAACACGTGACATTTCCAAATCGACCCAAGCTCTGCCGCAGAGCCGTGCGACCACTTTCTTACGCGTCAAAGGAAATATCAAGTACCTCCTGTTTTCTAGTTCAATTTTTTTTTTTTGTCTCTTTACGTTTCTTTTTGTTGCTGGCCACCGTCTCTTTACGTTTGATTTTCTTCCATCATATCTACTTATCTCTCTTAATTATTGACTTTTTTTAATAAAATAAAATTAATTTGTGTTTATTCTAAGTTGGGATCAATATAATTATGCTTCAAAGTACATATAACTGAACACGAGTATTGATTATTGAAAAATTTTAAATATGGAGAGAAATAAAGCGCGAGTTTAAAAGACACGCCAGAACTTTCGCACGCGCCATTGTATAGTTTATACATTTCAGACCACCAGCACAGAGGCTAGTGGGACGTAAGCTAGAGTGAAAACTCATTTTTTTTACTTTCCTCTACATTACATAATTTACCTTTTTATGTTTTCCTACACGTAGAGAAGAAAAGACGGAAATAAAATTAAGTAAAAAAGGAAACAAAAAAAACCGCGGCTGCCCTATACCAAAACCCGGGAGATTCTAGGTATTTTTTTTTTTTGGGTTTGCTGAATTGATTTGTCCAGCGATAGAGATCGAAACACACATTCGATCCTTCTGAGGGAAATCGGGAATTCCCAATTCTGGTCTTATTCGATCGGATTGTTTTCTTCGATTGAGTTTTGTTCGTATTGCGGAATTGAGCAAAAAAAAATCCACTTTCTGGGTTTGTACTTTTGTCTCTTGTGTTGCCTTTGGGTCGTGATCGGATTTGTAATTCGATCAAGCGTAGTGCAAATCTCGCGGTGGATTTGGGTGGGGGTTTCACTGCTTCGTGGATCGGTAGCCAATAATTTTGGGGCTACGGTGTGGATTTGGGCGCTCGATTTTGTTTTGGTGTTTGCAATGTTAGCGAAGGGGTACTAGGGTTAAGGCTAGGGTTTGGTGGTGAAGATTAGGGATGGAGGAGTCTGAACTTGAAGAAGGAGAGGCTTGCTCTTACAATATCACTAACGATTATAGTGGAAGCATGGACCCCGATAACGATCTCTCTTACATTGTAAGCCCACCTTCTCCGCTAATCTAATCTAATCTAGGCCTGAGTCTCTTCTCTTCTGCATCTTATCGAGAGCTGCTGAATTGTGATTTGTGTTTAAAGTGCTAATGTTGCAATGTTTCCTTTAGTTTGCATCGCTTTGGTAGAATATTAACAAACACTTGTATTAGCTTTCTATGCGGTTGATTATGGTATGTGTTTTTTAAATGTTATGGATATTTTGTTTGGTAAGTTCATTACTGTTGTACTGCAACCACAACAGTTTCTGTGATTGATCAATCAAGCTTATCTACCTTCCATTTGCCAATTCCGATTGCCGCGTGTTTAGTTTTTTACTCATATGGAACTTTCACGGAGTTTGCATAGACGATTTTTTAACCATCGGTTACAGTTTTACCGGATAAGTTTTCTTAGAGGTCTTAATATGCTATTTCGCAGATTGTTAAACTAGTGAAGGCTAGGCTTATCTACCATGTAACAATTTTCAAATCTCTAGTTTTCGAGTGCCGCGTGTTTTGTTTCTATTCGAATGGAACAGTTTTCAAACCATCGGTTACAGTTTTACCGGATAAAGTTTTCTTACAGGTCTTAAAATGCTGTTCTGATTCGCTTCAGTAGTATCGTAAAACCTCAGAGTCTAGAGTTTTTTAATTTTGGGAAGTAACCAGTGTTTTGGTTTTTGGCTTTTGTTTATTTTCAAGGACGAGAAGCTTCAAAACATCCTTGGACACTTCCAGAAAGACTTCGAGGGCGATTTTTCTGCTGAGAATCTTGGTATGTTGATGTGTGGCTGCAACTCTTCTTCTTCGTTGGTTCACAGAGTGTGAAACTAGTCCTTTGAATTTTGATTACAGGGGCGAAATTTGGTGGCTATGGCTCTTTCTTACCAACTTATCAACGTTCCCCTGTTTGGTCTTTTCCAAAGACACCCGCAAAACCTCAGAGTTCTGCAGGGACTAGATCTCCCAACGTTTTACTAGGGGAGGTATATATATATATTTTTTTCTGCTGTATGATCTTTGTATAAGTGCTTTTACTTAGCCTTTTCTTTTTCTCCCAGTCCCAGAGTGGTAATGCAGCTTCGTCTAGTGTTCCTAAAAAGGCGAAGTCCGAGCTTGCTTCCGCCAGAATCCCCAAAAAATCAATGAAATCCAAGAAACCCAATTCCAGTTCCAGACTGGAAAGCGCAACCAAGAAACCTGGTGTCTTCATTAAACAAAACTCTCTGAAGCTTCGCATAAAGATGGGATCAGAGAGTTTATCTACAGAAAAGAATGTTGCTGCGATATACAGTGGCCTCGGACTTGATGTGTCGCCTTCTTTGTCATTAGATAATAATAGTCTTTCAGGTAGTGAAGGGATGAATGGGGAACCTCGAGGTTATTCTCCGTTGGAGTCCCCCACCAGTATTCTTAATGTGAGAGTTTCCATTCTTTTCTTTTGGTAACACTGAAGCAGTCTCCTTTCTTTTAAGATGCTTATCGTGTTGATACATTCTTATATGCAGGTAATGACTTCCCTTCCTGTGGATCATTGTCAGTTGCTGTCTCCTCTCTCTGATGATCTGATTCGATTCATGGAAAGGGAAAAACCCGAAAAGGGATATAAGTATACATCTCCGTCCAGGCTTTTTATTGAGAGTTCTTCTGCTATGGCGAACGGTTTGGAACCTCAGAAGGCTGGGGAGAAACCATCAGTGGAGAAGAAAAGAAAGATGGTGGAGAGGAATAATTTTTCTGCGGAGACAAATGTCCGCAGCAAGAAGGCTCTGTTAGATGGTACTGATGCCACCATGAAGGAGCCAACGGAAACAAACACATCATATCCTACTGCTGCCGAGAAAGAAATCACCAGTAGTAAATTATCTGATGCATCCAAGGAAAACTACAATGGCGCTATTAGGGGGGAAATGGTGGGTGATGTCGAGAGAAGATTGTGGGGTCTAACTCGTCATAAAGATCTTGGGATGCATCATGAGAATCCAAAGACTAGTTCAGCTGGAAGTGTTCGGGAAGATAAAAAGACTAAACTTGGTGATGATGATGCTTCGAGGAAAGTTGGCAAATATAAAGGAAGCAAAGCTTCTGATTCAGTAAAAAAGGAATCGAGTGCGTTAAAGGTGAAAAATGGTCATAAGGCGGAGCCAGAACATTATTCGAGAAAGCAGAAGTCTGATCAGATAGAACAGGAGCCACAGTTTGCATCGAAGTTTAAGGAGCAGAAAAGTTCTGCTGTGTATGATACAAAGATGAATGTTCAAGCTGTGAAAAGGGAAGTGGCAGCCTTGAAACCACAAAATGATGGCAAAAAGGCCGAGGAAACCTACAAAGACTTTTTTGGAGACATAGAGGACTCTGAAGACGAAGAGGAACATAACCGGTCGTTGGAAGTAAAAGATTTCCGGAGGTCAGAGAAGGGACTTCCGGACTTAGAAGATATGCCTGACAAGTCGAGCTTCCCACTGGCAGAATCCCAGAATGTTGGTCCTGGACCCATATTGGGAAAACTCGGTTCTGATACTTCTCTTCCGAAAGCAAACCCTGTGATCATACAAGAACATTGGGTTGCTTGTGACAAGTGTGGAAAGTGGCGGCTTCTACCTTTTGGCGTCTACCCCGAAGACCTTCCTGAGAAATGGATGTGCGCAATGCTTAATTGGCTGTAAGTCTTAATTCTCTTTAATTAGTCTTATTATTTTGTCGGCGTGATATATTTGGGTTATTGGCATAATGTGTTTGCTTCTTTCTATTTTTGGTCCCGGCGTGTTGACTTAAGAGAACCTGATTCTCTTTGTGATAATGTGTGTTTTAGGCCTGGAGTGAACTATTGTAATGTTCCTGAAGATGAAACAACGAAAGCTCTGTATGCGATGTATCAGATCCCTGTACCTGACAGCCAAGCTCCAATGCAGAGTAATCTCAGTGGCCTTAAGCCTCCGTTTAATCAGGGAGATGATAACACAAGAAAGAAGAAGAAGGGCTTAAAAAAGATAGACAATGGATTGGATAAAGAAGTTTCTCGAACTGGAGAAATTAACAAGAAGAAGATCCTAACATCAGCAAGAAACGGAATTAGTCACAATTCGCATGGACTTGGTGACTTGGCCGACGAAGAGAGGCAAAAACATAGACAGAAAGAGAAAGGAAAAGGAGTGGATCACCACTCTGATGAGTCGAGGAGCTTGAAGGTGAATAACAAACGGAATGCAGATCTAGAGAGTTCTATCCTGGCCAAGAAAATGAAGATTGAAAGTTTTCTGTTTCCTGATGAATCGGAGTTTGGAAATGGACGTCCTACCTCGAGTAGTGGTGTCCCTGCCGCGTCAGCAGAGAAAAATCCCAGGCCACAAGTCTCCTCTAAAATGCCAAAAGAGGAAGGAGGAGCTTCAGACACAGGAAATAGCAATAGCACAGGGGGCAGTAAAAAGAGGAAACTAAAAGATAGCCATGGTTCTCGGGTGTACAGTGAGAACGGAAATCATGAACGAAAGAAACCTCGATTTCTTAAAGAAGAAAAGGAGCCTAGTTTTTCTCATGGCAACGGGAAGTCTGAAAAGAAAAGCAGAAATCATTCGCAAAGAGAGTATGGACATGTGCAGAACTTAATCGCGGCTACTTCAAGCTCTTCTAAGATTTCAGATTCTCATAAACCCAGAAACAGCTCCCACGAAGCTAAATGTTCGCCTGTTGAGTCGGTGTCGTCCTCACCTATGAGGATTTCCAACCCGGAGAAAAGTGCATCTGTAAGAAAGAAGAAAGAGGAATCTTATGATGCTAACGTCTTTGCAGCAGGTACTTTGAGAAGATTCTCAGATGGTGAAGGTGAAGATGATGGTGGGAGTGATAGATCCCAAACGCGGACAAAGGACAAACATGGATCTCATGAGTCTTCTGTGCTTGATGTTTGGGATAGTAAAGAATCTTTGAAGGCCAAAGAGCGCTGTGAACCTTCTCTGGATGCGAATTTTGAGAATGGTGGCCTCAAGGATTTACCGCGAAAACTGGATTATATTCATGGTGAAGGAATACAGTCTAGCGATCATCATCGACGTAGCAATGATTCTTTGGCAAAGAAGTCAGGAAAAGGTTCATTTTCTCGGTCCAAGAACCAAAGTATCAGGTCTGAGTCACGGGATGGTCCGAGACATAATGAAAAGAAGATATACGATGGTAGTCCTGACAGTAGAGTAGATATGGTCGTGAGACCAAACATTCCAAAGCCTAATGACGTCGAAAGAATATCAGAAAGGAGTGATAAAGCAGATCTAGCATCCCCATCACGGCCACCATCTAGAGGTGTCCAAGGGGATTCCTCTATTCTTTCTGCCCGTAAGAAAGTTGAAAAATGCGGCACATCAGCTGGGAATAATAGTATTCAATCTGATGATGCGACAAAGGCAACGGCCCAAATAAGAAGGAAAAACGAGCCTTCTCCAAGCCCCTTGCGAAAGGAAGTAACATCTGCGCAAGCCGCCCATAATATTTTAAAAGAAGCTAAAGACTTGAAACATACAGCTGACCGTCTCAAGGTTTTTCTCATCCTTCAGTTGCAGTCTAATCTCTCTTTCCATTATATATTCTCTTCTTATGGTCTTGCTTTTTTTTGTTGCTTGCTGCAGAATTCTGTATCAAACCTTGAGCACATTGAGCTATACTTCCAGGCTTGCCTCAAGTTTCTTCATGGTGCTTTTCTCTTAGAGATGAGCAGCAACGAGAGTGCTAGACAAGGAGAGACAATGGTCCAATCTATGAAGATTTATAGCAGCACAGCGAATCTTTGCGGGTAAATTAGAATATTGAAGGAAAACAGAAAAAACATCAAATCTCATAGAGTTGTTCAAATCCTTCTTTCCCATTAGTAAGCATTGTAAAACCTCTTTGTTCAATGATAGATTTTGTGCCCATGAGTATGAGAAGTCTAAAGATATGGGAGCTGCTGCTCTGGCTTACAAATGCATGGAGGTCGCGTATATGAGAGTGGTTAATTCTTCTTACACCAGTGCCAATAGATATCGAAATGAGTTGCAGACTTCTTTGCAAATGGTTCCTCCAGGTAAGCTAGTCAGAGATGTCCTAATTCCTGGCAATGTTTTGAAGTTCGTTCACTTTGTAATCTTCTTGTTACTCCCGTTTAGGTGAGTCTCCTTCCTCTTCTGCCTCGGATGTTGATAACGTAAACCATCCAGCAGCAGCAGCAGACAAAGTTGGCACCTCAAGGGGCATCAGTTCTCCTTTAGTTGCTGGGAACCACGTCATATCTGCGCAAAACCGCTCTAATATTTTACGTTTAATTCAATTTGTAAGTTTATTAATGCCTCTTGCAAGTTGATTTTGCTACAAGCTATACTTAGATAACAAGTTTTTTAATTTAATGGAAGATGAAGTGATAAGCCTGGGTACTCTTTAGACCTAAGACAAAGTGTGATTAATCTCAGCTACTTTCTACTGTTTGTAGGCTCAGGACGTAAATCTGGCAATGGATGCCTCGAGGAAATCACGTGTGGCATTGGCAGCTTCTGTTGAAAACTTGGAGGAGGCCCAACAACAAGGAGAGGGTATTGTATCTATTAAAAGCACCCTTGATTATAACTTCCAAGACTTGGAGGGTTTGCTACGTTTAGTTAAGCTTGCGATGAAGGCCAACAACCGATGAAATACACAGCTAAAATAATTTGCGAAAACTGAGAAGGAGAGGCAAAATTCTGATGGTGGAAAGAATCATATGTTGCCTTGCGGCTCTGCTCCATTTCCATTTAGAAACGGAATATCGAAGCATTTGTTTAGGATCCCATGATCACTTGTACAAATCCAAGAAGAGTTTCGCTGACAGAGTCTGCTATGAAGAAGTTTCTGGTAAACCAAGAAGGAACTTGACATTTGACTTCTTCAGATGCTTATCTTATTCTACCGAGGAACAATTCGCAAAGGCAACATAACAACAAGCTTCTTTTCCAACTAATGATCCAAGAACCATATATATATATATATATATACAGAGCAACAAAGGTGTAACTTCTGTTACTGGATTTTCTACTTCTCCAGCTCAAGACAGAGAGAGTCGTTCCCCCAGTATCAGGTCAGTATATCCTTTGTCATTGATGCATCAACTATTATTTTTTGGTTTTACAACCTAATCAAAAATGCCTTTTCTGCAGATTGTAAACTGTTATCATTCTTAATAAGCCCATTTCGGGTATTACAAAGAAAGAAAATAAGAAAATTACAAGAGTTTGGAGTAATAGTGGCTTTTCCTGTAGTGGTGATAGGCTCTCAGTTTTAGGAGGTAAGAAAGAGTTACATCTATTCATTTGCATTTTTTTGTTTGGCTATTTATATTTACTCAATCAAAACACACAAATCTGATGTCCATTTGTTGCTCTTTCTCTTGGCAGTGTTCTCTTTTCTTTTATTTGTAGATAGGATAGTAAAAGTTACAAACAGAGGGTTTTGCCATCTTGCTCTGCCGGAGGAGCTTTCTGAGGGTTACCTACAAGTTCACAATCTGATTTTCAGGTGCAGTGTTCCGGCAAAGTTTTGAAACAGGCTTTGGTTCCTCTTCTCTTGTAGCTTAACCAAATATGTTATGTTTTTGACTGAAAATCAAACCCTGGACTCATGAGTGTATGTATGCCTTCTCTGGTTTGAATGGCCTTATTGTATAAATTGTACATTGTTCATCAAAGACGATGAAAATGGCCTTGATACACAAAAAACATATAAAAGTGAGAGAATCTTACTATTTTAATTGTTTTCTTTCTTTGGTATCGTAAAGCCTCCAAAATCGAGCGCGTTATAATAGTCTAAGAATTTTTTTTGCAATGTGTGAATTACATCCGACACATACAATAGTACAGCAATTATATTACCAATAATCTCTGCAAGAGCAAGACCCGTCTCTAAAATGGTGAAATCTATTGCAATCTCTTACAACAATCTCTCTACAATACAGCTTCGAGATCATCTTCATCACAAGATGACAATCTCCACAGATTCTTAGGTTCTTGATGATCCTCACCGGAGTTCCAGGCCTCGTCTTCATCAAACAAAAGGCAATCGCCAGTTTCTCACTGTGGTAAGACAAAGCCATCATTTTACCTTTCTCATCAAGATCAAGTAAAACCTCCTTAGTGTCAGAAACATATCCAGCTTCTCTCAGCCTCTGCATTATCTCATCGAGCATAGCGTAAATCTTTTCGCTCTCCTCTTGAGACTCGTCTCCTACAACAAACTCGTGAACCACGCCATCTACTTCAACAGAGCTGCATCCCGGAACTTTCTTGATACCCTTTACCTGTAGAAAGAATCTGTAGTTACTTGAGAAACTATTCAACTATTTTTAGCAATGAGTTTTAATAGAAGGAATCGTTTTGTATTGCCTCCATCTCGTGTCTGACACGCTTAACTTCCATCCACCTCCCTGTTTTGGCATAGACGTTTGACAGAAGCACATAGGCTCCGCTATTCATGGGATCTAGCTCGATGAGTCGCTTGAGGGCAGCTTCACAAGTCTTGATATCCCCAAGCATTCTCGATCCGCTTAAGAGAGACCCCCAAATGAGTACATCAGGCTCCAATGGCATAGACGCTATAAAGCTCTCTGCTTCTTCGATTAAACCAGCTCTTCCGTAGAGATCAACCATACATCCATAATGCTGGATCGATGGAGTGATACCGAATTTCTCAATCATCATTGCAAAATATGACTTCCCTTGGTCTATTAGACCTCCATGTACACAAGCACCGAGAAGGCCCACGAATGTCACCGAGTTTGGGTTTATGTTTTTACTCGTCGTCATCTCAGAGAACAACTCGAAGCACTCTTCTGCGAGGCCGTATATCGCTAAGCAACAAATCATTGCACTGTAGGCCTTGACGTCTTTCTTGGATCCCAAGGCATTGAAAACCCGTTTTGCTCTCTCGAGACTTCCACATTTGGCATACATATCAACGAGAGCTGTGCCTAAGACGATGTCAATCTCGACTTTGTATTTGTCGATGTAAGCATGAACCCAATTGCCTTGCTCGAGCGCACCCAATCGCCCACAAGCCGAGAGCACAGTCGACATTGTGAACTCGTTGGGTCGGACGAAAGCTTCCTCTGTTTGAGGTGACTGCATCTCTCGGAACAAATCAAGCGCTTCTCTGTTTCTCCCGCACATAACGTACCCGTTTATCAAGCAGCTCCACGAGATAACGTTTCTTTCAGGCATTTCGTCGAACAGTCTCCGGGCAACATCGATCAACCCGGCTTTCACGTAGGCGTTAACCACCGAGTTCCACGCCGGTAAATCCTTAGAGACCGAGTCGTCGAAAACTCGCCGAGCAGAGCCCAAGTCGCCACAAGATGAATACATATTGAGCAGAGAAGTCCGGACAAAGGGGTCAGTGTCGAGTCCGAAAAGAAGAATCTGAGCATGGGTTCGTTGTCCAAGAGGAAGATGAATGGGATGGTCAAAAGAAGGGAGAAGAAACGGAAAAGTATGGAAATCGGGACGGACGCAATGGTGGCGCATACGGAGGTAAATGGAGATCGGAGAATATCGACGAGAAGGCGAGACATTCTCAACAGTGGCACGGATGATGATGTTCCATACGAAAGACTCGAGCTTTAGATGCCGAATATGATATATCGGGGATGTTCTCATTTCGCATTCTAACAACAAACAAGGTGTCTCTCACAAATCGTATTATTATTATGATTTGATTGTTAGTTTTTAAAATCAATAAATAAAAATTCCAAACCAAATACATGAGGGTCCCGGTCTGATTCAATTTTCGGAAAACAAAAGGGTTTCGTTTGGTTTAACATTTTTTCTAGCGAGAGAGATGGAGGAAGAGTTGATCACCGCCGTGCCTTGCTCTTCCCTCACCGTGGAATCAGTTATCCGCGTCGCGACGGTAATAGCTTGTATCCAATTTCTTTAAAACCTGCTATGAACAAGTTCCATGGCTGAGATATTCAGATCTTGTTCAAGCTCAGGCCGGTGGATTATATGGGGTTTGCGCCGGACCTCGTGACGCTCGCAGAATAGGTATTGAAATTTCATTCCTATTATATCGATTCCCATTGAAGATTTCGCTCATTCAGCTGCTGATTTGCTCCGCCAGGTTTGAGCGGCGTATCTCAAGCTTCGTATGTGGTAAACGAATCTCTCTTTGCTTGCTTTTCATCGGTTTCTGAGAATTTGAGCATATTAATTGGATTCTTTCTCTTTTTATTCTAGGCAAAATCCATTGGCAGAATCGGGTTTCAATGCGGTAATCTGCCTCTCTTTTTCTTATTGTTTTACATTTGCACATTAATCTTCAGCGACTATGGAGTAAAAGTTTGTACTTTTCGTTTTTGAAGATCATGATTCTCTCTGTTGGTTGCCGACTGAAATATTGCTGATACTTTAGTTCTAAGTTTTTGGATCACTGGATCGATAACTTAGTTCTAAATTCTTGGATTAGTGATTGCTTCTCATATATGAACCCATTGTTCCTTTCAGGTATTGTAAGTGGTGTTTTTACGATGACCCACTGTGGGCTTCAACGATATCGAGGCAAGAATGATTGGGTTAGGTCCAAAGCTATCTTCTTTTGTATATATTCTTTGAATACTAGAGACTTGAGAGTCTTATCATCTGCTTCAGCAAGTGTGTCTTGATTTGTTGGACGGACCTTTTCAGGTGAATGCTTTGGTCGGAGGAGCTGTGGCTGGTGCAGCTGTTGCCATTGGGACAAGAAACTGGACCCACGTCGTTGGCACGGCTGGTCTCGTGTCTGCCTTTAGTGTTTTGGCTAATTGCACCAGGACTGATGATCTGAGACAACACTAAGGTCAATCCAAAAACACTGTTTCTACCAATTTTGCTCTTAACATTCCTTTTCTTGACTCGAGTGCTTGCTTCTGACAATCATATATGTCTGTTCGCAGCTGTTGGGTTTGTTGCTTGCATGTCTCAGACAAGACCATTCATCAAGAATTGGAACTTGGCAGATCAAACCTGACTCTCTGGTTCACACACAAATTTAGTTGGCTGAACCAGTTGATGGTCTGGTCGGTTTTCTATAGACCACGATTTTGTTCTTGTCTCTGTATTGATTTGATAATTTACTAGTAGTAAAATGCAAGTGAAACACAAAAAGTTCCACCACCCAGAACCTTGTTTTCAACAGTGGTGGTGACTGATAGTGTGGGAAAATGTATAATGTTTTTGCAAGTTAATCATATACCTCAAACATCAAAACTGTTACTAGATCAAATGAAGTGTACTTTAAAGCTATGTTGTTTGAATTTTACAGTATCGGTGCTGGTGTTTAGTCAATAATCGAAAGGTTTTAAATTTTAACTAGGTATTTACCTGCGGCTACGTTACAGAATATTTTTCTAAATTTATATATATTTTTAATATAATAAAATTATTTTTATAATATAGGTGAATATTATATTTATTTTTTATTAGTTTAAATTATGTATTTATATGTTTTAAATCTGAATAAGCATTATATATTTTTAATGTTTTTTTTTTATTTTTGAAAATTATAATCTACTATCAAATTTGTTTAGCTAACTATTTATAAATATATATGTAAGAATAAAAGAATACATTTTTAAGTATTTTCATGCTAATGGTAAATGTAATTTATTTTTTCTACTAAATTGCCACTTGATCCTCCTTTAAAATTATATAAAATAAATTACCATTTTAAAAAAATAGTAATTAATATGATTAATTTGAATTATAAAATTTATTTATTTATCAAATATTTATTATAAACATATGTTTCTAAAACTACCAAACTATAATCAATAACATTCATATCAAAACCATTGCTGCTTTAGAATTAAATAGAAAGTTCTGTTTGAACTGTTGAAATACCAATTTAGTTAAGGTTAAATAATTCAATTTTGGTTACTATAAATATATTGTAACTTGAAAATTTAACACAGAGAAATTTTATCTTTTTACAAAAACCGAGAAATTGCATTTTCTGACAAAACAAAAAAAAAATCATTTTCCTACGAAACTGAAAAATCACTTATTCCCGCCAAAACCAAAAAAATTCATTTTCTTTTCAAACCTGAAATATCATTTTCCTACCAAAACAAAGAAATTGTATTTTTCCGCAAAAATAAAAAAATCACATTTTCCCGCGAAAACCTGTATTTTCACGCCAAACAGAAAAATCAAGTTTTTTTTTCACCAAAAAAAAAAAAAATTATTTTCCTGCAAAAACCAAAAAATCGTATTTTTCCGTCAAAACCGAAAAAACTATTTTCCCGTAAAAACTGAGAAATCGTCTATACCCGCCAAAACAAAAAAGATTATTTTTCTCGTCAAACCAAGAATCACGCCTTCCTACCAAAACCGATAAACTATAATTTTCCGCGAAAACCAAAAATTGCATTATCTTCTGAGAAATTGTGTTTCCTGCGAAAACTAAGAAATCACATTTTTCCGTGAAAACCATAAAATCACATTATATGTCAAAAACTAAAAATTTGTATTTCCCATCAAAACCGAGAAATTGTTTATTCCCACCAAAATCGAGAAATTTTGTTTTTCCATCAAACCGAGAAATTGTATTTTCTGCCGAAATTGTCCGCGAAAACTAAAAAATTATATTTTTCAGCGAAAATCAAGAAATCACATTATCCATCAAAAGCCGAAAATTTGCATTTCCTATCAAATACCAAGAAATCAAAACTATGTAATTTAGCAATCAAATTTCTTTAACTTATCTAAAAAACAAAACGTTGATAAAAAAAAAATTTAAAATACTAATTTTCTTAAAGAGTTAATATTGAAAAGCTATTTTTATTAAGAAATAAGAAAAAAATATTTTTATTAGAAAATTAATAGAGACTTGATTACTAAAACTTACAATTTGATGTGAGAATATGTTGAACATATGACACCTCTAACCGTCAAATGACTGGATGCAATGTTCAGTCTGTTTTCACAACTATGTAATTTAGCAATCAAATTTTTTTAACTTATCTAATAATCAAAATGACAATAAAAAAAAGGAAATGTTTAAAATACTATTTTTAAAGAATTAATATTAAAAAGCTATTTTTATTAGGAAATAAGAAAAAATGTTTTTATTAGAAAATTAATAGAAACTTGATTACTAAAACTTACAATATGGTGTGAAAACATGTTGAACATATGACACCTCTATTTATTTAATTTTCTTGCCAAAATTTGTGTATTAACACACACACACACACACACAAAATGTTAAATTTTTGTGTTTTTTAATTTTCTTGTTAAGATGTGTGTTAATACACACACATAAGAAAATGTAAAATTTTTGAGTTTTTTTTTTAATTTTCTTGTGAATATATGTGTACTATCACACACACAAAAATGTTATATTTTTGAGGTTTTTAATTTTCTTGCCAAGATGTGTGTACTAATACACATAAGAAAATGATAAATTTTTGTGTTTTTTTTTTAATTTTCTTGTGAATATATGTGTATTATCACACACACAAAAAATGTTAAATTTTTGAGTTTTTTAATTTTCTTGCCAAGATGTGTGTACTAACACACATAAGAAAATATTAAATTTTTGAGTTTTTTTAAAATTTTTTTGTGAATATAAGTGTACTATCACACACACAAAAAATGTTAAATCTTAGAATTTTTTAATTTTTCATGCTAAAATGTGTGTATTAACACACACAAGAAAATATTATATTTTTGATTTTTTTTTAAATTTTCTTGTCAAGATGTTTTTATTAACACACACAAAAGAAAATGTTCAATTTCTGAGTTTTTAATTTTTTTTGTTAAGATATGTGTATTAACACACACAAAAAATGTTAAATTTTATAATTTTTTTTTCTTGCCAAGATGTGTGTATTAAAACACACAAAAAATATTATATTTTCGAGTTTTTTTTAATCTTCTTGTCAAGATATGTGTATCAACACACATACAAAAAAAAATACTAAATTTTATCGTTTTTTATATTCTTTCCAAGATGTGTGTATTGAGACACACACAAGAAAATGTTAAATTTTCGTGTTTCTTTCTATGAATTTTTCTTTCCTAAATTTGCAGAACTAATTTTTTTATTTTCTTGTCAAGATGTGTGTATTAACAAACACACAAGAAAATGTTAAACTTTCAAGTATTTAAATTTTTTTTCAATATATGTGTATTTACAAACAAAAAATGTTAAATTATCGTGTTTTTTAATTTTTCTTGCCGTGAGGTGTGTATTAACACACACATAAGAAAATCTTATATTTTTGGGTTTTTTTAATATTATTGCCAAGATATGTGTATTAACACACATACACATACAAAAAAATGTTAAAATTTTGTGTTTTTTAATTTTCTTGTTAAGATGTGTGTATTAACACCAACTTAAAAAAATGTAAAATTTATGAGTTTTTAAAAAAAAATTCTTGTGAATATATGTGTACGATCACACACACACAAAACATGTTAAATTTTCGAGTTTTTTAATTTTCTTGCCAAGATGTGTGTACTAACACACACAAGAAAATGTTAAATTTTTGAGAAAGAAGGTTTGGAGGGTAGTCTTTGAGATTCTTGTAATGGTTCAGCTAACATTTAATTGACTCATCTTTCATTTTTTATAACACACACACAAAATAAATTAAATTTACAAATTTTTCAATTTTCTTGCCAAGATGTGTGTAGTAACACACACATAAAGAAATATTATATTTTTGAGGTTTTTTTAATCGTCTTGTCAAGATATGCGTATTAACACACACAAAAAAAAAAATTAAATTTGATGTTTTTTTATTTTATTGCTAAGATGTTTCTCTTAACACAAACATAAGAAAATGTTAAATTTTCGAGTCTTTTTAATTCTTTTTGTCAAGATTTGTGTATTAACACACACACACATGCACGCACGCACTCACGCACGTACGCACACACGCACGCACGCACACACACACGCACTCACGCACGCACGCACTCACGCACGCACGCGCACACACACACACACAAGAAAATGTTAAATTTTTGAATTTTTAAATTTTTTTTGCCAAAATTTGTGAATTAACACATACACAAGCAAATGTTAAATTTTCGAGTTTTTTTTATAATTTTCTTGTCAAGATATGTATACTAACACACACACAAGGAAATGTTAAATTTTTGAGTGTTTTTTTTAATTTTCTTATCATGATATGTGTATTAATACACACATAAAAAATGATTAGATTTTCGAAGTTATATCAGGGAATTTTTACCTCAAGTTTGGAGGAAAAGTTTTTATTTTCTTGTGAAGATATGTGTATTAACACACACACACGAGAAAATATTAAATTTTTGATTTTTTTTTTTATTTTCTTGTCATGATATGTATATTAACACACACACACACACACAAATATTAAATTTATATTTATTTAAATTTTCTTGTCAAAATGTGTGTATTAACTCACACACAAAAAAATGTTAAATTTTCGAGTTTTTTTTTAAATTTTTTTGTCAAGATATGTGTACTAACACACACTAAAAATGTTAATTTTATTAGTTTTTTAATTTGTTATTTCCAATATGTGTGTATTAACACACACACAAGAAACTGTAAAATTATTGAATTTTTATTTTATTATTCTAGTCAAGATACGTGTATTAACACACACACAAAATGTTAAATTTTCAATTTTTTTATGTTCTTGCCAAGATGTGTGAATTAATACACAAACACACACACACACAAAAATGCTAAAATTGCGATTTGTTTTTTATTTTCTTGCCAAAGTGTGTGTATTAACACACACACACACAAGAAAATGTTAAATTTTAAAATATTTTTGTTTTCTTGCCAAGATGTGTGTATTAACACACACAAAAATGATTAATTTGTGAATTTTAAAATTTTCTTGCCAAAATGTGTGTATTAATACACACACAAGAAAATGTTATATTTTTGAGGTTCTTTTAATCTTCTTGCCAAGATATGTGTATTAACATACACACACAAAAATATTAAATTTTATTGCCAATATGTGTTTATGTTAATACACACAAAAACTATTAAATTTTCGAGTTTCTTTCTATTAATCTTTCCTTCTTAAGTTTGCAGGACTAATTTTTTTATTTTCTTGTCAAAATGTGTGTATTAACAAACACATAAGAAAATTTTAAATTTTTGAGTTTTCTTTTAATTTACTTGTCAAGAATTGTATATTAACACACACAAAAAAAATGTTAAATTTTTGAGTTTTTTTTTTGTCAAGATTTGTGTATTAACATACACACAAGAAAATGTTAAATTTTCGAGTTTTTTTGATAATTT